AGCAATAGATTTGTGGGATTTTTCTGAATCTTTGGCTCTTGAAATGACTGTTCATGATTAAACTTATTTTTCTCATAAGGTTTAGGGAGTATTAAAGCTGAAAAAAGCTCAAGAATGTATTGGACCAGAATAAAATTGGTCAGATTAATATTTTAATGGTGAATTAGAAGAGCAATAATATAAAAAAATAATACGAAGCTGCATTTTGTTAAGTTGCAAAGGTAATGTTTATTCTTTTACTCATAAATCAATACAAGAATTTTTTGTTTCAAAATATATCATAAATTTATTTGATAATCATTTTGAAAAAAAAAAACTCTAACTTAAAGATTTAGAATAATCTTTATATAATAAAGATATATTTAATACTTCCAAAATTCATTTTTAAAAAGTATGTGAATTCATTACCAATTTTTTTTAAACAAATGAAGATAAGATAGTAAATCAATTAAAGACAATACTTAATTTATCGAAGAATAACGAAAATTATAAAAGAGCAGCATCAAATTCAGTATTTTTACTATCCTAATTTAAAACTTATATGGGAGAGTAAGATTTTAGAAAAATTTACATAGCTGATACCAAAATTAATGGTTTAAGCTTTTTTGCTAGTGATCTATCATCAAGTAGATTTTCTGGAGTCGAAGTTGATGGATGCAACTTTAATCTATCAAAAATTGAAAATTCTACATGGGCTATAATTTGTAATGAGTAGAGAACTTTAGCTGGACACGAAAATAAGAAAATAACATCATTATTGATGAGTCCTGAAGGGAAAACATTATATTCTAGTAGTGAGGATTAAACTATTGTTGTTTGGGATTATACAAAAAGAAAATAAATCAATAAATTGCAAGGCCATTAAGGAATTATAAACTGTCTCTCTATATCATCAAACGGATTCTACTTAGCATCTGGAGGAACTGACAATACAATATATATTTGGGATTGTACAAATGAAAATAAAACATAAATTAAAACGATCTAAACAATCAAAGACCATCAAGGATCTGTCAATTCCTTATATTTCTCATTAGATTAGACAATTCTAGCATCTGCAAGCAGTGATAAATCAGTGTTGCTCATTTCAGACTATTAAAAATAAGAATAAACTAAGAAACGTTTTATTAAACACAAAGAAAAAGTAATGTAAGTAGTTGTTTTCCCAGATTCTATTATGTTAGCAACAAGGTGTTCTGATTGCACTGTAACGATATGGAATATTGGAGAAAATGTTCCCAATATAATAAGAGTGTTTCTTAAGCTTCCTGAACCAATTACATGTATTGCTCTTTCACATGATGGAACATATTTGATGACTGGGTGCAAGAGTGTTGAAAATTAAGGGTTTATCAAAGCTTGGGAGATTACACAAGAGAACTAGAGAATGGAATCAGAAAATTTCCAATTTCCAATTTTCTGTTTATCTATTTGTCCAAATAGTAATTTGATTGCAGCTGGTAGCAAGGATTAAATAATATTATGGGAAAAATTTTAATTTATAGATCATAAAAATACAAATCCTAAAATTATATAATGCAAAGGTGAAATAATATCTCTTGTATTTTCTATGGATGTATATTATTTATTATCTTTAAATTCTAAATAAAAAATGGAATTATGGTCGTTGAAAAATTAAATTGTTAAACATTCATTTTAATTAATATCTGCGTTTTTGATAGGATTTATCGGCAAAGAACATTTTGTTGCAGTATAAACATCAAAAAAAATAACTGTTGAGAAAGATCTAGATATGATTCAAATCTGTGAAATATAATCTGGAAGATCAAAATGTTTTTAACTTCAAGATATAATAACAGCTGGCCAAATATTCAAATAACCATTACATATTGCTTTGGGTTTTTAAAATGGCGTTATTGGGATTTGGAAATGGACTAGTGAATCTTATTTTGATAAATTTGATTAAGAACATGATAGAAAGATAATAAATATATCAATATCATCTGATGACAAAACATTAATATCAATCGATAAATATTAAACTATTAAGATTTGGATTGCTGAAAGTAAACAATGTAAAAGCACAATAAATGATATTTAAAATCCAATTAACAAAATACAGATTTATGCATAAATGATGATATATGTTTACCAATAAGAAAAAGATGATATTATAAGATTTCATGATACAGATAAAAATGAAATCATAAAAGAATTTTCAGGATATTCTGGAAGAATATCACAATTGGTATTCTCCTAAAATAACCAAAGATTATTATTTATTATTACTAATTAAGAAGGAGAAAGCAAGATTGGTTTAATAAATTTTCTATAGGAAAGTAAGACCTATAAAGGGGATGGATGTGAATTTTCATAAATTGTCATTTCCTAATATGATGAGAAATTTGCAGGGATTGGAGAAAATAGAAGTTTGAATATTTGGGATTTCTAAGATCAGAAATTGCAAGAGTCCTCAATATCCTAAAAAGTTGGAATAACTTCAATGACATTTACAAGATAAAGTAATTTAATTTCAGGATAAGAAGATGGAAGCATTATTTTATGGCAAAAGAAGGGTGAAGAGACAATCAAAATGTTTGAAGGGCATTCTGATTTTGTCTAAGATATATGCTTTTCTCCAGATGGATTAACACTTCTTTCATGTAGCTAAAAGGACAATGTCGTTATTTGGGATATGGAAAAATACAAGAAAAGAACAACAATTGATAAATAAGCTAATTAAGTCATGTTTTTCCCTACTTATCCATCAGAATAACTTTTATTATTGAAAAATAAATAAACAATTGCTATATGGGATATTATTGAAGAATAAGCTAAAACTCTTCCATCATTATTTGAATCAAAACAATAGTAAAGAGATTTTAAAAGCTAAACTGAAATTAATTACTATTTAGAATATATCACTGATGTTACTATATCAAAAAGTGGCTTATAAATAGTTTGTGGTTTGAGTAATGGAGATATAAAACTTTTCAAATAAGATTAATAATAATGGATAGAATTAGAGAAAACACATATTTCAAAAATAAATAAAATTTAGTTTTAACCTTGCGTTAGTTCACAAGAAGATGAAAATTTCATAGCTTCTGGAAGCGATGATTTAACAATTTAGATCTGGAAAAATGATGGAAATTAATACAATCCTTTTAAAAAATTAGATAACCATAAGTGTGAAGTTAAAGCTCTAACTTTTACTTCTAATGGAAAATAACTTGCATCTGGTGACAGCAATGGTAGTATTATTATTTGGGAAACAGAGTAGTATTAGAATTATAATACAATTGAAGGTGGAGCAGAAATTATCGCCATGGCATACTCACCAGATAATTCTATTCTAGCTTTTGGGATGATTGATAAGATTATCAAATTATGGGATATAAAAAATGAAAAGGCTATTTAATAGATATAAAGTATTAATGAATAAATTGGATCAATTGTGTTTTCTATTGATTCAATTTTGGCTTACTCATTTGGATAAGAGATAAATTTATGTAAAAGCCAATATGGATAAGATATTGGAAATAATGAAAATGAGAAATAATATTTCCCATTTTTCAAGTTTGCAAAAGAGCCAATCTTATAAGCTGAATAATGTTTCATATAGAATTCTACAATAGATGATGATACAATAGAAGGCTAGGAAAATAAATCTATGATTTGGTTATTTTAGCAAAAGAAAGCACAAGTAAAAGAAGCTAACGATGATATCAATAAAAAATGAATCTATACTGATATTTTAAATTATATATCATTGTTATAATGAATTTGATAAGTTTTTAGAATTGATTATAATTAATATTAGTAAATAAATATTAAAATATGACTGACGATCTTGATTAATTCTTTTCTTTTTAATCTTAATTTTTACGTCTATTGTTATTTAATTTAGAAATTTCTAATTGTTCTCATTTTATGACTATAAATTTATGTTAAAGTACTTTAATTTGACTCTGTGTTGTTGATAAAAAGAGAACTTAAGCTGAAATTTTAAACTTATGGTTATTGGCTGAAGTTGACTAAGCCCTAAAGAAATATGAATAGATGAGATTGAATGATAAAAAAAATTCTTATTTTTTCAAATATAGTTGTTAAACTTAAAAACTCTTTTTTGATTGCAATTAAATTCTTAATAAATTGTTATAAGTTCATAATTTATTCAGAAGAATTCTGTTTTAGTGAAATGTATATAAGCTGTTATAGGTTGAGATAATCTAAAGTATCAATTCTTAAAGTTAACATGAATGTACTTATAACCAAATTCAATTTTTTGTAATTTTTGTTTAAGCAATTTAAAAAATATTCGTCAAAACAAAATATTGTAATAGGTATCCCTACTATTGTGAAGTTACTGGTTTCTATAATCTCTTTTTTGAGAAGGCTTATAGTTTAGAAATTAAAAATGGAATTTTTATGTATTCCTTTGAGTATAGTTTTTAGTGAAATTCTTATTTCTTCAAACTTCCAATTAATCTAAATTTACAAATTTAAGTATTTATAATCATCTAAAGCTAAAAAAGCTTTATCAATTTAGAAGTTTTTATCTGTAAAATAGTTAACCAAAATTCAAATCTTTTATTGCCTCATTTCTCATTTAGGTTAATTTCAAAGCTTGGATATCATTTGTATTTTTTATAAAGACGTTTAAGTTTGAATGTAGCTACAAGGCATTATTTATGAACAGTTATCTTTGAACGTTATTTTCACTATTTCATAATTATTAATGGTTTTTATGATGCTTTCAATGTTGGTATTTTTTATTAATAAATGTTGATTCATGAATTTCTACAGAAAGAAATTAAAACGAAATCATGGTTGAGTATCGAAGCTAAAAAAATATATTTAAACATTTTGCCTTTCTTCTTTTTTTTCTTTCTCTCACTTTTCTTATGATCACTGTATTATATTAATAATTATTTATATTTTCAAGAATAGCTTTAGTGCTTTTATCTATAGCAGGCAATACAGAAATTAATCAATTAGTTACATGTTTCTTTATTTTATTATATTCCATTAATTTAATGTCTGAAAGTTAAATTGAATTTTTATAAGGGTAAGTAATTAGCTTAACAAAAGAAAATCATCTGTTAAAAGAAGACATTTTGGCATTCCATCATTTTTTGAACAATAGAGTAAAGGAATTGAAATCATACCTTAGAGATGTCCCTAATAGATATCTTAATATGGAGTTGTGTGATATTACATAAGCTTTATTATTTGTTAAGGAGGATGCTGAATACTATCAAATGAACATGAATACTCTCCAGCATGAAATTAAATAACTTAAGAATTAATGTGCTGAATTAAAATAACTATTGCTTGAATAGAAAGATAAATATTAACAGCAATAATAAAATATTGAAACTAACTTAACAGAATAATACTCCAAAGCTTTGAAGGAACTTTAAGAGAATTTAAAATTGGCCTCTTCAAATTGCGATATATATAGAAACTCGATGAATCTTCTAGCTTAGGAAAAAACAACTTATGAATAGTAAATTAAAAGTCTCTAAAATGAAATTTAAAAACTAAAGAAGTAACACGAAATAGAAAAAAATGAATTATAAATGATGATAGCTAGAGGAAAATCGTAATTGTCTGATTTGGAAAAGACATATAATATCCGATTGCATAAGGTTCAATAGTCAAATTTCGAGGAATACTAAACCAAATTAAAGAATTAGGCCAAAGATATAAATGAAAAAGGTAAAGTATATAATTTTTTATTAGATTAAATACGAGCAGAATTAGAAAAGAAGATTTCATCATATGAGAAATTTAATGGAGAATTGTAATAGGATTATGAAATTATCCTAAATTAATAGTCAGAATTATAAGAAATAATTAAAAAGTAATTAACAGAAATTTAGGTTCAATCATAATTAAATTATTAACTTCATGATAATACTAAATAATTAGAATCTACAATTTTTGATTTAAAATAATCAATTGCCTTATTAAAAGATGAAATGCAATTAACTTAATAGGAACTTTAACAAAAGGTTAAGGATATTGATTTGCAAAAGGAAATTTAGAATTAAATTTTATTTGAACTAAGTACCATTGGCACAATAAAAATTTGTATTATGAAATAATCATCTGTGAAATCCTAGATTTTGGAATTAATTAAATTAATAAAATAGGAAAGTTAAGAAAATAAAGCTGAATAGAAGAAGCTCAACGATTAAGTTATTAAATTGCAAGATAATAAATTATAATTGTAAGAGGAATAAGCATAACTAATATTTCAAAATGAAATCTTTTAATAAAAAATATCTTAATTATAAGATTAAATAGTTGGTTAATAAGAATTTGAAATTAAATATAGAAAACTTGTAAATGAGATAGTATACTTAGCTTAAACAGACCCAAAGATAATTAAATCTCTTCAAAAACATATATCTATTGACTTTTATAAAGAATACACTAATCTTAATAAAATAACAGAAAATGATCAAAATAGACCTTTGTTTCTTTTGGCAAATTAATAAGAATCAATTGATATTGAAGAAGATTCTAAACCAAAAAAAGGATAAGAAAATAAGCCATAGTAAATAGATAGATTAAATACTTTGATGGATGAAGTGAAAAGTCAGAAATAATTTGAACTGCAAGAATCAGATTAAAACTTATCATTTTAATGGAAGAACTCAATTAGAATGACTTTAACTCCTAGTTTATATAATGTAAAATAAGAGGATTAAATACAATTAATTGAAGATTTTCGAGCAGATGCCCAAACGTAAACAGATAGAAAGAAGTATATGTCTAAATTTTTACCTCATGATAATCTTGATGAAATAGTGGAGGAAATTAAATAAGGATATTTAGGTTATATAGATACATCTGATATTCACACTCAAACTGATCTATTTGTGGAAAATAAATCTACTTAAACTGCTTAAAAGAAAATATTGAATATTGATGAAAGCAAAGAAAAAAAATTATAAATTAATTAAATATAGCAAATCAAAAATATTGATTCTAATTTATCTAAACAAATTGAAGCACAATAAACAAAGATACTATCCTTAAATAAAATTATTAATGATTTAGAAGTATATAATAATATCAATATAGCTCTAATTAAAAGAATCCTTGTTTTTGAACGATAAATATAGTGAAGATTTTGAAGTTAAATCCAGAGAATTATAAAGGTTAAAGGAATTGAGCAAAAATTAGCTATAAAATTAATTAGTCGATTATGAAAATAAATTAGAAAGCCAATCAAATTAATATAAAAATTAAATAATCACCCTATAAGAAGAAATCAAAACTCTTTAAATTAATTCAAATTCAAAAATCAAAAAGCAAGATGAAATAATTAAAAGATAAGAAGAAGAAATTTTCAATTATAACAATTTCATTAAAGATCTAAATTGTTAATTTGAAGAAGGAAATAAAAAAATAGCTCAATAAAATCAAAAGCTCTAAAAATAAGAGGAATTATTTAAAATAAAGACAGAAGAATTGACTTAATAAATTAATGATTTACAAAGTTAATTTAATAATCGACCAAGTAGACAAGATGATTTAGATATGATAAAATAACTTGAAAAAGAAAATGAAGATTTAAAGGAATAAATATAAAATAACTTTGCAAAAATAGAATACGCTAATGAAATAGTGAAATATCTTTAAATAGAAGTGGAAAATTATAAGAAATAGTATAATTTATTTTCAAATCATAAACCAAATAATTTTCCAAAAAAAAAGATTTTATTTGATTCAACTTTGGAAGATGAAAAATCTATTGTTTTTGATAGCAAATAAGATTTCTTACCCACTGTCACAAATCGAGATTAATTCAACTCAACAGAAAAAAACAGATCTCAAAGGGGAAAAAGTTATCGTTTATCTGATTTTGAAATTAAGCAACATACTACAAAGCACTTTTTTAAAAATGCTCAATAAATTAAAAATAACTTAAATAAAACCTAATTAGTTTAAAGACCTAACTCACCTTCAATAACTAGAAATATAAAGTATTTATCAACAATGTAAAAAAAGTTTAATAATCCTTTTGAAAATGATTGTATTTTGCATAATGCTGAAATTTTGGTAGAGAATATTAAAGGTAATACACCAAAAACAAAATACACTCAAAAATCAAATGATTAATTTTTTTTAAAAGGATAATTAATATAAGTTGAGTTAAATTCTACTACAAATTCTAATAAAAAATTTGATTTATATCAATAAAAATCATGATGAAATAGTATTTACTTTTTTGATTTAAGATTGTTTTATATAGATAAAATTATTACTAAAACTATGTTATTTAGACTAGAGAAACACCTTAAACTATTCTTTTGAACTCTTTTAGTTCCAATGTTAATTGTTAAAATAGGAAATCAATTTATTTCTATTAATCTTTTCTTATTTCTTTGACATCTGTTGAACCTTTTAGTTATTCATAAATTTTTCATTAATAATTTATTAATATTTTCATTATTCATCTTCTAATTTGTTTATTTTATTCTTCTATATTTCTTTAATTTATTCAACTCTTGAATTTCATTCACAATATTAATTAATGTATTTTCCTATTATTATTAAATGAGATTGATCTAAAATATTTTTTTTCTAAGACATAGTTTGATGTAATCGTTTAATGCATTATTAGCACTTAAAATTAGTTGATTAAAAATAAGATTAAATTAAGACTTATCTTCTACAACAATAAAGCAAATAGTGTTACTATGTCAAAGGAAAATGACACTAATTCAAAATTGATAAAGGATTATTCTATTTAACAACCTTTTCATCAAAGATTAATTGTTTGATGGATTCTCCAAAGAATTTTAATATGTAGCACTATTTATAAAAGCATTATACAAACTAATAGTTTAGAAACATTAATAATAGTTATATAAAACCCTAAAGCTAATCATTTAGCTGTTTACATTAGTAAATCTTCGCTTAACATGTTAATTGATTTAAACATATAATGTTTTTCCTAATATTTACTGAGTGCTTCAATTAATGAATTACATGAGTTGAATTAAAATATATATTTTTTAATTTATTTAAAGATGTCATCCTAAAATATTTTTGGGAATTTCCACGATAACAACAGGCTAATGGAATTATATGAAATACTGTAAATAATAAAAAATTAATCAGCAGATTAATCTAAAATTTAAAGTTAAGAGGAGATTTTCCAAAAGTTTTCTATTCTCTACAATTATTTAATGTTTAATGAAATCTAACAACTTGTAATCCTTATTTGCAAACACAACAAGTAATTCTAAGAATCAATCTCTATGTATTAATACTTGAAATAACAAGAATGTTAAATTGATAAAACAATCAATGTTGATAAGTTAATTGAGTCTTTTGAAAATTATGCAAATGAATTTGATATCAATTAGAACAAAAATGATGCTACATGGTATAAAATTTTAATTTGTTGTGTAAAACTATTATCAAAATAAATATCAAATGAAGAGGATACTAAAATATATAACAAAATTCATAAGTAATTAAATTTTTATATTGATCAAAACTTACCAAACAATAATACTAATAATTTAATATAATAAATAAATATGTTTCATTTACCATGTATACAATATGTTTAATTGTATTCATCATTTCAATTATTAATAAATACACTCAGATATAAGCAGTACATTGATTTTACTGAAAAAAATTACTAATATCAAACCCAATTACTTCCAAAAATCTTAAATATCAGTTAATAGTAATCTTCATTTCACACATAAATTTGGAAATTTTAATCTATTCTTATAGATGTTACATAAAAGTAATTATAATTTAAATTTTTAGTCTAATTAATTTTAATGAACTATTTAGTGTTACTTAGCATTCATTTAAAAATGAAGGAATATAAAAGATTGCCTTTAGTTTTAATAATATTTAAAGAGGATTTAAAGTTATGAAAATAATTTTGGAGGAATCAATTTTAAAATATTTTTATGAATAAATTGAATTAAAAATAGAAGAATACAAATCAATTAGTCCTAATCAAATTTAATAAAAAGAAAATGTTCAATTCAAACCATAAGTGCATATAGTTTTTCATGGTTTGGAGGACATCAATTTAGATAATCCAAAATAAACAAAACTTGATTTAGAAATATAAATTCAAATTGGAGAAAATGAATTTTTATCATTAAATAATTAGTAAAATATGCAAACTTTGATTTGGAATTATGATAAGATTAAACATTTTAATTTGATAATTTAGTTATTAACACAAATATTTGAATGCTCATAATTATGGATTCAATACATACCCAAAAACCCTTAAGAATATTTTGAATTTTTATGCTCAAAAGTGAGCAAATAAAAATTAGATGTAGATAGATAAACTTTAACTAATTGGTTTCAAAAGGAAAAACCAAATATTAACAATAGTATTGAATCTCTCTTGGCTTTATTAGAAAGCATTGAATTTTTGCTTTTAAAAGTATAGATATTTGTTAATTTAGATTGAAAGCAATATTAATAAAGAGATGGCAAAATATTAAAAAGAAAAACCAATATAATTGAATAAGGACAAATTTGCTAAAGTACTTATTTAGTCAGGATTTAAAATAGAATATGATTTAATCAATAAAATTGAAATAAGATTAGCTGAAAATATTAAAAATAATTTGGAATCAATATTAAATTAAATCAGCCCAAAAACTTAAAAAATAAAAGGAATTGTTTAGTTAATTAAAAAAATCACACCTAACTTTAAATGAATTTAATATTAAACTTGTCATAATATTTTTTTGTAATTTATTAATTTTATACTGATTTTTTTAATAAATCTACTTACACATATAAATTCTCAGATTTAGCATTTCTACATAATTCAGATCTAATAATTAATTTGAAAAGTGGGTGATTATATTAAATTTTTCTGATAATACAAAGTTAATTTAATAGAAGCAAAGTAATTTGGCAAATTCTTAAATAAGTTTCTTACTATAATAGTTACAACTAGATTAAAATGAATCGAAAAATATCTATTAAATAATTCATCATTTCTTATAAAGAAAATTATTGAATTGATCATAATTTATTATTTGTAAATAATTGAGTATTGGTTTCTGTTATAGTATTAAAATTCTCATTTTATGAAATATTATGCTCCTTTGAGTGAGATAGATTAACAATAAGAAAATGTAATTTATTTTAAGGATTTCAGATTGGCTTTATATAAAATTTCCAATTACAAATAATGAATCCATTTTTTGATCCAATCAACAATTTTTCCTCTTTTTACTAAATAGAATTAATTAAGTTGAAGGAATTCATAATTTAAGCTTTGTTCATATAAAATGGTGATTTCAATAAATAGTAAATGATGTTCATTTTTTTAAATACAGTATAACTATGTAATTCATTAATTTTTACAATGTTTAGAATTTATACATGTATTAGGCAATTATTCATTAGTTGTTTAAATATCTTCAAGTACACAAGAGTAGAAAATGTAGAATAGGGATATTAGATGGAGAGTGTAAACAGAGACATTGAAAACAATATGAATGCTGAATTAAGTAAAAATCGGTAGAAATTTTATTTAGGAGCTCATGAAGACTCTTTCATCTAGAATCCAGAAAATAAAATAGAAGACTTTGAAAATAAAGCGAATTTTTAGGATTGCGAATAAATAATAGATGAGGAGACGATACGATAATTTATTGATGATATTCCCCATATCTCATTTTAATAAATTGAATAAATGAAAGAAATAGGAGAAAGAGGAATTGCAGCTTTAACTTCTGTAATTGATAAAATGGAAGGATTTGAATTGTTGGAGGAAGAGTAGGAGTTTAATTTTTGGATTAAATATGTTGAGACTCCTGAAAAATATCAAATCGGTATCATGAAATACACATATACTTTGAACACATCGATTGATTCTTACTTAGAATTCATGAAGGATCTGCAATTACAAAAGTAAATGGATAATAGTATTGATGCATTTGAGAAACATTTCGAAGAAATGAATTTATAGATAAACTATTTAAGATACAAAAAGATTATGTTCATGGATCCTCGTGACTTTTTATACATTAAATACTATGATAGAAAAGGAGATGATTGCATTGAGATTTCTAAATCTATTAATGTAGATAATTTCAAGCCTTAGTAATTAATTATATTTAAGAATTTAGAGAACTAAATGTTAAACAATGCACTAGGGCAGTATTATTATTAAGTGGAAATATAATAAAAAAGATTGATGACAATAAAATTATGATTACAACTTATTCTGAATGCAATATGAAATTAAAATTAAAACCTGTAATGACAAAGTAGGCTAGCAAAAATGAGATAAAGAAAATAGTTAAAAGATATCGTGATCATTTTAATTAATGATGTAATTTTTTAATATTTTTTTTATTAATTTTGATTAATTATAATGGATTAGGATAACTACTACTAAGATAGATTAGAAGTTGAATCTCTTTAATAACGTCTACAAAAAACAAAATTTTTAGAAGATGAATTTGAAAATTAAAATAATTAATTCAAACCTACTCATATGAGAGGTTTGTAGCCAGTTTCTTTTAGTGATACCGAAATAAAATCCAATCGTTAATAAACGTGTTAGTTTAAAGTTCTTTACAAACGAACTGTTCCATTAAATTTGAAATTTGAATAGAAGAGTTAATCATAATGTCACTCAGAATCAAAATCTCAAATTGTAAAAATTAGAAAAAGAATTGCTAAAAAATTATTTAAATAAAGCAAAACCAAATGACAATATTTTATATATATAAATAAATATAATCAAATGAGTTTAAATAGAATACAAGAAAAAGTTTAAGCATTTACTTTTGGATCAGAGTAATTTCCTCTCACAAATATTCCTAAATCTTCTCATGATTCTAAATTGCCACCCTTTAATAAAATTTCAAAATCCAATAGATAATTGCAATTTCAAAATTAAAATGATCTACCTATATCTCACAAAAGAGGAAAATCATAATAATTGATAGATATAATACATAATAAAGAAAATCAATTTGTTTCTCTTAACATTAATTAGAGAGTACAAACAGAAACTAATTCATCAATCATCCACAAACCTCCTTAAAGTAGATTCAGACTTCCTAGAAAATTATCAAATTATTCAAGACCTTAATCAAAAGAAGATTAAAATAGATATAAAAATATTGCTGAACAATTAAAATAAATGTTTATTCTTCAGAAATATTTACTTGAATAAGGTTAGAATGCACAATTACAATAACTATATTAATAATTTGAAACACTATGTAAATAATTATGAAAATCTTATCAATTCTAATAGCAGTATTAGTAATGTAATAATATTCAATCAAATATTTTCCTTTTACTACTTTGTAACTAACTGTTGTTTCTAAAGTATAAACTTCTTTACATTGGACCTAACTAATTAATTATTAAAATACTTAATGAAGTTCTTCTCTCTTCGAATATTCTCTCTCTATTCGAATAAACAAATCTAGAGCTATGCTAATGCTAAGTATAATGTATAGGATTCAATGATGCTTATAGAGTAAAATCTTAAAGCTGAGTTGGATCCTCATCTGATGAGCCTTCTAAAGTTGTATTAAGTTGTGAATCCTTTTACTTGCATTTAATTATATCCTTTTCAAAATATATTTCATTATTTATAGAGAATATTGTATATTCTTCAGGAAAGCACTCTTAATAATATTTTTGCTCTCCTTTTGGGATTCTGAATTTCAATTTTAGGTTTTTATTAGATTATTTTTATTGAATCCTTGATTTGCTTGGAGTGGTGGATTTTGATTAGTATTTTTAGTTACAATGAAATTCACAAGTTGTTTTTTTGGATGAAAAATAGGATTATTGTCTGGACTGTTTATAATAATTTGTTATCATTTATTATTTAATACCTTAAGTATTTATTATTTTATCTTCTTTCTAAAAGATCAAAAATGACTTAGTATATCAAAATGATATTTATAATAAACATACATGTAAATCATTTTGTTGGTGTTTAAGCTTTTTCAAGTTTTTCAACTTTATCACCTCCTAAAATATTGGCCTTTGCAATCTTTACAAGTAAATTCATTATATTTGGATTAACCTTATCAAAGCCAGCTTGCACTTATGTTGCACCAAAATATTCTTGGGATTTTAAGGAGAATTCTCCTCCAAATTTTGGAATAATAATATCAGCGTATTATTCTGTAGGCTTTATTATTGATTCATAAAGTGGTTTTAATCTATTCAAATAATTGTGAATAACCTTTTCCACATCTTTGCCTTTAGCACATACTTCCTTATAAACTGAAACTTAATAAAATTAAATACTTTTTCTAGATAATCTCACATCTTGATCATGATGTAAGAATATCTTTAAATCAAGTAAATCTCTTAGTTGTCTATCATACAAAATTAAAGTTCCTTCAATTATGATAACATTCTTGTCTCTAGTAGTCAAAAGTGTGTTTATAGCAGTTGACTAAACATTAGCATAATTTATACCAAAAATTTTTAATAATCCTAATTGTTAACATAAGGAACATTATTTAAAGTATCAGAGTTTTACTTACTACATTTATTAATAAATAAATACTAATGATCGAAATCATCGCTATCAACATCAAAGTTATCTTATTTAACCACGCTAACCAAAAATCCTAATGATTAAAGTTCGGTCATTAACTTTTCTGTTAATAAGGCTTTTCCTGAAGAGTGGCCACCACATATCTTATAATAATGATTATAAATTTTACTCCAATTTTGAATGATTTTCCACTTTAAGGCTATACTTTTGGACTTGCATATTATCGAACCAATTCATTTCCAAATACTGTATTAATAGTATTATTAGATGTATTCTAATCGGATTAACTACATACTGAGGAACTGTTTAAAGCTTCAAGTTAAGCTAAATTATCCATTAATTAAAACAACTAAATTCTTTTTTTAATTTTTCTATCCACAATTTATTATGTATTTAAATAATTATAAATTGATTTAATACAGCAAAAATTTGAAGGTTAAGTGAATAGCTTAGAAATCTGTTAAGTTAAAAATGAAGAAATGAAGTAATTTTATATATTAAATATTTAAGAATCAATTAACTTTTGAAAAAAAATAGTAAAAATATTATTGAATTTTTCTTTGTATTAATTTTATTTATATTTCCCTAAATGGATTGTCATAAAAATCCATAACATTTTTTATATTTCAATGTTTTAATTACTTTTTCAATTATCCAATTCATTATTATGACAAATAAACACAACTTTATGAATTGCATACATGGTTCTTTATTCTAAGGGAATGTTAATTCAAGACAATAATTCAAAAATTCACTATAATTAAGTGCTGAAATAATACACAAAACTAAAGGAATAAACTAAAAAAAATAATATATAATGTTACTAAGCTTTTGAAGAGTTTGGATTTCATATTAATATTTTGCATATGAGGTTCTCCAGGATAATTGAATAAAACTATGCAACTTTATTATAACAAAAGCAGTAAAAATACTGTTGTATTCAAAAAAGTTGCTTAAAATTCAGTTTAATTTTTTATTTCTTTTTCAATTACTGTCATATTTGGAATAGCAATGTAATATATAGCGTAATACATAGAAGATATGTGTAAAATTATTTAAAGTGTTAATGAAATGAAAAAGGAATATTCAAAAATTGAAAAGCTTGGTTTTATTTTTGATAATCTCTTTAATTATGTGGCAGAAGTATAGCAATAATAATAGGTAACTCCTAATATACTCATAAAAATCATTTATGTTTAACTCATTTTCAATGATTGCATATGTAAAGCACTAAATGAATATGCATTCAATATGCTGTATAAAGCCATAATCTTATACATTTAAATAGTAAATACTAATGTATAGACACCTTATATTAGAATAGTATTAACACATTTAATACTTTTTTGCATTTTGCATATAAAAGGAACAGCCATAAATACACCATTAAAATTAGAACTAGCTTTGCTTTTTTGCTTCTTCAAATTCTCTTTCTTTTTAAATAACTAATTCAATTATTCATTAAGTGATAATTTTTTGTATTTCATTTCTGCATCTCTAATTAGAGCAATTCCTACATCTGCCTTCTCTAATGCTCCAACATCCTTTTTGCCATCTCCACAAAATAATATATCTTTACCTTATCTTTTAAACTAAACAACAATTTTTTCTTTTTATTTTGGTGACATTCTTGCAAAAATGCTAAAATGTATTATTAATTATATTAAATGTTAATCTTCTAATTTTTCAAGAATGGTTGATGAAATACACAACATTCCTTTTTAAAATAATTTAATCTCCTATTCTACATTATTCAATACAGTTTTATTATTGGTTCCATGCTCAACAAATACATAATTATTATCAAAAAAGTCTAAAATGTATGTCTTATTATTATCATGTAATTATAATTATTTACTCACTGCTATTGTAGTAAGTAAATTCTCCCCTGTAATAATTATAGGTTGGAAATAACTTTATTTAATATTTTGGATGTATTTTTAGGTGCTAGTTTTTAATGGTGACTCACAAATTAGAAATCCTCTAAATACTAAATTATTTTCTAGTTTTTCTCTGTCTTAATTCTCATATTCTTTGATTTCTCTATCAGCCAAACACAGTACTCTATATCCTAAATTTGAATAATATTAATAACATTATTCATACTAATTTGGAATTTCTTAAAATAGTAATTATAATGCCTCAGGAGCTCCTTTAACTAGAAGTCTATAATGTTTTTCACCTTTCTAATCAACCTAGATAACAGTGCTCATTCTTTTTAAATCGCTCCTGAATGAAAAAACTTTTTATTAATAAAGTCTAATTCTTAAATTCTTATTTTGAGTATAATTTTTTGATGCATCATATATCCACTCAGTATTATTTTGAAAAAATAAAGTTTCAATAGGATCACCTTAAAGTTAGTTATCAGATTCAGTTAATTGATGACAACCTGCCAAAATTTATTAACAATATAAAGAACAATCACTTTTTGACTTTATAATCATTTTTTTGCAATTTTCTACAATTCCAGTGAAAATCAATCTATTATAAGTTAATGAAGCAGTTTTATCAAATGCCAAAAAAATTCCTTTGCAGCCAAAGGAATTTTTGATGATTATGTACAAAAAATCTTTTTGAATTCAAATAATTCTAAGGAATCTTATACAGTTATAGATAATATCATAGGCAATAAAAATGGAACAACAGTAGTAATAATTAATAAGCATCTAATGAATAGGTAATATTTGTTTCGAGATTCTTCTTAGAAGCAATTAATGAAGATATAAGCACTTGCAATGGAAGCAAAAATAAGTAAGAATAATGCAATAAATAGTTCACCTATTTATTTTCTATTTACATCTTAGTTATTGTAGAGCATAGTTTTCATAAATTTTCCTTTTGCAGTAGAAAATCCGGTTCTTAATACTAAACCTAAACACTCAGATTAATTTTCATCATTATTGATATAAGATGGATATTGTGTATTACCTTTTAGTTGTATAATTTCACTTCCACAAAAAATAACATTAGATTTATGCTTCTCTTTGATATCCAAGTATTCATTCTAATTTTGATTGATTCCTTCCTTAACTTATGGAACATTATCCATTGTTAACATGGATTCATTTACTATAGCCTATCCATTTAATAAAAGTATATCGCATGGTGTATATTTGTAAGAATCAACATTCGTAGTTTTATTTTAAAACAAATCAGCTTATTATGGTTACAAAAATTGAGTCATATAATTTTCATCAGGTTTGATTTTTTCTGCTGTCTATAATATAACTACCTCACCAGGATCTAAAAATTATGATGAAATTTATCTCCATTAATTATCACGGTATACAGTAATCAATTATGGATTTTAGTAAATATCTCTTATATTTTGCAATATTGTTATTCTATTTTAGATTGCCGAACAGAATTAACAATAAAGCATAAACATAGTAAATAAAGCATAAATAGTACTTTCATCTTAAAGCCATAAGAAAACACTAAATATTTATAACAATGATAATGGTTGAATGGATTATTCATTTAATAAATTATGAGTTAAATTAATGGGTTAATATAAAGTATTGATTCCACATCCATATGATCTTTAATGTTTTTCCAAATTCTTAAGATTAAATTTAGAATTTGGTTTTACTTTTATAAATGATTCCTTAGCTTCATCATAAATATACCTGTTTTCCATAAAAATTATCCAATATTATTTATTTGAATGAGAATTTATTTCTTCTTTATTTTCTACTTCTATTATATCTACTATTTCGCTGTAAGAATACTATTATTTATTCAATTAGACTCTACAAAATTTATAATTTCTTATTTTCTCTTTAGTTAGTTTATGACCTCCTGAATAATATTTTATTCTGGATTTAATTTCGATTGGCCAATATTAAAATAAGGAGAAAAAAAACAAAAGCATAATAACATCTAATCTTCCATAAATACACTTGATTAATCCATAAAATCCTTCACCATAATAAACTATATAATAAACTTAAATATTCTACACTAATAGCATATAAACCCAAGAATAATGGGACCCTTAAAAGTATCAAAGCTCATAAAACTTTGTCTCAAATTTAATAACTCAAAGGAAAGTTTCATTATTTATTATTTAATCAAATTAAATACTCAACTATTTTTTATAAATACTTAGAATCAATATCATCAAATCGTGACAACTGTTCAGAATCAATATCTAACACACTTTAAACTACTCCATTCTTTATCACTGGAATAACAATCTCACTTTATGTCTCATTATCACAAGCTATGTAATTCTGACAAACTTTCACATCTTCTTGAATCTGAATTTTTCCTTCTGCTCAACATTAACCACATTATCCTTTCCCCTTTTCAATTCTTGGTGTTGCCAATATAGTACTTTAATATGGACCTACCTCAAGATAATTTTCTAATATAGAATCACAGATTATACCATCAATTACTTCATAAAATCCAACAAAAAATAACCCACTTACATTATTTTTTAAAAGGCTGACAATAGATGTTTCTATTGCATTCCTACCTAAATTTTAATATTTTTTTATAAAATGATCAAGTAAATCAAGAACTTTTTCATATTCCTATTCTTTACTATTTTAATTCATTTCTAATATACTAATTAAATTATTATTAAATAAATACTCAAATTTATATTATAAATATCTCTTCATTAGGATATTAATTTGTTAAATTTTTTGAATTATCGCGAATTATCAAGAATTTTATTCATAATATAAACTTCAAATCCATATCTTAATTGGAGATTATAATAAATTGTATTTTTAATGAATTCCTTTTCACCAGCTTCCAAAATTTCAAAACTAATACCATTGAATCTTCTCTAAAAATCATTAGTGGATGACGAGGAACCCATGTTTCTCGAGAGAAGTACTAAGAAGATTAAATTTAATGAACTACTTATTGTACTTAATTATCATCCCAATACAGAAGTGACCTATATCAAAAGATAAGTGTTAAAATGTAAAGGACTCTCAAATGTAGCATGGCTCAATCCTTGTATAAACGAATAATCAACATAAAATTTATAAAAGAATAGATCAATTTTAAAAAGAACCGATAATTGAAGAATATAATGAATTTTTATATATTATTATATTTTATTTTAACTCATATTTTTCAAACTGCTATAATAGCCTACAAAGTATCCATCAAGACTGTATTTGTAAGTTTCATTCCACTTTACTTAACATAGAATTTTGCTGCTTAATTTCTAGCATCAAACTTTTCATTCAAAACCATACTTTTTAATTATTTCATTTTTAATTTTCTTATTTATAACAATTTTTCTTCTATCTATGGTTTTTGGTTGGATGTTGTTATTGATAGTATATCTTCTCTCATCTTATATAATTTTAATTATTGATTTTCTTTTAACAATACAGCTTCAATTCCTTTATTTATAGTAAATTCTTAAAATGGATTAAAATTGCTCTCTGAATCTAAATTATTAGATGATTAGATTAACATCGTTCCACTCTTTCTAAAATTTCTACCTTAAAGTTAATCTAAGAAAGAATTTTTTGGTTATGATTATTAGTATAATGTAACTTATTCCTCTAATTATTTCCTAATTTCTTCACTTTCCTTCAATTTATTTTCTAAATTATCAATTTCCTTTCTAGTCAACTCTGAAGCTTCATTAAACCCTTTAATTTTCTCTTAATGCCTTTGTTTTTCATTTTCAAGAACTTAAACTCTATCAGCCTTAATTTATAAATCAACAACTCTATTTTCTAATGCTTCCTTATTTTTACGTAATGCTACACAATCAGAATATATTTGAGATTTCTCAGATTATAATTTTTGTAAATCATCTTTCAATCTTTTTTCAGATTCTATAGTATAAGAAATATCAGATAATTAAGACTTTAATTCTTTTTACCATTATGACCAAAGTGAAGTTTATGCATATGAATGTAAAGTTGGTTTATTTGATAAAAATTCTTCATTAATATTTTACTCTTCAAATTATTGATTTATTTAATTCAATAAATGAACAATAGACACACATCTATCTCTATATGGCTATGAAACAGATTCTCCTTAACAAGATATATATGATTAATACTAATCTAATTCTAACTTATTCAAATCTTATTGTAATAATTGTTATAAATAATTTATTAATTCTGAGAATTTCTCATTTTTTCTATTAAAATATCCTCCCCAACATTATCTTCCATAACGTAATTATTTTGATAGTTCCTTACATCTTTATATTAAGGTATCAATCAATTAATCAACAGTTATCTTTTGTAAAGTAGTAGCTGTTGATTAGTTGATAATGACTTTAAAATTAAAGATTGAATAGCTATATTTAAATATAATTTGATTTAATAAGGATTCAATTACTGCCCCTTCTTGAATTTCAAGATTGCTTAAATCATCATTAATTCTTTAAATTGCAAATTATAATTCTGATAAAGATAGCTATGTACTGATTTTTTCATTTTGCACACATTATATTATCATATCAACCAAAGTATCTGCAATTTTAAATTAATTTAATAGAATTCCATTTCTAGCAACTTTCTCTAAAGATTCTCTATCTGTTTAATTTTATAGGTATATTGTGAATATATTACACAAATCACTTAATTAATAAAGAGATTTATGTGCATTTAACATCCAAAATCCTAAATCTTATAATTCCTCTTTAATAAATTTATCACTTTAATTTTCTAATTAAGTTAAAAATTCATCAGCTACTAATATTGATTTTTCACTTAATTTTCTAACCAAAATAACTGGTTCTAATAAATTGAACTTTAGTTTTGTACAATAATCTTATGGTAATGATTTATAAATAATAATTCCTTTTAATGCTATTTGATTTCTTATTTCAATATTATTTAATGCTACTTTCATATACTTTTTATAAGTATCTCTTTATTATAATAATAATTCTTAATTCTTAAGATTTATTTCATCTAAAAATGTCTTTTTTGTATGTTCATTTTAAGTATTATCTTCTTCTAATCTTGATTAATCAACTTATTTATTTAATTAAGCAACTTTAACTTTTAGTCTTTGTATTTATTAATCCTTTTCTTACAAATCATTTGAATTATTATTAATCTAAGCATTAGCTTAATCTAATTTAAATTACATATCATTTATTTATTTTTCTAAAGAATTACTTTCATCCAATAAAGTTTAGATTAATTCTTAATCTAATTTTTTCTCTTCATTAATTGTTTTTATTTAATTTCTTAATTCTTCAATAAAATCATCTTTCTTCATTAATGTTTCTGTCATTTTCTCAATCATCTCTTATAATGCTTAACTTTCATCTACTCTTTAACACAATTCTTAATTCTCTTCAGTCAACTTTTTTACTTAACTTTCTAATTTAACACATTTCATTGCTTTTTCATTTAATTAAGGAATTGCTTCTAATCTAATTTAGTATTATTAAATTTCAGTTATTTTTTATTGTTTATAATCATCATATTCTTATTTTAATTAAGCCAATGCTTTTTGCAATTATGTATTTTTAAGTACAACTTCACTTGAATCTTAATTACCAACTTAAAGATTAGCTCCACAAGTAACCAATGCTTCTTCAATTTCTAAATCTGCTAATTCTTTTTCAAATTGCAATTAACTTACTTATTATTATAATTATTAATTTGAAGCTTCAAATTCCTATAATTTTAAATTTAGAATATCCTTATCAGATTTTAATTATTCACATTCCATAATTAATTTTTCATAAGAATCTAAATCTTCTAATTACTCTGTTAATTCTTATTCTAATTATTCTACTTTCTTTTTTAATGATTTATTTTCTAACTTATAATCATTTGCAACTATTTTTAATGCATGATATTATTATTTAACACTATCTAATTCTTGTTAATGATCTAAAAACTAAGGTTCAGGTTCTGATTATTGCTTAATTAGTTATTGTGGCTAAAATATTGTATTCTTTATTTTATACTTCTTATATTTCTTCAGCTTCTAATGTTGATAATCTCTCCTCAATTTATTCTTCAACATGTCTTTTTACTATTGTTTCTTTTTTTGATTCATTTCTTTTAAGAGTTGTTTGTTTTGTAGTTTAATTACTACCATATTAAGCTTATGATTGAGGCTATGACTTTTAAACAACTGCAGCTGTACTAGCACTTGTCTTTAACTTTTATTATTTAGGCTCATCTTTTGTTACTTTTGTAGATTTTCTGAAATATCAATCATTATTTTACTTATTTACATCCCTTGTAATTATTGTCTTTTTTAAATGATTTCCTGTTATGAATAAACCAAAACCATCAGGACAAGTAAAATATTCCTTCCCTTATAGTGTACCATTATGAGACCCAAGTTTATTCTGTATATTTAATTAATTTAAATTACTTCCAACTGAATACCATAGTATGTGCCTGATCTGCCCTCTAATTCTCCTATATATTTGATGTATCCTTTTTCATTTCTTATAGGATCCTTTAATATTGTCACATAATCTCCTTCCTGCAATTATTCCATTTTATTAATTAATATAACAATTATTATATAAAAAAACACTTAATTGCTTTAAAATTCACTCTTCAAATTTGGAAATTTTGAGCTTACTTCTATATTCTTCTATGAATGATCAAAAGTTAAATTGAATTTGAATAATATTCAATATAAAATATTTTTGTATAAATTTTTAGATCAAGTAATGAGATACTTAATAATATTTATTTCAACTATGAATTATTTAGAAATAATCTGTAAAATATATAACTCTTCTAATATTTTCCTTATGAATTATTTAAACTTATTAAAAATTAATTTTTATTTTGAAAATCTTAATCCTTTCCTCTTTATTGTTTTTAATATAATGAATTTTAGACTATTAAAAAATTATCATAATAATAATTTAACATCTAAATCTTCAATTTTGAAAGAATAAATTTATTGAAATCATTTTATTAAATAAACTTTTGAAGTAAAATTTAGAAATTCTAAATACAGTAATTATTAAAATTATATTTACATTAGATAATAAATAAATAATATTTTTTCATTAAAATATTTATTATTAGAGGGCATAATGTTTTAAATTTAATTAGTTTTATAAATCTCTGACTCTTTATTGATAGTCATGTCTTAGTTCATCTGGAACTATATAATCAACACCCTGTCTCTCCTAACCTATTATTATCTTTTAATTTAAATTACCACTTAAGACATTAAAGCCACAATTAGCTCTTGTATCTAAATTTTTTGCTCTTACAAATTTTCTCACTTAATGCTATTCGTCATATCTTTTTAATGCTTAACCAGCCTCATTTTAGGCATACTCCAAAGTAATAGGATTATAAGCCAATCCATTTGTGTTTCTTTTGCCTCTTGTAAATTGTTCAGAATGATACTGTCTTCTTTGTTCATCCTATTATAATAAATCCAATAATTTACTTTAAGTAAATATTCTTCATTACGCTACCATAGTATACCATCTCTTTATAGATTTGCTAATCTCCTTGATTCGTAGGATAATTATTTTAGTTTGTATTACATTTCTCTTTGTTATTTATCTTCGGCTGCGAAATCTTTTGCAAATCTATCTCGTTCTGTTTTTTTCATATAATAAACATACCTGCCTGAAAAAGAGTGGTATCAGGCATTGGACTATGCAAAAGACTTTTCATATCATCTTTCTATGAATCTAGATTATAATTTTATTGATTACAGTTCTATTAAATTCTAGGTCCTGCAGATTTGATTTCTATTTCTTTTTGATATTCCTAGTATAATTGATTAATGTACTCTTTCAGCTCTGGTTCTGGGTTGTTAATTAATAATCCCATTATTGTATACAATCTTAGGTTTTTATGGTGTATAAATGCCTGAACCATAAGTAAACGAGGTTGGTTAATATTGTTCAATAGGGTTATAATCTTGTTGTTTAGCAAATAACATTAATAATAAATTTATATTAATTATCAATCAAACTTTTTTTAAGCTAAATAATAGGTTTCGAATGATTCCCCAGGATTCAAATGAATCGATTTATTTTCTTCTGGTAATTCCATACTTGCTTATTAGAAAGTATCAAAGGACTATCCTAATTTAGAAGCATTAGAAAATGTTCCTAAAATATTAATAAAACAATTACCAGGAGATTTATTTGGACTTAATCTTGTTCTAATAGTACCAACTTTTTTATTCTTTTTATCAGATTTATTTTTTTATTATTCTAAATTCTAACATTATTCTTATAAATCACTTTTCTAATATTTCAATTCATCCTTTTCAATGTTCCATTTAGCCCTTTCTTTTTCATGTTCAAATACCATATTAGATCTTCTAATTTCAGCATCTTTTAATTTTTCTTCTGCTTCACTTAATTTAGCTCTCCAAATCTACCTTTCCTCAGTATGATTTAAGTATAATTCTTCAATTTTAGTTTCATATTATAATTTAATTTATTCAATCTAATTTTCATAAAGTGAAGAAATATCACTAAAATCACCTTTATGATAATTTTAATTTGACATATTAATTAATGTTAATTCTTTTTGTAATTATTCAATCTTCATTGCATATTCATTAACAATTGCTTAATGATGCTCTGTAAGATCTAAAACTTACAATTAATACTTTTTTTCTAATGTTACTAACATTTCAGATATAGAATTACTCTCCTCTTCTAAATCTTATTATCTAGCTTTTTAAAGATGATTAATAGTGAATTCAAACTTTCTCATTGCTTCTTATAAATCTTATTTTGATTAATCTTTTTATTATTACAAGAATTTGAATTTGCCTTCCCATAGTAAGGTATCTCTTTCATGTAATGATTTCAATTCTTATAATTCATTTTACAAATTTTCATTTTATTATTTTAATTAAGTATTGAGTTAAGTATTTGATGATACAATATTTTATGGAACTGGAAGATTAGTATTTTTTTATTGTTAATTATTTTATTCTTCTTATAATTATGTTTTTAATTATTCAACTTATTGTTATAAATCAATAACAATTTTATTATTATTAATTTCTTATTCTTTATATTATTATCTTAATTTTTCATATTTTTATTATTATTCTTTAAGATCTGTTTCTAGTGTTAATTAAGCTACATTACTTTCAATTTTAATTAATTATGTAAAGTTTTTTGATTCATAACTTTATAATTGATTTTATAATTATTCTAATTTATGTAAATTGAATTCATTTTCTTAAGTAATTAAAGCCAATTATTTTTCATATTCAACTTTCATTTTAATACTTTCATCTTATGAATCTTCTAGTTATTTTTTTAATTCTATAATTTATTCTGTGAGTTTTTATTTTTCTTAAGAATTATTCTATTTAATCTTTTCTATTTAATCTTATTTATTATTATTTAATGAATCATATTATCCTTATTATTTTAATGTATTTAATTCTTCTTCTTTTATTTAATTGATTTATTGTAAATCTTGCAATTATTTTTATAAATTCAATTAATCATCCTAAAATTATTGAATAGATATTTTCAAAGAATTGTTAACTTATTCTAAAGATAATATTTATTTTTATTTCAAATCATTTTCATTTTACCAATGTTATGATAATTGTTGTAATTATATATCATTTTATTTTAACTTTTTCTATAATTTCTTAATTTCTTCATCTTAATTATTATCATATTGGTTTTCTAATTCTTCAACCATTTAATTATATTTTTCTTCCATAGTCTTTCTATCTTCCATAAATTTTTATTCAATTTTTTATCTCTCTTAATCATACATTAATCTCAATTACGCTATTTGTTCTTCATTTTTATTCTATAATAATCGATATTCATTTATATTTTATCTTTTTAATTCCTCAATTTCTTATTAATGATTCTTTGTTTTTACAATCAATTTTTCTTCTAATTCTCTTTAAATTCTTGTCTTTTATTATTCTAATAATTAAAATTCTCTATTCAATCTTTAAATGTTATCTTCATAATTAAGAATCTAAGTCTTAGTTTACTATAATTCTCTTGTAAAATCATTTTATTGATATAATAATTAACTTTCAGTTTTATTTAATTCTGTATTCAAATATTCAATTTATTATTACATTTTTCTTCTTTATATTTCAAATTCTTATTCTAATTATTTCATTTCATTTAAATGCATATCTTTCATTTCCATATATTATTTTGAAAATACTTAACTTTTATTAACATCATTTTAACTTTCAAATAAACTTAATGTTTATTCATGATTCTTTTTTTCAAGTTTTAATTATTCAGTAAGATCTTTTAGTTATATTTCTAAAAACTATTTCTCTTGAGCAATTAATGCTTATTCTCTTTCTAAACTAGATTTTAATTATATTAATTATGATGTCTTTTCTTTCAATTATGTTTCTTAAGATTCAATAATCTCTTTCAATCTTTCAATTTATTTTTCATTTTCTTCATTATTTGAATTATCAATTTAAGGCAATTAAACTACTGAATTCTTCAATAGTTAGATTTATTATTAATATTCATATATTTTATTTTCTTTACTTTATAATTTAAATTAAGCTTAAGTATTTTATTATTCTAAATTATTTAATTAATCTTGTAGTTATTAAGTTTTATCAGTTTATGCTAATAATCTCTCTTATAATTAAGTAATCATTTATTCATATTTTGATTAAACATCTCTAATTTAAATAGTATACTCTGATTTAGTTGAAAGAAATGATGAATCCATTTATGTTTCTTTTCTTTAACTTTGTTCTAATTATTTTGATAGATGTTAAATTTTTTATTCATTAAGTGCTTTCATTTTATTAAATTCTGATTCTTTTAAATAAAGATTTCTTTCAAATTATTTAAATTGTTATTAATGTAGTTCTTTTTATTTAATTAATTCAGCTTATAAAATTTCTAATTATTTATCTGAAGAAAATAATTATTCCTCTAATAATTTAATTTATGATTATTATGAATAAATTTTATTTTCTTATTCTTTAACTTTACAAATTAGTTCATTAATAGTTTTATCTTTTTCTGTAGTAATATTTTCATTCTTGATTTAAAGAGGTTATTATTATTATTATTATTATTATTATTAATTTTATTATTTAATGAACATATTTGTACCTTCTGTCATCATTTTATTATAAAATTCTTAATAAACTTATTATTTTAATACAGTTTTTGGTCCATGTTCTAATAAAAATTAATAAAATAATTTGATATCTCTCTCAAATTCTAAAATACTTCGATATTCTGTTAATCTTTTTTATAAAGTTTAAAATTCTTAATTGATAAATTAATTGCATAAATTAGTTGCTTCTTATTCATTTCTTTTACAAATTTCTTTAAATGTTTCTTTACACATTTAATGTAAATCATCATTTAAATCTTTATCATTAATTTTAGATTTCAAATATTCCAAAGCCTTAAGTTCTGAATCCTTATGATGATTTTTTAATTCTTCAAAAGAACATGTTGGCAATTTTAGTTATGTAATTGATAATTCATATTTTTTAAATGCTTCATTCAATAATACTGTAGATTATCTATCTACAATTGTTTCAGTTATTTATCTTAAATCAACAGTTTAATTGCTATTGAATTTAGAAACTACCATTTAAATCATATCAACTAAAAGTGGACCATTCAAATAGATATTTTAATAAATTTTCTTTGGTTTTGCATAATTAAGAACTTTTCTCCTTAATAATGCCATTGAATCTATAAACTCAATACTTTCACTTGATGATGGTATTGTAACACAATCTGAAAATAATTTAAGTAGATGTTTCTTCACTCTATTTTATGATTTAAACTATCTTTCAAGTAATTCCTTAGGCTAAAGAGCATCTTTATTTTGTATATCTCTTAAAACCCAAATAAAAGGAGGTAGAAAGTCTTCATAATCTTCTAGATTAATCAATAGTTCAAAATCTTCAACTGAATAACCTAAGAAATTATAATGATTAATTATTACCACAGTAGATTACTACACTTGATAATAGAGAAGCAAGTAAGATTATTTGTATGTCTTTTCTTTAATCACCACAACCCAAACCTTCTGTATCTATAATCAATTAACCATCATATGTAAAATAGAATCCCTTGAGTTTATTATGATAGTTACTTTGGTGCTAGATTGAAAACCTTAACCCTGCATAAACAACTTATTCAATAACCAACTTTTGCCTGATTTTTGAGATCCAATAATGCAAATAATATTTAGATTGTTTTGTATTTATTGCAACTTCTAACAGGCTAATTTGTTAAGAATGATCTCCAAAGTGTTATTGAATCCATCAAAACTTAATAGTTAATAAATATCCATGAAGTTGAGATAATATTTGAATTTAAATTAATTATCAGAAAAAATACCAATTTTTGAATAATATTAGTTGAACATATTCATGAATATTATTATTCATAATCATTTTACTTATTACCACTCTGGTTTATACTCTATGTATTACCATTCAGATAATCTAGAAAATAAAAATTTTATTTACTCCATAACTATTCCAAATTTGAACTATTTTATAAAAAATTGATTAATTCTTATTTAGGTGATTTCTAAAATGAATAAACATTCATACTTTAATATTTTCGAGAATTGTACGATATTTTTTTTTATATACAAATCCCATATTTGAATCACATGATCTAATCCTACTTTCAATATCTTCACTTATTCTTTTTGGAATAATTTAATCAGTATATTCAGAAATAGTTTCAGATATTTTTTAAACAACCTTGTTTTTTTATAAAGGATTGGGAACATCTTAACTTTGTTTTCTAAGTTTTTTAGGTGATTAATTTTATGTAATTTTTTTTCTTATTATAGGTTTAGTAATAGGAATCTATCTCTAATATTTTCCTTTTTTCACAGATACTTCACTGGATTCATCCTCTTCGCTTTCTCCATCACTTTCTCCAGAATCTGAATCCTCACTATCATCTTCAGCTATTTATTTTATTATTTTATTTTATACAATCCAAAATGAAATTAGGTTAATTTTACAACTTTTCTAATAATTTTTAGGTGATCTTTTTTTAACCTGATACTTAATGTAATTACTGGATGATTTCGGTTGGGTCAAAATACTATAAAAAACTAGATTTTTCATTTCTGTATTACCGTTCTCAATACGATTGATTTTAATTTCTCAAGGAATTGTGTAAAATCTACTTAAGCTTAAGAAAGATTCTTTTTATCTGTTAATCTTGCTTGTATTTCCATTAACAATTTTCCATTTGGACCTTATAAAATTTCCATTATGTCAGGTCTATCTAAATCTACAATTTGAATAAGCTATTATTTTTAATTATTTATTATACACTTGATATTTTAGTTTCTATTTAAAGTGGATTCAATTTAGTTTCAGTCATCAATTTCAATAACTCTTAAATCTCTGAACTAAAATTATCAGGTTTTGTGCTATCTTCTGAATCCATTTTAGATTTTCTAGATGATCCATAAATTCCACTTTGTTCCTCACTTGAAGAAGATCTTGTTCTCTTTTTTTTACTGACTGTTTTGGTGAAATTCTTTTTCTTAGATATTTTTTTTGATTCAACTAATATCAAAATTTAAATACTTTCATATGTTGACTATCCTTTCAAAATCTAATCTGCTGCTGTTACTGAATCTTTATGTTGCTTAGTCTTTATTTTTTAAACTATTTCCTCATACTTCTCCTAATATTTGGCAAGACTTTAAAAAGGTAATGTGGAACTTCTATTCAAAGGTTAATCATACTGTGAGTTATCTCCAATGAAATTTACAAGATATTTAGTAGGTTCCGATGACTATTTATCTTTTATCACTTCAGCTATAATTCCAGGCCACCAGGGGTCTCAAATAATATATACCACTTACATCCTCTTATTTTTGCCCAGACTATCTCATCCTTACTGTAACTCTCAGGTATTTCAGAATCCATTTTGTATTATAATTTAAAATATTTATATATATTTATATATTATCATTTATCACCAATTAATCAAGCTTAATAATGCATTCTCACAACTCTAGCTTATTCCTAAAATATTGATATAAATTTACCTTAATCTAATTAATTAATTCAATATTTGGAGGACTAGCCAATTAGGATATTTACTATTAATAATTTGTATTTAAAAGATTCTATAATTTTGGATCTACGTTTTGCTATAGGTAAAGTTGAGGTAATGCACTACTAATATAAACCAAATCTAATGGATTCATTTACTAATGAGATTATCCACCCATATAGATTTTAGAAGTTCTTCGATCTATATTAAATATAAATCCTAAAATACCTTAAGTGGCTAACATATCTGTTCCATGCACTTCCTAAATACTAGATTGTGCAATTAGTTTATTTTACAAATATCCTGCAATCATTAATTATCTCAATATTTTTATGATTATAACAAATAATTAAACATTCAAAATAAATTTTGTGTGAATGTGCTGCTCTATTATCCTTATTAAACTTGCTCATTTTACTCTGTTTGCATTCCAACTCCACCTTACTATTGTTGAATCAAAGACTCAAACATAAACTATTAATTGGTTGGTGGAACATAAAGTTAGGTTAATTATCCTTCCCAATCTATAGGAAATTTTGTTATTCGAGGATTACTTCCCATTATTTATCGATAAACTCTATCTATTAATACTACTTATGGCTCATTTTCAATCAATTCTGCCTCTGTATAATTATTATAGACATAATAACCAACTCTAAAAAATTCCTTTTACCTATATTTGGCGGTCAATATTAAGGCGGATACACTAAACAAATCTTCCTTTGATGGTATTAATTAGTAATTAGGAGGTTGACTGGTTATTGTGAACTACATTACTCCTCTTTACAATGGACCCATACTAAAATTATCTAAGACTTAGTCAAATTTCTCACTCAACGGAGATCCAATATAAATTAAACTGAATTAATTTTAATTTCTTACTTCCATTCTATTTCATCAGTTAAATCATTAAGAACTTCAAAGGTTATTTGCATAGATATGGGAGTTTAGAACAAAGCCAATTCATTTTCAAAGATTATGTTTGTTACTTCGACAAGCGCCATTTCCAATTTAAATATATTATATTATATTAATAATAAAAAAGGAATTTAATAATTGTTCACACTAATACTCTCTAATCACTTTCTAACTTAATTGCAATTATTTTTATTTTATAATAAACTTTTAAATTTCTTAATAAATTTTAAGATTCCTATTCAAAATAATCAAAATATCATTTTATTCACCCTTTCTAAAATTTAGATTATTATGAAATGTAATTTCAAATTGAAATAAGTAAAAATTCTATTAATTATAATTTTTTAGTATTAATACACATTTTCCAAATTTTTATTTAAAGGATCCAGTTCGATTAAAACATTTATCAATGTTACCATTATTGAAACTTTTATCTATTTGTTCCAAATTAACTTTTTTATTTATAATTTTTCAATCCTCTCCTTATTATTGTTTTTAAATACAATTTAAATTATTTTTGATTATGTGTTTCTAAATTAAATTGATAAATTATAAATTTTATGATATTCAAGACATACTTGAAGGATTATTTCATAATTTTTTCAATTATTTCTTTTTATTTTAACTTTTCCTTTACAAAAATAGAATAGAATAGGCATTATTCTAATATAAATTATTTAAAGATAGAAATTGTTTGCTATTCTCAGTCTAGTATTATTATTAGAATAAAATAAAATGATGAGATCTTTTACTTTACTAGAAAAATGAATAATTTCTATATTAAAGAAGTATATAATAATATAATATGTAGTTAATTAAATCAAATTTGATTCAAGATTGAAACTATAATGGTGATGCTACATTATTTTATATTGGTTAATTAAAAGGGCTTTCTTCATTTTCTAGATCTTTTTGTAATAATGTAATAAAGGTTTCTAATTTCCTTTTCTTGCGACCTTCAAGTTTATTAAGATATTATTAAGCAATTTTAATTCTTATAGCTTAATTTTAGTGTCCATTAGTAATTGCAGTTCTTTCTTTATTAAGGAAGGCTTCCAAATCCATATCTTAATTTTTTACTTCTTTTTCTAATGATGCAATTAGGTCTAGCAATTAAATAATCACTTCAGAATTTGACTTCAATTTGCAAACATTGTTTTTTTTAAATAAATCGAAAAGATTACGTTTTTTACTTGGAAATGCCTATTTAATTAGATTCCCATTAGATGGTAAAGGTTATTAGATCTACCTTTTAGGATTAATTTCAGTTTAATTAGGTTTAATATTCTCAAATTATGATCTTGTCCTTCTTAATTTGTCTTATTATTTAGGTAGATAGTACTTTCCTACTTTTGTATTTTCTTCTCCTTCAGTTGATTATTAACTAGAACTTGCAGGAGGTGGTTCTTATTTTTATTCTATTTTAATTTCACTCTTATATTCAATAAGTTTATTTTGTGGATTCTTTCCAGAACAACTTCTTTCTCTAAGAGTTGGTAGAGCAGATTTATCATTAGATTAATTTTGTCTATGAGTTGAAAATTTTGGACTAAAGATTTCATTAAATCCTGGATCTATGGGAATTTTCATTTATGGTTTAATTAAAGGATGTAGAAAGACTTCATTCCAACTAAATCTTTAAACTTCATCTTTATGTAAACATCCTTGAATAAAGCTGAGAGATTCTTTTGAGATTTTATTATTTTTTGGGAATGTCAATTTGCAGTTATTAATTCTATAAATCAACTCCATATAGTTTGTGGCCATCCATGGTAGAGTACCAAATAACATTTCATAAAATATTAGTCCTAATGACCATACATCACATTTTGAAGTATATTATTATTTTGTTAAGATTTAAGGTGCCATATAGAGAGGAGTTCCTACTAAAGATTCCATCACACATTCTGATGGTAATGGTCTTGAAAATCCAAAATCTCCTATTTTACATTAACCATCATGCATCAAAATGTTAGCTGGTTTAAGATCTCGATGTATAAAATTATTGCTAACTATTTCTTTTAGTCCATTTGCTATTTATTTAATCATTTTAATAGCTTGATCTTCTTCCAATATCTTTTTTTCTTATAAATACTATTTTAAATCAGGTCCATTACAATATTCTTATACCAAATATGTGTTATTTGGTGTAGAATATACTTCATATAATTCAACAATGTTGGAATGCTTTAATTTTTTCATAATTTCTATTTCCTTATGGAGTGATGAATATAATTAGGTATAGTTTTGAGTTTTGGAATGATCAATGACCTTTAGAGCAACTGGAAGTTCTATTTTTTATTAGAATATATTATACAAGTATTCATTTCTCTACCAAAGTAGACAGTTCCATAAGAGCCTTTACCAAGAATTGCCTTTAGACTGAAACCATAATTTGATATTTTCTTTTCTGGTTTCATGTTCATTATTTCTTGTCTGTTCATTTTTAGTTATTTAGTTATTTAATTAACTCGATAGACTACAGGAAATTAAATTTGTGAGATCACTTAAAATTAAGTTCAAAATTTTATTATAATTCACTCCATATATGTATTAATATAAAACTTTGATTACATAATATAAAAAAGCATTTAATATTGATTCTATATACTTAGGATAATAATAATGGAATAATATCCCTTCATTTAAACATCAAATACAGATAATGAATCCCTAATAACAGGTCTAATATTTATTGCACTTACAACCATTTTAGGAGTAATTGCATTTTTGTAAACATTTTTTGAACATAAACATTACAATTTACTTAGAGAAGCTTCAGTTGCCATCATAATAGGAATTTTCATAGGTGTCATTACTGAGTTTAAAGTTTTATAGAATGTTAAATATGAAAATTCATCTGAAATATTTTTTTTTGTTTTGCTACCAATAATAGTTTTTAAGGAAGGATACAATTTAAATAAATAACACTTTATGAAGAACTTCTTCTATGTAATATTATATGGTATTTTTGGAACTATTTTCAATTTTATCATTTTGGGAGCATTAACTTACTCTATAACAAACTCAAGTAATATTTTAGGTTATTCTAGAAACATTTTGGGTTCCACCTAATCCTAATAACTAAAATGATACTTCTAGTAATTCTACATATGCATAGATTTTTTATGCTTCTTGTATTTCATCAAAAGATAGTGCTGTGTCATTAAGTGTTTTAGAGTTTGAGCATGCACCTAAATTACATAGTATTATTTTTGGTGAGCAAATTTTAAATGATGTTGTGGTGTTTGCAATAAGTAAGACTGTAGAAAAATTTCATACAGAATACAAAGAGGATGATTGGGAATGGTATAGTGTATTCATATTTATTGGATGGATTCTTGCAAACTTAATTGTTGGCTTAGTTGTAGGTGTTATAGTAGGCAGTATAGCAACATGGATTACCAAGGAATCAAGATTTTTATCTGAATAATCCTCTGTCGTTACTGCCTTTACTATATATATATCATACTTCTCATTTTGTGTTTGTGAAGCTATAGGATTTTGTGGAGTATTAGCAGTTCTAATTTGTGGTATTATGTTATCACATTACTAAACTTACAATTTACCCAAAATTTCTGCTACTTCTTCTAAAATTACAATTAAAGCACTTGCTTATATTAGTGAAACAGTTATTTACTTTTATATTGGATATATGGTTACCGAAAATGTCATAGTTAAAAACTCAAATGATTATGATCAAAAAGCATAAGTTTATTCATTTCTATTTCTTCAATACTTTGTGTTTTCTCCAATAGCTAGAATAACATCTATGTTGTTAGCTCATGGTTTTGCAATTATGTACTATCTTTATATATTTCTTTATTAGTTTACGTTTGAAAACAAAAGGACCATGGAGAATCAATAAGTATGAATTTTTTATCCTTTTTTATTCTGGATTAATTAAAGGGGTTGTAGCTTATGCATTAATTTGTGAATAGGAAGTAGGAGGGGAGGACTATTACACAATTATCTAAACTACTTCTTTATATATGGTTGTACTTACAACGTTAATTAATGGAGGAACTTTGAAATACATTTGTGAATGGGCGTATAAATAAATGGAAAAAGATTCTTCTGTTTATTATTCAAGAGCTTAATCTGTTTAATCATAAGCTATTAGATAAACATTTATTTAAGAAGATTTGACTGATTATAAAAAACTCAAACATAAAAGTGAAAAGTTTTTCAAGGGTTTCGATGAGAAATACATCAAACCATTTCTGATATATAATTATATTGAAAGAAAAGCAGATATAATAATAGCCAAGAAATTAGAAAAAAATAAGAATAAATATGAAAAAGAATAAGACTTTAAGATGTATGATGATAGTGTTAGATAATAAAGAGAAGAATTGGAATTGCATAAATAAAAAAGAAACGATTTAACATAAATTGATTTCGATCAATCTGATTCAGATGATGAATAAGATTAACCTAAAAATGGAAAAAAACATACTCCCCCTTAAGGTGAACTTTCTGAACTTAAACTAAGTAAGTAAAGTAATGGAGATTACAAACATGATTGAACAAATCATATTATAAAAGTAATTTATAAGTACTTTATTAATTAATTATATATAAACAATAATTAAATATCAATAAATTGTGAGTTTGCATTCTTCTAATTAAGTAGATTCCCCTTTTTTAATTGAAATTACTTAACAGTATCCTACATCATTTGTTTACTAATTGAAATATTCTAAAATAGATTTTAATGGTCTCTGATGAGTCACTAAAATTATACATTAATCATCCTCTATCTTTTCAAGTAGTTTTTAAACATAACTTATTATTCTGTTATTAACATCCTCTAATTCTTCAGGATATATATTATCTTCTTTCATTTATTAATCAATTAATGTTATTTGAGAGAAATAAGAGAGTGTTCTATTTTTATTAACTACTAATCTAGGTAATGGATTGCTCGAGAAGAAATAAGGATATAAAGTTTCACAAATTTCTGTATTTATTGAAACCTCTTCTTATTTAATTTAATGTGCTATGTTTTTAGCAGTCATTATGCATCTTAAAAATGGAGATGATTAGATATTAATTAATCTGTATTCTTCAATTTCTTCAAGAATCAATTTCCCTGCTTATTTAGCTTATTCACACCCTTTTGGAGTAAGATGAGGATCATGTGAATTTAATATCTTTTAGCATTCGATTTCGCATTGGTCAGCTCTTTCGCCATGTCTTACTAAAACTATCATTATTAATTTAATTATTGTTTTTAAAAATAACTCAAATTAGATAAATATTGGCTAAAATCTGTTATAAATCTATTATTAATCATAATTAAATATTAATTAACTATAAATATTTTATAATATTTAGTGATAAGTTGAATAAGCAAACTGGCAAAATTAATTTATTTTATAAAATACTGATGTCAATCTTAGACCATTGATCTAAATTTATCTAGATATTAATTATTTATAAAAATAAATTTAGAGTTTAAACTTTTTTATAATATTTTCGAATTTCCTATTATATACTTGTATGTTCAATAATTTATACTTTATACTCTGCAATGATAATAAATTTTTAATCCATTTTGCTTTGAATTATCAAATAGTGATATTGATTTTTTATTAATTCATTTACCAAATAATCAATCTAGATTATAAGAGCTCTATTAATTTTTTATTGTTTAAGGGGCACTTTTAATTAAACCTTATTGGAATTGAGCAATAATCATTATTTTTAAGTTACTATAAATATCTATTTATATATTATTTTTTTATAGTTATATATATATATTTAAATACATTAATTGTTAGTTTTAAGAATTCATCTCACCCATTATATTTAATTGAAAATGGTTTATGATACCTATATATTCTTTTATATATTTTTAACCGTAATTATTAGATAATATAGGAGTATTTAAAGTAATCTGAGAGTACTCTAAATAAATCCAATAATTTTGATATCGAAAATTATTAGTATGTTTAGATCTAATTTATTGTATATATTTTGTTTATAAGAATTAGATTTATAAATTGTTTCTATATGATTTTTATTTATCTAAAATAAAATTAATATTGAATAATAATTCATAGTAGTAATTAGTATATTAATATGTAAAATTATTTAAATTTTATTTAGATGTCTTTTAATTGTCTTAATTTATCTTGTTTGTTGTATGTCTATTATGATATTTAATGATTTTCATCATTTATACTTAATTCCAAATATAAAAATATATCAAATAATTTTCAACAATCATTATATAGTATGACTGAGATAGGGAATTATTTAATAGGTAGTGGAACCATATATATTTTGTTATAGGAAAGACTATTGGACAAGGCACTTTTAGCAAAGTTTGTTAAGCAATCAATCAAGTGATAGGTCATGAAGCAGCAGTAAAGGTTCTTGAAAAGAAATGTATCGATTAAGAAGGAGATGTAGAGCGAGTGAAAAGAGAGATTCAAATATTGAAACTCCTTCATCATCCTTAAATAGTGAAACTTTACGAGGTTAAAATTTAGCATAGAGTAATCCATAGGTAATTGAGACAGAAAACCATATCTATTTATTCATGGAGTATGCAAATGGTGGAGAACTGTTTGATTATATTGACAGAGTTAAATAGTAAGATAATTCATTTTAAATGAGTAGAATAACAGAATATGAAGCATGTAAATTCTTTCATTAGATAATTTCTGGATTAGAATACATGCATAGTCAAAAGATTATTCATAGAGATTTAAAACCAGAGAACTTATTGTTAACAAGTGATAGAGACATCCTAATTGCTGATTTTGGTTTAAGCAACCTTTAAAAAGATATACTTAAAACTTGTTGTGGAAGTCCTTGTTATGCAGCTCCAGAAATGATAAAAGGAGAACCTTATGATGGATAAATGACAGATATATGGAGTTGTGGAATTATATTATTTGCCATGATATGTGGTTATTTACCATTTGATGATCTAAATACATAAAATCTATATTAGAAGATCATTAATGCAGAGTTCACATTTCCAAAACATATTTCAATAGATGCCAAAGATCTATTAAAGAGAATTTTAGTGGTTGATCCATAAAAAAGATATTCAATTTAGTAAATAAAAAGACATAAATGGTGGCAATTATGGAAAAGAGATGTCTAATATTTCGATATCATTAGAATCCGTCTATGTCAGTATTTAAGGCCAGATGTATTACAATTCCTTGTTAATTTCTACCAAATAGTCCTTATAATGAAGAAATACCAAACTTACCTAAATATTCTCCAAGGAATGCTAAATCACCATATGTAAGATCTCCAATTACAAAGTCTCCAAATACTAGATCTACTACATCTAAATTATCAAATTGTACATATAAATAGGTTTATGATAACATTAAAATGAGATAAACACCATCTAAATCATTATATGAATCTACAAACATTAATAATATTAAAAGTAATCATAATACAAATATTAATACTAATACTAATAAATAAAATATCTTTATTAAATAATCAAATCAATATACTTTTTATAATAAACACAAGAGACAGTCTTCTGGATAATATTCAACTTTAATGAAAAATACTTAGTTCTAAAAAGTTGTTTAGAGTATACATGAGAATAAAAATTAAAAAATATTGTCTAATACAACTCCTTTTAAAAATTCTACTAAACATTGTTATTCCCATATTAGAAAGATTAGTGATTTAGAAAAATCTAAATTATAAAATTCTTTAAAAATAGATGAATCATAATCTACTTAAAATATTCTTTAAAGATTTACTTCTGGTTTAAATAGTTTGGTTAATTCTCCAAGATAACCAATTAATATTAGAGGAATAGAATAACATACTGGTCCATATCATTTATCTTTAATAACCAAAAAACATCCTTAATTATTTATTGATATGATTCATAATTATTTGAAAATGAATTTCCAAATAATTATTTATGAGAATTATTCAATCACATTAAAATTAAATAATGAACAATTACTTGAACTTAGATTAAAAAGAATAGAATAAATAGATGTATATTATTTAGATATTATCTAATAAAATTATAACTTTTCAGAGATCTAATAATTTATAAAGGATTTATAATTCCATATTAAATTTTGAAAATTACAACTAAAAAAACAAATTATGATGACATCATTTAAATTATATTATATATATACTATTGATTAATTATAATTAATGAATTACTGTTATCTTATATTTAAATAATAAAACAATATTGAGATAAATACATCCTTTATTTATTTAAAACAAATAAATTTTCTTGAAATTTATATAATTTAAACATTATGTTTAAAATTACATAGACTTAAATTTTGGAATGGGTTAAAGATGGTAATACTGAAACCTTGCGTATATTTTTTGAATCAAGTCTTTAATAAAATTAGGATGGATTGAATTCATTTTTCAAAATGATTGACAAAGAAAAACGAAATGTAGTCCATTGGGCTGCATATTTGGGATAATTTGCTTTGCTAGAAAAATGGCTTACATCTTATTCATAATTTATTGACTTAAATCAAGTTGATCTACATCATTACACAGCAGTCGAACTTGCTAGCATAAAAGGGTAAGTAATATTATATCTAATTAAAGTTTTATGAAGGAATATAATTCTTAAGTTTAGTTTAGATTAATTAAGTTGCTTTTGGATCATAATGCAAAAATGCCCACAGATAACAAATACAAAAGAGCCAATCCATTACATTGGGCATATTATTATGGCAACTCAGATCTAATTGATTTTCTTTTGTCTAATTATACAGATCTATAATATCAGTTGGACTAATTTGATATGTATCCTATAGATTACTTGTTTTTAGAAAATAGACCAGAAGAATATCAGTAATTGCAATTCAAAATTATTATAGGAAAAAATATAAAGCCATATTTGTTAAGACTGTCTAAGAATATGCTTTTAAAAAAGATGGTCATTAATTCAAATTTCTTAGGAATCTCAATACTCAAAGAACTATTGCATAACTATCTATATCTTAGAAATCAAATAATTTGGATAATCCAATTATGATTAATGATCAAAATTAACTCAAATTAAAAGAACCAGCAAATGAATTAGATAGTGTAGATTAAGAAAAAATTAATTAACATCTTCAATGTGGATAAACAACTATGACATTAATGTCAAAAATATAATAAACAGGTACTAATAATTAGAAGAGAGATTCAATCAGTTCTAGAATTAGTTAATAGTTTAAATTAATCTAAGAGAGAATGAAGAAATTACCTAATAAGAATGTCTAAAATGAACTCCCTTTTGAAGATTCTTAATAAGATTTTCATGAGCCAGATGCAGAAAAGATTCCCTCTTTGAAAATTATTTAACCAACTAATACTATATTTTCAGAGCCACATTATAACATTAAAGAAAAGATTGAAAATCCAATTGCTTTTTAAAATGATTTAGAAAGTGAAAGAAATTAATAAAAAGTCTTTTTATAATAAGATGATGAATTTGGTAGATTATTTAAATGTAATAATATACCATCAAGATCTGAATAATCAAAATATATGGCTTCACAATATTAATAATCATAAGCACCTTCTTAATTTGGTAGATAACTATCCTAAGAAATTTAATTATCTTAAGAAGATTTTAGACCTTCAATAAAGGACATTTCAAGATTAAAATCAATGAGACCTTCATTAAAAAAACCTGGATAAAAGTTGATTACAAGAAAAAGTACAACTTTTAATGAAACTTATACTATATATCATTATGCAAAAAGTTAAACAAAGAATTAATTATTTGAATGTAGATTATAATTTTGGTCAGCAAGAATTGAATCAACAGAATTTTTTGTTTATTTTTTAAAGTAAAAATGCAATCCATTTTTAATTTAATATTAAGGATTTAATTGTCTACATATTGCAGCTAATAAAGGAAAATATCAAATTCTGAAACATATTTTAGAAAGTGAATATGAGTATTAAGAATTAAAAGATTTATTAAAATTACATAGGTCAATAACTTAAGGATAATTTAGTAAGACATATGTTAAGAAAGATATTTTTAATAAAGTATTAATATAATAATTATTATTAGGTTGAAGCTTTTAATATAATGACAGATTAGAATCCTTCTAATGCATTGCATTTAGCAATTGAAATTAATAATTTTGAATGCATGAAAATATTAGTTGAACATGGTGTTTCAATGGATGTTTTAAATCATAGATGTTTAATGCCTATAGAATTAACATTTGATGAAAAAATGGTAAAATACTATGAACTTCACTATCTTAAAGGAAAAGAACAGAGTTTTAATTTTATGGGATATATGTATGTAATTTAAACATCTGGGAGTCAAGATTTATGCTAAGATATTGTTTTATTGTAATTATAAAATATCAAACAATCATTCTAATAACGAAATATGGAATTTGAATTTCTTATTATAAATACTCCTAATTATAATTATATAAAAAATGGAAGAGAACATTGTGTGAAACATCATTATTATGTAATTAAATTATCAGCAGATACAATATATAAATTAGCAGATATCTTTTAGATTGAATGTTATCATTTTACAAAAAAGGTAATATTCAATTGAATTAATATAGCATTTGACTAAATTTAAATATAGAGATTATGGTCATTTTGAATTTCCTAAGCCATTATAAATATAATAACTTATAATTAATGTTTTAAATGAAGAATTTGATTTAGATAAGTTTGTTTTAGAAGGATTAGTAATATCACATTTTCCTTTAGAAGATAGTTCGAAATCATAAAAAGTAAATGTTTTATGGAAGGAACTTCAATATAATTGTATAAGAGATACTATTAGAATATAGACTCATTAGATTGCCTTAAGACCATTAAATTCAATAGCATCATATTATGGACCTGTTATTGCATGGTACATAGCTTTTAATGTTTAAATAGTAGGTTGGCTAATATTACCAGCTTTGGTAGGATCAGCTATTCAATTATATTAATTAATTGCTGACTAAATACAGTAATATATATATATCTCAATATTAAAGTGCTTCAATTTTACCATCATATGCTTTGTTTATGTCACTTTGGGCTACATTATTTATGGAGAAATGGAAGAACAGAGAATCTGAACTCAAATATATTTGGGATATGCATAAGTTTAAACAACAAGAACCTTAAAGAGTCATGTATACAGGACTTTATACAGTTGAACCATGTAAAAATAAAGTTGAAGTTTATGACTCTTTTACTACTTTTAAGAGAAGATTGATAGCTGAATTTTCAGTAATAATGTTAGGATTTTCAATTATATTAGTGAGTTTTCTTGCATTTAATTAATGGTAGGGTTAATAAGATCCTTAAAGTGTGTATATGCCTATAATTATAAATTCATTGAATGGAGTTAGTATGACAGTTTTATGTGATTTATATAAAAGACTTTGTAAATTTGTGGTAAATTGGGAAAATCATAGATTTAATTCTGAAATGTAGCATTCTTATGTATTAAAAGTGTTTTTATTTGAATTTTTAATATCTTACATTTCAGTAGTTTATGCTGTTTTATTTAAAACAGATTAGACATAATTAACATTATCTGTGGCAAGTATCATTATAACAAGAGGTTTGATTTCTAATTTATAAAGTAATTGTCAACCATATTTATTATATAAATATTTAAAATGGGGATTAAAAGATAAATTTGAAACATTTAAGGCTTTCAAGGAATAATTTAAGATTTGTGATATGTAGTATGTGAATGAGAAATTGAAATAAGCTTAATAGATTGAATTTATGAAATTGATGGAAGATAGTAATAATAAATAGCCATAAAAAGAATTATATGAGGAATATACAAATATTGCTATTCAATTTGGATATACAACTATGTTTTCACCTGCATTTGCTGCTGCCCCATTATTTTTTTTATTGAATCAATTTATCAATTTGCAATTCTCAATTTCAAATTATTAAAGTGTTCTAAAGAGAGAAGTAAGATTTTTAAATACTAAAGAGAGCGTAAGCTGCTGACTCAATTGGCATTTGGTTGTCCATATTTGAATTAATGAATTATTGTTCCACATTTATGAATTGTCTTGTTATAGGTATAGTGAATAAGGCTGAATTTGAAGGATTAATAGGAGATAGTAATCCTTTGATCTAAGTATTAGTATTGGCAGCTATAGAACATATATTATTATTAATAAAATATTTATTAGGAATAATGATTCCAGATTGTCCTTATTGGGTTTCAAAGGAGTTAAGAAAGTATGCATATTTTGAAGGATAAAGTGCTAAAATTCATGATGATAGCGAGATTATTTTTTGATTTTAATTGATTTATTTTGTATATAATGAAAAGGAGAAGTGCAGCAATTTCCAGTTTATCAGGATCTCCAAAACGTTAATTATCATAAATGAGTATACATGGTATCACTTATGTTTATTTAAGATTTTCCAAATTTGGAATTATTATCTTAAAATTATGAAGATGATTAACTTGGAATTATGTTATCTGAAAGTGTTATTGTTAGTAGATTCATCTGTCGATAGATTATCTAAAAAGCAAGTGATATAATTTAAGAGAATTATGTATTGAATTAATTGATTCCTTTTGGATGTTAATGGACAGAATAATTTGCTAATTTGATAATCACAGATATAACAGAGGATATGAATTAAATTGAATCAAATTAAGATGAAGTTGAACCTAAACCATGTCCAATAGAACATTGGAGAAGAATGATTGGATAAATGTTGAGTCCCAAAAGAACTTAAATTGAAAATAGATCTTTCAGAAGAGAATCTAAATTATAAGGTACTGAAATTACTAAAGTTGACAATCAAAGATTTGATACTTAACCAGTTAAAATGGGAGATTTAGATGATGATTTAGATTTTGATACAGAGATAGAATCTATGCGTCAAGCTAAAGCTAGATAGATATTTAATTTGCAATAAAAACAGATGCAAGATCTAATTAAAAAGCAAGAGTACCATGAAATGAATAGACAACTTAAAAGATTAAATGTTGATTCTAAATGTATTAATCAACTTACGTAGCCAAATACACTTACGATTTTGAGGGTAGAGTCTTAGTTTAGAAGCCACCAGATGTTGAACGCTATCCAAGGACTTATTAAGATATCCAAGAAAAAAGAGTCCTATTAGAAGTTAAAGACCTTTTCCCTCATCATAAAAAATAATTAGAATCAATTAATAATCACAAAAAGAAAACTATTGAATAATGTAATCCTTCAACATTATCTAATCGTTTTAGTACATCATAAATTGATATAATATAATTAAAACAAGGAGTTGCTTTTATAGAAGGCAAAAATGAAAAAAGAAATGATCGTCAACATTCTTTAGTTGATATCAAAGATCCTAAAGAATTGTAAAAAACTTTATCTTAAATCCATCTAAAAATGAGTAAAGAAGAATATTCAATCATTACAAATCAACCCTTATAATCTAGTTTCACTTCTAAATAATTGAATCTAACACAAAACAAAGGACAATTATCATAGTAATTCTAATAACCTAATCCTCAAAATGTCCCTCTATCCATTAATGGAGATCAAAGTATTTAATCTCTTAATTCATCTATATTATAAAAACTTAATGGAACTATTTCAATCATCTCAGATCACTATGATGAATTGTTAATACATGATCCATCCTCATTAATTACACCTACTACTACCAAATTGCCATAAATTTAATAAACATTCTAATAATAATAGACTATTCCATAAATACCATAACATTTGCTTACTGAACCAACTTCTAATCCATTATCCAATTCTGTTACTAAACTACCTAAAACCATGTATGTCCCAGGAACATTTTCAAAGATCATTCCAAAATACCCTAGAGAAAGAATCTCACGAATTGTTAAACAAATCAAATAATGATATTTCAATTTATTCAATCAATCAAGAACTTTATATCGAATTTATTTCATTCTTTAATTTAAATATTATCATATCATATTAATCATTCTAAAATAAATTATTTAAATTCATAAATTTATTCTTCCCTTTGTTATAACTTTGATAATTTTCAATATTTTATTAAATGAGTAATACTTATTAAAACTATACATCTCTTTCTATACTAATTCAAAATTTTACTTTTTTGTAATTTTATTTTATTAAATTGATATTTTCAAACAAATAATATTATTTTTAAATCAGCAACTATTATTTGATCATCAATAAAAGTATTTTTACAAATGCGAGACGTATTCAATATAAAATAATTTGTTAATAAATAATACTTTATCTGATTAAATAAAAGAAAATGAAATCATAAATTTTTTATAAATACAAAAATTATAAGATAACATTAAGAAAATACATTTTATATTTCAAACTTATCTTGAAAAAATAATCAACTTAGAATTTTTTCTTTCTTTAAATAACCTAAGTTAAAATTAATTAAAATTATCAATCAAAGCAATTAACAACATTTTAATAGGATATTATTTTAGATGATATCATATATTTCAAAATTATATTAAATTGAGAATTATGCTTAGATTAAAAGTAGACAGTTTTTTTGTGAAATTGATTGATAATTTATTTAAATTTATTCTTTATATTTTATTTATTTCGTTTTTAAATTAGAAAAACTAACTTAAATTAAAAAAGTCATGAAAAATACTCAAGATAAAGATATAGGTCTTAATGTAGTGTATTTAATACAATAACATAAGTAATTATTTAAAAATAAATATGTAGTTTATCAGCAGACAGAAAGAAAGTGACCCTTGATTAATTCCATCTTTTAAGTGTCATAGGAAAAGGGTCAATAGGAAAGGTTGTATTAGTAAGAAAGAAAGACAATTAAAAAACATATGCTCTTAAAGTGATCAAAAAAACCTAATTGATTGAAAATCATTAGGTGAAGTAAATCTATGCTGAAAGAAATATTCTGGTATAAATAATAGAATTAATTATTTTAGTAAAACTGCCATCATCCATTCATTATAAAATTAGAATATGCATTCTAAAATGAATCTAAATTATACTTCTGCTTACAATATTGTCCAGGAGGGGAACTATACAATTTATTAGTTTAAAAAAGCAAATTAACTGAAGAACAGTATATATGATATTGATAACTATAGAGCTAAGTTCTATGCATCCTAAATTGTCCTGGCCTTTCAATACTTGCATGAATAAGATATAATTTATAGAGAGTATATTTAACTATTTAAATTAGTTTAAAGCCAGAGAATGTGTTGATTGATTCAGAAGGTTATATTAAGTTAACTGACTTTGGATTCTCAAAATAAGGAATTTAAGGCAATTTTGGAGCACATTCAAAATGTGGAACAGCTGAATATTTGGCACCAGAATTATTAGCAGGTAATCATGGTAAAGCAGCAGATTGGTGGACATTTGGAACTCTAATATATGAAATGGTTATTGGTTAACCAGCATTTTTTGCAGAAACCAAAGAAGAATTATTCAATTAAATTCTTCATTAAGAAATAAATTACAAAAAAATAGGTGTTTCATCTCAATTAAAAGATTTATTATCAAAATTATTGTAAAAAGATCCAAATTCTAGAATTAGTTCAGCCAATGAAGTAAAAAATTTTTTATAATTTAAAATTAGATTAAAAAGCATCCTTGGTTTAAAAATGTTGATTGGGACATGGTTTTATAAAAATAAATACCTCCTGTATTTTTACCTCAATTAAACAGTGATGATGATGTTTAATATTTTGATGATGTATTATAATTCCCCTTAAAATTTAGTGTTTCCTCAAAGAACCTATTTTTTCTTAAACAAATTCATTATCTACAGAAGAATAAATGAATAGTCCATATTAAGGATTTTCTTACTCTGCATCACCAAAGCAAAAAGAAGAATAATGGGAATTTTGATTCTTTACTTTAATTAATTAAATTTTATTTTTTATAAAGTAGAAATATATATACCATTCATTTTTTCTTCTTTGATGAATTTTTTGTTACACTCTAAACCAAATCATAAAGCAATTTATATTTTTGTTCAATCTACTCAAGACTATTTTTTCTTTTTCCAAGTTCCATATATCCACATTAAGAATTTGGAGTTATTGTTGTTTCTGTAGCTTAATGGGTTGGAGTATTACTTTTCATATATTTTGGAACATCTTATTTGAATTAAATTTCTAGCAGCTATTTCAAATCAGTTTATTAATTAATTATTTATGTAGAATTAGATCTTTATATCTGCATTTTACTGGAGTTATTTTTTATATCATGATTGTTAAAATCAATCATTGAATTTCTCATTTGTTGTTTTTTTCTATTCATTTTATTTTACCATTGTAAATTTCTATAATAAACATCACAACTATTTATTCTAACATTACTATTATCTCTGTAATTAGGACTAAATGTGCACTACAATCTAATTTAATATTTACTTCTCTAGTAGCTTTCTCTTTTTAGATTTCTACTTACAAAGATATTTTATCATTCTTCTTTCTCATCCATGTATTTTATCTATCAAAAAAAGTACTTGAATTTATTATTTTAGATTTTTGATTGATTTTTGGATTAAAGGTACATTCTTTCATTTCCTTTACATTATTCATTATTTGCCCTTTTTCAATGAAAGTCTTTAATTTTTCTTACTAGAATATTGCTTTCTGATATAGATAATCTTATTAGGTTGATAAATTGCATTTTGTTTATGATGTATTATGAGTATTTATGCTTGTATGTGAATTTTTACGAATATTATTTGATGATTATGGTTAAGTATTCTTTGTAATTTCTTTCGATATTAAATCACTTAATCTATTTTAATGGTAATTGTTTTTCTAATTATGATTAATCTTATTCTCTTTTTCTTAAGTTGGTTTTCTTATGTATTTATTTACTTGATTAAGATCCTTAGATTATAATGTTTACATTAGTCTTAACTATTTTTAAAAGTATTGTTGATTTTATGCAGTTTCACAGATTTATATTCTGTCACTCGAAAGAGCATCTGAAAAATCAGGTGTAGGATCATCTGGAACTATAGAATTCTTAAATGCCAATAACTATTTGGAACTTGTTAAACTTAATATCAATAGTATACTTCTAAATAAATGAGAAATTTTGAGATCCCATAAATTCATTTTATGGAGGATGTTTTACAACTTAATCTATAATAACTTCAGGCATGTTTGATAGATTGTCAAGATTATTTGTAGTGATTTTTTTAACGTCTATAAGATCACTTGTCTTTTCACATCCAAAGTTCCTTATTTTTTTTAAACTTAAAAGAGCCTCTTAAGCTTATGGAGATAAATGCTAAAATGATTCGCATTTACTTATGGTATGAGCAGATGAAGTATGAATTTGCATTCAACGTATTAACAAATTAATTTTATAATTAGAAGTAAGTTGCTGATTAACTGCAAATAGTATATATAAAATTGATATGTTATTTTCATTGTTTCTTTGCTTTATCCATTTGATATTATAATTCATCTAATTATCGTTGAAGATCTTCTAATTCATGCATAGGAACAGATTCTGATACATCATCATCTTCTTTCTAATCAATTTAATCTATAAAATCAAATTTATAATATTACTTTAATTATTAAATCCCTTATTAGTTTGTTTATTACTTTATTTCATTGTTTTTGATGCACCTCTTTATTAATTACCCTTAAGTTTAATAGTTTATTGTTAATTATTAGAATTATTTTTTTTTCCAGAAGAATATATAATACCAGTCTCTTTGGCTAATTATTATTTCATTTATTATGCTTCTTCTTAATATTTAGCTAATTCTTCTGGTGATTTATTTTCATTTTATTTTTCAACTTATGATTTTTCACAATCTTTTACTTTTTTAGTCAAAATTTTAATATCATTTTTAAATCCTTCAATTTCTAAGGATCTTCTCTTTTCCAATTATTAATATCTAATTAAAATAATATAATACTTTTCAATTAATTTTGATAGATTCTCTTCCAATTATTATATTTTGTTAATATAAATATTCTAAACTTATTCATATTATTCTTTAATAATAGATAATTATTCATCTTTTGATTTTATTTGACTTCTAAATTTTTTATTATATTCATCAGACTTTTTTTCAAGTAATTCTAAAGCTGTTTTATTTTCAACATTATATTTTCTTTAAATTTAATCTAATTCCATTTTCAATTTTTTATTTTTCAATTTTGATACTTCTAAATCTTCTTACATTTATTTCTCCTTATTTTAAAACTTTTATTTTAATACATAACAATCTATAAAATATATATATATATAATATATACCTTTAACAAGTTCAACATTTTATTTTTCTAATTTTTATATTTTTTAAACCAATTAATCTAATTTTTATTAATCTTCTTTTATTCTTAAATTAGTTTCAACTTCTTTTGCTCTCAATTCCTCTCTCAAAGCTGCAAATTATTAAGTCAACATAGTTTCTGCATTTTCAACTTATTTTTTCAAATTCTCATTCTCCAATTAATAAGCATTTAACTATTCATTTGGCATATAAACTGTTTTTAATATACTTCTTCCTTAATTTATATTGTGCATCTTAACACTAAATTGTTTAATACATTTAATATACTTTCCTTGTTTCTCTCTTACAGCTAATGTATCACCTGTATATTTTGTAGTTACTTCAGGTCTTAAATCTTTTTATAATACTACTTATTCCTCTATTGGTTCAATCATAGCCATTAATTCTGCAATCTTCTTCTTATCTTCTAATTCTCTCACTTTAAGAGCATCATTCTCCTTTTACAACTTCAATCTAGCTTATCTTTCTTCAAATAACATTAACTAAATTCTTAAATTTTATTCATACTTTTGCTTCTCCTACTGTTTATTACAACTCTTTTATTTCTTATTTCCTTTTTAATAATTCCCATTCTTATTAATGTTTATCTTCATATTAAATTTTGATTTCCTCCAATTTTGTTAACCATTCAAATCTTTCCTTCTCAAATTCTCCTAATTTAGATCTATAATAAGCCAATAAGTCTTAATATTGTTGGGGATCGTTAGGATTTATTGTAATCAAATTACTCAGATCTCGTTAACTCATTTTATAAACGTTAATTATTTTTTTGATTTTTATGTAATATAAACAATTTATACTAAAAAATACTTATTCATTTTTTAATCTTCACACCAAACTCTTCATATAACTAATTAATCTCCTTCTTTGAATTCTTATTATTAATATGCAAACTCTATAAATCATTCTCAGATATTTATTAACAATTAATTAATGAATTCAATTCATCTGGTTTAAAATTATTGATATCATAATTTATAAAACTATCCCCTAAAGCTTTTTCTGAATCCTTTACTATTAATTCAGATATTTTCAATTAATTAACTTATGTCTATGATGGATCTTCAGAATTGTTAAATTGATTAAATGTAGATTTACCCTAAATGAAAAGTCCAATTTCTGTTCTTCTACTTATTTAATTAGGGATAACTTGATCCTCTCTGTTTGTTTCTTTATTAAATCTTTAGAATTCTTTCTCATCATTATCACTATCATCAGAATCATATTATCTATTATAATTAAAAAAGTATATTACAATAACTATTATTTTTGTATCCTTGTACAACATTCTTCAAATGGAAATTCATATTAACCAACTGTCTAATATTTCTATTTATTTTTAAAATGTTCTGCATCTACAATATAATAATTAATTATCATTCCTAAATACAATTTACTAAATACTTCTAATCAATTCAACAATACCAATATATAAAATAAGGAGACTGTGTTATTCATTACTATCTAAACATCCAAAAATAGAAGATGATATTGATAATGGCTAAATAATTCCAAAAGGAATGTATATCATTATTAATATTTATTTATATGAGATCGATCTTTTTTATCTCTTTACTTTAATATCCAAATAACTCCATTTCTTAAAAACAAAAACTATATTTAGTATGCCAATAACAATAGCCATGCCTAACCAATAATAAAAAAAGTTAGATTCTTAATAAGATAAAGTGGCAAAAACTATGAGAGCAATAGATAATATATTTCTTATGAATTCTATAATATATAAATCTATATTCTATTATTTTTATGTTAAGAATATAATTTATATTATTAGAATAAAATATGGAAATAGCACTAAGGCTAAAGTAAAATATCTAGATATAAAGAAGCATTCATTTTTTATATTATCATCATTCTCTTCTTGATTTTTTATCTATATAATTAATCAATAATAATATACTCCTTTTGAATATTCACATATTGTATATGTAAGATCAGTAAAGGGAATAATTAATGAAGTAAATTGGCTAATAATGAAAAAATGACGTTATTCTATGAGTTTTGGATTTAATGATTATAATAAATTACGATAAAGCCATATCCTACCTTTTCCATTAATAATAAATTTTGATGGAAATGCTACTATTGCTAAAAGAGAAGCCCAAATTATTAATGGAAAATATTCTTCTCCTTTAAGATTTGAAAATATAATGCCCAATTTAGAAACATCACATAAATAAAAGAGACTAACTAATAAAAAGATTGAGGTCAAAGTCATAACTCTTTTTAATTATTCATTGATTGTTGAGAAATGATGATTAAAGTTAAAATATAATTTATAATTGATTTTAGATAAATTCCATAAATGAATAACTATGGTTAATGACCAATAATATAGAATAAATAATAATGCTCCTCTGTAAATAGGAAATGATTCATATATAAGTGTATTAGTTAATATATCTAATTATTTTTAAGTTGCTAGAAATATTATGAAAGACATTAACATAAATGAAAATCCAGTGAATAACCCAAACTAAAACCAAGCTTTATTATTTTTATCATTTTGAAATTAATATTTACGTAATTATTCTTTACATAGTTTTTATTTAGTTTAATAGAAGTGTTTTAAAAGGTATTTCTCTACTTGAAATAATAATTATTTCACTTTATTTTATCTTACATCAAAATTTATTTCTGATATCAATTTTTTACATTCATCTATATTAATTTGATCTTAATTAAGTTTTATTGATTTCTTATTTTATTTCTTCATAATTTTACGAATCGCTTCTTGATTTATTTTTATGTACTTTTCAAAATTAACACCCTCATTATATAATTGAAAACATAATTCTTTCAATTTTCTACTTTTTTCATTGAAATCAGACTCTCTTATTTTTATTTATTAGTTTGTTAATTATTCAGTTAACTCTTCAGATACTTAAGAATTTGATCTAATTACTGAACGCTTCTTACTTCTCTCTAATTATCTTTAATATCTATTCATAGACAATATTTATAATTGTATTTTATATGTTTTTCCCTTCAAATCATTATATTTTGCATTCACAAAGGCTTTGATTTTAGATAACTCTTATATAAACTTCTTATTAAATTCTTTCTAATCAACACTAATTTTAGATATTATATATGTTTTTTCCATAACATTTTTCTTTACTTCCTTATACTCTTAAGGACTCTTTGTCTTTTTAGCATATAATAAGAAGTCTTTGAGTGCACCTGAGGTTGATAGATACGCTTTTATAGCCTTATAGTTCAAATACATTAATGCCCATTCTGGTATAATATGATTTTATAAGAATACAGCGAATTTCATTTAATTATTATTTAATCGTTAAAACAAATTTACTTATGAAGCCTTCACGTATACCTTTAAGAGCATTTGGTAATGCAGTCTATCAATAACCTATGGAATAACGGCAATTACGACCTTCTTCCATCCAATAAACTATGGAACCAAGATAAATAATGAGATGTGTTTCTTAAGATTAAAAATTACCTTACAAACCTTTATAATATGTTCAATATCCTCAATAAAGGTAATTTACTTGAATTTATTGTATATTAGAGGTTCAAATCCCCCAATTAGATAACCACTTTAAGAGACTGTTGCTTATTATCAATAATAATAATAATATTAATAGAGTGTACCATTAAAAACTGAATAATTGAATAAGGCATCCTTAATTTAAGAACTTAGTAAGGTTCAATCTTAAGCTTAATTGAATTTAGTATAGTAAGATGATATAAATTAATCAGCAATAATTAAACAATAAAATGAACAAATTTAATAATTGTAAACTCAATTATCTGAAAAAGTTCATTAATATTAATAATTGTAAGAGAGATTTAATGTAGAATTCAGAAAGTTTTAGGATGATTTAAGACATAAATTAACAAATATTGATTTGAATATCACTTAGAATGATTACACTTAATAATTTATGTTGGAAATTGATAGAAAAGTATCAAATCTTTAAAATAATTTAAATGAATAGATTAAGGAATTGTAAGAGAATTTTGAATAAAAAACTAAATAGAGTGAACATTTAGTTAAAAATCTATCTTCAAATACATCTTTAAGATTAAATGAAGATGAATAACATTTTAAACAAGAGATTGAGAATTTAAATTCAAAATTGAATTCTAAAGCAGATAGATAAAAAGTAGAATAAACAATTTAAGTATAAATCACTTCATTATAAAATTAATACTAATTACAATTGTAATAAGCTCATTAATTATTAAATAAAATAAATAATGAAAAAAGTGATGAATTAATATAAATTAAAAATTAAATACAAAATACTTTATTACATTTAACATAATAAGTCAATTAAAAATTATAACATATGTATGATACTATAAATGAAAGAGATTAAGAGAATAATAACAATAAACAAGAGAGTAAATAATTGAATTAACATTTTACTAATTTAACTAATAAATTTAAATAATTATAATAATAATCTATTGAAACTATCACATAATTAAAATAGAAGAATAAATAAATTGAAAAAGAGAAACAAGACTTAAATAAATAATTAACTTAACAATAATTTTTAGTTTCATAATTCTAATCAGAAATTACTAAATTAAAAACTACAAATTCTTAATTGACTTTATAATTATCTCCTTAAGCTAAATAAAATAGTTTCTTTTCTACTTCTACAGCAGTAGCAATAGGAAAATAGAAATCAAAAAAACAATTATGCATTCCCAAAAAGAAAAATGAAATCAGTTTGGATGATTTTGCTGATTTTAATGAAAATTCATTGATAGATTCTAATGATAGTTTTGAAATAAATGAAACTTGTGGTTTTAGTAAAACTAAAAAAATTCCATAGATTGGAGAATTCCAAAGTCCTCCAAGAAATCCTTTTAAGAAATCAAATAATCATAAAATTTTAAATGATGATATTATTGATTAAGTATCTTGTAAAAGTAGAGGAAAGTCAGCACCATTACCAATGATGAATGCTTTAACTAAAGCAATTAAAAGAAGTATATTATAATCGAATTAATTTTGATAGGATTGCTTTATTTAGGTAAAAATGATAGAATTTTGACATGTACTTATGATTCAGAATAACATTTAATTGATAGTGATATGGGATTATGTTTATTAGATGAGAATGGTTCTCCATTTGTTGTTAGTGAATAAGAAAAGGCTCAATTAATACAAATGAAATTGATTAGGATAAATTGAACTATTATAATAAATACTTATTATTAAATATTTTAATATTATTTTTATAGATATTAAATTTAGAGTAAATTGAAAAATAATGATAAATATATAAAATCACATTAATTAATTGATATGCTCTCTTAATAGTTTAGATTCAATATTTAATTGATTTTATTAAATCTTAATATTTTTATTAATTGTTTCTATTAGATTAGCATCGATATTTAGTGTTTTGTTTTTGATATTATAAACTAATACCTTATGATAAGTTAACAGTAATAATAACATTATTTAAGATTATTTACTTGAATGTTCTCCTGTATTTAGATTTAAATAGGATATTAAACTATTTATTAATAATTTTAGATCTTTTAAATCTTAATTTGTATAAATCTATTTGCTAGAAGCATAATTAATAATATCCCTATGTAAAATTACCATAGTATTAATATCAATTTTGCAATTCACCTAATTTGGTATTAATTCTAATTAATTTTCAATTACTTTAATTAATTATTGCAATTAAATTTTGCCTTAAAAGGTTTATTGTTGAAAATGCCTACTTAAACTATTAGTTCTTTTAACTCTTTCAGTCTTTGGATTTCTTAATGTATTATTGTAATCTGATCCTCTATTATTATCTTCTAATTGAAATTCTGATACTTTTACTAAATCTAATTCATAATTCAATTTATTTGAAGTATTAGTAGAGTGAGATTAAAGAGCACTTGTTGTTTTACAGGAATCATTATTACTATTTAATTTTTATTAAACATTATTAATTTTATCTATGAAAGATGTTAATTCATTTCTTTAAGTATGAAATCTATAATTTTAAGAGTTACTTCTTTCTCTTTCTTATTTATTTTATTTGAAATTCTCTTTTAAATCAAAATAACTAGATGTCTATTTAGATTTATCATTAACAGGTGTTTTATTTTCATATCTATTTGATCTATCATTAGTTTGAAATGCAACATTACTGTAACTTCGATTATGCTTATTTATTTATTAACATAATGATTCAGTTCTTTATTTAAATCTTTACATTTAAATAGAATATTTTGATTGATTACTCTGTGAATTTTAATTCTCTCTATGAGTTTATGAATGAATCTCTTCTTATTTAGGTGAGTTTTCCTTATTTTCATTTAAATTAAAATTAACTGCTTTAAATAAATCTTCCCAATTCCATCTTTTTTCTTCTCTTATTTATAAACATCCTTTTATCATTTATTTAGTAGAATCAGAAACATATGGATGAACTGGAAATGATAGAGGCTAATTGATAATATATTGATATACTTTTGAATCTAATTTATTCATCAATTCTACTAAATTTTGAGAATGCCATGGAGTCATACCATAAAGCATTTCATAAAGTATTAAACCTAATGACCAGATGTCACATTTAGATGAATACTTGCCTCTTTTTAAAATTTAAGGACTCATATATAAGGGAGTACCAACAAGAGAATTCATTATGGTATCAAGATTTTGATCTATTTGTTTTGCAAAACCAAAGTCTGTAATTTTGAATTGAGAATCATGAATGAGGATATTAGCTGGTTTAATGTCACGATGTATGATGCCTTATTTAAGTAAAGCCTTAATTCCTTATAATAAATCCTTTAAGATTTTGAGTGCTTCCTCTTCAGGGATAGCTCTAAATATTTTTAATATAGTACTTTCTTGCCTTAATAAACTCTCTTAAATCACCACCATTACAATATTCAGTTATGATGTAAGTATTATTTGCACTTTATAATACATCAAGTAGTTTAACAACGTGTGAATCATTAATTTTTTTCATGATTTCAATTTCAGATGCAATGAGTTGATTGGCATAATCAGTAAGTAACAATTTCTTATCAATAATTTTAAGAGCAACAATACTATCTAATGATAAAAATGCAAATGTACTATCATTAGTGTTTTTACCAGCATAGACTGTACCATATGCACCTTTGCCTAATTTGGATCTAAAACTAAATTGATAATTCTGTATTTTTTTATCAGGTGGATAGCTCAGATGTTACATTTTATATTTGAATTTGAAATATTTATTTAATGTTATCAAAAATAGTCTAATTTAAAATTTATGGCAAAATTGATTAAAATAAAACTAAATGAATCAATCTATAATGAGATATCTAATAAATAAAATAAGAAGTTAAATTAAATCAATATGATAGTTACTATAAAATAAATACACAATTTTTGTATTACTTAAAATTTACAGACTTTATAATAATCTAAACAATATATGTAATTGAATAAGTATAAAGAAATGAAAATATTTGATATTATGTCTACTTATTTATTATTTATAATGATTTAAGTATTTGATAGAAAGATTTTTAATTCATATAAATTATTTAATCAATGTATCAAATTATTACAATAATTTGTTTTTATTCTACCAGTATAATTTTATGGAGATGTTCTATAATTAATTTAGAGTTTAACAATGATCTAACAAGATTTTAGTAATTTTATAACTCTTATATGTAAATTTCTTAGTTAAAAACCTTATGTCTTATTATTAATTAAGATTATTTATAATTTTTCATCATTCATTTTATTATTTAGAATATCCAGTGCACATAAAATTATATACATATATATTTTTATATTTAAAATCAAGATATGAGAAATAAACCATAGGCACCTGTAACTTAAAAATAATAACCTTAAAAATAAGGGAATGTACGTAAACCATAGGAAAGGTATTGTATAATTATTGAAATGTGAAGACCTGGATTAACTGATGATGAGATTGATGAAATAAGAGAAGCATTTAATTTATTTGATACAGAAGGGACAGGAAGAGTAGATCCAAGAGAATTAAAAGCAGCTATGCAAAGTTTGGGATTTGATTAAAAAAATCCAACAATTTTTAATATGATTGCTGAGTTAGAGAATGAAGGGTATGTAGTATAAACATAGATTTAGAACTGATATTGATTTTGACTAATTTTTGGATGCCATTACATCAAAATTAGGAAATAGAGAAAGTAAAGATGGAATAAATAAAATATTTGATTTATTTGATGATGATGGAAGTAATTCCATTAATTTGAATAATTTGAAAAGAGTATTATTTATAGATTGAAATTGTATTAGGTTTCTAAAGAATTAGGTGAGACAATGACAGCAGAAGAGTTAGCAGAGATGTTAGAAAGGGCAGCTTCAAATGGAAGAGAAATCACTAGAGAAGATTTCTATAATATTATGGTTAAAAGAACATTTTGATAAAACATCAGATATATAGATATATAAATTATATAAATAAATGATTAAATTAGAAGCACACACCTTTCATCATAAAAATGTTATGACACCAGCTTAATTATCAAATAAGTCTCCCATAGATATTGTTAGATTGAAAAAAATCATTTTCAAGAGAGAGCTGTTAAATACAGAATAGAATTTTCTTGTTTAAGTAATACCTTAATTTTCTATTTCATTCAGACTGAAGAACATTAAGAAATTATTTACATAAAACCTGATGTCCCAGATTTCATTATGACTGATCTTACTAACATGGCCATATAAGAAGATATCTCTGAATATCAAGCCTTAGAGTATCATTATAGAGCAGCCAAACTGTTAGAATTTTATACATAGAATTAGTAATCCAAACCTTTACCTTAGGATTCAAATATAATACACATCTGTTTTATTCTCAAAAATAAATTATGCCATAATACTTAAGAAATATGCAGCCTAAAATGAAGCTTTAGAAATGTTGTTAGATTGTGTATAGATTCTTAAGATTAAAGGAAAAACACTTAAAAAGACTCCATCTGAAAGTTTAAGCTTAGCCAAAACAATCTAAAATAAGTTATTGAGATTGAGACTCATCTTTTAGATTACTCTTCTATTTTCAGAAACTAAAAAGTAAAATCTATATTTTATATCAGAAATAAACAGGCCTTAGAAATGGCCAAAAGTGCTTTAAGAATTTTAAAGAGTATTATATAGAATACTATAAAATTGTGTTAACACATTACTGTATCATCATCAATCAATAAAAAACAAAGAGCTAATTCAGAAGTCAGTTCTCCTTTATAAAAGAATTAGACATCCAATCTACCTTAATAATAATCCTAAATTCTATCTTATCCATAAATTGTAGAAGTTGTCTTTAAAGAAATTTTGATTTCTATTAAAAGTATGCTACCAAACGATGATAAATCTTATGACGTTATGAGTACACAAAATTTAATGATTCGAAATTTTTAAAATAGAAGTTAATCACTTTTTGCTTCTGAATATGTATTTTAATCCTAAAATAATTAATAAAATAAATTATTTACTATTATTGATGATACACATCCTATGTTATAAATGTAAATTTTAGGGTTGATGTAATTAACTTATGTAGATTTAGAAGAATTATTTCCTATTAATAGTTATGAGATGGTAATGGCTGAAGAAGTCATTTTAGAATTAGTAAATCTTATCAATTAATTCATTAGATTATGCTAACAGGATTAAGTTTCTATAGTATATCAACTGAACTAAGATTCATAAATCTTTAATCAAATAAATTAACTGTTGAAATATGGTTAGGCAAAGCAGTAGAAATATTCTATACTTATGTGCCACATTCTAGTGCAATATTCAATTAGATTTATCAAGTCTATCAAAAATTATATGGAGTAGACAAATAATCTATAGTAATTTATTCAAAATATAATTATATAGCCAGAAGATGAGGAAGTAGAATATCATACTAAATTATTGAAACCACATCCTTATAACAATAAATCCACTCTCTCTAATAAAGTTGTTATTATTATTAAAGTCCCTAATTAAAACAAATAATCTAAAGAAACAGAAACAAAATAAACTAAAGAAACAGAAAACAAATAATCTAAAGAAACAGAAACAACATTCCAAAAAATATAAAAAACTATATTAGCTAAGAAACAAGCATTACTTGCTCAAAAACATATATTTACATAACCTGATACAGATAAAAAATTTGATACTTGGCATGATGAAACAGAAAAGTCTCCTTAATAATAGCAGAAATTATTTATTTAAAAAAATAATAACTCTCTTAATTCAACTGATATAAGATAAAGAGTAGAAATCCTAATGAATTAAATACTTAATCAATAGGCCAAATTAACTTAAGAAAAATTAAAATAAAAACATACACCTATAACTATCTTAAAACAAAAATATTAAGCTACATCCAAAGTCCAAGAAAATTAAAAGACTTTTAATCCATTTATGACTTCATAATTTAAGACAACTATCTCTGCTAGTAGATCTCTTTCCAATTCTAGAAAAACTAGCTAAGCCAATTTAAAAAATTAATCAAATGGTGTAAAAACAGCTTAAATGAGATATCGTACTTAAATAAGCACAATAACTGGAGATGATTCATCTAAATAACTTGCTTAATAAATTGCTATATAATTAGCTACTCTTAATCGTTAATCTAATGTAAAATTTATCATAATTTATTTTATAGAAAGGATTTCTTTATAAAAGAAGTGAGTCTGTTAAAAAGACTAAAGTTCCTATTCAATAACGTTGATTTACTTATTAAATTATATAAATTTACTCCTTCTTTACATTTTATAAATTAATTTAATTTAATATATATAAATATAAATTAAATTAATTTCATTTGCTAAATTACAAAGAACAAAATTCTGTACTTGTAATATATTCTAAATCTTCCAACTATTATTATCCATTATTCATAAAGTTAAATCGAGTTGAATCCCATTAATTTGGTGAATATTATAAATCAAATGGTGATTAATCAAGATTAAGCATATAAAATACATCTTAATTTGATTAATCATTATTTTATTCATATATTTATTCAAATTCTTTATTTCTATTTCTAATTATAGGCTAATCCTTAATTATATTAAAATCTTATTTTTATATAAATTAATCTTTCAATTTTAAACAAAATAGTTCATCAAATTCCCCTTCAGATACATATTAGTTTTAGAAATAAACCTAATTTGAATCTACTTGAAAATTGAGAGATTAATTTAATACATTTAAAAATTATTTTTCCATTAATCTAAATTCTTATACAACTTTACTATCAAAATCAACTTCAGATTGTTATTTGAAATTAATTAAAGTCTAAAGACTTGTGTAAATTTCATAAATATATTATCGTAAAACTCTAATATTTTGTAATTCCTAAAAATTAAAAATATCAAGTAATGATTAAATATTACATTATTAAAATATAATTTTTGTTGATAAACATTTCATTTAATTAATTTATTCTGGAAATTTACGATCTATTATTTAAGATAATACTTCATAAGAGAACGTCTTATTTTATAAATTATCATAGATTGACATTTTTTATTTTGTAATGCATTATTCATTTAAAATTTGATTTAACTCTTATTTTGGAATATCAATTTTAATTTCTAATAGATATTTTAAAGTTTATTATCTTAATTATTCTGTTACATCTTCATCACTATTCCTACTAATAAAAGATTCGGATATTATATTAATTAGTTTAATAATTAAATTTGTCTTATCTTTATTATAAAGTTTATGATCTTAAAGTACTTAGATTAAATCATTTTCATTCAAACTTATACAAGGGTATCCTACTTATTCAAGTTTATATTATAAATATTCATATGTTAATATTTTTTATTGTATTTTTTGGAAAGAGTCATCAGAATTTATAGAGTGATTAAAAAAACTTACATTATTTATTAATTAATTTTACAATTTTTAAATTAAGTCATTATTATCATCATAATAAATAATTTTAGATTTATTCTCAATTTAATTGTTTTTATATTAATCTAAACTATAATCTATGATAGATGATCTTTAATATAAATGTTATTCTTATTTTATCTTTTTCTTTTATTATTTTGACTTTGATTAAAAGTTTCCTTAAATAATTGTTGTTAAAGAAGTAGTAGGAATTGGAATTTTTTTGAATACTAATGATTAATGTTTTTCTTGTGGTTTAAAATTTAAAATTAACGTTTATTTTTGAGAATTAGTTGAATGTTCATCATAAATATGTTTAGGAGTGTAAGAGATGAGTATATGATATAATTCTTGGCATAAAGTTTAGTAGCAATGTTTAATGCTTAATAAATCAACATTATTTTTTGTTTCAATTTTCAATAATAAATCCATAAATCCATTAAATTAATTTATCAATTTCTAAATAAAAATCCTAAAATTTCTAATAATGTTGAATTCATCAATATCACATAAGAAATTAAAGTCATCTGTCAGATTGGAAGTTTATATTTAATTAATTGTTTAATGTTATAGATTCTATAATTCTGATGGTAATTTAATGCCAATTGTATTAAATAAATTTAAATATGAAAATACTTTATTTGGTATTGTATCATAATAAAGATTGTTAGTTCTAAAAGTAAAAATAGAATCAATTTCATTTTTCCATTATAACTCACTCCATTGTATTTATAATCCTTTAATATTGAAAAATTATTGGACTCTCAAACTAATTATATGAACTCTTTCATTCCAATTAGTGATTTGAGTCGATTCCCCTATAAAACTTATTAAAGTTCTAATTTTTTTTAGTTGTTCAAAATGACTTTAATGTTTAATTCCTTTCAAATATTTGTAAATTCTTTCACTATCCACCTTAATTGAAGGAAAACCAAACAACATAATAACTTTTTGTTAGAGTAATTTAATATTACACTAAAACATTATCTATTCTAATTCTTTATTCATGATTCCTAATAATGGAAATTGCAATGATTATTTATGATTAGATGACAATTAGCAAAAGTCAATAGAATCACTCAAGCTTTATTACATAACAAATATTAAAATAATATATCAACAATTCTCCACAAATTTAATTGATGAAAAGGTAAAATTATGAAATGCAATTAAAATAATATCAGAATTATTATAGAAGTCATTAGTTAAATTTAAAGAATGAACTATTGATAACAATTAATTTCCTATTATTAATTTTTAAATTATTTTTTATAATATATTTTCAAATGGATTAATCGTTTAACGATCTTAAATTTCAATTATAGTAAGAACTATAAAAGGAAGGAATGGTGGAAAATATGAAAACATAACTTAGATACAAGCTTTTGGAGAGACTGTAAATGTAATAAAAGAAAATTCCTTCTTCAGATAAAGTATCAGAAAGTGAAATGTTATTAAAAAGAGTGTTAGCTAGTGCAGTAGCAGATTATTTACGAGAGGCCAAAATGGATTATTCATTGTACTTTTTTAATATATTTTAGATCTGTTTTTATACCAGAAACTACTTTTGGTGCAGCTTTATTGAATAAGGAAGAATTGAAAATACTTTTAAAAATTGATAATTTATAAGGATCAATTTTATCATAAATGTTTAGTGATATAATGCTTCTTAAACCTAAGGAACCTCTTAAATCAAATGCAGCTACTTAAACATTCTATGGGGATGCTGTAATAAATTTGGAATAAAAATTAAGCATGGTTGATAATATGTACAAAAGTAAAATTGAAAATGAATTACTTAAACCTTAATATGATATGGAGGAACGTATTCTTAAGATGAAGAGAGAATATGAGTAACGTTTGAAAACAGAGATTGCTACAGAGACAACTAGAATAAGAGAATTTGAAGCATAACATATTAGGTTGGAAGAGGCTGATAAATACAGATAAAAATTATAAGATTATAGAGAAGAATTAGAGAAGAATTTCTAAGAGAAATTAAATGTTTTAAGAGAAAGAGAAAATGATACATTAAAAATGGCTGCATAAAAAACAAAAGAATTAGAGTCTTTGAATTATTAATATAGATAAAAGATATTGAAGGAACATGAGATAATAAAATTAAAAGAATAAGAAATAGAAAAATAGAGAATTTCTAATGAGGAGAGTTTGAAATTTTAAAAGGCTAAATTAGATGTAATGGAAAGAGATTTGTCAAAGAAATTGGCAGAAGCAAATGGTAATGAAGATGTGATTAAAAGAAAATATGAAGCATAAATTCATGCAGCTAAAGCATCTGCTGAAACTGAATTTTATGAGGAAAGAGAATAAATAAGAAATAAACTTAAATAATTAGAGGGAGATCTTAGAAATATGGAGAATTTGAAATCAACAATAAAGACTTTATAAAGAGAAAATGAATAATTGGTAGAAGAAAATAAAAAGTATGTTGAATAAGTAAGGGAAGTTAAAAAGAGAAGAAAGGAAATGGAATATGAATATGAATAAATGAAAGAAAATTTAAGAGCAGTAAGTGATGCTTAGAGAAGAGATTAAGAATTATGTAGAAAATATGAAACAGATATTAGATTAAAAGAAGAAGAAATGGCACTTTATAAAACAACTATTAATCATAAGGATGGAATGTTAAATGATCATAAAGTACTTTAATAAGAATAAATCAAAAAATTATAAAAAGAAATAGAATAATATTAAAAAAAGGTTGAAGCTTAAGAACTTCTTATCAAAGATTTATAAGTTAAAGAGAATCATTCACCTAATTTTGATATTTAATCTGCTTTATTTAAAGGAAACATAGCTGATTCATAATTAATGTAATATAATTTTTAGGACCACAATAATAAAATGAAGTAAATTCATAATGAATTAGATGAGAATAGAATGAGAAGAAGAGAAGAAATTAAAAGATTATAAGAAAATGCTGTTGTATCTCTTAATACAGAACCTGCATTGAAATTTGATAATGTTTGGGATGTTTACAATAGTTCAGTTAATTATTCATAGATTGGAGGAGTGTAATATAGATCAAAGTTACATGAGGATTATTAAGGTGGTAAGATATTTTAGACTGGAGAAGATGCTCAATCTTAAGTAATTTAGAGTGGTGTATTTTAAAAGAAGCCAGGATAAGGAGGAACACATTAATAGTAATAAAATATTATCGAGGAAACATATTCAGAACTTATGTGACTTAGTTATATTTTATATATATATATATATATATATAATACGCTTAATGATTTTTACTCCAGCTTCTTAGTAGGAAAAAGCAACATTAGAGAAAATAGGAGAATTTCTTATGGGTTTAAGCAAAAATGTTCTTAAACAAGGAAGTTCTATTAGTTTACCAAAATTTTTATAAGATTTAGAGCTTACATCAAATGAACTATGTTATATGCTTTAAGCTAGAGATTAAAATGATTATAGTCATGCTATAAATAGATATACGTAAGTTTGGAAGGATGTATTGAAATCAGTTTAGAATATCAATCAAATGTAAACAGAAGGGGAGCATGAACTTGAACCATTGTCTAGAGCAGATTTGATGTAACGAATGAAAAAGAGAATGATGGAAGGAGGTCAAACTGGTAGGTTGGGAGGAGCTAGAGTTGGAGGCTTCTAATCACCGTTAACAGAAAATGAGCGAATAAAGAATCGTTAATTAAGTAGCAAAAACTCAAATATATTGCCATCTATACGATTGAATTCTTTTGATCAACAGAATGATAGAACATTTAATAATTCATCAAGAATGTAATATGAATTAGATGATCATCAGAAATGTATCTTAAATGAAGTTTTAAAACAAAGTAATAAATTAAATGTGTAAATTGTTATGAAACGATATGATCCAAAAATAAAGTTATGCATATCATAAGGAACAGATACAAATCTTGATATTTTGGAAGTTATGAGAAATTTTAAGAAGGTATATTATTAATATAATTGTTTAGGAATATCATGAAAGTAAATTATAAGAGATTGTAAAAGAAAGTGATAAACATAGTATGGAATTATAGAAATTTCTAAATGAAAGAATTGATTACAGATATTCTTTATAAACTTAATAGGTAACTGATAAATTAAAGGGAGTACATAAATAAATGATTTAAAAGACAATGGATATTGAAACTGTAATATTGGATACTTAAAAATAACAAATATAATAAGACATGATACCTAACATTTTAAATGAATTCATAGATTATATTAATGAGAGTTATCAAAATGTATAACATGAGACATATAAAGTATTAATGAAATTTGTGTCTGGATTTATAGTTAGAAGAGTTAAATAAGATACTGAAAAGAAATTACCTTAATAAAATTCATAATAATTGTTGTCCAGTTCAAATAAGGAACGTAAAGGTCCACCCCTTAGAAGAGCTGATAATACAGAATAATTGTAAAAGGAATTATCAAATAAAAATGCAGAATTGGATAAAAAGTTTATGGAGAATGCAGAATTATGGAATAAGGTGAGGTAGATGGAAAACTAAATTATGTAATTAAATATAGAAATTGAATCAACTAAAATTGCTGAAAAGACTATAGAGTAAGAACGAACTTAACTCTTATATGATAAATAAAAATTAGAAAAGCAATTGTTAGTTATAACTAGTAAAACATTTTAAGATCAAGCAATTCAAGTCTCAGATCAAACTATGCAATAATAAATATAGAAATTATAAAAAGAAAATTAAGAATTATAATAAAGATTATATCAATTAACAGGAGAATTAAATAAAAAGAAATCAATACCAGCAGATTAAAAAAGTCTATAAATGGATTTTGGTAATAGTTAAGATCAATCTAATAAAGATTCACCAAGAGCTAATAGTAAGGTTAAATCTTAATTTGATTTTCCTCAAGATGAAGATAATATTTCAATTGGATATCGTGGAGAATCAAATAGATAGATTTAGTATAGTGATTATACAAAAAGATAAAGTACTGATGTTGTATATAGAATGAGTTTTACACAACATATTCAATCTTAAAAAGATTAAAAGATTTCAAAAAATAATAGTCAAACATCAGATTAATAATAAAATAAAAGAGGTTTATTACATTCATCTACAGAACTTCATCCATCCAAATAACCTAATAAATAAACTACACTTGATTAAAAGTCAATATAAGAATTAGATGAAGAACAAATGCAAAAAAGTGGATTGTTATTTTAATAACAATCATAACAATAAATCAGAAAAAGTGTATCTCCTAATAATGATAATGCACAATTATTAAGAAAGATGAGTTCAATCTCAAAATCTGATTAATAATTAACTTCCTCTATTGTAAGAAAATCTACTGTTAATTAAATGAAGATGGGTGATTCAACTATCCCAGATATTGATCTAACTTAAGCTTAAACTATTTAAGATACATAAAGGACAACATCAGGAAGAAAATTAACTTTGACTGAAAGGAAAAATGATTCAAGTCCTACAGATAGAAGAATATAAACTGAATTTTATGATTAATCATAATTTCAATAAGGATAATAAAATACTCAAATTTCTAATACTCCATAATAAAATAAATAAATTAGAGGAAATAAAAAATCTGAAACATTATTATCAAATAAAACAAAAAATAAATTTCCCAGAAAATCAACTGATACAATAAGAGATATTCAAGAAGATTAATAATCTGGAATAATTTCAAATAGAGGATCAACTAGAATAATAGAAAATAATAAAACAAGGATACATTTAATTAAAGAAGAAGATGAAGTCAGTAGACATTCAAAATCTCGTATTTCTTCATAATAATCTTCATAATCACATATAAGAAGATCAAGTACTACCATTTAATAACCAATTAAAATGGCTATAAAATTAAATGATGAAAATCCAGCTGAATATATTGCATAATGGAAATAAAGAATGGTAGAATAAGAATAATAAACAGATATTGAATTATTAACTAATTTTATAGAAAACTTCATTTTAAATATGGGATTACCTAATGAAATTTAATAGAAACTTATTGAAGCAATTCCTGTTATGATTTAATAAAGAAATTTAAATTAATCTTCTGAAGATTAAAATGCTTTGATTAAGCAATAATAATCTTTTAGAAATGTTGTTCAAAAATATGGATTTGATACTGAAAGAGTGAGTTCTACTTAAACAAAAAATCATAGTAAATAATAATCTTAAGAATCTCTATTAAAATATGAATCAGAAGATGATTAAGCATAAATGGGATCAAAATAAGGATCATAGAAACAAATGGATATATAAAGAAGTCAAAATTAAAATTAAAATTAAAATTTTAAATAAAAATCAACTAAATTTTATTAAGAAAAATAAAAGAAAGATTCTACTGTTTAAAGGTAACCTTCCAGATAACCTATAGATCCATAAGAATAATTTGATTAAGATGAAGCTTAATATATTTTTAATATGGCAGCTGATTTAAATATAGATTAAGTAGATTAGTTGTCTTATGAAGAGATGGTAAAATCAATATAGAATTAAGAAAATGATGGTAAATAATTACAAATAATCAAACCTAATGAATTAAAAGGAGAAACTTTTTTAAGAACTTTATTTAATCAAATTTAAAACAAAAAAACTAAAGGAATTGAAAATGTATAAGAATTACTTAGAAAATATTATAAAAAAGGAAAGCATGAAAACATAACTTATTATGAATTCAAAGCTTTCTATTAAAGATTAGCTGCCATTCACAAAATGTGTGGATAAGATATGTTATGTAATCATTTATAAAGATTTATTATGCGATTAGGATACACATGTTCCATATTTTCCAAAAGACAAGTAATTTATATTATTAACTTATTTAGTTATTAAAAACTAGTACTTCAGTAATAAAACCTTTCAATACTACTGAAGATATGACAACCCAATCTAAATTGACTAATACTCATCATAATTTAGCTTAAAGTAGATTTACTAGTCAACAATTTTATATGTCAGAAGAATAATTTTATTGAAACTTATTTCATTATTACATTATTCCAATCTTATTATTATTTATTTAAATATCTTTATTATACTAATTTAATTACAATCACCATTCAAAAACACACTTCTCTGGACTAATTGTATTACCAGGTTTACATTAATTAAATACAGGACATGTCTATAATAATTATATTTATTAAAATACTTAACAAGGCAAATAAGATAAATAAAATTAGAATTTTTATTATTTAAATGGATTTAATTTGAAGAAAGAATTTTCTTCCTCAATTAGAATTGAATCATATTTCAAAAGATTGATTATGCGATCAAAATCTGTCTCATCATAATGTTCTGATTATTAAGCTTTGTAAACTCTACGTATTTCATCTTTTGATGCTTTACCATCACATTATTACTACATAAAATATATTAGTTTTTATTTTATTCTTTCAATTAAATCATCATCTACACCCTAATCAGCTGTTCTAAAAACATTTGTGGGTAAACTTGAATCAAGTGTTTAATTAAAATCTATCCAAAGTTTAACTCCTGTTGTTCTACCATTAGGACGAACTGATTTGATTTTATCTCTATTTTCTAATGTTTTAATTATCTTTTCAACTTCTTTTGAATTAAGTCCAGCATTTTTGGCTAGATTTGCTTTAGTGATTCCTAATTTCTTTGAATTTACTACTAAATTGTATATTTTTTATTATTCCTCATTTAATTAAATTTCCATTTATTATATTAATATAGTCATGGATGATAAACTCATGACTTATACAATTAAAAAATGAAGAATTTATTAATTATAACATATATTGATAAATTTAATATGTATTAATATTTAGTTGTTGGTTTTTATTTTAAATTATTAATTAACTGAAATGAGCAAAGTGATTGAAAATTATGTTCTATAAGATGTTATAGGAAGTGGACAATATGGTAAAGTTTATAGGGCTAAAAATATGAAAAATGATCAAATTGTTGCAATCAAAGTAGTCAAATTGGAAAAATTTAGAGAGGTCCCAAAATTACATGAATTTACTATTAATGAGATACAAACACTATCAAAAATAGATAATCAAAATATAGTTAAATTTATTGAAATGCTTAAAACATAAAATAATATGTATTTGATTTATGACTTTTGCAATGGTGATACATTAGAAGCATTATTATAAAAGAGAAAATTCTTAACAGAACCAGAAACTATGAAGATATTTGCTTAAATTCTAAATGCATTCAGGTAATTAAATATATCTATATTAGATCATTGGTCCGTGAAAATATACTCCATAGAGATTTAAAGCCATCCAACATTCTATTTCATGATTAAATTGTAAAAGTAGCTGATTTTGGCTTTTGCAAAAGTTTACTTCACAATAATGATCTAACTTAAACTATGGTAGGTTCACCAATCTATATGGCTCCTGAAGTATTAAAAGGATGTTCCTATAATTGTAAAGCAGATGTTTGGTCTTTGGGAGTAGTTCTTTATGAATGTTTATTTGGATTTTGTCCATTTGAAGATAAATCAATAGCTAGATTAATTATGCAAATTGATAACAAAGAGATTACATTCCCTAAACATGTAAATCAACTCTCAAGAAAATGTGAAGAACTAATACGATCAATGTTGCAAGTTGATCCTCGTAAAAGAGTAGACTGGCAATAATTAATGCAAATCACCTTTTATGAAGAACCAAATGTAGCAAAATAAATTACTTGCAATGCTAATACTAATGCTATATAGAACTTACCTTAAATGCTTAAAAAATAAGCCTCAACTAACCAAGTTTTATAGGATAGAACTAACATGACTAATAATTAACCTTAATAACAATAATAATAATAAGACTTTTAGAATTTAAGAGTGCTCTTGAGAGAGAGAAGTAAAATTATATTCTTAGCCTAAATGGTATCATTCTTATTAGAATAAAATACAGTATCTGCAGTTTAACTTCATGGAAGCTTATCATTTTCATAAAAGACAGCTATCATTGCTTATTTTCTTATGAAATTGGCATAAAATTAAACTGAAATAATAAAAAAATAACTAGATCAAGATCATAGGAGAGAAAGTAGATGGGAAGAATTTTAAGGTAGTAATGAATATAAATAATTCAATTCTACATTTCAAAGAGAAAGTGAATAATTATTGATGAATATAGAATCATTTAAAAATGAAGCTTAAAAAGTTATTAGACATATGTAATAGAATGATTTAACAACTCAAATAAGAAATGAATTGATGAATCCATAGTTTAATAATTTGAAATTATACACCTCTTTATTAATTAGTTATATTGAAGAAAGTAAAGAAAGATAAGTAAATTTAACAGAAGATTTACAATAAAAACTTTTAGTTGGACTTATTGATTTATTAGAGACTAGTTAATTAAATGAATTTTTCGATAAAAATTTAAGTGACATTAATATTAGATTTAATGATCAAAGATATTTTGAATAAGTAATTTCATTTTATTTATCATTAGATGAGAAAAATGCCAAAGGAAACACTAACAGATATCCTCAATTAAAGATTAGTTAATGCAAAGATCAAATGTGCTAAATGAAATTTCTTATAATTTAAATATAATCAATTTAATTTTTTCTAAAAGTATGAATGATTAGAAGCCTAATGTACATCCAAACGATCTATTTAATTATAGGCTAAACAACCTCTAATGAATTCTTTGCATTCATTTGAAATTATTGGTTTCTAAGGGAAAGTCACAGATTGAGATTTTACAATAATCTAAAACTCTAATAAAATATTACTTATTCTTTCAATATCTTCTCTTGGCTCACCCCTTAACCGAATGGTTTTTAACCAAATAACATTTCAAAAAATATAACTCCAATACTCCAAATATCAACTTTGCTAGAAATATTTGGAGGTTAATCACCCATATGAAAACATTCTGGAGGTAAATACCAATATGTACCCACTCCTTAAGAAGTGAGTTATAATTTTGAATTATCATCTTCTAAGACTTTACATAATCCAAAATCTGAAATTTTTAGTTCATTTAAATGAAATAAAATATTTTATGGTTTTAAATCATAATGAATAATCTTATTCTTATGATTATTTAAATATTTAATAGCTGAGATTATTTATCCTATTAACAATTTTGCTTCCTTTTCTGGAAAACATTTGTATTTTTTAATATAATAAGCGAGATCTGGACCATCACATAATTCTAAGACTGTACAAAATGAAGATTTATCAATTTCAACAGAATCATATAATTTTACAATATGAGGATGATTTAATTCTTTATGAACCCTATTTTCTCTAATAGCATGTCTAATATAATTTTGTTTTGCATGATCTGACCAATTAGAATTTAGTTAATGAATTTTACATGCTACTTCTCTTAATTCTTAAAGATCATATGCCTAATTTATATAAAATATATTACTTTATAAACTTCACTAAAACCACCTTTTCCTAATAAACTTAGAACTTAATATCTTTCACCTATTAATGGATAATCATTATTTTTTGTAAATCTAGCATGTTCTTCTTCATATACTCTTTTTAATTATTTGATATGTAAATTCTTTTCTGTTTCTAATCTATCAACTGTTTCTTATAATTATTATTCCTCTTTTATTAAAAAGTTTAATTTAACATTGAGAGTTCTCATTTCTTATTCTTCTTTATTTTTTGAGTTTTTCTTTTTATTTTCATATTCTGCTTTTAAAATTTCCAATCTTTTTGACTATTCTTTTGCTTCCCTCAATTCTTATCCATCAATCCAAACATCAACTAAAGCTGTTTTCTCTCTCTAAACTACATATTCACCTAATCTAACTCTATTTGTTTGCAATTAGATTTATAATTATTATTTTTTAAGTTTTTCATTCTCTATAGCAAATTATTTTACTACATCCTAAATTCTTAATTACTATTCAGTTAATGACTAAAAATATATTATATATATACATACTGATATAGTTTCACGAAGTTCAGAGTTATGAGTTTCTAATTCTTTTATTTTTATTTCAGAAATTGCTACTTAATTTTATTTTTCTTTTAGTTATTTTTCTAATACTGGATCACTAGGTAATGGACTTTTATTTTTAAATGGAGAATCTTATATTGAATATTCCATTAATTTTTATTCACACTTCTTTGCTTTTTATTACTTTTTTTAATACTACAAATACTGAGTGATCTATGAATTTTTTCAATCAATATACATCTTTTTATTATCCTTCTTTAGTCTTTTTCTTTTTTTTCTACTATGAATGTTTCTTAGTTATTATACTTTTCTTTTATACAGGACTCAAATTTTATGAAGTAAATAATTTCTAAGGAGAATTTTCACTGTTTTATGAACATTTTAAGTCATCAGACTTTTTATTAGAATCCATATTCTGTTTATTACGATCATTTTCATCTGTTTGTTTCTCACTTTCCATCTATAAAAATTACTCTTAAATGATTTCTTCTTTTGATTTTTTATGAATTCTAGCTTCTAAACAAATAAGTCGATCTAGTTATTCTGGCGGCAATTATTGATGCATTATAATTAATTAAATTATTAAATTTGAGCACAAATGCAAATAATACTAATTTAATTAGAATTATTATTATTTATTAATATAAAAATGATGGTTGTAAAGAAGTCTATTATCATTTTATATACTAATCATTTGATGAAATGGTAAATTAAAATTAAATATAATTATTTTAACTAATAGTTTCTCATCATATTTTGCTTGATAAGGAATATTAAAAAAATTCTGTCATCTTTTATACTATAGTAATAAATTAAGAAATTTTATATTCTCATAATTTTATTCATAAGAAGGTGTTTCATATTAAAAAGTTTTATAGAATAAATCAGAATGAATTAATTTCTATTACAATAATTAAATGAAATACATAATTTTATTTTTATATGTCATATCTATTCATGAAAATTTAATATTTTGAATAAAAACTATCTCTAAATATAATTTCAATTCTAAAAAATTCACTAAATGATTAAAAATCAAAACAAACTTATATATATTTGAGGAACAAAAATTATACTTAAAAGAAATCCATTCTATTCTTTTTAGATAATTACTTATTTTTAATTATGGTTACTTCAAATAATAGGTATATGAATTTTAAACAATTCTAAATCATCAAAATCTTTCATTATTTAAAAACCTTTTGGTCATCATTTTAAAGTTATAATTCAGATAAACTGTTATGATAATCTTTTTTTTTATTTTACAATTATATTTAATTTTATGATTAAATCGAAAAATAAGACCAAAATATTAAAATTATTATGAAAAAAAGACTATCGTCAGTTAATATTTCTAAAAATATTCTTAAATGAATTTTCATATTATATTATTAATAAACTGAATAAGTTGTTGGAAAATTGATCAAAACCTTTGGAAATTGGATTTTTAAGAGATCATCTAAAGATTAAATAAAAAATTTGGCGCAATAAAAATCTATTAGAATACAAAACATTGATGTGTATAAATTAAAGTATTTTTAACGAATATTAATTAAAATTAATGATCCCAGGAGGAATATTTTCATAGTGTCTGCAGGAAATAAAGGAAAATTGCCCTCCTTTGTAACGTGTAAACTACAGCCATAAAAAATCATTTAGACATTGCTTGGAGTCAATCACTTAAAAGATTCCAATAGTAAAATCAATACACAAACTCCGATTAGATTAGGAATAGAAAATATATTAGAATATTCATAGAGTTAAGAAATTGAATTTAATGCATGAAATACATTAAGTAAATCCTAAACTTCATAATGAGTTAAAATAGATTTAGCATGATCAACTGACCCTAAAATTTGGTATTAAGTTATTTCTATTATAGCTGAATACAAACAATAACAAGAATAATGTGCTGAGATATTATCAGATACTCAGGATAGTTATATTAAGTATTAACAATAATTAGATCATCATGGATCAGGATTAAAAATATTTCATAACAGACCTCTCATTCGGAATATAATGGAAGAATATGATTAAGAAGAGAGTACCTATAGTGATTCATACATTAATAAATATTTGGATCTTAATTGAGTATTATATAATTAATTGACCTAATAATAATTATGCGAACAAAAGTTCACACTCTATCCATGCCATTTAAGATGACCATTTTATAATCTGAACATTCTGAAGAATAAAGAAATAAGTAATAGGCTAGCAACTCAAATTATTCTAAGTTAAGACTAGATGATTTAATAATTGATAAACCTTAAGAATTCAGAATAAAAACAAGTTCAGATATTAAAATGTCATTACTATAAAATCATAAAAGAAAATTAGCATAACCTACAAACATAGAATGGATGTATAATTACAAATCTACAGCAAAATTGCATAAATAATCTAAAATGAATGAATATCTAAAGTCAGTTATAGAAGAAAATAAATTAAGACCTACGATTGGATAATTACCTTATGTAAAAATATAATAACTAACTCAAACTGACATTATAAAAGAGAAGTATGATTTTAGAAAGAAAATATTTTAAAATCCAAGAAAAATACGATCTAAATTGAATTGATTATACTTTTATCTTATTGTTTATTTTTTAATCTAATATATTAAATATCATTAACTAAATTATATCCTAGGATGAAGCTAAATATACTTGTGCAGTAATTAATTAGTTTTAAGAATAATTTTAACATTTATAACAGAAAAATAAACTTAATTTGTAAATATGAATAAATTTCGAGTTATTACCATAAGATATATGATATAAATTATAAATCATACATTAAATTGAATTAAGTTAATTTCTTCAGTTAATATTGCATAATCATATTATTTTTGATCAACATTCGAAGCCACTTTATCTATTTGTTGTTTTAATGTTTAAATTTCTGAATCTATTAATTATTTTTCTTATTGATCTCCTTTTAATTCTCTAATTTAAATATTAAGATCAACTATTTTTTAAAGATCCTCTTTAAGTTGATTTTTAAGTTAAACATTTTCATCAAATAAACTTTTATATGTTTTTAATTTTGCTTTAACTTAATTCCTAAATTCATCTGATTTTTATTCAATAAGACTTTTTTGCTATTATAAACTACTATATTGACTGTATAATATTTAATTATCGCATTAAATTTTCATTATTTATTCATTTTAAGCTCTATATTTCTATAATAATTGTTATACGGCATAAACAATTGAATCACAATCTTATTAAACATCAAGTAGTAATGATAATTCTTTTACCATTTATTTATACTATGCTAATTAAATTTCATCAATTTATCTAGAACTCTATCTTGGAGTGACACTATTTTTATTTTGAAATTCCATAATAGGTTGTGGAGGATCAATTCTATGATCTGGACTAGTTTGAAATTCTTCACTTTCATCGAGAATACTGTTCTGCATAACTTATTTATAATCTTCCAATATTTTTTATTGTTTTATACTTGAAGCACTACTTTTACTAAGATTGCTACTAGTAGGTTATAATAATTATTATTATGGTTATTATTGTAGAAATTATTGTTATTATTACATCACAACAGGTTGAGGTTACGGTTAAGGTGGTAATTTCTTATGTTAAGGTGAACGAGAGGGTTAATTTTTATTTGGTTAAGGACTTCCATATCGTTTTTTATTTATGATTGGTTCTGATTTGTTTACTGACATCATATGATAATTATCTATCCTATTGTTGATAATAGGTATTTATTTTGCAGAATTGCGTACTTCTGTTGTGCATCGTAATACAATATTCATTATATTACCATGTTCAAGTTCTATTTTATGAGATACTTCTCTTCCTTATACATCATTAATAAGCAGTTTTGAACTTCCTAGAAGTTTGATGTAACCTTATTCATCAGGTGTTTCAATATAAAATTAGAGCTAAGAATAATAATGATTTGAAATTTACAAACTTAGTGTTTTAGGTATCAAAAACATATTGATGAGGCTAGGAATATTTGATAATTTTTTGAGTTGATGTAAACTATTAATACAATATTTCTTTCCTTTCACCTGATTATATTTAAGAAATGTACCGCATTTAAATCCAATGTTTATTTAGCAATTGCCCAATGCTTATTTTAAACTGATTTATGAAATTGATATCTCTATCATAAAATGATAGTTAACTAATATAAATTATTTAATATATTATTTTTAACTGAATGATATTTTTTTAATACATATTAAGATCTATATAAACTGTTTTCAGATGATTAAAAAATTAATGAATAATTTTATTTTCAGCAATTAAACAAGGTTTATAATATTATATTTAATAAACTATTTAGACCAAATATATAAAATTAGAATGAAATAACATCAATTATCATTAATCCAGCCACTAGATTATCATAACTTTTAATACTATTAATATTTACTAATTCATATATATTGATTTACACAACTTATTTGATGTTAGATTATTAACTTATGATTATGATAGTATTTTATTGGATAATTGACATAATAGTTATTTCAACTCTATCCTATCTGAAAATCAAGTTAGTATTATACTAATAATATAGATATAAAATTATAGTAGGCAATCTTTTGATGGACACATTTCTGGCAACTATTTTCAAAACTGTAATTCTCATCAACTTCACATATTCTGAAATAGATATACAATATTTTAGTTATGTTATTATGGCATATTATTTCATTAGATCAGTAGTTATTAATATTAGAAAAATTGTAATCAATTAGACTATTACATAATACTCCTTTGTATATATAATATCCATTTTATTTATAGCTTGTTTAAGGTGTAAAAATATTATTAGTACTTTAATTGATGTTAATAACCATGAGATGGAAGTCCACTATTTATTGGAGTTGGTATACAACATTTAGTATTGCATGGGGTTTATTAGTTATATGTTTTATTGTTCATTTTGTCTTTCTCCTATCAATTGGAGAAACCTTAATAGATTATTACAAATAGAAGACAACTAAAACATAATTGATAGGTGGTATTTGGTTAACATTTTATTTATGTGGATTTAGTGGAATCCCTATGTGGTTTTGTTATATCATCTGTTAAAATCAGGAAGTCAAAAATTTCCAAACTGTTAATTAAGCTACTTTATTATGTATCTTAATAATTTCTTATAATTTTTCACTTATAATAATTACTGCCATTTGTAAAGTCTAACTTATGTAATATCAACCATTAAATATATAGATAATTCATAAAAGACATGGGATTTGATGTTGAAATTCAATAGGACCCAGTTATATAAGGAGAAAAATTACCTTATCAATTTCTTAAGATTTCTTTACCTTAAAAATTAATTTAAATATCTTCAACTTACTTTGATTTTGTATAAGAGTCAAACAAATAAAATAAATAATAATTGCATGCATCTAATAGCAATTTCAGTGTTATAAATTAAAAGGCCAGACTCAAAGCTTTTGAATTTGTGGCTAAGACTGAATAGATCAATTCTCCTATAGAAAGAGAATCAGGACTTGTGAAAAATGAAGAAAAATGTTAGGTTTGTTTTGAAAACTAACCTTAAATTGTTATGCTTCCTTGTTAACATGGTGGAATCTGTGATGATTGTCTTTAAAAATGTTTAAGGAAATCACCTAATTGCTATTTATGTAGAAAAGTATCTTATGCATATTAACAAAGAAAATTGAAAAATTGCTTCGAGTTTCGAAAGAGACTTCTGGAAAATTTGCAATAAATGACATTGCATTATGTGATGCCTGAAATTAATACTATATTAAAATGCGCTTTATTATATAATTTAAAATTAAATGAGTTTAAAAGAAATTGTTACCATAAAAAACATACTTGAAGCACTCTAAACTGATGAAGCAGAAAAGCAATTACGAAAAAAAAAATTGTTTGCTTTCATTATAGATGCATCTAAACCTAAGAGACTTCAAGGATAAGGAGATTACATGTAAATGATCAAAATTATGGATGATTCTTATAATGGATACCTTACTCTATTTTATTTCTTTAAATCTCTTTCTGATGCTGCTCCTTTAGATACAATTGGGGATATTGTCTTCTTAAAAAGATATCAATATTAATTATTTAATGGAGAACCTCAAGGCAGAAGAAATAGTTTCAAGACTTCATATTTCTTATTATTTGATGTAAATACATTGCAATTAAAATTCAATCCTAATGATAGCTCAGAACCCTCCAATGAAGAATTGGAATTTATATAAAAACTCTCAACTTATAGTTAATCATATTTATCATAAAACAGCTGTAAGTTAATTTATCTATTTAGTACTTAATTTATATTGGTATGGTTCTACAAATACTATTTTTGATGGATTATTTAAAATATAAGAATTGAAGGATGAAAATACTGTTTTATTAAAAGATTCCAAAGACAATCAATATACTTTATTATGTAAGGGATTAGTTGATTTAGAAATTCAAGAAGGAGCAGTCATTAAGATAAGAAATATATAAATGTAATTTCATATTTAAATATGATTAGTTCAAATTAAAATGAGATTTTAATCACTGATAAATCAAATATCATGATGTTATCTAATTTTTGTTATGATGTTTAACATTTTGAAGAAATTAATCAAACATTTTCTAAGGTAGATTTTTAATAGGAGAACTTTTAATAAATAACAATAGGATCATGTAAATATTCATTTATAATATTATATAGTTACATAAATAAAGAAAAAATATGAAAATTTTTAATATGTTCCTTTAATTAATCTGATATAGAAATAAGTTAAAGAGAGTATAATTGTAATTTAAGGGTAAGTATAAAGTATTTATCCTACTTAAATTGAAGAAGGTTTCATATTTTACAATAAATTCAAATCTTTTTCATATAAAGAAGTCATAGCAAATAATTTGTAAATATAAGGATTACAAAAAACGTTACAAATATAAATTAACATAAGAGATGCTTCACTAGAAGGTACAACAAATATAATACAATTATTAATTTTTGATAATCCTTCCTTCTTTCCATTTCCAATGGTCTGGGACAATGTTGAATATATGCAAATCGAATATCAAAAAGTAATTAATATTTTATAAATGATTTAGTTACTAGAAAAGTTGATTATTGAATAAGATTAGATACATGACTTTGTTTTGGAAATCATAGAATCACCTGAGTCTACAATTTATAGAGTGATTGATACAAAAATTAGTTATTGATATATTTTATAATATTTTAGATCATATCTAATAAATTAAAATAAATCATATTAAAACATTTTGTTCTTCTTTAAGAATCAACAAAATGGCGTTATTAGAATAATATAATAAGCTCATTTATTTATTTATTAATTAATTTAATGTAAAATCCTAGTATCCTTAATTTGCAATAAGTGAAATAGTTTTAAGTTAGAAGACCGTAAATAACAAAAGGTTCTCCTCTTTTAAAAGGAAATTAAATTTAGATTGCAGGTACAATGTGCTTAAATGGGATAGCAAATATTCGTAATTAAAGCTTGTTAAGTGATCAACCTCAGCACTTAAAAATAAAACAACAAGAAGAATAAGAACTGTAATGATTAATAATTATTAGAATAGAGGTATACACAACCAATTCGAGAGAAGAATATAAAAGTAAAACTAGTATGATATAAAATAATAAGTAATAAGTAGTTTGATAATATATAGGATAATATATTCTAATTGAAATTAAGTAATGAGCATCAATTGAATTAATTGAATATGCAATTAATAAAGAAGAATAAAATTCTAAGCAATAGACTTCAATAATAATATAAAGTATTTAAATGATTGCATAAAGATTAATGAATCTTATATGGAATAAATTAATAAACTACAAGAAACAAATCAAGCTTATGAAATGCAAATTCATTAATTGGAAGAGAAAATAAAAAAGTAGAAATCAAAAAAGAAGTAATTGAAAGAGTAGATAGACCAATTATAATAAGAATTAGATGAGATGCAAGAGAAGTATCAGAATAATTCAAATTAAGATATGAACTAAGAAGTATATATTAATTTTACTCAAGGATGAACAATAATAATAATAATAATAACAATAATAGAATCATATTCCTTTAACAAGATAGCAATTATATTAGTTAATGCAATATTTATACTAAGGAGATTAGTAATAAATAGAGAACTTCCATGAATACTAGGATTAAGAAATCGATCCAGATGCTATGACTTATGAATAACTCTTAGAATTAGAAGAATAGATAGGGTAGAATTACTGATTATATTAGAAATGTGCCTAAGGGATTAACTAAATAATAGATTAAGCAATTACCAAAAAGAACATTGGATTAAGATAATATACCAGAAGATAAGTAAAAATATTCATATTTATTATTAGATGTTCAGTATGCTTATTTGAATTCAAAGAAGAAGAGAAGGTGAGAGAATTGCCTTGCAAACACATATATCATTCTAGTTGTATAAAAAATTGGCTTCAGAATAATAAATAATGTCCATTATGTAAAACTGAAATCGAAATCCAAATAAATGAAAGTGATGAATAATTGAATTAATAAGATGAACAAGACTAAGAGAATGAATAATAAGATGAATTAGATTAATAGTAGTCTGAAATCGAATGATTCTTGATAATTTTAAATAATTAATATATATTTCATCAATAAACTATACTAATCTACATTCATTATGACTTTTTTTGTTATAAAATTCTTTTTATCAAATTCACAGTGATAGCTGTAATTATTAATGATAATCCTAAACATAATAGACCAAAAACTATTTATTTCTTTGAAATAGATCCTTACATTTTAGACATAAAATCATATTTTGAAATAAGGAATGATCTTTCTCTTTTGATATCATCAAGTAAACTATTTAATTTTTTCATATAATCACCCATTTAATTTAAATCTGATATTTTTGCTACTTTTTACATGTCTGCTAATTCAGATCCTGTTTTGTATGTGATATTAAATACAATATTATCATTTTCCAAATTTATGAAGCAATATCTCATATGAGAAGCTCTATGATTTGATTAATGCTAATAATTGTGTTCCCAAGATCCACTTCTTTCATATAAGAGAACATATTTCTTATTTTCAGATTCTTCTAATTTTACACTATAATTTGAAGAATTAGCTCTAACTCTTAAATCGAATACATCATCTTAAGAAAAATAATCTTCAAAACATATTTATTATCCTCTTTCAACTTCATAACCGAATTACACACATTAAACTATCCCAACTAATAGTAACAAGATCATAACAGGTTTACTTTTATTATTTTTGATGTTTATAAAAATAACAAATTTCTAAAACCAAAAAAATTAATATATATAAAATAGAGCTCAATCAACTTTCTTCTTTTGTTGGTATTTTTATTGTGAGATTTTTCTTCTTGTTTACCACTGCAGATGAAAAATTCTTAACTTTTCTTTTTATTGCTATACTATCTTCATCCCCTTTTGGAGAACATTATTATGGATTTGTAGGAGGCCTGACTTACCTATCAGTTTTGTCAGGAATTTCAACATATGCTTTAGGCATAGGCTTATTATTCAAATTATCAATGGTTCTAATCTTAAGTTTTCTCCATATACAGTATATCCCAATCACTACTAAAACAGATGCTGCACCTATTATAGACACAAGCAATAAAGTATCGCTTATCATTTCTTCTTTCAATTATTTAATTATTTATAATAATATATATTCAATATTAGACTTTCTTATTCTAAGATTCTTTCCTCTACAAAAGACTCCAAATTTACATCACTTAATTCCATTATAAACTCTACTTATTTATTTTTCATCAAGATTTCATTTAAATTTCCCTTTCTTTAATCTATCAAATATATATCTTAACATAAATTATATATTAATAAGTTTATATTTGTTTTCACTATAATTGATATCACTTCTGTCTTTTTTTTTGGACTAGTTTTTATTCTTTAAACTATTTTTTTCTTTATATAAAGCTATTTGAAAATAAGAATCCCAAATAATTAATTCTTTGACTTTTATTTATTATTTGTAATATATATTTATACAAAATCAAAAATTTAAGTCTTAAAAGAGTTTAATTATAAAATCAATTTTATTAGCTATTGGAAATTCTTAAGAAAGTTTAATTTTAATCATTAAAATTAAATTAGGATATTTCATTTAGTTAAATGAATTGAATAAAGCAATTATTAATTCTATGAATAATTTCTAAATGTTTTTTCAGTGAATACATATTATTTTTCATTTCAAATTTTATTCATTATTAAGAAAAATGAAATAAATACGTACACATAAGATTCTGGATTAAGTATAATGGTTGGTTTTTCAAATTTTTGTAAAATGTTGGATTGATTTAGGATTATAATTGAGGAATCATTATAAATTTCAGCTTAAATAGTTTATTAATTTTAATTTTATGAATACAGAAATAGAGTTAGACAAATAAAATAACATCAGTACTCCTTTGATAATAAAAAAGGAAAACTAATAAAAGAGTAGTTAAATTCTAAATAGAAGTTCTTCAATCTATTAAATAAATTAGGATTTACTACGTTCATAAATAAAAGAACAGATTGATAAATCTCTTTCAGAATTTGTAATATTTTTTGAAATATCAAATAGTAATCAATTGAAGAGTTGAAAAAAGTGATTCCCTTTATAAATTATGCAAAGGCATAGGATATGCTTTTGAAAGCAACATAAGAGGGAGAGGTTGAAGAATTCTTAGTTATTTTGGATGATTTGAAAACTAGAAAAGAGAAATTAAGATTAAACGATTAATTGGATCACAAAAAGTAAACTCTTCTTCATATTGCATGTTTTAAAAATTTACCAGCAATAGTCGAGAAATTGTTAGAAACTGTTAAGCAAAATTCTACATAAATTGAATTTGAAGAATGGATAAATAGAGTTAATTAAGACTAATTTGCATCTGTTCATTTTGCAGCATATGTGGGATCTATAACAATTTTAGAGATGCTTTAAAAAGCAGGAGCTGATCTAAATATAAAAAATTCTCAAGGGTAAAATGCATTGTCTGTAGCAGCTTAAGGTGATTAAGTTTAAGCAATGGTATGGTTATATTTATAAGGTCAATCAATAGTTGAGTAAGATTTACAAGGAGGAACACCTTTGCATTGGGCAACGTATTTTGATAGTCTTTTTGCCCTTCAATTTTTGTTGTCATGGCTGTCCAAACTACCTAATTATAGTTATTATATAAATTTGAAGGATGGAGAAGGTATGACACCTTTGCATTTGGCTGCTGTAACTGGAAATTGCAGAATTGCAAAGAAATTATTATAAAAGGGAGCTAATAAAAGTATAAGAGATAATAAAAACTTAACTCCTGCAGAAGCTGCTTAAGAAAATTAATAAAATGGAGTATATGAAATTTTAATGTAAAATAATTGTTTATTAGAATTTCTTAATATAAAACCAAGGTATTTTATATAATTTATAAGATAGTGTGAAACCTCCCTCTATAAGTTGGACTTAAATCATAGCTTTTTTTATTATTTACTTTTATTGTATGATAGGTACAATTTTGTTTGTTTACCCATTTTATTTCAAATATGAATGGCTTTAGATATTATCAGTTTTTTCATTTTTGTTAGGATTAATACTTTACTTTTTAACAATGTTCTTACGTCCTGGTTATATTGAGAAAAATAAAGATTAATAATAGTTATTTAAACTATTAAATGATTATGAACCTTGGGAAGTATGTTCAGAATGTTTAATAAAGAAGCCAGAGAGATCTAGACATTGTGAATTTTGCAAAAAGTGTATTGTTGTTTATGATCATCATTGTCCCTGGGTTAATAATTGTGTAATGATTATATTAATTCTAATAGATTGGAGCCAAAAATTACTTCATATACTTTTCCTTTATTTCAATAATTTGGATAAATTTAATTCATATTTTAATTCTGAATAGTTTGTTTATTGGAAAGGAATACAATAATATTAATTTAACTTATCCTTGGTTCAATAATATGATAGAATCATAATCCAATTCTTTATTTGTAGCCAAGATAGTTGTTTAATCAATTATATTATTTTTAAGTGTTTTGTTCATAATAGCAGTGTCTCATTTACTTTATGGATAAATTATCACATTGTTTACAAACAGAACTACATTTGAAAAGTATAAGTAAGCTGAAAACTTTCAATCCAATAATTAGAAGTCAAAAAGTTAGAAGCAATTGTAATTATTTATATAATATATTAGATCATAATAATCAATTAAACCAGAGGAAACTAAGATATAGTGTTCTTGTAATAATTGTATATTGATGTGTTGTGGAAATGCAAATAATCCTGCTTTTTAGTGAAATTGATAATATAAAGTGTATATAATATCTCAAATATAATTATTAATATGAAATTCAGTATAATCCAAAAATCTTATTGTTATCAAATAATAATAATAATAATAATAATAATAATAATAATAATAATAATAATAATAATAATAATAATAATAATTAATTTTAATGTCATATATAGGAATCAATACATCAGGTGGCATCAACCCTTGCATCACATTCTATGAAAGAATGTAAGCCTGCATCAATAAAGAAAATCTACCAAATAAAATGTGTGCAATTGAAGGATTAGATTTCTTAGAATGTGTTAATAGAAGAAAATAAGTAATGCAAAAAATGAATTATTATAGTATGCACTCAATTACAAAATTTAATAGGAATTGCACAAGAATAGAATATTAGTATTACCAACTTATGATGTTGAAAATGATAGGTTTGTATCAAAATATTAAAATGCAACAGAAGTGTTTTAATAAAAGCATTGAAAATATACAAAATACACAGATATATTAAATATTAAAAATACTCATTATTATGATGATAACTTAGCAGGCCTTAAAAGAAAAGCTTCAAGGTCTTCCAAAAAAGCATTTACTACATCAATATCTTGGTACCTTTTACTTCTGTGTAATTCCAAAACCTTTATATTCCATTATTTAATCTAATCTTTAAGTTTTTCTTCCTCAAACTTCAAATGATAACCTCTAATACTAAGGTTTTATATAGTAGATCAAATTACTTTTTAAATAATTAATTGGGATTTTAGTCTGGGAATTGTTTCAATTCATAAGTAGATCCTCTTAAAAATACTGCAACCACTCTTCTCCAATTAGTTATTGTATTAGGAGTATCCAATATTATAAATTATTATTCACTAAAAATAACATAATAATCTTTACATGTCAGTTAATCTTAATTTCACTTTAATTTAAACAGATCTAGATTCATTTGTGAATTTTAATCCATTTGGATCTAAATATTACCCTTATTCTAAAAATTATTAAACATTCCTTAAACAAATGTTTCCTAATTCAGCTATTTATGGAACTATAATAATAGGTTTTTCTTTAGATTTAATGAATTCATTTAACACAGAATATGATAATTTAGCAATTGATAATTATTTAGCTTTATTGACATCTTGAATTCTAGTTCCTAAAATTTACTAGAATTCTTCTTTATCTCCTCCAACTCCTACATATTAACCTTAAAAGATCTAAATATGCTACGCATATTATGAATACTTTTTAAGCTGTTTTTAAAATATCATCAAAAGTTCTATCTTAAACTCTGAATAATCTATTTCTTGTAGTAATAGGTTTTTCAAATCTCAAAATTTCATCAAATACCTTTAGATCAAAATCTTTTTCAGAAAGTGGCTAATTTCATATCCTAAATATACTTCCTTCTCAGAATCAAGCTTAGCTTTTTTTGAAATAGCAAATTCAATATCCTCATCTTTTTGGTGGGATTTTTTATTTTATAAAATTGCCTTCTTATTTGCATCAATACAATCTGTATAGTCTACTTTGCCAGTAAAATATTCAATAATGTCGTAATTATCTGCCTTAAAAACCTATTCAAAATTAAGATCAAATGCTTTTTATCTATAAATCTTTTATTCTAACCCCTATTAATAACAATCTAGAAAACACCACAATGCTCCTAATGTATATTCTTATCCAGATTTTGACTTCCATGCTGTTTCCTTTTAATAATCATAATTTTATTACAGTAGAACATTTAAATTCAATATTATTTTCAAAAATTAGTTTATGGTCTGTATTTTTGCTTTTCAATTTAATTTATTTATGATGAATAATATGATCTCTTAATAATTCTAAAGGATCATTTCTTCCTTTTTTAAACATTAGATTATTATTATTATTATTATTATTATTATTATTATTATTATTATTATTAATTATTAATCAATTGATTATTAACAAATGAATTGTCTTTAGTCTATTACATAATTAATGTATATACTATTTTCTGATTAGATAGTATGATAATTTGATTAAAAATTTAATTATTATATTATTTCTAATTTTGTACAAAATTTAAACATTTAGTTATAAATAAATGAACAAAAATTAATGTTATTTGCCTAATCAAAAATAGTTTTATGCTCCAATCGTTTTGACAATAAATATGATGTATCTTTCAGGGATGATCTCATTAGCTTTAAACTCTGAATTATAAAATGGAATTTTATACTTTGGTTGTTTTGTTGGATCAAGATTATACAAGTAAAAAATATATTTATAATCAGATACATTTAGTAATTTTCAAATCGTGTAATATTTTACTTTTCAGATTTGCTATTTTTGGCTTCATTTTTCGTGATCTATTTTGTAATTACTAAATTTAGTACATAAAACCTATATTGTGAATATTTGATATGTATTTTTATTATCGGGATTGCTGGAGGTATCAATTTAATATAAGTGTTGATGTATTTGAGATTGAAATATACTGATGAAGCTATCTCCTTTTTTTCATTATTCATACCATTATAATTTGCTATAGGGAGTATAATATATGCTTTTGTAAATATTGATCAAGAAAAGTTAATGGCATCCCCGGCATTCCCTATTATGACTGCTGTTAGAATATTATTGATATCAATAATACCATTTTCAGGTTTATCATAAAATGTGAAATAAATGGAGGAAACATCTTAAAATAATTAAACAGCAGATTTATAATTAAATTAAACAGAAGAATAAGTGGGAAGTGAGAAATTTCTTTAAGCCTTTTTAAAAAACTTCAAATATTTAATTTTAGTAATAATATTTTAGACTTCCTCAACGCCATTTTAATATCATCCATTACAATTATTTATTGTTCTATTTAATATGATATTTTATCAATATATAGATAAGAATAAAATGATTGTATTAGGTCAAATTAGTGTATGTTTTGGATACTGTATGAATATGACTATTTTTTCAGCTTCAGGATATTATTTGGGGTTAGGTAGTCTTTTTTATCCAATAATTTGTAAAATATCAAGTTCTGAATTAATAATGATTTCTGAAATTAGTTGGATAGTAAGATTATCAACAATGTGTTTTATAGCAGTAATGTAAAAGATAAGTTACAATTTATTTTTATTGGATAGTGATGTCCAAAATAATGTATTCTTTATTCTCAATTTTGTAAGTTTGATTTTGTTAATTTCATTACTATTTTTTTCGGTAAAATATTATAATAATTTATTATAGAAAAAAAATGAAAAAAATAAAGTTGAGTTAGAAATGATATTGGGAGTACAAACAAGAGGAGAACTTAATTGATAGGTGATCCTATTATATAATATGATATTTGATTATTAATAACTAATGAATAAAATATATTTCCCAAAAAGAAGAAAGATTTTTTTAGTATCCTAAGACAACAACTGAATCTTAATTACAAACAACTCGATCAATTGCTATAAATAATATTTTTTCAATGGTCAGTCAACCAATTATGATGTTCCTAAAATTATAGTTAAAACAGAAGAGAATGAAGGAATTTCAATTCCAAATGAGACCAGATTTAAAAATTGGAATGATGTATTTCGTGATTTTTTATCTGAAACCTTATTGAAGAGTAAATAAACTTAATTAAAAAGAAATACAGAAACTTCAATAGATAGAGCTTATTTATATGAAGTTCCATTATAGTTTGATAATGCTCTGTCAATAAGTCCTTCTAAAAGAAGTAATTTCACTAAATCTATCATGAGGGAAATTTTTGCTCAAGAATTTGTAATTAGAAAAAATTAATCTCAAAAACTTGATAAATTAATTCCATCAGTTATCAAGACAAGAAAAAGACTAAAAAATTAATGTGTATAAAAAGATAGTAATTATTATTAGAACATATCACAGATCAGCAGTAATAGATGAAGGGAATCATGATGTAGCCTTTTTATAATTATTGGATGAAAAGAATAAAGTGATGCTTAAAAAATAACAGGCATTAGACAGATTTGATATTATTAGAGATCTAATAGCAGAAAAGATTGAAAAGAGAGAAAAGGAAGATCTTGTTTAAAAGAAGTAGAGAATAAAAAAATTTTGGAATGATCAAATAAATGTATGATATAAGTGAGGAGTATATACAAGATTTATGAAAGAAATTACAAGAAAAACAATTAGTTACTAATCAAAAATTACTTTTTAAAGGGAATTCAATAAATAAAAAAGTAAATTTATGTGAATTATTAATTTTAAAAAAAACATTATGCAAAAATCTATTTTATTCTAATACTCCATAGATATTTGAAAATAGTGAATAACATTATATAAATATTCACAATATTCATCATTTCATATAAAAAGGTATTAAAGGCAATTAAGTTGTTAAGAATTAGTAGATAAATAATGATTTAGAATAAATAAAATATATTACAAACTATCCAAAATATGATCCATATAAAGACAAAGATTGTCAAGAATAAATCCAATAAGATTTTCTTGATGCTGCTGGATTATCATCTGATATTCATATTAAAATTCCTTAAAGAAAACTAACTTAATCAATTAAATATTCTAAACTTTAAAAATAAGATTAAATGTATCCTTAGATTTTCGGACTGATTATGAATCATTAAATTCTATGTATGAATTCAATATAGATAATCTATACTAGTAAAGTATGAAATTGTAAGAAAAGTAGATTGAAATACAATACACAGATGGATTGAGTAAAATGATTAAGGCAATTTAAAAAGTTAACAATTAAAAAATATTTCATAGATTTTATAATAGTGATATTATTGTAAAAAATATATAAAAACTTGAAGGAATATCTCCTATCTGAAAATATGATATAGAGATATCAATATTAAAATTTGTATTTAGCAAAATATTATTCAATCTTTAATTATTAAAAATTCAGGTTAGAATTTTAATTCTTGAGCACATCCATGACAGAATTATCTATTCTAATCTGTTATTTAAAATTTTTAGCGTTTATTTTATGTAACAAATTATTTAGTTTTCTCTAAAGAATATTATATAAAAGGCAATGCAGAACTAATTGAAAAACATTTACATGTTGCTTATGCTTCTATTGCACATAATTACCATTCGATATTTTCATAATTTTTAATAGATCCTATGATCCATTAAGTTAAACTTTCAGATTTTTCTGGTTGTTATTATTAGATATACTTTTAATATGCTATGCTCATACTTAATGAGCATTTTTTACAATCTGATTGAAATTTATAGATATTTTATTATTATTATTTAAAAGCTGAGCAAGGAAGGCACTCTTTGCAAGTTGGACATTTCAATTTAAAACATATTGAACGTATTCTAAATTCAACAAAGCCTTCCCCTTTGATAATTAAAAATATTTTTTTATCTCCAAAGTGTTAAAATTATTATTGATTCTGTTTTATTTCTTGGGGCAACATATTTGTTTTAATAATTGACTCAGTAATTTATTATTATGAGTATTCTATCCTATCTTTTTAATTATCTTGTTTCTTTACTAGATAATGATTTTAAGGTTAAGTATTCTATACTATCATTTTTTATAATTCAACTTTGAATTCTTGTTCTTTTTTATTATCAATTGTAAGTTATCCATAGATTTCATCTTCTTAATCTAATACTAAACCTTTTTTTTTAAATGTGACTGGTTCTTTTATTTATTCCATTTGATTATGTGCATTCATAGCTAACTATAATTGAAGCAACTTAATACTTTTGTTTCTTCCCATTCAAGAATTTCTGGAACACGACTATTCATATTAAGAGAATACAAAGAATCTTGGTCAAATAAAATAAAAAATATATAATAGAAAATAGTTCTTAAAAAATGATAAATTCAAAAAACAATTATTGAAATCATCATAATTAGATCTTATAAGATTTAATCATAATTAAATAAAATAGAAACGTAGATAAACTATCAAGAATATCAATCAATTGATATTATAACAAATAAAAATTTATTACTATTTAATTATAATAACTCACTCATTTAAATTCTTATTTAGGTTAATGATTATTAATGATTGAAATAAGAAAAATTAATTATAATAACAGATCATGAAGTATATCAGATGATTTTATTAGTTTTATCTAACAAATTATTTTAATAGTATTGTGAGTCTACTCATAAATTATTCTACATACAATTAATTAAATTATTGTTCATAATTGATACATATTTGATTATGATTTTTATTATGTAAAAAGTTAATGATTTGATCTATTATTTGTAAATCTAAATGCAAGGATGTATAATTAATATTAGATAGCTAGTTTTTTTATCTAATGTAAATTTATTAAAGAATTATTAGAAATTTTTCTAAGAAAATGGAATAAGAATAATAACAGATACAAAAATATTTAGAAGATTCATACTTAACTTAATATCCTAGTACAATTCTTGATGTTAAGAATGTACTCATAAACGATGCTAAACAATAAAATGTTAATGTTATATAATTGCTTTTGAAGGAGAATATTTTTCATCCTTAAGGAGGGGGTTAACCAGATGATGGAGGTTAGATTAAGATAAATGATAAGTATAGAATTTGTTATATTGAGTTTAATAAATGTAATGTCTCTCTAAAATGACAAGACTAAATAACAAGTTCTATTGAATTTACAACATTAACAATAATTGTTTGATCTTCTTATGGAAGCTAAATAATAAAATTAATTGGTTATTTAGTTAGTGAATGAAGAACAAAGAAGAAATTATGCAAGACTTCATTCAGCTGGTCATTTTATAGATATGGTTGTAAAGAAACTTGGTTTAAAGTGGGCTGGTGCCAAAGGGTATCATTTTCCAGATGGATCATATGTTGAATATTAAGGTGTATTAGAAGGAAAACCAGAAGATATATAATTATCTTTATAATAAACTTGTGATGAATTATTGAATGAGACTGAAGATAATGATAAAAAATAAGTAGAATACTTGAATGAAGAACAATTAAGTCAAAGAATGGGAGAAGTACCACATTATTTCAAGGGTGCATAAAATGTAAGATATGTGAAGTTATGTAAATATGATGATGGATGTCCATGTGGAGGTACTCATGTGAATCATGTAAAGGAATTAATTAAAGTGAATATTGTAAAAATATAGAAGAAAGGTAAATTTATAAGAGTGTCATATAAAGTGTAATGATTATTATTAATAAGAGAGAATGATTTATTTATAATCATTTAATTATATATTTATCTATTTAAAATATTTTTTAAGTTCTAGAAGTGTATTCTAGTTTAAAGAATAAATAATTATTGTTATTGAATTTAATATGAAATAATTAAATGTATTATATTATTATTATAAAACGAATTTCCTTATGATTCTAATTCTCTTAGGTTTAATAACATTGATTTAAGCATCATCAGAAAACAATTAAAAACCAGTTAATTTGAGTAAATTTGCAAAAATATTTGAACAATATGTATGATAAAGATATTATATTGAGAATCAATCGAATTAATTTAGCAAATCATTATTTACTTAATTGAAATCAAAAGTAATTAATGGAGCAACAGTTTAAGATATTGATGACCATTTTGCAGAATTGGTTGGCCATATAGAAAAGGATGAATTCTCATAGCAATAATTATATTAAGTTGAACAAGCTAGATTAGAAGGAACAATTTTATAATTAGAAGATGAATTAAAGTAATTAGAAGAATAAAATGCATATCTAATTTAAAAATAAGAGACATTAAATGAAGAAGCTTAATAAATTGATGTTTTATTTAGTGCTAATCATGAAGCATATATATAAAAAATTGGAGAACAATATACTTTAATTGAAGCAATTGATGAGTTAATATCATAAGTTTAAGAAAAATAGACTATTAAAGATGATAGTGATATTATGGAGAAGTTGAAATAAATTAGTGAAGATTAACATATTAGTATATTAGCTTAAGTGACTGCTCATTTAGATATGGAATAAGCAGATAAGATCTTAGTATTATTTAAGGATTTGAAAGATGTTTTAAAAGAAGGATTAGAAATAGATGAATAAAATAATGAATTAAATGTGAAGTTACATACAGAAATTAGATAATCCATAGGCAGGTATGATTTCTGAATTAATTATTTAAGTATGATACCTGAAACACTTATTTAACAAGAAGAGATTATCAAATCTATAAATGAATAACAAAATACTTTAACAATGACCAAAATAGCATTAGAAAAGCTTAAATCTGATATGGATGCAATAAATTAAGATAGGTATTAGAATAATTAACTTCAATAGAAACTTTGCATTGCTTTAAATTTAATAAGCAAAATCAATTTTTAAAGAAAACATTCAAGACTTATCAGATTCTAAATGATAATTATATATTTTGAAAACCTAATGCATTTGCAATAATATCAATCATTTACAAAATTATAAATCTACTTAATACAAAGTTACATCGTTCTGTCTTTATTAATATTATTAATAATATAATTATATAATTTAAAGAATATTATTAAAGTTATTATACTTAGTTTATAAATTAAATAGATAAATAGATTACCATATAAGTAAGTATTTTATATTGAAAATTATGGGTAATTTATTAAAATAAATTATTAATATTTAACAACAATATATATATTTACTATCAAAATTAGTTAATATTTTAAAGGGATTCATTTCAAAGAGATATAAATTTAATTCCAATCATTCATTAGATAAAATACTATGAATAAAATTGAAAAACAGTTAATTACTTTAACTGTTATTAATAAGTTTAAGCTATTATTCTTTAGTTCAAATTTCATTGTATTATTGTCATAATTGTATATATAATTAATATCATTTTATCAATCAATGAATCTTTATTAGTATAAATATATTTTATCATAATAATTTTTATGCTGATATCTCTAATAAAGGTTTTAAATCTGCCTAAGGTCTTCTAAACAATTAACTTGATAAACAGAAATTCTGGGCCGATTTACTACTATATAAAGAAACCTTGCTTTTATTAGGAACCCCACGAATCTAATATATTTTTGACTCATTTACTGATTAACTCTAGAGACAAGTTTATAACTCATCTTACCATTCTTTGTGTGATAATCTAAATTTTTGACTAGTTTTGCTCAAATACAATGCATTCGTGCTATTCAATTCAGGAAATACACTTTTGTTTCTATAAGGCCTATAAAACCTTCTTTATAGAGTTTTCTATTCCTGTTTCCTACTTTATGGTAAGCTAAAGATATCTTATTTAGGCAATGAAAACTCTATTCTCATTTAATTATTTCTCATTTATTTATTATTAAGCTTATAGAAAACAAACATAATCAATTTTTTTATTTTCTTTCTCTATTTTTTTATATATTCTTGTCCATACTTCTTTAATTTTCAATTAATCTCTTGATTGAATCTTTTACTTCTCTATTTCAATTTAATATCAGAAACTTAATTAAATTTTAATTAGAATGAATCTTATAGAAAGAGAGAATATTGATAGAGTACTAATTATTATTTTAATAGAATGAATAATAGATATTAAATTACAACATTAATTCAAAATTAATAAATTTCTTAATCTTTGTATTAATGTAAATGTAATTTTTTGATTGAACTATATAGCTATTCAAATAATTTCTAATAATAAAGGTTAAAAATATTACTTTCTCCGTTAATAAAGATTATTAATTCATATATATATCTAGCTATTTATTTGTAATTATTTTCATAATAAATTATGAACCAACACAGTTGTAATTTATAAATATTTAATTATTAAAATATAATTATCAATTATTATATCTATATATCATTTAATAATTCAACCTATAATGCAATCTTTAAATAAATAATAGATTGTATAGATTAGAACTTCCAGAAGGTTTCAATTATGTTATTAAATATATGTAAATAGTTATTAAAACATATATATTAGAATTTATATCAAATAATACTTAAAAGTCAATTTAATTAAAGCTAATTAAATATAATAATATTTTATATTAATATTTTATAGATAATATTTGTCTGAATTAAACAAAGATCTTAAATTGTATATGAAGACTATATATGATCTTATTTTGAATCATAATTAATAACTTTATGATAAAAGAAATTTCTTCAGATTTTTGATATATAAATTGGTTTAGATATTTTTTGATTGTAACTTTATCTTTTTTAATTCACAATGCAGAAGAGAATTTTTTAATTTTGATTATTAAAAAAATAGAAGAAACTAAAACTTATATAAGTTTCTATAGTATTATTTTATTTTTAAATAAAATATTTTCAACTCATATAAGAATAGATTTTTTCTTTTGGAGAAATTTCGCTTCTATTTTAAATAGTTTATTTCATTTAATCAATAAAATTCGCAAAATTAATACAATTTGATATTCATTAATTGTTATTAATATTGAGATAAGATTAAGATTTCTCAATAATAAGGGAAAAGTTTAGTATTAACTCCTATATTTTGATTCATAGAGAATATGGCTGGAACTTTAATTATTTACATTCTTTCTTATTCTCTATGTCTTTTCCAATTAGGACTTCTATGTTCAAAAGAGTTGATAGATTCATTCATTTTAATGTCAGGTCGATTATGTTTTTTATTTTTCGAATGACGAAGTGATCGTTGACTTTTTGTTCTAAAAATAGTACCTCTAGCAAAACGAACTGATCTTGTTTCTGGAGAACCACTCACACTATCTTTTATTTTACTATTTTTTTTTAATATGCTTTTGACTGATTTGGCATCATCATCTTTTTCTGCTTATAAAGATTAATTATGTGGTTAAGAAGTTTAGTTACTCTCATCAAAATGACTATGTGTAACACTAGTCCTAAATAATCGTCGTTTTTGATTTGAGGCTTATTTGAGAGATTCAACATCACCTCTATTAGATATTTTTCTTTGAGATTCTTCTTCTTGAAAATTATATAATCTCTTGTCTTTTTTGATTCTAGAATATACAGTTAATAAGTTATCTTCATCTTCAACTTTTTAATCTAATTATTCAAGTTTATTTTCAATATTTGAGGATTACACATTTTGATTAACATTATTAGATTTTTTGGATTATATACGTTTTGATGAAGAGTCTTTTAAGGATATAGTATCTGATTCTACTCTTTATATTTAACATGATCCCATTTAAGAATTTTAGTAAAAATAATATAAAATAATGCTAATACAAACATAAAATAATAGATTCAAATTAAACTTCTTCTCAAATGATTAAGTTTTGTTCTTTTTGATGGCGATGATTTATTTGATCTAAAATTTGTACCTTAAGCGAAATGTACTTTCTTATGTTCAGATAATGAATTAAAACTTTTATTTAATGGAGATTTTAATATGCTTCTTTAAGATTGTTCTTCATTATTCTCTAATTAGTAACTTATTCTTTGAATATAAAATGATAAATCTAAATTTTAAATCTAAATAAGTTCTCGCTAAGGATTATTTTTCTTTTTAATTCTTCTTGTTTCACTTTTTACAGTCACTGGACTATCAGTAACACGAGAAACTTGAGATAGCCAAAATTATTGTTGATGATCTTCTTAAAAATTAAAACTTTTCATTCTTCCTTTACTTTTATTGATTTTGTTAATAGGATTATCTTAATCTCTTATTTCTGTTTCTGAAACTCTCTAATTTGTGAGATTAGTGTATGTAATACTCAATTTAAGAGAAGAAAATTTTGTACTTTTACTCATTTCATTTAAAGTTCTCATTTTAGATTCTAAACTCATTAAATCAGAATCTAGAGTATCCTTACATACAAATTTAGTACAAGCTGATCCCATTTATAAATATATTTTTAATCATAAATAATCATTTTTAAGATGCGCTTTATGTTCATAAGTCCATTAAGCCATTTATTTTGATTTTAAATTGCTTGCATCTTTCTAATCTCTTTATTCCTAAGCAGATTGAATTCTTTAATCTAAAGATTAATGATATTATCTAATTCTGTTAAGTTTATTTTCATATTATTGGTTATAATGAACTTTCTCATCTTATAAAAATTATTCCCTATTTTTTGAAAATCGTTCCCCTTATGTCATAAACATAGGAGATGTTTTAGGAGGAACAAAATTTTCAAAAGTATTTTTAAAAGCAGGAGTAGCTCCGAATCTTGTTGAAGGTCGTATTTCTGTATGATTAGTCTAAGGTCGGAAAGGTTTTTTAAATTCTTCAGTTAATCTTGATAATTCAGGTAAGAAAGCTTTGGCTGCACATTGAAATGTCTTATTAGGTTAACTATTAATTTAAATTAACTGATTTCCAGCATTATCAAATATAGTCATACCAGCTCTAAGTTTAGTATGAAATTCATTAAAAGTAGCATATCCTTTATTATTTGGATCAACATAATTAATTAATATTCCAATTTCTTATCCATTTAGTATATTCATTTCTTCTAATTTCTATTTCATATCTTACTAAGATATATAACCATCCTTATCTTTATCAAAATCTTTAAATAATTTATATGCTCTTTCAGTTTTGTTAAATAAGGAATTTTCAACCTTCATTAATACTTCTGATAATTCTTTAGATTAATTTGGTAAATACCATGTCATTCCAGCATCCTAATTATAAAATTCTATAAAAGTATTAATTAATTTATACAGATTTATTTTTCAATATCTTATTCTTTATTTTCTATAGCCTAAAGTGGTTAATTGATTTTGGAAACTTAATCAGGAGGAGCTGGTCCTTTATATCTTAATTATGCTCTATCATAAAATTCTTAATCAGTTTCACTAAATTATATGAATCTAATTTATACTTAAATAATATTCTAACAATTTCATCAGCATTTTATGTTTCATATTAGCTAAATTACAATACACTAAGCATGCTTTCAAGATCAAATTTTTAGTATCTTTCATTTACGCTTTCTAAAAATTGTATGATTACATGAGAAAACTCTTTTACATTTACATTATTGCTTTAGATTTTGCTTTTAAGAAATTCTTCAAATTTAGTATGTGATGGTATATATCTTTAAATCTTATTCATTAGATTTTTAGTCTTTGTTTTCATTTTCTCCAAGGAATAAGCATCTACTCTTGTAATATCAAATAATGTAATAAGTTAATCTTCTTAATATTTCATACTTTTTAACAATAATTATTTCTTATCAACTGGTTCTTAATTCTTGTTTTAATATGGATCATCATAAACTTCCTCTTTCAATTAAAAGGATTTAAGATGATTCAAGAACTTTTTATAATCAAATGTATCATCTTAATTTTTGAAATTTTCATATAATATTTTAAGATCTTATTCAGATAAAATACTTGGATCTATTTCTAATTTCTTTATAACACTTTCAAATCTACCAAAACTTATATACCCCTTTTACAATTCATCTTACATTGTGAGTTATTGCCCCAATTATTATAACTTAAATTATAATTGGTAGATTATACTCTGTTTTTTAGAATAAGATTAACTTAATTCTAATGTCTTCTATCTCTAGCTTATAAAGCATCTTTTCTAAGGAAATCTATAGTTTCTTAATTTTTAATTAATGAATCTTTTTCATCTTCAGTTAATGCTGGTAATGCCTTTAAATTAACATTAAGAGCATCCTTATCATTAAAAATGAGATCTAGAAATTCATCTAATCCTAAATCATTTGATCCATCCATATCTGCACTAGCTAATAAGACTCTAGCCTCATCTATATTAATATTTATTCCTAATCTTTATATCATATTGTATAGATTTTTAACACTAACAGCACCATTAGAATCTTCATCCCACAAATTAAAAATCTTTTAAAAATTCTTTCTATTTGCATATCTTCTTCTTATAGCTCTTCTAATATCTCTAACTTTTTCTAAGTCTACTTTTCCTTCAAGTGTATTTTTATTTTCTAAACCAACTAATTAAGTTTCTTATATTCCTGTAGTGTTCTCTTCTTTTTTCTATTATGCTAATTTCTCCTTTTATTCATCTAATAGATAATTTAGTATAATAATAATACATTTTGTATCAATTGGACTTTCTTAACTTTACATATGTTCTTCATCAAAGAAAAGTGTATTAGAATCACCACAAAATACTCTTTTCATCAATTATTTCTCTTCTAATTAGGAGAATCTAATTATACAAATATTCAAAATACCTTGGATAACCAATTAAATGATGTTAATGAAATTTTTTAGCTGAATTTTTAGTTTCTTCAATGGGATCTTTGCATTATACAATTCTTTTAGATTTTTGATCTAAGATTTCTGAGAACTTCTTATTTTTTGGAATGGATAATGAAGCAATTCTATTTCCATCTATTGAATTCTATTGATTAATTGTTGTATTTTTAAATGAATCTAACATTCTTGAATGAAATAAAAGAATTTACTTGAAATCTCTATTAGTTTTACCTTAATGATGAATACGATCTCTTCTGACTATCATTTAGAACAGTTACAATTAATAATATAATCTATTATAAATTTTAGTTAAATTAATCTAACTTTTTACAATATACATTAATAGATAAGACTTTATGATATTAAGTATTATCTATTATGTATATAATAATTTCTTATACAAAATTTGATTATATATATTAATTATTTTATGGATTAAATTGAATTTAAAACACTAGATGAATTCATTAGATTATTTCATAAAAAGGGTAAAATTTTATAGAAATATAGTGTCGACATTTACAACATCTGAAATGTAGATTTAATTGTAACATTTGGCATAAATGCTAAGTGAGAAATAAATATAGACTGAAGCTAAGAATGATTGTTTTTTTAAGAGATGGAGTGAAATCAAATTGCCTATTAGTTTAATAACAATTGATTTCATATCTTAATTATTTGTGATTTATACAAAAGTTAATGAGACTTTGAAAGAAGATGTATTTATTGTATTTAGAATAGATTTTATTAGATTTTATATGGCCACTTATAGTGTATGAATTTGAAGATAAAAAAGTAGTAGTTGAATATTTTAATATAATGAAAACCATTTACGATAAAAAGTACAGAGAATTACTAAAGAGTTTTGGAATATTAGAAATAGTTAAATATATGGTAATATTGTCGACAATAATCACAGCTTAAAACAACCGAAATTGATGATATGATTTGTTGTGAATAACACAATAATAAAGAATAACCATAATAAATCATAAGTTAAGAAATTTAAACTAAAATTGATTAATTTGGATTGTTTATTAATGAGATAATCCATTAAATGATTAATGATTTAAAATAAACTACAGGAAATAATTTGAATGATTTAGAATCATTATTTGGAATATCTGTTCATCAATTACTTTCCTATTGTACAAAAGATCATAATTGCTGTTAAGTTCAAACATTATTAATTATTCTTTTAGTAAATTAAGTATATTTATATTTAGAATTAATTACCTTAAGTTAATACAGATATAATATAGAAAGTATTTTAGAACTTTGAAGCAATAAGTTTTATTGTTCTTTTATATAATTCAACAACATCTTAAGTACTTTAAGTTTACTGCATTAAATTGTTTCAAGTTATTACAAACAAGAATCCTTCGGTATCATCAATATATTAAATAGATTATATAAAAACTTATTTTAAGTATTATTCCATCTTCTAAAAATAAGAATTTTCTACAATATTTACATTCTGAACCTTTGATATGTTCAATATTGGAATGGTTATTAAATATTCCTACTACAATTAAGATAACTGAATATTAGATGTTTGATGAAAAATTAACATTTAAAAATCATGATGTCATGGAATTAACTCTAAATTATTTATATATCTGTCCTGTAATGATGAAACAATAATTAATTACAACATTATATACATTGATGAGAAATAACAAAGAAAATTAATTATTTTTGTTATCCAATAAACATTTCTTAAGTACATTTCCCAAATTCTTAATGAGTCTTTAGGATGATGATTTTCTAGAAACTGATGAAAATCAAAATTCATTACAAAAATCAGTATTTATTTCTTTAATTTAAAGATATATGATACTAGTTTAAAATTAATATCAACAGTGTTTATGAACTAATTTCAAAATGGAAAGATTGATATGTTATTTTAATGGCTTAAATTAGCTGAATTGGAGCATATTAAATAGAAAAATGAAGATCTTGATGGATTCAAAGATGCAAGAACACCTAGTTATTTTATTAGGTAATTGATTACTTATGGTTTTAATAATATTCTTAAAAGCTCAATATTAAATACTTCTGAATTATCAAATGAATAATTATGGAGAGGATTTCATTTATTTATTGCATCTTTTTTGGCTATAATCACAAAAGATTTAATTCAATAAGATTAAAAGATATCTAAATTAATAGGAAAAAAAGTTGCATACAGTCCATAATTGTTAATGATTACATGTAAATTAATAGATATATATGAATATAGAATTATTTGAAAATTAGAATTGGATTGATTATTAATTTTGTATTCGTATCATTTAGATTGTTAACTTTTTGTACAGTTAGACAATATCCATGAATTTGGATATTATTAAACCAAGTATTAATTTTAAGACATCTGAATTTGCATTATGGTTGAATCAATTATTTAAAAAGATATTAAGTAATGAAAAAGATAATATATTTCTAATGAGAATAATTTAAACATTAATATGTTATTATTAACATTATATAGTGGCATAAAACTTTGGATAATCATAATTGGAAGAGATTTAATAATTATTAAAAGCATATAGACATTTTATGTAGAGTCTAATTTGTGGAAGTTAATAATTCAAGAATTTAAAACATATCCCAGTAGATATTGAATATTAGATTACTTTAAGTCATTATTTCTATATTGAATCTTAGATGAAATTAATAAATTAGATTAAATAAAAGTGTTAAAAAGATCATCATGGATCTCATGATTCCTTTTTCAATTTATATGCATTGTAAGAACTTATTGCTTATATTCAATAATAATTACAAGAATATTATTTGAGTTTGATTAAATTATGTTAAATATATGGTAAAAGATCTTAAATTTTCATTTGGAACTTTTGTTATGAACTTATAAGAATTAAGAAATATGAAGGTGATGTTCTAGAATCTTATTTATAAACATTGATTAATCAACCAGATATTATACATGATATTGTAGTCAGTGATGAAATGATTGTTTATTATTATGATTGTCCAAATATGGTGAATATAAAACAAAAATCATAATTGAAATTAAATGAATTGATTAAATGGGCTAATCTTTTAATATAATAATAAGAACATGAATAGATATTACTTTATTAGGAATAATATTCAAGATAGAGTCAAATTCTTATGAAAGATGTAACCAAAACTTTAGATAAATATAATTTAATCTAATTGCAAAATTATGAAATTTTTGAAAAAGAGAAATTAAAATATGATCAATCTAAAACATTATGATTTATATAAATTGATATTAATTCAAATTCCACCCCAATTCTTTGAATTTTCATTGAATTCCCACACTAATATTATATATATATTTCAAATTTACATCTTATGTAATGTCGAATGGAATGTGAGAAATAAATCATAATCAACAAAACTACAGATTCTATTGTAATTTGTATAATAATCAATCCTGTTTGATTAAGTGATTCACAGACAATATCACTAATTACTTATTCAGATTCAGGATATAAACGAAATTAATTCATTTAATATGCCATATATCCATAAACCAGAATTCTAGTGAATAAAACCCATAATAATGTCCAAAAATATCCCTAGTCCTACATGCTTTATACCTATGAATTTTCTATGAATTCTTTGCATCAATTGAATAAAACCCAAAAATTGAACACAAAATCCAAAATATATTCCCTATTAATAATGCCCCTATCATATAAGCATAGGATAAACACTTATCATAATATTGGAAAAATTAGAATCCATGCTATATACTATCGTAACTCAACATCACCTAATATTAAATTTAATTAATACTGCTATAAAAGTATTTGCTCCTTGTACAAATTATATTCTTTTTTCTATTATTGAATTAAATGAAGAAGAATCAGATGAAACTAAATAGTTCTCTTGTATGTGTCTAATAATAAATGGTTTTGAGGATGTATTCATATTAATTTAATATTTATATATATATATATATTTAGATTTTACAATTATCTAATACCTTACTTAACTCGAGCCTACAAAGTTATCAATTCTTTACAAATACCTAAATGTTTTTATATTTTATAATTATGATATTATGTTATTTCCTCTTTCTTGGGTGTTTCTTGACATAGCCAATTATCTAACAAAATTCATTCAAAGGTATTAAATTAATCACCATCCCTTTTAATATTGCAACAAAACAAATAAAAATCACAATGGATTCTTAATATAATGATGATTATTAATTCAACCCTTTTCTATTTATTTGCATCACAAAGCCAACTCACAATACATTTATGTAATTGCTCTAAGAAGAAAAGTGAGTATTAATTTTAATTAGATGCTTTGTAAATTGGTTTTCCTATCATCTGAGATAAACCTAGTATATCATCTTGTAGAAGTAATCAACCAATAAATTTATTTCAAATTACTATCAAGTCTATTAATACGATGAATCTTTATATATAGGATTTCAATCAACTTATGAAGCTGATATAATTGTAAGAATATAATAAATCAATTCCAATTAATGCATTTTGTAAATATTAACTTTATATCAGGGAATGTTAAAATGAAACAGAATGTTAGAATCAATTTTGCAATTGCAATTTTTATCAAATTGGTTAGGATTGCAATCTTATTATAGATGATCTCACTACATAATAAATATTTTAGGGTGGAAAGATTTATTATATTGATGTTAATAAAGGTTAAAATGAAAGCCAAGAAATCTTGTTAGAATTTCAAAACTCAACTACATTCTATGGTTTTTGTATTACCTAAAATTTCAATTTAAACTTAATTACATAATAAAATAATAAGACATTATATATTTCATTAGATCAAATAAAGGAATGTTATTAATATGTATATTATTTCAAAGAATAATTTAATTCCTCCATAAATTACTATTATCTAATATATTTTGATTCAAACTACTATACTTATTTGGAAAGCTCTATAAAAAATACTGATAATTACTAACTTATTATAATTCTATCTACTATTCTATCTTCAATGTCAATATGCTTTTTATTTTGTCTTATAAAATCAAAATGTTATAAAAAATAAAAAGAGCCTGAAAAATAGGATTTGAAATATGAATTAAAAAATCCTCCATCTATAATAGATAAATTCTTTCCATCCTAAGAATTTGCAGCACTTCGAAATAAATGTGAAAAACTTGTTACATTAAATCAATGCCTGATTTGTCTTGATCTATTCTATGATGATTCACGTGTAAGAGTCACCTATTGCAATCATATCTTCCATACATCTTGCTTCGATAAATGGATGAATGTACATAAAGTAATGTGATACTACATATCACCAGAGTTGTCCTAATTGCAGGAGTTAATTCGACTAAGAATCCATCCTTAAATATTCCAACCAGAAAGAAACTGAAATGCTTTAATGGAGTAGTAGAACAGAAGAGATGAAGACAACTATGAAACCACTAATCAATGAGACATAACAATAACAACCTTAAGTTTCTTAATTAGATTCATAGAGAAACATATAAGCTTTTTGAATTAGTTTGTTTTATTTTTATACAAGAATTTGTAAAATAATTAATTAATGAAGGAAAAATTTTACCATGCATTTAAAAATGAATTGGATCTCATACAAAAACTATAGTTAAACCCTTTATTTAAATAAATCACTATATGGACTGATCATTTGTTAGAGAATTAATAATTGACAGAATAAGAAAAATTATTATAAGAGTTGTCCAATAATTAAGATCATTTCAAAAAACTATTATAAGATTGTTGTAATAATTTGGAAGAACAAAATTTAAGTCTCCTTTGTCTATTGTCTTTAGTTTTTGGATTGATAGTTCCAATAGAATTGATTGAAGAGGAAAATTTAGCTTATATTATAGAAAGATACTACAGTACATTATTTAACTATTAAAAATTTAGTTTAACATTCAAATTCTATAAAACTATTGATTACTTTATTTAGTAAATTTAAGTTCAATAATATTCTGGTACTTTTACCTTTAGTACATGATTAAGAAATCATTTAGCTTGTATAATCAATCAAAATTAACTTGTTTGATAAAACATATATATCTATTTATGATTTAATTGAAAATTATACCTAAAATGTATTATATGTTATTATATTAATAGAAAGATTAAGAGTATTTCGATTAAATAATTAAATTATCTTCAGATTTAGATATTTATTCATCAAATTAATTGCATATATAATTGATTCAACAAATTAAAAAATTTATTGAATATGAAAGTAATGAATTGGTATAAAAGTTTGTTGATATTGAATTGAATGATTATTATGAATCTGTTCCTTTATTTAAGGATATAAAAGTAGTTAGAAGTAAAGAGGATTTATTGAATAGGAAATTATTTATATAAAATGAATTCATACATGTTCCAGAGGATGAAACTATTGAATATAAGGAAATGATCAATTTAGAAGCTAAAAATAAATTCATTGTTAAGAAAGCTGTTACTGCATTTATGAATTAAAAAGGTGGCACTTTATTTATTGGAATTAAAGACTCTTAGGAAGTTAGAGGATTTAATGTTGGATCTAACATTTACTATTTTAGATAATGTATATTGGATGAATGTTTGGATATGATTCATCCAACTCTTATATTTGAAAAATAAGTTAAAGTAGATTTAATACCAATTTATTCTTATGAAGGTATTGAAATTGAAGGGCATTTCATAATTAAAATTGAATTGACAAGAGAATTAAATTGTCCATATGTCTATACCTTTGGTGAATTAATTGAACATCATTAATAATGTGAAGTTACATTTTGTTTCAAAAGATAAGGAGATCAATCTAAAGCTGTTAGACATCATCATTTAAAATAATTAATCAAAATTCTTAATTTAAATTAAAATATCATAAGTTCTGAAAGAATTGGTAGAGAATATTTTATTGATAATAGAATTAAAAATAGAAAATATATTAATTAATCTTCCAAAGAAAGAGGGGATTCAAATTAATTGTAATATAAATAAGATTTAAGAATGAATCAACATTTATTAAAAGAAATTGAATCTAATGAAAATATAGATAAAAATCTTGAACCTCATCCAGATATAGATTTAGCTAATTTAAATTTATAAATTAATTCTTAATTAAATCAAGTTTAGCAATGGTAACATTGGGTTGTTATTCGTAAACTCAAATCAAATGATTTTGATCGATTAATTAATATCCTTACAACTTATTAAGATGTTTGTATTTAAGATATCATTATTGCTTCAACTACAATTCATATACAATTAAAAAATCTTAGCAAAGAAGAATTTATTGAGAATCTAAAATATCATTTTAATAGATAAGGAGAACGAATTAAATTTACATATGGATATCCATAAGTAATTTAAATTGCATAATAAAATATTGATATTGAATAAATTATCTCTGATAACTTAAAATTACATAATTTTTAAATTCATGTAAAAAAAGAATGTAAAATAATTGAAGCTAAACATGTTGAAGATCTTATTTAAATTTATAAATTTATAAAAGAAAAAATAAAGATTGAAGTTCATTGGAAGTTGAAAGAACCATAAGAATTTATATTTGCAGCCATAGATGAGTCATCAAATTTACTAAATTGAAATATAATATTTAATTCAGTAATCAAATTATTTTATGATTGTTCATCCAAATCATTAGTATTTATAAACATTAATTGTGTATATGACACACATAAATTAGATTCCATTTTTAAGTTGAAATAAACTAAACTAAATTTTAATAGGAAGCCAATTCAAATATTCTTTAGCCTATAGTTTTTTATATAATAATTGAATCCTTTATTGCTATCAAATAATTATTATTATCAGTTATAAATTGTAGCCATTTCTAGTCATTTATTAAAGTATTGTTAAGCAGCAATTATAATAATTAATGTAATATCTTTGATTTATATAACAATTAAAAAACTACTAAATTTTAAAAGTTGTAAATAGATAAGAATTATAATTCAATTATTTTTCCAACTTTTGATATTATAAAGCTTACCTTCATTACATCATTAGTGTGTTTATTTTTATTTAATAAAAATTATTTCCCATACAATCAATATTAAGTTAAATTGAAATATAAAATTGGACTAAAAATAAACATTTAAATCTATTTGAACTTTGCATTAATTAAAAAGGCTCTAAGATTCTTAAATCTTTCATTACTATATGATTACTACATGTTTCAATTTTGACTTCATCTTTTTATAAAAACAAATAGTTTGAACCATTCATTTGGTTTTTATATCAATTAACACTAAAAATAAAAAATAAATTTAGATCTTAAATATTTGATTTCAATTGCTTCATGAATTTAATTTAATTATCTCTTCCCGTAAATTTTTCTATTAATTTTGTCCCTTTCTTTCATGAAATTAAACATTTTTTGGATAAGTTTATTTCATTATATATATAAAATAAATTAACACAAAAATAACAATTATAAAAGATTTCATCTAGTATTTTCATCTTCTGTAAAATTTAATTCATTAATTAAGTGTACTTAAATTAAAAGAATATTTATAGTATTACTCTTGTAGTAACTCTATTACCACGAAAAGTATAATTCATATTTTCACTGCACTGAATATCAATTTCAAGTTGGAACCCAAACTACTCATGACTTGAATCTGGGATGATTTAAATTTAAAGTTCCATTAGCCACAGTATTTAATACTTAGCAACGCCTTAGCAAATAGAAGCGCAAACTATAAATTATACTGATACTAACAAATAAATTAATTTTATAAATCCCAAGAAAATATAAAAATGACAATCCACAGTTTATGATAACCTATTCCTATCATCATTAAACCATAAGGGTAGTCAAATCAAGATCGAATGTTAATCTCAAAATGCTCTAAGTTATTTCTTTTTATAAAGACAAACAAACTATAAGAAGTTATCATTTTTCTAATTGTTGTGACGCTTCTTATTTGTAAAAATACTTTTTTCCATATCAAATCTATGTTATATTTATTTTGGTAATCTATTTAAATAATTAAAAGGTTATGGAAATACTTTAACTAGAAAGTAAATTAGTATAACTATGAAATGAAAATAAAAGGAAATAATGATTTCTTTTCTATAGTTTGAGTGCTACAAACATAATACATCTCTTTTTAGGTTTAGAGTAGCGGTTCAATTTCCTTTTTAAATTTCAAGACATACGAAAACTTAAAATCTTCATAATAAAGGTGGAAGAATATTTCCTTAGTATAAATTCAAGCTTTCTTAACTATATATTAAAATCACTAAGCCTAATTTTATTTTTAACTGATCCGATTTAGTTAACTTTTCCTAAAAAAAATAAAAACAGACTTCGGAAAAATTTATTTGTTATTTTTTAAATATGATCAAATTCAAAACCTAATTAAATTATTTGGTTTGATTCTCTAAATTTTGATATTACATAAACTATATTATGCTACTGATTAATTCTTATGAATATCTGGATTTTAGTTATAAATTAATAAATATATTTATGAACGATTTAAGTTGATTTTCAAATTCTAATTATTTCTCTTGACTTTGGAGAAATATAAGAGGTTTATAAAAATTGGCTAGCTCCAGGTAAGATTAACATTGCTTATGGAAATAAATTTTCCTTAAAAATTTAAAATTTTTAATAAATTTAATATTTTATTTCAAAAACTCTGTTTTAAACCCAAAAATTAAAAAAATGACCGTTCCTTTATATTTATTATATAATAGAGATCCTTTTTCTCTATTTAAAGAAGAAATAATCGGGTCAAATTTAAAAAATAATCCACCTATTATTTTAAATTATTATCCTTGACAGATTTTTCTTAGCAAATCTTTAGTTAAAAAATTTTAATCCTCAAAAAGTCAAGCATAAAAAACTTTATATAAAACTAATTTTAAGTTGATATTAATAAATAAAAAGATCACGAAATCACAGTTAATAAAACTAAGATTCAAGGCTTCAAGTATCAATCTGTTCTGCATACTCTAATCGTCCAACATGAAATATTGATTCAATTCTATATAACTAAAATCAAATATTTTCTTATTGAATTTCTTTATTGCTTTATTATTTATTATCTAATTTTATTAAATTTTTTTAATTTGCAACTATCATTTAAGAAGTTTTTACATAATATTTCATATTTTCAATTACTTGTTTTTTTTCAATTACCCCTATTATTGAAATTTACAACTATTTCAAATCCTAAAGATATTAATAATAATTATCTAATAATACAAAAAATTGATGATAGACTTTTATTATTATTTTTCTTAATTTCAATAGTATTAAATAAAATTAGATAAATATATTGTATAAAAATAATGAATATCAATTTTTTGCCATGATTTTATTAAATATCTTAATTAATTTAGAAATTAAATATTCAATAGGTTCCATATTATATTCTTTATTTAAATGTCTTTCTTGTTTTTCTAGAAATTCTTAATGCTTATTTTAAACTTTTTAAGAAATTCTTTAACTTATTGATCTTTTATTATTTTAAAGATTATCTAGATGCATCTTCATTCGTACATCTTTAGTAATTTATTTTTAGTTTTACCAATTTATTAAATATTGATATTTTAAATGATTTTATGGGTCTTATAATTCTTCAACTATATATTATGCAAATGAATTTTAATCTAAGTACCAATCAAATAAGTTTATATATTGTAATAATATATCTATTAATATAGAAATAAACTATTCGTCTAATTCTTTCAGAACTATATTCAATTTAGTTATTAAGATTTTAAATTTAGGATCAAATTCACTATAATTTATTCTTTTATATTGAGTCTTATCAACTAGAATTGAATTTTCAAATGAATAATTCTTCCTTCTCTATGATAAAAAGAAAAATTCGGGGCAATAATTATTTTATTAAAAATATGATTCTTGAATATTTTCACTCTACTATTTATAATTAGGCTTTTTTTTTGAATTGCGAGTTAAAATTCTAATCTTATAACATCCTTGTGTAGCAAATAATTTAAAGAGTTTAACACAATCAGGATCTTATTAAATGTAATTATTTTATTCATCTGGGGCTATTGATATTACTTTCTCTCTTAAGCCTTACTGGCCTTTAGGTCTTCCGAGCTAAATTCTCATCTAATTATGATTATTATTATTATCATTCTTATCATAATCATTTTCTTTTTTAAATATAATTAAAGCCCAAGAAAAAAAAATATCCTATAAGAAATGATCAGAATTTTTTTTTTATTCAAGCTAAAACTTGATAAAATTAAAATTTTACATAAATCTTTAACATAGCAATATGAAAAACCTTTTTACAATTGGTTCTATTCATTTTATAACTAAACATGAGACTAAATTATTTTTTGAAGTATTCAAAAAAAAACCATGGGGATAACTGATTTAATACTACAGCCTCTCGCTGTACCAACTGAAATATTTTCGGATGTTATTATAAATCAAACTTTAATATTCTTACAATAAAAATGTAAATATTTACAAAATGAATTATAATAATTAAATTATTGGAAACAAATTTAATCTATCGTTAAAATTCATATCCATGACGATTTAAAGTTTACAATATCTACTATTTAATATTTATAATCATTAATTCCAAAATTACAAAAAGACTTTAAACAGTCCTTAACGATTTTGTCTAAATTTTATACTGTTTATAATTAATAAGATATATATATATTTATAATTATATATTTTTTGATCTTGATATATAATGAGAAAAAATAAAAATCTAAACTAATTCCGATTAAACCTAAAAATGATATATTAATTATAGTTAAATTCAAAAATATTTATCAAATTTATATTCAATTAATAAAATTGAGTTAAATCTTATTTATTTTTTTATTTTTAAATGCATTTATACATTGAATAGACTTATCATAAATCGACTTACAACAAAAATCCTAACTCCAAACAAAAAATATTTATATTATTCTTATTATAAGAAGTAACTAATTTGTAATACATTTAAATGATTAAGGTATTATTGGAGTAGAATGAACAAGAAGATAGATATACAGGAGTCATATTGTTGAAATACTATAATGTGAACTTGATTGTAATGTTGAATGACTTGAAGTTATAATTATAAAGACAAGTATTGTTGAAAGAAAAAGAAATAACGAAAAATTTGGAGTAAAATATTGAATTAACGAGATTTTTGACATTCATTTAATTAGGAAAAAATGAAATGGAGAGTTTTTTATTTAAAGATGATTATATAGTCATACTATTAAGAAAAGTTCAAGTATGTTTATCAAATTAATAATTTTCTTTATCTAACTTTGAATATTTTACAATAATATATCTGTCAAAATTCACAAATTATCTATTCATTTGATATTTTTTAAATTTATTAAATACTTCTTCTATATTATAATAATTCCTCTTAAATTATTAACATTAATTGCATAGCCAAAATACTATTATAATTAAGTTTATTTTTTGCAACAAAATTTGTAAATCAATGATTATTTAACTTTTCATCAATTAATTATTAGATAATTTTTTGCTTGAGATGATTTTAGAAAAAAATTTAATTAAACTAATTAATAGAATTTAATTTGACTATTTTAAATAATATTAACAACTAAAATAATATTTATGAATCATATCAATAAAATATTGGCTCCAGTTGTTATTCGGGTTTCTTAACACTAATCCCAATAAATTTAATTAGCTTTCTTATTTAAAGCTAATTTGACTTGTTTTATTTTACTATATTATATTAAATCAAGTATAAATGTTGCTACCAAAATCAATGAAAAAGTAAATATTCGTAACCATCCAATATTTTTATACTCTCTGATTTTAAATTCAATTCAGTTTAGTAAAGATAAAATAAAAATGAAATTGAATTAAAAATTATTAATGATTTAGTGATTAAAATATTCATGTATTCAAATTAATTAATTAATGGCTTGTTGAGAAGAGTGTGAATTAAAAATAATTATTAAAAGAATGATATTATAATTGCTTAAATAAATCCATTGTCTTTTAGGAATTTTAGTTTTATGATTTATACAAAAAAACAATAAAAGAAATAAAAATAAGCTTCTTTATTAATTATATGGTATTATATTAGAATGTCCAAATATTATAATTGTCATTCATCCCATCAAAAATTACTTCATATTTTGATCTATTTCTAATTGAATTTTATTTTGAGAAAAAACTAGAAATGTTTATTAAAAATAAGATAGCACCAATAATTCCTATACAAAATAGACATGACAAATAATAATTTATAAGTAAAATATTATTCTTTTCAACAGGATTTTATGCAGCTTTTCCTGGTTTTAAATGTAATTTTTTATGAAATTAAAAAAAAACCAATTTGTAAAGACTCTAGCTTTTTTTTGAAAATCGGATGAGATATAAGTATGTAAATCATTAGTATTTAAAATATCTAGTATTACTAGGATAAACACAAAATATAAATTACAAAAACCCTAAAGGAAACTAAGGATATCTTATTATTCTAAAGTATTTGTGAAAATATCTAAAATTATTTATTTTTTGTAATGTATTTGTATATTTTTTCTATTTTCTGCAATTAATTAAATAATGGATTAATAGTAAAATGAATAGGGTCAACCACTTAGAATTGAAGAACCTGTATTTAAACTGACCACTTAATTGATGAAAACATGCAATCCTAAGTAAGAGAGTTTAAGACATCTATGAAAGAAATTTAGATAAGAAATTCCTCAAAGACTTCAAAATCAAACCCAGTGAGACTCTTGTCAATTTGAATAATACAAAATTAGATCCTTAATCTCCAAAAACCAGCAAGGCATTGTAGGATTTAAACATATTTCCAAACTAATTGGAATTGCAGTACAATAATTTCTTATACTCATAGAGATAAATTAGAGTATAAAAAAAATGGAGAATCTTAAGAATTAACAGATAAAAGATATTGGTTACACTATTTCTAGGTTGCTTAATTAAAAAAGGCTGTGATTTTGTAAAGGAATAAGTATAAAAGAGAAGAATGGATTGAAAAATAGTAACGTCCCAAATCGATCTAAACTCTGGATCAAAGCATGAATAGTAGTATCAATATTAGTGAATATGTTCCTTATAAAAGTCCTACTGAAATGATTGAAAGTTGGATAGATAGTCAAGTGTAATCAAGTGATCGCCAATTATAAAAATTCAACAAACTATAATAGGTAAATTATTTCAAAATAATAATATAGAAAAGAAAAGAATTAGAGGAATAGACTTAAGAAGAATAGGAAAAGTACAAAGAAAAGTTAGAAATAATATAGGAAAAGAAGAAAAAGAATAGATTAAACAATTTAAAGTAGAAATCATAAATTGCGAGAAAAGATGTATCTAAAAGTTTAGAAGTTTCTACTAAAATGAAGACTGTTATTCAAGAAGAGAAATATAAAAATGCTTAATTGAAAAAATTATAAACAGAATAAAATATTGAAAAAGCGTATTTAATAAATAATAAACAAAATAGATAAAAGAGAGTTGATCAAATAAAATAGACATATGTAGATGTTTTAGAGGAAAAATAAAAGATTTATGAAGAAAAATTACATTAAGTTTTAAGAAAGAAAGATGAATAGGATTAATAATTGATGTAATAGAGATTATAAGATATTTAAACAGAGAGAATTCATAAATCTATTAAAAAAATTAGAAAATCAGATGAATGGTCTACAAAATTGCCTTTGTTGATTAGTAGAAGTGAAGCTTAATTTAAGAATGTTTATAATTCTAATTTAGCTTCAGTTATTGAAAAGTTTTAAAAGGAAGAAAAAAAGAAACTTAAATTACATAAATCATAAGATATAGAGAAAGAACAAGTTGAAGAAATAAAATAAAAAGAAGAATAATTTAAGAAAAGATATTCAGATAAACTCAAATAATTTGAGTAATATTATGTTGATATAAAATAGAAATAAAAGATAAAAAATTGAAGAGAAATTTGCTTAAAAGGATTAATATTTAGTTGAACACTTATAAAAAAAGAAGGAAGAATTAGAAGATAAATTTGAAAAAATTAGAGAATTAAGTGCAGAAAATGAGAAAAGATTCGTAAATATAAAATAATAATATAACAATAAATGTGATAAACAAATGGATAAAGAATAAAAGAAATTTAAATTAAATATGAGTCTCATAAAATAAAGAGAATAAATAATTGAGTAGTTAAGATATAAAAGATTCTTAGAAAAGAATAAACCTTTGACTTTATCTTAAGATACTATATCAAAGCAAAGTGATAGCAAACTTTAAGTATGATAAGAAGAAAATAAAAATATATATATAAATTAATTTAATGTACTTTTAAATCCATAATATCAATCTGTGTGTTAAGATCCTTTAGTTGCACCAACACCTGGTTTTCCATGTCTAGTTGGTTTATAGGTTAATGAAAATTCACCCAAATATCTAAAATATGCTTAAATCATTTATACCTGCCAATCATATCAAACTTGATTTCAACATTGCTAAATTGTCTTCCATTATAAACTCCAACAATTGAACCTACCATTTCTGGAACAACAATTGTATTTCTTTAATGAGTCTTGACAGGTTTTGGTTTCTCACCAGGCAATGTTTCCTTCTTGCTTTTTCTAATCTAAATATTTACTATCAAATCTTTACCTTTTTCATTAAATTTTAGAAGGCATGTACCTTCTCTCCTTGATTTGAGATTCTTCTTCTTTATCTGGCTCTAAATTATTCCACCAATTTATCCATAGGTAGTTTAACCAACTCTTCAAGTTAGAGTCCTCTGTAAGTGAACTTCTTAACTCCCTTGAATTGTTTGTCTTATGTTTATTCTGCCATAATTTGAAAAATGAAAATTAAAGATTTTAATATATTCCAAAACATCAAGCATTATATAAAACAATTATTTCCCTCAATTATTTATAATCATTATTTATTTATATATTTGTTGAAATATATAGAATATAATCTGATATAAGAATTAAATGAACTATATTATTAGATATAATTAACAAGTTAATTATATCAAAAATATTTAAACATACTTTTTAAGTATTGAATTAACTATATATATTTATATATATTTTTAATTTTTAATTTAATCATATAATAATTTTTTATTAAAATAAATGAAATAGTTTGTCAGCCCATAGGATATGCTTAATAAATTTAGAAACCCTCATGAAATTTATACACAACAAACAGATTTTTATTATGACCCATAAAGCGATGCAAACATACCAAAAATTTTATAAGTATTACTAAATTTAAGCAAAAGCAATCAATTAATTTTTTTGATGATGAAATAAGTAAAAAAACAAAAGATAAATTAATAGAAGAGTTAAGATAAAATATTATTCGTTGGTTAAAACTATATTAATCAGTTGAATAAGAATTTGCTGGAGAATTGGCAGTTTTTGGTTCCTATAGATTTGGAGCAAATGGAAAAGATAGTGATATTGATTTAATTATATTGGCACCTCCTTAAATAGATAGAGAACTTCATTTTTTCTAATAATTACCTTCAATTTTAAGTTCTAATTCAAAAGTGACAAATTTATATTGTATTTAAGAAGCTATGGTTCCTTTGATTAGATTTAAATTTGCAGGTTTTTAAATATTCATACTATAATATAGGTATACAATTCGATTTAGTATTTGCATGTGTTAAGAAAATAATGAAACCTTTAAGTTAGAGTGATCCAGTTGATGAGAAATCTAGTAGGTCATTAAATGGATTAAAAGTTAGTGATTACTTTTCCAAATACTGTCATCAAAAATCATATTTGTCATTTTTAAAGTTTATAAAAGCTTGGGCAATCAATAGAGGTATCTATGGGAATGTGATGGGTTATTTGGGAGGAATTTCATGGTAAATATTGACTCATAAGATATTTTAACTTTATCCTAATTATAGTGTTTAAGGATTAATTGAAAGATTCTTCTTTATTTTCTCTTAATGGAAATGGAATGAATTACCTGTTGTTATTCAAAAATGTGATGAAATCTGGAGAAATTCTCTTTTTGAATAATAATAAAAGTAACATAATGTAATGACAATTCTAACACCTGTTTATCCATATATTAATTCTGCATATAATGTATCAAATTGTACTTTTACTATTATTGAAGAGCAATTAAAATTAGCAAATATAATCATGTAAAAGATTTGTTTATCAGAATTACAATGGGTATAATTGAATTTCTTATAATAGTCTGACTTACTAAAGAAAATCTAATTTTTTGATATCTATTACACATATCTGTAAATAAGAGCATTATCTAAGAATAAGGATGATCTAATTTAATGGAAAAGTCATATTGAATCTAAATTAAGAAAGCTAAATAAAATGTTAGATGAAGGTGATGTTAATAAAGCAATAGAATTTCATCTCTATCCTAAAAGTTTCTAAACAGATTATGTTTAAGGAGATGAAAATGATATTCCTGGATCTCTCTTTAATTTTAGTGAAAGCTTTTATTATGGAATTAGAATAAAGGATGAAGAACTAGTTAAAGAAAAACTTGATATTGAAAATATTATTAGATAATTTTGTGATTGCCTTGAAGGATAGAAACCTTATTTCAGAGTTCCAGAGAATCTTAATTTAGAAATCAAAGTAATTTAATACTTAATAATAATTAGTCATTACATAAGGATTAGATTCCAAAAAAAATAAAATCTGAATTGTGATGTCCTACTTTATATATATTTAATTATTTCATCATCAATTTTTTATAACTCATTTTACAGAGATAATAAATAAAATTCATATTCACAAAACCTATTTCCAAAGTTTTTTTTATTATAATAAACTATTATTTTTTAGTTTCTCAGAAATATGATTTAAAATTTCTGCTTAAATTTCATCAATACTTTTAAGAGCATCAATTTTATAAAAATTCTCTTACAATGCTAATATATCAAAAAAGCTTCCTACTCTATGTTAAAATGAAGAATTTTCATATATTTCCCTTCCATAATCTCCTCTTTTGCATAGTTCCTCAATTGGGGCAGTTAAATAGAATGTGATATCTGGTTAAATAAGTCCTGCATCCGGAGCTTTGCACCATTCTATTGGTAAACCTTTAGCTGCTGAAAAAGCCACTCCAGAAAAAGCATAACGATCACTTACAATATTAGTTCCATTTTAAAGTTAATTAAAAATAGATGTGCTAGAATATATAAAAAAATTTGTACTGCTACTCCCATCTATTAGCTGAAAATAATAAATGTATCACTTCATCACTCATATTTTTATTTCCTCTTAGATAATCAGATATAATAACTCCAAGTTAAGTAGTTCTGTCTGGGAATGACACTTTTTGAGCATTTAATTTTTATGAAAGTAATTTAGCTTAAGTTGATTTACCTGATTTATCAAGACCCTCTAGAGCAATAAATAATCCTCTATTCATTTTTTTTATGGTTTGTTGAATGATTATTTCCATAAATTACCACAAATATTAATAATAACAGTTTATATTATAATTTATAAATATAATGATAAAGTAGACATAAAAAGTTTATGAATCATTTGAACATTTTTGTGGATTGTAATAATAATGGATAAAACAAGAACATGAAGAAGAACAAAAATTTATTTAATTAATAAGTTAAGAATTGACTCATGCTTAAATAATACAAATGGGTTATGGATTAGGAAAATTAAAATTAGTCAAAACTAAATTGACATTTGGTAATAGATAAGTACTTGTTTTTGAATAATAATAAAAATTATAATAAGAAGACAATAAAGAAGAATAAAATAAAGAATTTTCAGAAATAAAATAAGAAAATTTTAGATTAAAATAAGGTGATTAAGTAGGCATTTATATATGGTCTAATGTTTTAAATTAATAGAAATTTAAAAATCCAGAAGCCATTGGTGTGATTGATAGATATAGAAAAAATTTAAGAATTATTTTAGAATAAAATTGTAAAATCCCTGATGATAATTCAATCTATGGTATTTGTTTATAGGAAAATCAAGTTACATATAAAAGGTATTTCTTTTGTTGAAATATAGACATTTATAAGTCATAGAAGATTTAAAGTAATAGTATGAAAAACATCCCATTATATAGATCTTATTTTGTGATTAATAAGAGGAGAAAATAAAGGAAAAAATTGATTAAAATATTGAGTTTTAAGGTGATACAATACAATAGTTAAATGAATAGCAAAAAATTGCTGTGCAAAAGGCCATGAAATAACCTCATATCTCTTTAATACATGGCCCACCTGGTACAGGAAAAACAAGAACTGTTTGTGAATATATTAAATAAGCTGTTTTGGTTCAAAGACAGAAAGTATTTTAGTATATTTTAAGTTTGATAGGTATTAGCATGTGCAAATTCTAATATCGCAGTCGATAATATGATAGAAAGGATTTAGAGTATAAGCTAATTGAAAGTTTGTAGGATAGGTAATCCTGCAAGAATGACAGATTAAGTTAGATATGTTTGCATTGATTAATTAGTTAAAAAGACAACAAGTTATGCAATGTATTGAAAATGATATAGTATTTTAGAATGAAGACTATAAAAACAGAAATTTAATAGATTGAAAAGAAACTTAATAGAGCAGAGAGAAAAGAAGCAGCTGAGCTTAGAGATAAGTTAAAATAAAAGAAAAAGGAGTACTTTGAATAATAATAATTGGCATATGAAGAGGCTATTTAAGATTGTCAAATAATATTTAGTACAAATGTTGGGAGTGGTTAATTTCAATTTTAATAATTAACAAAAAATATAAAATTTGATGTTGTTGTTATTGATGAATGTGCACAATCATTAGAAATAAGTTGTTGGATACCAATTCTTAAAGGAAATAAAGTAGTCTTAGCTGGAGATCATTGCTAATTACCCCCGACTGTTAAAACAAAAAATACTGGATTGGAAATGACTTTATTTGAAAGAGTTGAAAATGAACTTCATATTAACACTTAATTGACTGTTTAATATAGAATGAATAAATCAATTATGTAATGGTCATCATAAGAATTTTATGAAGGGCATTTAATTGCTGATTAAACTGTTGCAAATAGAACAGTAAGTGATACTATTTTACTATTTGTTGATACTTCATGTTGTGATTTCTATGAACAATAATAAGAAAGTTTATTAAATTTTGATGATTAAAATAAATCAAAATATAATGTAGGTGAAGCAGGATTAGTTTAAATAATTTCTGAAGAGCTACTAAATCTAGGTGTTTAGAAATAAGATATTGGAATAATTACTCCTTATAATGCCTAAGTTTAATTTTTAAAGTCTAAAATTAATGATATTGAAATTTCAACTGTGGATGGATTTTAAGGAAGAGAAAAAGATTGTATCATAATTTCAATGGTTAGATCTAATTAGATAGGAGAAGTAGGTTTCTTATGTGAATCCAGAAGAATGAATGTTGCTATTACTAGAGCAAAAAAATTTGTTTGTCTTATCGGTGATAGTGAAACTGTTTCAAAAGATCCATTTTTGAAAAGGTTGGTTGATTACTTTGTAGAAAATGGAGAACAGAGGAGTGCATAGGAATATTAACATGATGATAAGATTTAAATACCTATAAAAATTGAATAAGTTTAATAAGATGTAAAGAAAAAGAAAAATCCATAACCTAAAATACAAGTTAAAGAGAAAAATAAAAATAATAAAATTGAAGATCAACAAATAGCTCCAAATATTGTTTAATAAGAGTAAAATGTTGTGTCTTAATTAGAAAAATAGGTTCTTGATTTCGTAAATTCAAAAGAATCAGAACTTATTTTTAAAGGTCAAAATAGTTTTTAAAGAAAAGAGCTTCATGAACTAGCAGAAAAATATAATTTAAATCATGAAAGTATTGGTAATAATAAATTGAAAACTTTAATTTTATCTAAAATATAAAATGGCAACTAATCAAATTTATAATAAAATGATGAAGAAAAAATTGAGATAACTGATAATAATAAATCAAATAATTAAATTATTGATGATGCAAAAGTCGATAAAAGCCAAAAGCTAGAAAAATAACAATAATAACAATAATAACAATAATAATAATAATAATAATAATAATAATAATAATAATAATAATAATAATAATAATAATAATAATAATAATAATAATAATAATAATAATAATAATAATAATAATAATAATAATAATAATAATAATAATAATAATAATAATAATAATAATAATAATAATAATAATAATAATAATAATAATAATAATAATAATAATAATAATAATAATAATAATAATAATAATAATAATAATAATAATAATAATAATAATAATAATAATAATAATAATAATAATAATAATAATAATAATAATAATAATAATAATAATAATAATAATAATAATAATAATAATAATAATAATAATAATAATAATAATAATAATAATAATAATAATAATAATAATAATAATAATAATAATAATAATAATAATAATAATAATAATAATAATAATAATAATAATAATAATAATAATAATAATAATAATAATAATAATAATAATAATAATAATAATAATAATAATAATAATAATAATAATAATAATAATAATAATAATAATAATAATAATAATAATAATAATAATAATAATAATAATAATAATAATAATAATAATAATAATAATAATAATAATAATAATAATAATAACAATAATAAAAATAATAATAACAACAATAATAATAATAATAAAAGCAATAATAACAACAATAGTAATGTTAATAAAAACAACCTAAATAAAATTCTTAATAAAAATAGGAGAAAAAGTAAAATACTCAAAATAAAAAAACTAAAGAGCAATCGTAAGAAGAAGAAGATGAATTTTATAATTAGATAGTTTTAAAAGATGAAAAAAAATGTTCTTTTATGTCCAATAATATTTAATGTAGTTAAAGCATATTATGGCTGTCTTAAAAATGTTAATTTTGTAATAATTAATTTTGTCAATACCATTCATATGCTGAAAGGCATGGATGCGAAGATGAAGCTTGTAGACATGCAAAGTAAGGAATAAAAAATATATTAGATTATAATTTTAATCAAATGAGCGAAAAACGGAGAAAAGTAGGACTGCTCTTCAAGAGAAAATATAAGAGTAATAGAAGTCTAGAGGAAAAAAGTAAAAAAAATGAGTTTAATAAAGTTATATAAATAATAACAAAATGAATTTATAAAATTATAACAGAGAAGGTCGTAATTATAAAACAGAGAGAGTTAGATAGATATCACCCTCTTCAAAATTAATGCATCTAAGCAATTAAGAAATAAGCTTTTATGTTTCTAAATATGGAGATCCTTAGGAAAATACAAAAGATTCTGAAAACACCAAATACTTTATGTCTTTAATTTAACCATTACTAGAAGAGAATTACCAACTAAAAGACACTATATTAAATCTTACCGAAGCTTTGAAATGTAATATTGATTTAATTATTTAGTGGATAAAGAACTGCTCTTGGAAACAATCAGTTAAATAGTTAAAGATAAAAATTTGTCTTCTTCAAGCACAATTAGTGAAATTTTAGAATAGTTGACAATAAGTGTAAAAAAGGATAGAGATTATACAATAAATTTAGAGAAAATAATAGAATAAAAGAATATGTAGATATAATAGTTGTAAGAAGAAATTGAAAACTATAAAAAATGGAAAATTGATTTTATTTAAGAAAAAAATTTAGAAGTAGAAGTTAGAACAAGCAATTTTTTTTTAAAAATGTAGTAATTAGAGGAAAACAATACTGAATTAAGTTAAAAGAATAATGAGACATAAGAGTTATTGAATGCAGAATAATTATACACATAAAAATTAAATGATTAATTATCGAAGTTTGCAGATGACTTGAATAAAGCTTAATAATAAAAATAAGAGGTATTATTTTCAAAAAAATTAGTTATAATTATAACTAAGTATTGCAGAAAGATAAATATATTAAGAAAAATAAGATAGTTAGAAGAGATTAAATGATTAAATAAGTTAATTGCATAAAGATCATTATCAATAGATAGAATAATTGAAAAGTAAATATTGAATTAAGCTTTAGTTGAATAAATGGGTATTGTGAATGAATTCAAGAAATAAATATTAGATTATTAAGAGGAGATCAAAAATTTAGAATTAAGTTACACTGCTTCATTAGATAAAAACCTTAATGAAATTAAAGTAAAATAAATACTTATTTTCATAGAGACTTTAGTAATAGTTATAAGATTCAGAAAAGCAAATATAAGTTTATAAAAAATAAGAATTAGCAAATTTAGACAATTTAAGTAAAATAATGATGGAAAAGAGAGATAAAGATTAAAAATTAAAGAATATAAACCAAATAATTGTTGAGAAAGATAAATAAATAGATAATTTAACTTTGGATGTTTTGTAATTAAAATCTAAATTAGAATAAGCTGAGTTGAAATGCACTTAGTAAATTACAAAATACAAGTAAATAATTTAATTTAATTAGATAAAAATATAAAGAAAAAATTTAAGTTAAGGTTATTGAAGCTAAAAAAGATTTAGAGTAAAAAATTACAACAGTTGAATAAGAGAAAAAAAAATTGAGTGAAGATTTTAAATAATAAATAATAATATTGGATGTTTAAAAAACTTCATTAGTAAAGGAATGTAAAGCTGATAATGAAAAGTTGAGAGATGAGATTGAAGATTTAGAATTCAAATTAAAAGATTTAGATAATATGTGGGATTTCAAATATGCAAAGTTAAAAATGGAATATGATAGATTAAAGCTGGAAATAGCATAATATTAATGAAATTATGATATCTCTTTTTTAAAATTTAACTTTGGGTATAAATGATAAAATAAAACAAAAAGAGTTAATTATATATTTATCATTGTTTTAAACTTATTTAGTGAAATAATTAAATTAAATTATTGAATTTACTCATTTTCTATTTTTCTATTCTTGTTTATTATTTTATTTGTTTTCAAGTAAAATCTTTAAACATTCCAAAAATAAATCTTTAATTTCTTATTTAGGAGCATCTAATTCTAGGTTTCTTTTAGCAATAATAGTAATCCCAAGTGATTCTTTTCCTTTCCGATATTTTTTAAACTTTTCAAAACCTGATCCTTAAGCATTATCTTTGATTTCCTTAATTTATGAAATTTATATAGATTTTTTTTCAGAAGTATTCTTTTAATCAAAAGGTTATAATTCTTCTTTCCATTTTATATATTATTCATTTTCAGTTAAATAAATAATTTTAATGTTTGGCTTTCTCTATCCTTCAGAATATTTAATCATTGAAAAACCTTATTTTAATTATAGTAGAGCATGTTATAATTTTGTTTATTAATTAATTTGAACCATTTATTTTGGTAATGTACCTCTTAATTCAGGTGATTAATGAGATTGTATTTATACATTATTACTCTAATGAATTTCAGTAAAATGATCAGAGTTTTTTATATTTAAAGTGAACTATTATTATTGTTATTTCTATTCTTAATCTATCTATGGAATTATGTGAGATAATTGTTCTTTTAATTTCTTATAATCTATATTGATTTCTTATCTAAATGGTCTTTCAAATAAGCTATTCTCAAATAATTTACTAATTAAATATATAAATTTAAATACTCTTAATTAATAGAAATATTTTTTCGTAATATCGACCATAGAGATAAATCTATTTTAGCAAATTCTTATTGATTTTCCAAAATTATAACTAGTTTACCCTCTTTATAATGTATGATAATCTATAAATCATTTTAATAAGTGACATCAACTATCTAAGAAATATTCAAAATCATTTTATTTTCATCTAAATAAGAAGGAGATAAAATTATTTAATCATCAATTATGACAAAAACTCCTTACTCTATTTCTTCATCATTTATTTTGCCTAAAATTGCATTTGTATTTTATTTAACTGTATATTGAATTCTTTAAATACAATAGGTAGAATTAATTAGACTAATCAATTATCGTTAATCATTAGAGTTCTCATGTATATCCTATTCTAATTAAGTGATTTATTCATTTAAAGACTCAATCTTACTCAAAAGTCTTGAATTCTACATTTACAATAATCTTATTTCATTTTATTTAATATCTTCTTATAAATCTTCAACATTTTCTTCTTTTTAATATTTCAAAGAAGAATTAGAATTTTCAGCCTTACTATTAAATTACTTATTGGATTAGAATATTTGATATAAATTATGAGATTCCTGTAGATTTTTTTCCAAAAGTGTTGTCAAACCTTATAATAAATTTTAAATATCATCTTAAGGTTATTAAATTGTTTATTTTTATTAATCATACTTAGTTTGAGGAATGTTATTTTCAATGATCTCTTGTAATGGAATTTTGTTGTCATTTATATTTGCAGTTTCAATAGCTTATTGGAAATCCTTAATTTAATCTATTTATGTTGTACATCTGTTACAAATGCTTGCTTTACTTAAAGTAGAAAATTATTTAATTCAGTTAACTGATTTGATTTAATGAGCTTCTTTGAATTTAACATATAAATATTATAATTTATAGTTTACAATTACAATAAATTAGAAGAAAATGAAGAGATTTCTGTTTGATGAAATTAAATGAATTAATTTACATTAAATATCAAATGAAAATGAAAATCATAAAATGTCTTCAGGAATTTCAAAAAAGCTACCTAAATCAAAAGGAAATTTTTATGCACGAACAACTTCATATATAGGAACTAATTATTATTTCTTATTATTTAATTCTTTTCTTTGTTTTTCTAACTCTAATATTTCTTTTTCATTTTATTCAATTAGTTTTTATATTTCTTCTTCATAACTTTACACTTGCATAGGTTGATTATATAATTATCTGAATTCTATAGCTCTAATTTATTCATCTAGAATTTGATGATCCTAAATAAATTAAGAAAACTTTTCATGTGCTTTATTGATGTAATCTATTTCCTTTTTATTCATTGGTATTATTTTTATTTAAATATTGTTTGATGTAATGGTTAATTATACTATTTATAATAGCAAAATAATTCAAAATGAATAAAAAACCTTTACTTCCTAGACAAACTAAACCAACTTCCTCATCTCCACCCTCAAATTCTGGGAACACTTTACTAGATCGTATAAAGAGTTTAAATTAGAGACAATCAGACTAAGTAAAATAATTAACACATACTTCATCTTTTACAACTGATCGTGTAAAAAATAGAACAAGGGCTAATTATTCTGAATACTTTGATTCAAGGAAATTGCCATTTAATTCAACATTGTAACCTTCTAGATCAAGCTCTTGTAAGAAAAAGAGGCACTTCTATGATGAAAAAGTAGAAAGTGATGGCAAAATATCATAATTAGAAGATTAAAATCATTAAATCAATGATTTCATAGCAAATATTCCATTATGTAAATTAAGTAAAGATGAACAAATAGAAAAATTAGAATTAGAAAAATAGAATTTACATAAATTAACAGCAGGTTATTAGAAAAAAGCTGAGGAAAGAAAAACCATAATGAAATAATTATATAGTATTTTGAAGACAAAAGATTAAGAAATAGAATACTTGAGAAAGAATTACGAGAATTAAATTCTAATTTAATAACAAAAATTGGAATAATTTAAACATGAGTGTCATTAATAATTAGATAAGGCTGATGGTCGAATAATAAAGTTAGAAGGAAATCTATAATGTGCATTATAATATAGATAAAAAAGATTAAATGATTTATTGGTTAAAGAAGAAAAAATGAGAGATATATTATCTAAATTAATTAAAAAGTAAGAAAGTAAAGAAAAGATAGATGAAGTAAAGAATATTTTAGCATTTATTGCAAGAGAAAAATCTAGATTTGAAACCCCAAAAAAATAGAATTCGTAACATGAGTAAATAGATAATATATAGAATGAACATTAAAAATTAGTATCTTTACATGAAAATGTAATGTTGTAAATAGAAAAACTTAACTATTAAGTATCATAATGTTTATAAACATCTTAATATGGTTAAAAAGATACAATTAAAGAACTTTCATAAAATCTTAAAGAAATGATTAATTAATTTTCTTTATCTAAAAATAATTTAAAGGATAAGGACTAAAAAATTATTTAATTGTAAAATGATTTAATGAAATTTAAAAAGCTTTCTGAAAATAAAAAAGATAATGATACTTAAAAATATATATAAGTGATTAATGAATTAAAATTGGAATAAAGTAATTTAGAAAAAAAATATTAGTAATTAATTATATAAGAAAAATTTGGAGAAGAAAATAATTAAGAATTATAAAATCTTAATGATTAATTAAATGTTTAAATAATCAAATAATAATCTTAAATACAATTATTACATAAATAAATTGATGATTAAAATAAAGTTATGATGACAAATGAAAAAATAATTTAATAATATTAACAAAAAGAAAAATAATTGTATGAAGAATTAGATAATTAAAAAGAATAATAAGAAGAAATAAATTAATTAAAAATTTCATTAATTTCATTAAATAATCAAAAAGATCATCTTTTAGAAAATATTGAATAATTATAAAATGAAATAATATCAAAAAATGATGTAATCAATTAGGCTGAAAATTAAATTAATTAATAAATTAGATAATTAAATAAAGGATAATAAGACTTAATTAAATATGAAAATTATAATGAAGAATTATAACAGAGAAATAAAGTCTTGTAAGAAAAAATTAAAAAAATAGAAGATAATAATTTATAATAAATATTACAAAATAAATTATAAGATATTAACAATAAACTTGAGTTGTTAAAAAATGAAAATGAATCATTAGTATAACAAATTTAAATTTTACAAGATGAAAAAGATAAATTTTTTGATTAACTCATACAATTAATCAAATAAAAATAAAATAATCTTTTATATAAATCTTAATCTCCAAAAAATGCAATATCTAGATAAAGTAGTAAGTTTGGAGATTAATTATTTATTTCTGATGGTAATAATAAATAAATATCAAAATTTTAATAAGAATTAGATAAATTTGATGAGATCATATAATCAATAAATTCTAAATTGATTTAGGTTGAATAACAAAAGAATGAATTTAGAAATTTAAATTTAGAATAATAAAAATAAAATTCTTAATTTTTATTATAAATTTCTAATTTAGAATAAGAAAATAAAAAGTATTCTTAAATGCTTTAATAATGGCACTAACAAATGACAGGTAATATTTCTGTAAATTTGGATTAAAATTAAGATATCATCAAACTTGTTAAATAAGAATTAAAGAAATTAAAAAAATTGGAGGATGAATATTCTTAATTAAAGCAAATACATTCAAATTTAAATAAAGTTTAAGAAGAATTAAATTTAGAAATAGAAGAAAAAAATTAATTATTAGAACAAAATAAATAATAGTTGGAAATAGAATAACAATAATTATAAAATGCAATTAAAGAAAATTTGGAACTTAAATAATAGAACTAAACCTAAAAATTATAAGAAGTAAATAAGTAATTGGAAATATAAATTGAAAATTTAAAAAATAAAGAAAAAGAATATCAAATAAAATTAGAAAATTTGAAAACTTAGAATGAAAACTAAGATAAAAAGATAATTTAGAATCAAAATCTCATATAATAATTAAATGATAAAGAGAATTCCCATAACCAATAAAATTAATAACTTCATAGCAAAGTAAATGATTATTTTTAACAAATTTAAGAGAAATCATAAGAAGTTGAAAAATTTAAGATGGATTTATTATCTTCTGAAAATAGAGTAAAATAATAAGAATTAATAGTTAATGAACTTAAAAATGAAATTATGCTTTAAATAAATGAAAACAATAATCAAAAAGCTCAATAATAATAAATATTAGAATTATAAGAAAATTTATAAACTTAAAAGAGTTTAAATTAAGATTAATTAGTTTTAATTCAAAAACTTAAAGATGAATTAAATGAACTAAATCAATAATTAGCTTAAAAAGATTAATTATTAGATTCATAATCTAATGATAACATCTAATAAAACCAACTTCTATAATAATAAATTATATCATAATAAGATTTATTAAAGTAATTAGAATAATAGATATTAGAAAATGAAATAGTTAAAAAAGAATAACTTGATAAGTTTAATGAAACTAGTACAGATTTAGAACAATTTAAATTAAATTTAAAATAGACTGAAATAGAGAAAGACTAATTATCTTAGTAATATGAAGATAGTTAAATATAAATTAATGAATTACTATAAAAAATTGGATTAGGCGAATAACATAATTAAAAATTGAAAGATTAAATAGAATAATAATAATAGAAATTATAAGATAATCTTACTGAATTATAATTTAAGTAAGAAGAAATCAATGAAATGGCTATGAAAGAGTAGGCAAGCAAATTTGAATTAGATTGTTTAAAAGCTAAGTGCCTTTCTTATGAATTATAGATAGAAGATTAAGAAAAATTAATAGCTCAATAAAATAATTAAACTTAATTATAATCTGAAATTTAGGAGTAACTTTTAGATATATAAAAAAATAATGAAGAACTGTAACAAAATTTGAATGATAAATAATAAGATTATGATATATTGCAGAATTCTTATTATGATATTCGTGATTAGAAATAAAAATTAGAAGAGGAAATTGAAGACAAAGACTAAGAGATATCAATATTAAATAGGGATCTAAAAATATATAAGGAATAAATTGATCAAAATAAAGCACTTATTAATTAATTGTAAGATTAAATAGTTCAATTTAGAACTAGTGCAAATGTAAATTTTGCTGAAAACTGTAAATTAAATGAACAAGTTTAAATGATGAAAAAAGAATTAGAGAATTATTAAATTGATTCAAAATAAAATTTGGATGAAAGAAGTGATAAAATTAAAGATTTAGAATAATAAATAATAGATTTACAAAATGAATTAGAGAATTAATAATTTTAAATTTAATATAAGGATTCTAAAATAGAAGAATTAAACAACCGTCTATAAGAAACATTAGAGAATCTAGATGATGTTAAATAAGAATTGGAAATAACTTCTCGATAATTAAAAAGTGAATAAGTATAAAAAGAAGAAGAACTTAAATGTAAGTAATAATTAGAAAGTGTAATATAATAATACAAATTAGAAGTATAATAATATATCTAAACAATAAATTAATAATAAGAAAATTTACTATCTTTACATAATAAAATAATTGAATACTGTAATGAAATAGAAAATTTGAAAAATTAAAATTCTACAATGCAAATTTAATTTGAAAAATAATAAAAAGAGATTGAAGTTTTAAATGAAAATTTAAATTAATAAAATATATTATTTGAAGATTAAAAATAAAGTTCAGAAAATTCAGAGTTTTAAATCAATTATTATTAAACCCAATATAATGAGATAAAAATAGAGTATGATTAATTGAATGAGAAATTTTAGGATTTAGAATAAGAAAATGAAATATTAAATAGAAATTAATCCAATAACTTATAGAAATTAGAATAAATATAAAATGAAAAATATATACTATAATAAGAAATAGCATAACTAAAGCAATCCTTAGCTACTTTATTTGAAGAAAGATAAAACAATTAAGATCGAATATAAGAGTTAATTTTTAAGATTGAACTTTAAAAATCTGAGGATGCAAAAAAAGAATAAAAAATAGAGATGATTGCTAATTAATAAAATGATTTACAGCAACATTTAATTGAACTATAAGAATAAAATAAAAACTATTAATAAAATATTGAATAAATCTAAATTTAATTGCAAGATGAAAAGCTTATTACAGAAAATTTAAAATTATAGAATGAAAAAGATTAAGAATTAATTGATAAACTTAAAAATATTGAAATAGTATAACTAAACCAATAGATAGATAATTTATAAGAAATAGTTAAATTATTTGAATAAAAGGAAATGTAAAATTAGGAATTAAGTAATTAAATGTCAAATTTAAGATAAGAGTAGTAAATTCAAGAGCAATAGGTACAATAAATTAAAGAGGAAAATGAAAAACTTAAAGAAGAAATAAATGATTTAAAAAAGAACTAAATTAATTTATTAGAGAGTGAGAAAATTACATATGAATAAAAGTATCATTAGTTTTAAGAAGAAGTTAAAGCTAATGAAATCAGCTATTAATAATTGAAATTATAGGAAAAATAATTAATTTAATTGAATGAAGCAAAGGATGAATAAATATCTAATTTAACTGTTTTAAAGGCTGATTTTGAATAAAAATTAGATTAATTAAATAATGAAATAAAACTTAATTAAGAAGAAAAGTAGATTTAATAGAATAAATTATAATAATTGAATGAATAATAATTAAAACTTGAAAATCAACGAAAATCTTAATCTATTGAACTTGAATAGCTTAAAGAATAAAATAAAGACTTATAATAATAGATTGAAAATAATACATGTTAATTTAATGAAAAAATTGATTAACTGACAAATTAAATAAATGTATTATAATAAAAAAATTAATAATAGTAGAATGAGATAAAAGAATTGATTTTATAAAATGAGGAATTCTAAGATTAATAATTATCATTTATGGAATAATTACAAACTGAAAAATAAGCTCACAATACTTAATTATCTGAAAATCATTAATTATAAGAAAAATTATAGAATGAATTAGAAAATGCTTAATAATTAAAAGGTTAAGTATAAAAATTAGAATAAGAATTATATTAACTATAGTAAGCAATGATAGATAAGGATGAAAGTTTAGTTAGATGGAGAGAATAATGTTGTAGTTAATACATGTAAAATGAATAAATAGGGTAATCATAAAACACTTAGAAAGATAATAATAACGAATCTTAAAAAATGAATAATAGATTAATGTAAGAATCTTTATCAAATCCTTTAGAGGATTAAGATAATGATTATAGAGTTGAAATGAAGGAACATGAAAATTCTAAAATTTTTGATTTAGAATTTGATGATAAAAGTGCTAATTAATAATAAAACATATTGCCTGCTGTTAGTGAAAATGTAAGTGAGGCATATGATTTAGCAATAAAAAAAAGTATGGGACTTTCAAAAGATTAAATTATATAACAATTATAAGATTAAAATAGAATATTTTAATAATAAATTGAAAACTTAACAAAAGAAAATATAATTTATGAATCTCCATGTAAAGATAAGGTTATAATAGAAGATTTATAGTAATAAATTTAATAGTTAAAAAATTAATAATTATAAAGAATTATTTTATCTCCTTTAGAAGTATTAATTGGAGAACATTTAGATGAGAAAGATGAATTAAATGAAGAAGAAAAGAATTATTTATTGTAAGAAAAGTGTAAAGGTTTAGAACTTGAAATTTAAATGATTTAATTTGATAATAAGGAAACTCAAAAAATAAATGAATCTTTAAAAAAGGAAAATGACAGTTTATAATTATAAGTAAATATCTTAAATAAGACTGTTAAGGTTTGGTAAGAAACAACAACAAATATACATTAATAGTATGATTAAAAATAATTAATAACATTTAGTGTATTATAAAAAGCTCTTAATTAAGAATAATAATGGGGATAATAAATAAATTAAATTGGACTTAGTTCAGAATGTGAATCAATATTTAGATAAGTTTGTTAAACAGTTTATGGTGTACCTTCTCTTTAAAAATAACTTGAAGATATTAAAAAATAATTAGATAAAGAGAAATAGGAAATAAATTCATTAATTAATGAGAAAGTTGTTTTGAGTCAATAAATAATTGATATAACAAGTTAACATGAAAATTCATCTAGACGTAATAAAATGAGTGAACCAAATAGTGCATTAAAGATCAATTAATCTATTGATGATGATGAATTCTCGTTAAATATTAAATAGATTATTCTCAAATATAAAAAAGAATAAGAAATTATGAAGATTGAAAATCATTAATTGACTTTATAATTAAAATAACATGAATAAAATGAAGAAATTTATATGGTATTTAATAATAATAATATTATTTAGAAACAAAACAAATTGATGAAAGATGAGAATCGAACATTAAGTGAGAAATTAAATTAAATGTAAGATGAATTATAAAAAATGGCAGAAAAAGTTTCTAATTCAGAAAATGGGGCTTTGGCTGAACATTTAAAGAAAAATATATAAAAGTTCTTTGAAGCATTACAATAAGAGTAATTTATATTAATTAAAGTAGAAAAAAATAAGAATTTTAATCTTATTCATCACATCTGTTAAAATTAAGTGGAGTTTAATTTGAATAGTAAATATGTGAAAGCTTAATTAACAAATTAAGTTCTGTAATTGATAAAAAGAAATCAAGTGGTGTATTTGGTGGTATATTCAAATGATTTTAATTAATATATATGGTCAAAATGTTTTGATGCTGTTTTTCAATGATGTAAATAAATATTAATAAATACTTTTTTTTTCATAAATGAATAATAATGAAGATAAGAAATAAATAGAAAGACTAGGAACAGCCAGCACAATGTGTTAAACCTTTTAATAATCTCAATTTTAACAACAATATTAAAAACGTGTTGATTTCACTCAAGTAAATCTTTTCCCCAAAAATATCAAAAATGATTTGAATCACAAGTAAAATACTCGATACTCTCGACAAGAATATGGGAATGAATCTGAAGATCAAAAATAAGATTTACTATAAACATAACACAAACAATAATAATACATTATTCAGCAACAGAATTCGTAATCAAAACAAAAAAAAATATAAATAAAGCAATAAAATGAATCATAAAACCTTATTGAAGATAGGTAAGAAGAATTTAATAGTGTGTATGATGATGAAAATTTAGAATCCCCTATTCCAATATAAAAAAAAGGCAAAGGAGAACATCTTTATGTCAATTGGTACAATATATTTGAATTTTAGTTAGATGTAGGCTTTAAGTGAAATTTTAGTTAAATATCATATATAAGAGATAAATCAGCCATATTTAAAAAAAAAAACATCAGCAAAATGTTGTTGTTTCACAATTACAACCAAATAATCACTTTATTAAAGTTAAAAACAAATTATTATAACAGAAGGAAGAAAAAATTATGATGAGAATGATATTAATCATTGTAATCTTCTATATTCAATTCTCTATTAAATGTATCAATTAGAGAAACTATCTAAGAAAAAGTCAAAGGAAATTGAAGCTAAATAAACAACAGTCTTTTAGTTAATTTATACATTATCTTGTATAACATTATTTAAGGATGATTTATTATAATTTACAAAAAATGATAAGGATAAAGTTATAGGAAACCTCTTTATTATATCAAAATATATATTTGACATCCTTTTAAATGGAATTTTAGATCCAATTTTCAAATAATCAGACAGTAATGGTGAAACACTTCATAATACTTTGACTGCAATTCATATGGGTATGTTTCTTATGGTTTGTTTGGATAATTTAAATTAAGAATAAGAAATAATATAAAATTTGCAAAATAAAAATATAAAATCACTCATAGATCTTTGGAAACAAAAAAAATATTAAAATAACTGAAACTTATCAATTTTGATTTTATAAGACTTAATTAATTAATAGTTTGTTAATTTCTATTACAATAATAAACAGATTGTTTGATATTAAATTCTTACTTTCATATCAACAATACTCTGTAATTGATATATATATATCTTTGTAATTGATATTATATTGTAATAAAATTAATACATTAAATAAGAATTTTAAGTATTTTTTATTGGTTTGAATGGGTAAAGTCATTATATAAGTATTTAATTGAGACTGATTCTATATAATGTATAATATATAAAAAATGCTTTTTTTTTTCAAATTTTAATTATTATTATTATTATTATTATTATTTATTATTTATATATTAATTATTTATTTATTAAGTATTTATATATTTATATACTCTATTATATAATTATATTTATAATATTCTAACTAGATAGATTTCCAATTGTAAATTAAAATGTATATTTTTAACAATCTTTAATTGTTTTATTGTTATAATCAAAAATATGTTGTATAGATGTTGGAGAGTTGATGGAAAGTGAATTTTGATGTGTTTTTTTTTGATAATTACTTATATTTATTTAAAATGAGCTATGATGAAGACTACATCTTTGATCCTTATAATGATGATTAGCCTTGCTTTATTTAGGAAGATTAGTTTATGGATAACCTTTTAGATTAAAACAATTAATTATAGTTTGAATGTGATTAACTAAGAGATATGAAGTAAAATAAAAGAAATACTTTTAGTTTTCATGAAGAAATAAATGAAATATCTGATAATTTAGATGCAAATTAGAGATTGTCATCTACAAATAATTTTGCAATAGAAAATGATTCATTTTTGATACAGAAACATTAGATTTTCAATGATCAATAAAAAGTAGAAGATTGCACATTTGAATCTAGGAGTAGAAGTAGAGAGATTGAAAAAAATGTAATCAATTAGTTAGAATAGAATTTAGACTGGGAAAATTAAAAAATGGACTCAAGAAGAAAATGATTTACTAGCAAATTTGTATTATTAATTTAATGGAGATTGGCAGAGGATTGTTGAAAGAATGTAAGGAAGAACCTTGACATAATGCAAATAGTATTGGTAAAGAAAGCATAAACCTGAATAACCTTAAAAAAGTAAATGGACACCTGAAGAAGATTAAATAATTAGAGATAATGTTAATAAAGAAGAAAATAATTGGGCTGCAATAGCTACAAGTATATAAAATATCATATATGAAAGTGTTAAAAAATAAAACAGGGAAATAAATAAGGGAGAGATATATAAATAAATTAAGGTCAGATATTATTGATGTTAAGAAATAGCCATGGTCTAATTAAGAAGATCAAAAACTATTATAGTTATATAATTAATTTGGATCTAAATGGTCTTTGATAGCTCGACAATTTTTTGGAAGATCTGTAAATACTATTACTAAAATCTAGGATTTGTAGATCAAAAATAGAACTAATAAATTATTAAAAACTTAAAGTGGCACATAATTATAACAAGAATAGCCAAAATTACAGGTATAAAATCTGAATCTAGAGAGTTATCTAGAATTAGATAAAACTTGTGAAAAATCTCAAAATAAACCTAAGTTTGAATTTCCATAATATAATTCTTATACAGTCTCTTCTCAATTAATTCAATGAAATGACTTTTATTTATTTATTAAACTCTTGTAAGCTCAAATATGTTGTGATTTATTAAATTCATAAGATTAATTAATAAGTATTACAATTTGTTTTCATTTTCATTAAATTTAATAATATAATAAAAACTATGGCATATTACGGAGTTGGATTACCTACAACTATTTAAGAATTGGTTTTTAGATTTAGAAATCATGTTTGCAAAGCTAATCCTTATTGTACATTATCAAGATTAAAGTATTAAAAAACTCATTGAATATTAGATCAATATTTTAATAATATGACAAAAATGGTAACGGAAAACTAAATCTAGAAGAATTAGATAATCTATTAAAGAGTGTTGGAATGTTCTTAAAAATTGTTGAATTGCAAGCACTAATTAAATATTTTGATAAAGACGGAGATGGATTTTTGAGTTTTCGAGAATTTTTAACTTTTGTTAGAGAAGAAATGAATGAAAGAAGAAAAAATATGGTACTTAAAGTATATGAGAGTTAATAGAACACCAAAATTACATCAAATTATTTAAGTAACATTATAAACTATAAAACTAGGATAAATTTATAAGATTGATAATTTAACAGATGGAATGAAAACATTTATTGATAATATTTGTGTAGGTGATGAATTATCTTATGAATAATTTTTGGAATTTCATGAAGAACTATCATTAAATATAGCATCAGATGAAACTTTTACATCTATTTTATCTAAAGCTTGGAATATTGATGAAAAGTAAGAAGACACTGCATTTTAAGAATATTTATAGAATAGTTTATAATAAATTAAAGAACGAGTTATAACAAGAGCAGGTGGTAAACCTTTTGTTGTAAATGTTTTTAAAGAGTTTGATACTAATAAATCTTAAGATTTATCAATTAGTGAATTCATCTTTTTACTCAAAAAAGTAAATTAAATAATTATATTATTTAGCTTGAATTAGATTGGAATAAGGCAGTAATCAACAGAGTTTATAGAATTATGGATTAAAATAATAGTGGATCAATAGAAGAGTAAGAATTCATTAATTTTTTTAAAAATTGATAAATTATAATTATCAATAATATTATAGAATTCATATACATAATATATAGATATAATAGCTTATTAATATTCAAATTAAAATCATTTTATTGATCTTTAAACTATCTATTCATTTTTTTGAGTGTTTCAAAATCTATATTTTATATTTTCGAAATTTAATTGATTATTGAAGTTTTTTATTAAAATCAAATTATTATTTATAAAATGTCAAGTTTTAATAAACAATACTATTTTATTTTTAAGATTATTATATCATTTAAATAATGAAAAAAGAAGTCTATTTAAATATTCTATAAATGGATTTTAGATCAAAATTTTGAATGATTTTTTATTGAAACATTGCCAACATCATCTATTTTTAATAACTACAATTTTCTCATTAAGATTATTATTAGAATGTTTTGAACATATAATTAAACATAGAATATTAAATTTATATTATTGAATATATTTTAATTTATAAGATTAATTAATAATTCAAAAAAAAGAATGTTTGCATAGAGTGGCAAAAGTAAAAACTAATTAATAAAATATTATAGTATCGGAGGATAAATGTAAGATTCACAATAATGCTTATGATTGTGTAAGCTTAAATTATACAGACAGGAGTTAAACATTTAAAGCATGTTCTCAATGCAAATAATAAAGAACAAAGGAATAATTTATTTCTTTTAAAGAGATATAAAATAAACTCTAAACTTAAATATCAAATGATTTAGTTGGAGAATTCAAATTAAAATTGACTCCATTATTTGATGAGACAGAATAATTAAGAACAAAATTATTATAATTAGCAGATGATATTTATAAGATATTGCTTAATAGCATCCATAATTTATTTGTTAATTGTTTATTTAAATAGTTGCCCAATAATTTATTTACTACATAGGACATATTCGATGTAATCAATTTTGATTATCTAATTATAGTTAATGACTCCAAAAACTATTGATGATTTCACTTCAATAATTGATTAATAGATTTCATTTTAGAAAGGAGAGGATTCAAGTGCTAGTTTATTGACTAAAGTGCTGTTTAATGATTAAGAAGCTAGACAATTTTTAGATGCATTAACAGAAACATAAGGGGTAAAATAGAAATTGGAAAAAGTTCATAGTGAGTTTGTTTAACATAAGAATGATATTTCTAAGAAAATTGATTAAATAAGTAAATAAGTATGATCATAAATCTGATTTAATTTTAGAGTGTAGTAGAGGTTCCAAAAGTAGATTTAAATGAACCTGTACTATAATTTTTAATTGAAAAAAATAAGTAAGAACAAGAGTATTTAGTTGAAGCAATAAAAGAAGTAATAATAATTAATTAAATAAAGATATAAGGAGTGACTGATTTTTTAATTGAACCAAATCAAGAAGAGAAGTAAGAGAATCCTTAAGTAAAATCGATAATCTCAATTAATTAACAACTTCTTGCATATAGTTCTTAAACAAGGATTTTTATATTTGATAAAACAAAAAACTTTTAATTCATATAATAATTAGATTGTGAAAATGATATTTCAGCTTTACGTTCAGTGACATTAGAAGATAATAAAACATATATAATTGCAAGGTATAATAAGGAATAATAATAAGTGTTGAAGAAAATGAAGAATCATTTTAATTATAATTTTGGGATTGGGAAACTTTTGATAAATGGAAAGTGATTAATGCTCATAATAAATATATATGGTAGATTATTAATTTACCTAAAAATCTAATAGCATCATGTTCAGAAGATGAAGTATATATATAATATTAATATAAGACAATTAAAATATTTGATGCTTAAACATAATAATAAGTATAAACTATTGCTGTTCATTAAGCAAGTGTTAATGACATTGCTTTAATAAATCCAAATATTATAGTCTCAGTTTCAGATGATGGTACACTTGTAGCATCCAATTATTTGAATGGTGATTTAGTAGGAATTGTTCCATAAGATAGTGAAATTAAATCAGTGATTGCTTTAGATGGGATTAGATTTGTTACTGGAAATAGTTCTGGAGAAATAATAATCTATTCATTTGTTTAATCAATAGAAATTTAGTAAGTTATTAAAGCTCATGATTCTGTAGTTAGATTTCTTAGTAGAATAGACTAAAAGTAAATAAATAGTTTAATTTTCTATTAGATTATTTGTATCTTCTTCTTGGGATGGTACTCACAAATTCATCTCTATAATTGATGGGGAAATTAAAGTTATTAATGGTCCTAAAAAGAATTTCTCTGAACCACTACTTTGGATTCAAGATATTGGTTGTCTAGTAGCCTCAGGAGGTGGAATTCTATAAAAATACAAATGATAAATAAATAAATAAATAAAGTATTTTAAGGAAATAAATAAATATCAAATAGTCAATTATCGTATTTAATTACACTAAGCTTAGAGGTTTAAAATAACTTTTAGTTAATAGAGAAATTTAGTTTATACAAATGTTCTTGATCTACATAATTATTATCATGTTCCATATTATTTAGTTAATATTCATCCTCATAATCTAATTATATGTTTTTTTGATAAGATAATGTTTTAGATGGTATACGAATCTTATCCTATTGATTACAATCTTTATCATTTGATGTTCTAGATTATGAACTAATCTCTTGTTATTTTTAATAATCTTAACTCTTCCTACTAATAGGTACACTTAATATGGAAATGGTTCTATTTTTATATCCATTATTTTGAGGAGTAGTTTAAGTATTAGCTTAACTAACATAATTAACACCTTAATCCATTTCCATACTGACATTAATATGTGTATTAATTTCTCCTTTGGCAATGATATCATGATATTATTTAGATACAATTTATTTGGGTAATTGAATTTAAGAAAAAAATGGAGTCTTAAAGAATGGATGATTTAATGCTTCAGTTATAGTAATCCTATCTTTAGGATACTTCTTTGTCATTTAACATATAAGATTCTCCACTAATTAATATTAATAAAGTGCAGTTTACATGATTTTGGATATTTGGATGTTGGTATTTCAAAATATCCTTCAGTATTTTTTTTAATAGTTTATTTTAAATCGTTTTGTTTAAATGGATTATAACCATAAAGAACAACAAATATAGTTATTCCTAAACTGAAGATATCACATTATTGATTATATATCTTTTTAGATTCATCATATTTCAATACTTCAGGTGCTGAATAACTAAAATTAAATAATTTTATAATATACCCTGGACTTCCACATTATGGAAATGGCACATTTTTCTACCAAGTAAATGCTGCTAATCCAAAATCTATTAAAACAGGATTCTATATGTTATTATTGTTTAATAGAATGTTTTATGGTTTAATATCTCTATGCATTACTTTTTATTAATGAATCTATTCAATTGCACTAAGAAGACGGATTATCATTATTCGTAAATCATCAAAAGAATATATCTTTTTCGAGGATTGTTGTGATACCAACTCTGGACCATCGATATAATCAGTCAATAAACATATTTTTTATTGATTCTCATAAACTCTATATAATTTTAATATATTAGAATGATTAAACATTCTAAGAGTTTAGATTTCATTTAATAATTATTCCTCATAACTCTTATTTTTATTAAATTATTTTATTGTTTGTTTTTTTATTATTTTTACAGCAAACATCTCACCATCTCGATTAAAACATTAATGAACCTTAAAATATTAATTTTAGTTTACTGTTGAAAAACTTCCTTAACCTATCTGCATTCCCAGTTTGTATACTTTATCAAAATCACTTAAGATACAGCAATTTGATAATGCATCTACCCAAATTTTGAATTACTACTTGTCCTCTGTATTTAAGTGAATTTAGTAACCATTATTTATTAATGCTATTTAAAATCCTGTTTCCAATTAATTAAATTAACAATATACAGTATCCAATTATACAAATCCTTTAATGTTATTTCCACTCCCAACATCAGAGTACAATAAAAATTATTTCACCAAAAAGTAGGTTCTGAGGCATTTCTACTTAAAGGTCCGCCCTACTTTGGTGAAATTCCCCATTAACACTTATACATTCTAAAAGTCTTCCTTATCAAATACGGGAATATCAGATTTATTCCAAAACTCTTAATTTTCCACTTGACCTTTGCTAAATATCATATTTATTATTAAAAAATTATCAAATTGAATAAATATAGCTTCAATTCAATGTCGAATGTTGATATATTTAAAAATATCTCATAATCAATCATTTAAACCGGTTTTAAATTATTCATCAGATTATTTGCAAATTTATTTTACTTTAATTTTTCCGACCTCTTTTTTATAACTACAATAATATCCGAGATAATGTTTTCATTGATTAAATTACATTATATCAATATATACTAATAGTGTATTTAATTAATATTCCAATTTGATTTCTAATTCTTTATATCTAATGTATATCTATAATTATAAGTTGATAACATCATATTTTACAGTTATTTTAGCATTTTAATATTATTGAAATAATTGAAGATTTGCATTGATATTCATAAAAATTTAATTTTTAAAACAAATATTTTGTTGTGATTCATAAATCTTAATTTATATTCCTTTATTTACTTGTTATTTATTCTTCCATTTTTATTAACTTTAAGAATTAGAAATTTAATAATTAATTTGTTACATGATTAATAATATTTTATTTTTAGAATTATATATATATTTTATTATTAATCATCACATTTTTATGTAAATTTATCCACAACCTTAGGATGAAACAGATAGAAAATTGATAGAAATCCCATTCAATATTAAGGAACAAACTCAATAAAACAAACACTAATCAGAGAGTATTGAAACAACTTAAAAAGATTAATTATCTTCTTAATTTAAATCGAAAGGCTTATTATCTTCAGATCAGAAATCCTGTTCTTAAAAGAAAGTTCGACTTGATTCTACAGGTTAACCAATATTGAAAAAATCTAAAGCTCATTAAATAACATTTAGCAATCAATTACAACAAATATATTATGTAGAAAGCTGGAAAGAATATAATTCAAATGATAATTAAGAAGAAGAGAAAGAAACCTGTTGTCCTTTTTGTAAAGTCTTTTGATATGATGAAGTACTCCAATTAATTTAAATAAGCTGAGATTTAATTAGTTGTTTTATTTTTCATTCTTAAAACAATATTATATGAAAGACCTTAATTAAATGGTGTTGTAATTTACCATTTGAGAAATGTCAACAAATTATTATAGAAAACTTTATTCTTTTATATGTTATAATTAATAATAATATATTTATCGATTTCTTATATGATAATTAATAGTTAATATAATTTATAAGATACTTGATTCTATCTCTCTTAGAATTTTCAATTTTTAAAGATTAAATATAAATTTTATATACTTATAATAATCTTAGGATTGTTATCTTTATGATCATATATTTTCAAATAAATAATTAATAATTTAATTTTTGTTATTTTTCTTTATTTTTTTTATATATCTTAATTTATTTTAAATTATAATAACTTTTTTAATAGCTATTATCCTTAAAAATGGATAATATTCAAGAGAATTTTAAAATACATTTAGAAAAAATTTATATATCTTTAACATCATATATTTTCTGTTTCTGTTTTGAACCTTGTTCCTTATTCATTTTCGAATCTAACTTTCTACTTTTTATCCTTATTTATAGATGCTATCAAAAGAATAAGTTAAAATATTACAATCTTTTTTAAAACTACTAATTAATTAGGTTCTATCTGATTTTTTGAAAGTGTTCATTAAATTATAAGAACTTTTAATTTCTTTTTCTGATGATGGTGATGAACTCTAAGCTATTCAAATTATTGCAAACAATACCATACAAGGAGAATCTTGATTTAATTTTGAATTCAATAACAAACTACTTTTTTTAAGTCTCTTTAATTTCTTATCTTTATTTTATGACATCATTAATTTTCTAAGTTTCCTTTCAAATATCTATATCTCATTTTAAACTTAATTCTAATAGTCTTCTTCAAGTAATTTCTTTGCATTCTTAAATTCTAAATAATTCATTAATTAAATACCTTAAACTAATTTAGTCATTTTATCCTATTTATTTTATTCCAAATAACTCAACTTATCTTGTAATCCAACTCGAAGTTATTCTTCTAATTTATTATTTTATTTCATATTTTTCTCTCCTTTAGTCTCACTGACTGGATATAACAAATGTTTTAAAGCTTATTATTTTTCACTCTTAATCACATTATTAGTAGTCTCTTTCAAAATACTTGAGTTCTTAACAGCACTCCCTTAAGGTGTCACATTTTTAGATTACTTTTCTGTATCTTATTCTAACTTCTTATTACTGATATAATCCTTTTTGAATTGCTAAGTAGTTTGGTTGATATTTTGATTACTAGTCTCTTTATCAATAGTTTATAAATTGCCAACTTATTTCAATTATTCTTTGATCATAGTGTAAAAGGATCTATCATTAGACATATTTGCTGATGAGTCTGCTTTTGATCTAGTAAAACTACTCTTACGATGTTATTGAGTTAAAACAGATTATAATTGAGATATTTAGTTTTTGAGAGATTGTAAATTTTAGATATTGCTCATTGTGGAATATATACAGGGTTAATATCGATTAATGTATTATTATGCATTTTTAGGAGATTTACTATACACTCTCATGCTATCTGTTGAATAGGCACTTCCATTATAATTATAAAAGTTTCTGGAGTGAGAACTCGAGGCTTAATTCATTTAACGGAACTTAATTGTTTTTTTATTAAAATATAAATATAATCATTACAATCTAAAAATGTTCATACATTATTTGATCTATATTCTTAATCAATCATAAATATAATTACATTAAGAATATGTTTAAATAGTATCATCTAATTGTATTCATAAACTAGTCAAAATGTAATACAAAGAATCTAATAATAAATTAATTCTTAAAGAAATATTATTTGAATTTGATAAATAATTAATGAATATTTTTAACAAAATATTCATTAAAATCTCTGTATATCTTTAAATATATAAATCAAAAAAATTAATCATTATTTTTTTAATAAGCTATTTTATTTTTTAATATAGTGAGGATATATTTTCATAAAATAAGATAATTAATCCAATTAAAATATTACATAAGTAATTATATAATATAATTTGATATTATCGTAAAATTAATATCCTTTTTTAACATAGAAGTTATATATAATAATAATTCTTAAATCTTATGATAATCATTATTGTAAATTATCTATTATAGATGAATAAGAATTATTTGAATGATTAAAAGGAATTAGAAATTTTGAGGAATCTAAAATTTAACTTTATGTAGAATTATACAAAAAGATATTTATAATGAATTTAAATCAAAAATCAATATTGAAAATAAATTATTTCAATTTTAATGTTTTAGAAAGAAATTCTTAAGAGAAATCTTAAAATTAATTTGACTGATTTAAATTATGTAAATCAAAACAAATAGTGGTATTTTTTATCTGAATCTGGTAATTTAGGTAGTTTTCTAAGTCTATTCCCATATTCCTTTTATTTTTAGTAATTTACATCCAGAATCTTCTTTGAGATAGTTGATTTAAGAGATTACAGCTTTTTCATTAAGTTGAGACTCTCTAAAGAACTATTAAAACTAAAGTTTGGACTTTTTAGATCAACTTAAGTAATACCTCTTAATCTAGTTTAATTGATATAAGGATTTTCTCTCACCTTAATTCTTTCAATTTTATCATCAAGTAACTTATTTAAAATATTGTGAACAATACTTTCTTAAGACGATCTTAAGCATTTTATTATTGTTATTTATTAAATTTAGATGTTTATTGAAGCATCAAAAATCTGTAATTTGATGCAGATTTATTGGACTCAATATTTTTGTATACGTTCATCTTTTCTTTATTTATCTCTTCCATTCTTTTAAAATGATTGTAATACTCTTCCAATTAGTAAGATTCAATAGTAGGATTATGGATTATAAATCGATTTGCCTTCATTTTGATATTAGTATTTAATTAATAATAAATTAATGAATAATAAATAGAGGTATTAAAATTGGAAAAAAGCAAGATCAGACAAAAGAGATTAAAAACAATAATAAGGTTAATAATAATAATAAATAACATTACATTAATTGCAATAATTAAATAATTAATAAAGTAATAGTTAAGATGAAAGTGAAGATGAAGATGAATAATAAATAAATAAAAAAGAGGAAAGATTAAATGATATTAAATTGTTTATGATTGATTATGGATAATGTGATGTTAAGAAATGTACAGGTAGAAAAATGGAAAGATTTAAATTATTAACAGCAATAAAACCAAAAGTCAAATTTTAAGGAATAATAGTAAGTGCAAATGGAAAGAAATATGTATCTAAAGAAGATGAAGAATTATTATAAAAAGGAATTTGTGTAATTGATTGTTCATGGGCAAAGATAGAAGAAATTACTTATGTATCTCCAAATGAAAGATTATTACCACATATGGTTGCTGTAAATCCTGTTAATTTTGGCAAATAATTTAAATTATCATGTGTAGAAGCTATTGCAGCTACATTAGCTTTATGTGGACGTAGAGAATAAGCAGATTTCATTCTTAGTAAATTTACATGGGGTGAGAATTTCTTTAAGATAAATAAAGATGCTTTTGATCTTTATTAAGAATGTCAGAATGATAAAGAATTAAGAGTAGCAGAATAAAAGTATTTAGAAATGGCATAAAAGAAAGAGAATACAGGATAAAGGAATTATGATATGCCAAGTAGTTCTGATGATGAAGAAGAGAATCAAATTTAATGATCTCATATCTATAATTTATTAATTGCTACTTTAAATTCTTCTTGTAAATTGAATATAAGTCTCTAATCAGTTACTTATCAAAAAAATTATTATTTTTAATTTTATTATAATTTTGCAATTCTTCTACATAATTTTATTAAATACATAAGAGATTTATTATAACAAAAGTATTTTCATTTATTACTATGTTATAATAAAATTTATATGATGTTTCAAGAAAATGATTGTAAATCTAATTGATTTCTAATTCATAATACTCTTAATATTTAATTAAATTGGTAAAGATATTTAATATTGTTTATGGATTATTAGGTGAGGTATATAAAAAAGAGTCTATATTTGTGAATATCTGTTTAATAATGAGAGAATTCTATCCTTAAAATATTTCAGTAATTTGATGTAATCATATACATATGTACAATCACTTTACTTATATATCAAACAATAATAAAAGGCAAAGTATTTTAGGAATTCAACAATTGAATAAGGATATTCAAATTTTTGACATTTAAAACATAAAGTGAACCTAATAATTCATTTATTAAAAATGGATACTTAATTATAAGTTGATAATAAGTTTCTTATTCATTATATTCAACAAAGTAGAACATTTTTGTCACTAATATCATCATTATTGACTAAATTAATTTGATTGTAGTTTATATCTGTAATCTTATAAATCTTTCAAATTAAACATTATTTACTATATTAAATAGTATGATATTATCATCAAGGATATCGGGAATATTTTATTATTATAAAAGCCATTAAAGATTGTTAACATTATATTTATATTATTTATCTCAAGCGAGTTTTACATCTTCAATATGGACTGGAGTCATTGGAACATATTTATATGATGGATCAGCATATTTAGTTTTTTTAACATGTTCTGATTAGGTTGATCTCTCCTTTATTATTTTGGCATGTTATTTATGATACTAAGATTTGAATATAAATGCATTATTACTCTCTTCATCATTTCAGCTGTATAAATAGAACTAATTTCTGTATAATGTGCTGATAATCTTTGATTCAATGTATTCAATGGAAAATGTAATGAATTAGTTGCTTTCTTCATCACGTAATCTAAATTATCAGGACTATCTATCCAAATAAAATTGCATACTAATATGATCTGTTTTCAGAAGAATAATAGACTAATCTAAATAGACCTGCCAATACAGCTATTGGTCCCAAGAATACTGCTGCTCTCATTGGTCTTAACATATGATATCCTTAATGTGTGAGTCCTCTATATTAAATATATTAGTGTTACTTACTTTAAGACTGAGTATTTATGACCCATAAAGGCTGTTGCAAAGAGCACTCTTCTATTGAAATATATGAACATTTAGTTTGTTGGATGATATCCAAATTCTCTTGGGCCAATAAGAAAGAATCTTCCAATCTTACCCAATAATCCTGATCGTTTGGCTAATTTCTCATTGATTACCTCAGAAACTGGGTTCAATATTTTTAACCATGCTTATTAAATAGGATTCATGTTAATTTAATTAATATTATTAGATTTCTTTTCACATATAGATATTAGGGAATTGTGTGAATAATAATTACATACATTTTTAACTCAAATCAACACTCATACTTTATACCACAGTATATAAATTATATTAATTAAATAAAATGAATGAAAATAAAGAAATGATTCAACATGACTATTAAACACAACTCAAGGATTTCTATGAATAAACATAAGAGATTGTTAGTTCAATCCAATAAGGAATCAGAATTAAGAAAGTAAAAAATATCATCTAATATTCAAAGGATATACCAATTCAAATCAATAATGTAATGGGATAATTGAAACCAATATTAGAATCTATATCTTAGAATGGTGAAATTCAAAAATATAATTGGCTACATTTGAGATCACTTATTGTTATAACAACCAGAGATATGTTATTAAATATGCAGAAACTTTATCCATATGAAAAGACTGCTTAAAATGAAGGTTTCGAAGATGAATTAGATATCGTACTTCAATTTCTTTGTGTTTTTGAATAAAAGTATATTATTTTCCCTCTATTTATATCAGACCACCATTTACTTTGTAAAGAATATGTGAATTACTAATTGATCCCTAAAAACATTATAAATCATCAAAAAAAATATTATTCGCCATGGAAAAATTAGTAAATGTAAGTACATGATATAAAATTATAATATTTTATTTAATGAAGCACAAACCAAGTTATTGGAAATCTACACACTTTGCTGCCTCTGTCTAATATCTTAATTTCATTATAGAGTGTATCATCTTTCCATTGGCTTTGATTCTATACATAAATCATTACAAAATGGATAGAAATCTATATGATAATTGGGAATATAAACCAATTATTGAAATTCAAAAAGTAAAAGGTTCATAATGTCCATCTGATATGGAAACATTCTTTGATTATAGTTATCCATAAACTTCTAGTGGTATTTATTCAAATTTACTTATAAGGATGTGATTGTGGTTTTGGAGAAGAAGATGAAAATGGTGAAATTGATTATGATAAATTGAAAAATGAACATTGTTAAACTTCTGATATTGATGAAGGTTGTGATGAAATAGCTCCTATAGAATCTTAAAATTTTATTATTTGGAAAGGTTATTCAATTTGTGGTAAAAGATCTGAATACACATACAGAGAATTATTTTATGAAAGAAATTGTACTGCGATTTGTAATGGAGTTTGTTAAACTAAAAATGATTAAAGAGCTTGTGGAAATTATTAAGATCTACTCTCCAAAGAAAATCTTACTCAATCATATTTTAATTTTACTTTAAGCTATGGTATTGATGTTTGCTATGAAAATGGAGAATCAATCAATTAATATCCATTATTAGAATCAGCTTATATATGTGCTATTTAATCATCAGAATATGCATATATAGATGAATTTGATTAATATATGTTATTTGAAGAAAATGAATATCCTTATGAAAGTTTACCGGGATTAGAGTATTTCAAAGAAACACCTAAATTTGGTCTATTTGGAGAAAAATTTACAGAATATAATTGTACTATTAAATAGATTGATGTCTCAAATTATAGAGACAATTATATTTAACTTGTATTTTTAGTTGCACTTATTATGGCAGGTAATTATTAATCAACATTAATTAGGTTGTTTGATGGGTTTTGGAGCCATATTTCATTCTGCAATCATTTAAAATTTAACTAGAAAAGGAATATTTAAGCATAAAATATATAAAGTTACTTGGAAATTTTATTGTCCTACAACATTCCTCATTCTACTTCACATGGCACATTTAGCTATAGTAGGTACAAAATTGGGATTTTTAGCTCATTTTAGAACTACAATGCATACATATATAGAAAATGTATTAGTTTTTTATAAATGATTTTTCAGAAATGTACTGATTGGTCAAATATATTGAATCTTGTTTATATGAGAGATTTCATTGATGCAGAATTAATGCCTCTTTGTATACCTGAATTAGTGTTGACTTTTGTTGCTATGTTATTAGAGATTTTACAGTTATGCTTATTTGATAGGAGAATACCTGAAATTATAGCATCACCTACTTTGAAAGGTAGAGAAAGTCCTTCTAAATCAAATAATTTCATTTTGAATTTTGGATTTGATAAAGAAGAAAACATGGAAAAGCATGTTTTAGATACTGAAAATATTAGAATTAATAAAAAGAATGTATATATATATTCATATAAATTAGGAATAATTAAAATTATATAATGAATGATTATAAAAGGATCTCTTATATAGTCAATTTAAATAATTTATTTATTTCTCTCTTAAAGACTAATAATCATACATGTATCAATGTTTTTGTAGATTAAGCTATTCTTATATTTTATAAAATTTAAATACGATAATATTTTTGTTTAAATATGCATAAAAAGTAATGTAAATTTGATTCTATTTATTTAAGTAAATATAGAAATTATACTCTAAAATTTCTAACTTTATTATTTATTAATAGTGAAAAGAATTAATAGATAAATATACTATATTAATATGATAATTCAGAATTTTTCATGTGCATTTACTAAATCTGCATTTTAATATAAATATCCATTAGATGCCCATTTCATTTCGATATTAAGTTTCTTATCATCAGGATCATCATTTGGAATTATTTTTTGATTATATGTTCCTTATATTTTATTACCATTCTTAAAGTACCATACTCCAACTTTATTAGGCTTATTATTATCAAATTCTCCTTCATAATATGTACCATTAGGTAGAATCCATCTTCCAGATACAAATTTGTTTTCTTTCCATTAACCAACTAACTATTAAGGATAATAGATGATAAAATATTACTCTCATTCCAGTATCATTATAAATATATGTTCCATTACCTTCTTTTTTACCAAATGCCCACCAACCACTATATTAATCTTTGTTTGGATAAGTGAAAATACCTTCTCCATGTCTCTTACCATTTTCCCATTAACCTAACATTATAAATGAGAGTGAAACCGAAATAATCTCCTTTTTCTTTGTATGTTAATTTACCAATTCCATGTTTAACATTATTAATAAAATCTCCAAAGTAGAGATCACCGTTGGCATAATTGTATTTGCCTTTACCATTTCTTTTCTAAAGATTAGATTTAAAACAGTTACTCCATCGACATAATCACCTTCATAGATTTCATTATTAGCATATTTGGCTTATCCTTTACCAGTATAATCTCTAGAAGACTTGGTCTTTTAATCACCTTCAGGGAGGAATTTAATGAATTCAAAATTATTATCATCTGGATTTTCATCGGCCATTTTATATTAAATTAATTTATTAATTAGTTATGAAAAACATTATTTGAATATTAAGATAACCTATAAGAAGATAAATACAAGTTGAATTGTTTTAAACTAATCTTGGATAATAAGTTCAAAAATGAGAAGATGAATTCAAAATATAATTTTATTAATGATATATTATGTAAAATAAAATGGAAAATATATGATGTATTTGATTGTATAGGAGTTATATTTGATAAGGCATTAAAAATAAAGATTTTTATAAAGAAATTTTCAAATAATGATGATAAAAGCTTAAGGAGAGTCTATTAGGATTGATGAAATTTTTTGATGTGAATAAAAGTGCTCCAAATATTAATATAATATTAAATTACATAAAAAGTATTCAGGCTTAGATCATCTGTTTCAGAATGTTTATGTATAGAGTCAATTATTTGTGTATCATCAATTTTGCTAATTTTATATAAATTTTTTTCAGACTCTTTTAATAATAGAGGAATTAGATTCAAATGTTATAATTTAATAGATTGAAATACTTAAATAATGCAATAATTAATATAGTTTTATTACTAATTATGAATTGAATAATGATTAAACAAAAATTAGAATTAGATATTAAAATTTTCTAAATATTTTATTGTAATTATAATGTAGAATCATTTAGATCTATATTTTATTAATAGATATTAATTGTATTATTTCAAGGTATATAAGAATTATCCTTAAAATTCAATAATCTATAAAATCATTTTTTTAAGAATTTGAAATATATATAATAATGATTTAGATGTGATGCTCAGATAGATAATGATATTTATTAATTTTATTATGATTTATGCATGAATATTTAAACAAATTTTAAGAATAACTTTAAGAATAATAAATTTCTTGTATAAAAGTAATAATGGATTTTGTGTTGAACCTCATACATTAATCTTAAACAATTCCCTTCAGACAAGGAGTTAAATTTAATAACTACAATTTAGTCTGCATGTAAATAGAGTGAGTTATAAATAGAATCTCTGTATGTGCATACATTTTAGCATTGCTAATAAATGGCACAATTGGTGTAAAGACAGCCAAATCTACAAGTGATAGTTATAAATTAGTAGTAACACCTCCTTCTTGGGCATTTTCAATATGGGGAGTCATTTTTAGTAATTATTGATTATTAATTATTAAAGGCACTACATTAGTAGCATTATTATGGAGTATTCATTCAGTATCTTGGAGTTTAGAAACTCACTTATATTTTTGGCTTTATTGTTTCACAATTTCAGTTTGGATATTACTTTGGTCTATTGTTAGCAAAATAACAATACTTTTATGTAAAATTGTGCTAATTTTATTAACAATTGTATTAATAAACCAATAAAATCAAGAATATATATCTATTATGGAAGAGTACATTAGTTCTAGAGAATGATGATTGGTCAATATATTTAATGAGAGGAGCAATAGCATTTTAATTGGGATGGGCTTCAAGTGCATAATGTTTGAACTTCTGCATTTGTTTAGTACATGTTTTTGGTGTCACTCAAGATATGATATCTAAATTAATTTGGATATGTATAGTGATAGCTCACTCTATCTATTTGGGCTTAGCTTATTGTCATTCGAAATAATGTAGATTTAATATAAATATATAACTTTAGACAACAAAAATATGCTATTAAATTTTGGAGCCTACTTATTGAGTATGTCATGGGCAATAATGGGAGTAGCAATTTCGTACAATAAATACAGTTCTGGGAAAGCAATTAACAAATTAAAATGAGTTGGTCAATTAAAATGAATGATGACATCATCATTTGTATTATAAAAATCGATGATTATGATATTGAAAATAATATAATTAAAAAATGGAAAAGACACTCCTTGCCATTGGTTTATTGATGTTAGTTGGAACACTTTACAATGTTCAAAGCGTTCCTGAAGTTTAATTGGCCACATAATTCACAAATTATTAAGCCACATTCAACAAATAATACTCAGGATCTGAACTCCTCTATAGATTATCAGTTTATTAAGCTAACCTTGCTGATATTAAAGCCAGAAATGAAAAAATTGGAAGAGAAATCTTTGGTGAAACCTAATTCACAGATCTTACCGATGAAGAATTCGCTGCCAACTATTTGACCCTCAAAGTCAACTCAGATGATTTGGAAGTACCAAAGGCTGAATTCAATAACGTTAATGCTACACCAATCGATTGGAGAACAAGAGGTGCAGTCCAATATGTCAAAGACTAAGGATAATGTGGTTCATGCTGGGCTTTCAGTACAACTGGTGTCTTGGAAGGATTCTACAAAGTTACCACTGGTGAATTACCAGATCTTTCAGAATAATAATTGGTTGATTGCTCAACTTTAATTGATTTCAACTAAGGATGTAATGGAGGTATGCCATCAAGAGCCTTGAACTATGTCAAGAGAAATGGTCTTACAACCTAAGATGCTTATCCATATGTATTATTTTATATTAATTCTTTAATAGACCGCTAAGGAAACTGGAAGCTGCAGAATTAAGGGAGGTCCCTATAAAGTCAATGGATCAACTGCCATCGCCGCTAACGAAGCTGCTCACTAAGCTGCTCTCTAATAAGGACCAGTTTCAGTTGCTGTCAAGGCCTCAGATTGGAAGAACTATAAACCCAAATCTGATGATTACATCTTCCCAGATTCATAATGCACAGGAGATATCAACCACGCTGTTTTGGCTGTTGGTTTCACTTCTGAAGCTCTCATTGTCAAGAACTCATGGTCTACCAAATGGGGAGTAGATGGATATATCTATCTTGAAGGAGGACGTAACACTTGCAGTGTTTGGAATAACTCAGTTGTTCCAAAATGATATAAATCATTATCACAAATATTAATTCCATCATTAATCAAATTTCTGCTAGATCTCCTTTCTTAGAACTAAACACTGCTATTTATAACATTATCCAAATATCCACACTTAATTGGATTACTCCACACATCACAAATTAAGCTGGTTAATTTTTTACAATAAAGTAGAATGTCTTAAATGCATCACCTAAAAACCATGATCCTATCATAGCATACGATAATCCCTTTACACTCTTTGTTGTATGATTTTTAATTGCTTAAGGTAATCCCAAAGTGGCCTATTTAATATTAAAAATATATCTACCTCTATTGCACAACTTAAGAATCCAATAATTTCCCAATATTAAGGATTAGCAAGATTCAAATAACTAGAAATTAAGATAATTATAAAAAATGTGATTAAACATGCTATATATGAGTTTAATTAGCTCCATCTCCAAAACTTATTCAATGGATTATTAAAGAATGAGACTGGTTTAATCTTATATACTGAATTGCTTATAATTGTTAAACATAATCTTAATAATTCTACCTTAAGATTATAATATGATTCATTACTTACATCATTATCATCAGAATAGATTGATACAATAATGCATTTTCAAAACGTTTATTGTACCAGAATACTATTCTTAACAAATTGGCAAATAATAATATTGCACACACATCTATTGAGAATGAACCTACACTTTTTTATTATTTTATCAATGAATATTGAGCCACGTATCCAATTAGAGGACCCAATACAAATCCTATTTATTTATCAAAAGAGAATCAGTTACCAACATTCAAAACTAAATCAGCGAATTAAGAAGCATATTGAATTAAATCATCAAATTATCCTATGTCCATTATTATATATTAAATATTAACTGACAATATAATTATATCTACTCAATGTCTGAACATTATTTAAGAACCTAGATAATCAATTATCAAGATACTACACCCAAGAGAATGTTTGTTAATCAAAATCAATCATTTACTTAACCATATTTAAATCAAAGTCCAATATATCATACTCCAGATAGAGCTATGAAATAACCTTATCGAAATTAGAATTAAAGTGTAATTCTTAATCATCTAATTTAGTACAATGACATGTCTGAATTTATTCGCAGATAATAATAATAAAGTCAATATCCACCTACATATTAATCTAGTTAAATGTCTATTCAATAGGAATTCAATAATACAAGCAAATAGTTTGATTAAGTAATTAAAAGATCTGAAAATTCTATAACTTAAGATTCTAGTTGGTTTTTATAGAAAAAGAATAATATCAGTCCAAATATACAATTACATAGAATAGAAAGAGAGAAAAGTAAAAGAGATTCATCTTAACCATTTTATGATAATAATCATTAAGTTACAGATAGAAATCCTAAATAATTCAAAGTTTATATTTATTTCTATTAAGTTCGAAGAAAAGGTCTCAGGTAATAAAAGTGATATTGAAAAAATAAAGTAAATTCTTGTTGATCAGCAGTTAAAATTAAATCTATAGATAGATGAATATAAAATTAAATTAACTAAATAAGAATCCAAAATAGTAGAGCTAGAAAAATAAAATAAACAATTGAAAACACAATTAAATGAAAAGAATCAAGAAGTGAAAATTATTTAATAATCTTATATTTCATAATCGAAATTAGAAGATATTTAAGAATAATAAATGAAGAAGTTTTAGAAGATATATGAATAATTAACTTAATAAAATGATGATTTAAGAGAAGAAAATAATTAACTGAAATTACTCTTATTATAGTATTAAATTAATATATATAAATTAGAGTTGATAATTATTCATCTGTTTCTAGATCAATTATTAGTAAGAAGAATTCAGAATAAGAATTTTAAATTTTCAATCAAAATGATAATATCAAAGATTTAATTGATTAATTTCTATAAGGAATATCAGATTAATTATTATCTTTAACATAAGATCCTTAAATTTAAAATATCTTTATATAATTTAGAGATATAATTAATTCATTACAATTTAATCAATATCAAAAAATAGATCATTAGATACTTAAAGAAACAGATTTTATGAAAATAAAGAAATAAAGCGAAGATATTATAACAGTACCAGAATTAAATTAAAAAGCTGATTATTTAATAAGGCAAATCAAATAAAAAATGGAATAAATGGCATCCTTAAAGGTAAATATATTAATAATATAGACAGGATGGAGATTAGAAGAAGAATATAATAAAAGAAGAAATAGATAGATTATAAAAGGAATATGATGGTATTCAAATTCTTGTAACAGAATAATCAGATTATTTAGATAAAAATACAAATAATTTGCATAGAAATAGTATAATCTCATTTGATCAAAATTTTGATGGTGAGGAATAACAATGAAAATTATATCAAATAATATATACTTAAATATTCTAAAATTATTTCAAATTTAAACATATCTTTAATAAAATTCTTACATTATTATCATAATTATATAGATCGCATTTTTTTTATTAAAACGATTAAATACAAATAACTTGTGTTAAATTCATTACTTGTTATAGTAATAATTTATCAATAATTTTAATCAATTTGTTTATTTAAACTAGTACTATTTTTATATTAGTATTTAAAAATATTGAATTCCAATAATTCACAATAATATATAATTATATAACCATACACATTCAAAAGTATCTAATTTTTCACATTCTAATTCAGTTTGATAAGTTATGTAATCAGCTTTCATAAAATTATACTACAATATAACCTGATGTATTTATTTAATAATATATTAATAAATCCTATTGAATTATTTCAAATTACAAAATATGAATATAATTATTGATTATGTAATTATTTTATGACATAAAATGAGATTCAAAAATTTTTGATAATCTCTAAAATTTCTCAAAAAAAATGAAGAATTCTTTATTTAAACAGAATTACTTATATAAATAACAATTATCCTTTGTTTTTTTATGAAAAAGTATTTCTATACTCAATAATCTATTTTTATATATTTAACTAATATTGTTACTTATATCACATTTTAAATGGTAATGATGTTTTTGTGTGGATATCTAGAATCAACTTATGTTCAAGTGAATTATTAAGTTGTAGAATATTGATAAGACTCTTATACAAAAAAAGGGAAGTTATTTAACTTGACAAAATATTATAAAGCCATTTGGAATATAATAATATAAGTTTTATGAAGAGAGTCAAGAAGTTCTTTTAATTTTTATATCTTTTTTAATGATTGATACTATAAGTCACATAATAATAGTAACATACAAAGTATTATAATATTCATTCAAGTTGGAACGAGGACTTAGAGAATTTTCTGGAAAGATACGAATTCCAGATGTATAATTATTCTGTATATTCTAGAATTTAGTGAGATTTTCTTTATTTAAAAGGACTTTAAAATGAAGTCTTTCTTAGTGAATTACCAGTTGTTTAAGGTGATGTTAACAAACTACACATTTCAGTATCTCCTGTTTCTGGAACTGGATATACATCTCCATCACTTTATAAGTTAGTTAGTGGCATTTAATTTAGTTTCTGCATTCTAATCGAGAAAAGCTTTTAAAAATAATTTAAAATTATTGTTTAAGTAATAAATATAATTTATGCTTTAATTCAATTTAATGAGGTCATTTTTTAATATTGACTTAACTTATTTTAGGCAATAAAAGATGTATATAGTTGGTAATACTGTAATATATCTTTTTTAATATTATTATATTTTAAATATATTTATCATTTACAAACATATAAAGCAAACCCATTGCACACATATTAGGCCAAATGAATGTAATCTTATAATTCTAATAATTCTATCGGAATGGCATTTCTACTCCAATTATTTTTTTCATATTCAATTGATTTAATACTTTATTCCAAACCTTTAAAGACATCTTCACTTGTCTTCTTCATCAAATCAGATATATTGAAAAATCCTATTCTATTTGAATTACAACACATTAAAGTTGTTTCATCAAGACTAATAGATACTGATCTTATATAATCTCTCCCATTTGCACTATGAAAATCACTTCTTTATAAATAGATCTTTTCTTTTAAAAGTCTAGTAATAGGCAAATAGAATAAAACAACTGATCCAGAATCACACCCAATACATAAAAATTAACCAGTAAATGAAACATTCATACAGGTGATATTTCCATCCAAAAAGGATATATACATACATTCAGCTTTATCAATAGACCAAATTCTAAAGATTCTGTTTTCTTCTGCAGTAACTACATATTCAACAGATGGAACAAATTCTACTAATTTGACTTAATTCATTACAGGTCCAAATATTCTAATACATTAATTTTAATCAGTAGCCCATAATAGAGCTGTTCCATCTGAAGATGCACTTGCAAACCAATAACCCATAGGAGCAAATGCTAAATGCCATATTGTTTATAAATGTCCTTTATAAACAACTAAAGGTTATCTAGATTTTAAGCATGAAAATTTTATAGTTAAATCAACTGAAACTGAAATTATATAATTCTCATCATAGAGAATGCTAATAGCTGTTACAGGTCCTTCATGGATATGCATTTCAAAACTAGGATTACAAAGTAATCTATTTTATCTATTTTATTTTAATTCATTCATATCATAAATTAATATGTTACCATCATAACAACCACAACATATTATTTTACAAAATTTACTTATTTAAATATAAGAAATCACATTAGGTAAATCTTATAATTTAATACCAAGTAAATTCTTTTATTAATTTAATAAACATTCAATTAATTTAGTATCATGTGATAATTTATATTTGATTAATTGAGAATATTTAACTTATTTTTCATTACTATTATCTTATTATTATTATTATTATTATCTTCTCTATTATAACTTTTTTATCACTTCTTATTTCATTTGATTTGCAATTTGATAAGGTAATTATTTTTATTCAATTAATTATTGAATTTCTGAGAAATCTTATTAACTCAAAGGATCAAGATGAGATTTTTAACATTTCTCTATTTAAACTATGATTCTTAACCAATCATCTTCTATAAAAGTATTAAAATATTTTTCTTTTGTTTTCATATTTTCTTCAATTAATTTTAAATCTCTCCATTTATCATCTTTTGCATTTATTTAAATAGATTCCATTTCTTTATTAAATTAGAATAATCCACTTAAAGTTGCATATCTATTTGTACTAAAATAATCACTATTTGAATATTGATTAAACTTAAGTTTATTTTTGAAATCTTAGAATATTTGATTTTAATGTTTTAAATATTCTGAAATATAATTTATTTTCTCAAACATTATTGATGTTGTAGTTATTGGACAATATTTATAAAATTGACTATATCCAGATAAATATTAATCATCATGTCGATTTTTAGATAATGTTAATAATTCATCACGAATACTTTCATTTAAATATGCTGCATTCTAGTTTACCATATATTAAATGAATTCATTTAATTCTTTACGTGCCTACAATTATTCATCTTCCTTTTTTAATAAACTTTCCTAATAAATTTTATATAGCTTTTCCATCATAAATGAACTGCATAAGAAATGCAAAAATTCAATCTAAGGTCTCTAACTAGCTATCTCCTAAGAAATAAATTGTTAATAAAAATCAGCTAATATCTTTTCATAAGTGATCGATTTCTTTGGTATTTAAAGCATAATATAATTATTTTATTATTAATATATATAATTATATATTATTTATTTATTTATTTATTTATAATAATATATATATATAAATAATAGATATAAAATATTGCAATTATTAAAAACATGTCTAAATTATAATATTCAATCATTCTATTATTTTATTTATATTCAATAATAATATAGATTTCATATTATATTAATAATATCATTTATTTTATATTAATATTTATATATAACAGCAAAATTTATTATTAAAAAATGGGTAATTAAACTTCTTATGTAAATGAATAAGTGATTTCAATGGATGGAAAATTAGAAGATAATTTAGAATGCATTGGATCAAAATAACATAAATATTTAGGATTGATTTAATTATGGAGGAGAGATTCTAAAAGTAAACCAACAATCTTTTCAAAAGTATCAATATACCTAGTGTAATAAGCAATCACATAGTGGATAACGACATGATATCAATATGAATGAACATAATGATAGAAAAAAAGTTAATCATCCAAATATTCTATAATATTATGGCTGCTAATCTAATTATTTAACATTTAAAGGTAATATCCTATAAACTAAATTCTTTTTTGAATATATATCAAATACTTTAGATAATATTATCGATTTTCATAAAAAGAATTGTAGTTATCTAGAAGAATCTGAAATTTGGAAAGTATTTTATATTATCATATTATTCATTTAGATAATATAATAAATAGTTTCTGCTTGTTCATTTTTATAAAAATTAGATTTATTTCATGGAGATTTGAATCCATAAACAATCTTTATTGATAATTCAAAATAAGTTAAAATATTGGTACTTGAAATAAATAACTAAATAGTATCATAATGCTTATCCAGAAATTATTACATCATATGCTAAATTATTAGCATATTAGGATGCTAGTGTTTACATATCACCATAATAATTAGATTCTTTAGCAACCTAATCAGTAACTCCTAAAGATGACCCTTTAAAAACAGATTCATTTTAATTTGGACTCACATTATTAGAATTAATGACTATGACATCAAGTATTATATAATTATTTATTATGAGTCTTCGAAGATTGTATAGATTATTAAAGAAAAACTATTTATTATAAATCTATTATGGATCTATTATCATCAGCAAGAAAGAGATATTCTTAATAATTGATTAATTTAGTATAAAGATTGATAACATTTGATGAATAATCAAGACCAACACTTTCTGATATCCTTTTTGATACTAATTTCTAATAATAAGGTAGTACTTTTTTACCTTAATCTAAAATAAGAAGATATACATCACCTCCTAAATAACCTGAAAGAACTAATTCACCTCCACCTGATATGGGATTTAGTAGCAAATCTCCAGATCAAAGAGATTTATCTAATCAATCATTTTTTAGAACTCCTTTATAAAGAAGTTATTCTCCTATTTTGGATAGATCTGCTAAATATCTAAGTCCTGCTTAAAGTAGAAATACAACAGCCTTAAGTATTTTTAATAAGAGTCCAAACTAATAAAAAATATTGATTTAAAATTCAACTCCAATTAAAAATGAAAGAGGAAGAAAACTTAATACTGTTACTGAAAATACTAGAAATGTTTTGATCATAAGCAGAAGTCCAATATAAAATTAATCAAGAAAAACATCATTTTAATATAATTCAAATCATCAATCTTCTATTAAAATTGTTAATCCTTAATAATATGTTAACTTTTAGTCTCCATATTAATAAAAATTTTATTAGGAATCAATTAATTAGAAATAAATAAATCCTTAACAACAGTTTTCTTAGACTCTCTAACATTTTGTATAACCTTATCACAACAATTAAGAAAACTTTAATAATACTTTAAAAAAACCTGAATCTAAACACTTTTCCCAACATTAAGAAGCCTAATTACATAGCATACAATAATAATAGACTCAATTAGTAAATCCACTTGGTAAAACACCATAAAAAGTGCCATCAAAAGGTATTAATTTACTATCCCCACTTTAAAGTAATAATAAATGATTTATTGTTATATTATTTGATAACTGAATAGATTATTTATAATTCTTAATTTAGTAAACAGATAAATTATAATAATTTAAATCAATTATAGAACTAGTTTATGTAATGAAAGATCAATTGAATATAAAATTTAATTTCTTCTTAATTAGTTCATATATTATAAATTATTTTATAAATTCATTTCTTAGCACTTATTGGTCTCTTTGTTCCATTTTGAGATTTATTAGCAACAGCAGATTAAGGTCTTGATAAATAATGTGATTAAGGGAATTATTAAGATTCATCTTAAATATCCTATAACTATTATTAATGTTCAATATTGTATCTCTTAATATCAGCTTAATAATATTTTCCATCTGTTCCTTTAACCTAATTTTTTACAATTATTTTTACTCTTTATTGATTAGTTGTACTACAACTCAAACAATTTATCGGATATAACTTTTTGGCTCCAACTCCAATAATCTGATCTGTTGGTGGAGAAGCTGATTACTTATTATTCATAGGTGTTTTCCTGATTTAGACTACATTATATTAAATATGTTTACCTTATAATTAATCAATTTCTCTTCTTAAATAATTAATTGTCTCCATTGATTATCCTAATCTAGTTTCTAAATTATGTAGTTCTCTTTTCATATCATCTTCATTGGCTTTATTTTTTACTTTGTTTATAAGACCATTTATATCTAAATCTCTAAATATTCTTGTGACTCTTTTTTCAATTTCATTCGCATTTTCAACTTTGTGAACAATATCTTATAAATCCTTTTATATTTTTTTGATTTTATCATCTTCAATATTTTCTTATTATTGAAATTACTCAAACATTCTATTTACCTCATCTTTTGTAACAAATTTTTGTTCTTCTGTTGAACTTTGTATTTATTATTATTATTATTATTATTATTAATACAATTGAGAAAAGAATTGAAAACTATCATATCTTGATTTGAATTCTGAATCAAGTGTTTCCCAATGTACATTATTTCTAATTGACATTTCTTCTAATTTTTTAATGTCACTTTCAAGTGTACAAATTTTATGAGGATCAATTTTAGATAAAAGATATGCTACATTTTCAGCATTCAAATTCATATCTTTTAATGCTTCAGCTCTTTCTTTTGCTTCATCATTCAATCTTTAATTTGAATCTTCTAATTATTTTATTTTTTATCTATGTTAATCTAATTAATTAGAAACATCTAATTTATTTATGGCAGTTGCTAATCTGCTATTTAAATCTATAATTTTATCACTTTACTATTTATTTGATTCAACTAATTTGTCAATCAGATTTATTTTTTATTTTAATCTTTTGATATATTCTAAATTTACAATTCATTCATTTCATTTATTTATAATTTTAACTTTTACTATTTCTCTCCTACTAAATCATCTAAACCTTTAATTTGACTTCTGATATAAGCAATATCTTATTGAAATTTAATTAATTGTTCATTATTTTATGTTTATTAAATCTATATATATATATTCAAATTTATAATTAATACTTCTTTTAAAATTTTATCCTCACTTATTCTAATTGCTTCATTAACAAATTCTTCATTTATTCTCTTTGACAAAAGATCTTAGCAATCATGTATTTTCCAAAGAGTTTTTCTATATATTCATAATTATTTATAAACCTTTCTACATCTCTAACAGTTTCCTCAAATTTTTAAATATCTGTTGATAATCTTTTCTCAACTGTATCTAATTCATTTCTTCCACTCTTTTGTAATTCTTCTATTTATTATTCTAATTAGTTCTTTTGTTTTCTCATTTTTTCCTTACAATCTTTAGTATCATATTTAATAAGCATATCATTTTCCAATTTTGTAATACGTTAATCTTATCTCTAATTATAAATTCATTCCATACTATTCTTTCTCTATGTAATTGTTGAATCATCGAAACAACAGAAAACAGTTTACCCCTTAATTCAGTAATTATTTTCTCCAGAACTCCTTTGCCAAATTTCTACTTTCCCTGAATCTAAGTTATATAAGTATTCAAAGAACTTGATAATTCCTTTTCAATATCCTTATCTGTAAACAATAATGATTCACTTATCAATTGAAACTATTCTTGAATCTAAAATACAAATTTTTATAACTAATAATATAATTTCGCTTGGCCCCACTAACTTCTTAATTGCCTCAATCTCAACAGTATGGTTATCAAGATCTCCTTAGACTCCTTCCAAAAATTATTTCAAATGGTCATAATTAACATCTAATTTAAATAGGGAAACCCCTTTCAAACTCAATTCATCTAAATATTGATTTCATTTGTACCTCCAAGCTCTTTCCTACTCTTTTAACTTCCTTTACTTTTGATGTCCATTTAATAATTTTAAAATGTTTTATGAATACTCATATATCATTTATTACAATTACAATTATATAAAATATTAATCAATAACGCATTTAAGTCATATTCAAGCGCCTATTAAATTGCAATAGTGCTACTTCACTTTTTTGATTAAAACTGACATAAATGTTTTACTTGTGATATAATATTAATGCAGTAACAAGTCTGCAAAATAATCTTTACTTAACTTTTCTAATAATATTTATAAAATTATTAAATTAACAAGATTTTAACTGTTTTAGTTTTGCTAACAGAATTTAAAATATTGACACTTTAACTATCCTTATATACTATATTTGAAACATATATTGACATATGAATAAATAATAAATAAATAATACTTAATGATATTTATTATGTAATAATAGAATTTAAGAGATACCCCTGGTAAGCTTATTCAATCGATTTAATTATAAAATAGCTTTGATAACAGTCTTACTAGATTGATTACCAAGTCTTTTTTTAATAACTGCAAAAATTTCCAGGAAATTTTCAATTTTTTTAAGAACATTATTTTTACATTGATATTGATTTCAAGGACTAAATTTAGAGAATCTCATAATAATCAATATTCTAATGTGTCACCTTGCTACAAACATAAACGGTTTTAAAAATTACAATAATATATCTAATACTGATTATTATATTCTTGATGTTTCTACTATTCCTTTACTAATTCTTGATATCTATAAAATTTTATAATACTAAAAAGTCCAAGTTTTATAAGTAATTAATTATAATATTTTTTATTATACAATTATCTCATCATAATAATTTCAATTGTTTCTATTCTATTTTGATCTGTCAATGATTTATCTTTATTATTGTTTAAGATTATTAGATTCTTTCATCATATTAAATTAATAGGTTTATATTACTTTATGAATAAAATTATATGAACTATCAATGTTTTGGTGGCCAAACCAAATTAAGAACTCTTCCAATGTAATCATAAAGTGTAAATGTAATAGCAACATCCAAAACAACTCTTCCCAATCTTGGTACAGTTCCTAAAACATAGATATATATAATTTACCTTTGTAGAATCCTCTAACTCCTTCTTATAGATAAGTTTATTTACAACAATCCAATACACCATTATATTAGTGTGCTCTAAGGCCTTACATTTATGTTTTAATAACATCAACAGGAGTATTACACATCACTGATGCTGCACCAGCAATACCTCCTGAAAATAAAAGGACAACTGGTTCTGGTAAAAATGTGAAAGTTTTCTATATAATATATATATANGATTAAAACTGACATAAATGTTTTACTTGTGATATAATATTAATGCAGTAACAAGTCTGCAAAATAATCTTTACTTAACTTTTCTAATAATATTTATAAAATTATTAAATTAACAAGATTTTAACTGTTTTAGTTTTGCTAACAGAATTTAAAATATTGACACTTTAACTATCCTTATATACTATATTTGAAACATATATTGACATATGAATAAATAATAAATAAATAATACTTAATGATATTTATTATGTAATAATAGAATTTAAGAGATACCCCTGGTAAGCTTATTCAATCGATTTAATTATAAAATAGCTTTGATAACAGTCTTACTAGATTGATTACCAAGTCTTTTTTTAATAACTGCAAAAATTTCCAGGAAATTTTCAATTTTTTTAAGAACATTATTTTTACATTGATATTGATTTCAAGGACTAAATTTAGAGAATCTCATAATAATCAATATTCTAATGTGTCACCTTGCTACAAACATAAACGGTTTTAAAAATTACAATAATATATCTAATACTGATTATTATATTCTTGATGTTTCTACTATTCCTTTACTAATTCTTGATATCTATAAAATTTTATAATACTAAAAAGTCCAAGTTTTATAAGTAATTAATTATAATATTTTTTATTATACAATTATCTCATCATAATAATTTCAATTGTTTCTATTCTATTTTGATCTGTCAATGATTTATCTTTATTATTGTTTAAGATTATTAGATTCTTTCATCATATTAAATTAATAGGTTTATATTACTTTATGAATAAAATTATATGAACTATCAATGTTTTGGTGGCCAAACCAAATTAAGAACTCTTCCAATGTAATCATAAAGTGTAAATGTAATAGCAACATCCAAAACAACTCTTCCCAATCTTGGTACAGTTCCTAAAACATAGATATATATAATTTACCTTTGTAGAATCCTCTAACTCCTTCTTATAGATAAGTTTATTTACAACAATCCAATACACCATTATATTAGTGTGCTCTAAGGCCTTACATTTATGTTTTAATAACATCAACAGGAGTATTACACATCACTGATGCTGCACCAGCAATACCTCCTGAAAATAAAAGGACAACTGGTTCTGGTAAAAATGTGAAAGTTTTCTATATAATATATATATATTTATACTTAAATGAACTTCTTAGTATCCTCAAATACAACAAATCTGATTCCCTAATTGCTGCCTTATTTTAAAATAGTTGGAACCAATCCCTTATAAATACCTGATAAACCCATTTCATTTACAATAGATCCAATACCATGAATCATTCCTCTATATTTAGGAGTTTTTGACAATTTATCATGGATCAATTTGACCTAGTTTAAAAATGATTTTTATTACCTTTAAAGTTTCAGTAGGTGTAACAACAACAATGGCTTCAAAGACACCAGCTCCTAACCCTGCACAGAATGTTTAGAGTCTGCTTTTTCTATCAGTGAATACGTTATTCTTGAGCCATTCATTTGCACCAAATCTGCATGCGACTTTAGGAATAGAAAATGTGACTAAAGGTGTTAAACCTCTATAAAATCCTTAAATTCCAAAATTTCTATATGTTTCACCAATGCAATATTTAACTCCTTTTTATGAATATTCTTTATAGAGTTGCATCATTGTTTTAATATACTCAGTTGGATATGTAATACATATTTCGATTCCACCTGTTATGCCACCTAAAATAAAATGAATAACAATAGTGTTTACCTGAGATAATACCTCTTACTGGATCTTTGGAATCAACTTTAGCTCCACCCATTGATATGATTTTTATTATTATTTATGGATATATATATATCTTATTTTAATAATCTGTTCAAATAATTATATTAAAATGGCATCACTTAATAAATTAAGTAGCAATGAAATTGGTAATATTGATAGATAAATTGCTAAATTAAAGCAAGGATAAATATTGACAGAACAAGAAGTCAAGAGTTTATGCGTCAAAGTTTTAATATATAGCAATTAAAATAGGCAAAAGAAATATTATAGGATGAACCAAACATCATTTAAGTTAGAGCTCCCCTTACAATTTGTGGAGATATTCATGGTCAATTTCATGATCTCATTGAACTATTTTAAATTGGAGGAAACCTACCAGTATATTAATTTGCAAATCACTATTAGGATACTAATTACTTATTTCTTGGAGATTATGTAGATAGAGGATCATAATCAGTTGAAACATTTTCATTGATGTTATCACTCAAAGTCAGATATAAGGATCGCATTGTATTATTGAGAGGTATATTGATTAATATTATTAAAGGTAATCATGAAAATAGAGAAATTAATAAAATTTATGGATTTTATGATGAATGTTTTCGTAAATATGGTAATGAAATCGTTTGGAAATAATTTACAGAGGTTTTTGGTTTTCTACCACTCTCTGCTATTGTTGAATAATAAGTAACAGCAAATTTAATTAAACTCAAAGATTTTTTGTGCACATGGAGGTTTATCACCTGCAATGGAATCTGTAGATCAAATTAAATAACTTAATAGAGTTTAAGATATTCCACATGAAGGATTAATGTGTGATTTATTATGGAGTGATCCTGAAGAAACAAAAAATGGTATTTAATATTAATTATACATTTAAGGATGGGGAATATCTCCAAGAGGTGCAGGTTGGACTTGGGGTTGTGATATTACAGAGAAATTCTTACATTCTAATAAATTGAAATAAATTGCCAGAGCTCATTAATTAGTAATGGAAGGAATACAAAAAGTACATAATCAAAAGACTATTACTATATTCTCTGCTCCTAATTATTGTTATAGATGTGGTAATTAAGCATGTATCGTTGAGGTTGATGAATAACTTAAAATGAATTAGTATCATTAAATAGTATTTATTATAGAATATAATTTGAACCTGCACCAAGAGAAAATGAACCTCATACAACAAGAAGAGTACCTGATTATTTTCTTTGAAATACCTAAATATGTTATATAATACAAATTGTTATTTAAATGCTAACCTTTTAAAAAATTCAGTAGAATTTAATTATTAACCCTTTATATATATGTATTCTGATTATTCCGTTAGGAAATTAATATTAATTATTTTATGTTCTTTTAATATTCAATAATGAATCTAAATCATATTATTCATAAATTATTCCAAGATATTTGCAAAAGTAATTTTGTTAATTCTCACTTTGTTTAATATTGGTGTATTCTATTATATAAGTAGTTGAATTCTTTCGGTTTAGGACATTATTATGTATATAAATATCTATAAAAAAACCTCATTAATTTAAGCTTTTTCATATAATTTTTAAACAATTAACATTAGGCATTTTCATAGTTTTATATCATACAACTTTTATGATAATTTTTATTCTTCTTTAGATAATGTTTTGTATTCTTTTAAAGTAATGGTGTTAAAGTGGAAGGTGGGTATATTGAGTTTAACTAACTAAAAAAAAATCTAATTCATTATTTTTGGATTCCTTATCAAAAAATATTTGAATAAGATTATAATCTTATATATATAAAACTATATTAAGTATGTAATAGATATAGATCAAGTAAGCAAAATCTTGTCAACCAGATTTCACAAGGGGTTTATTTTAGATAATTTCTAGATTCTCAAGATTCTATTGGCTTGAACAATTATTGTATAACTTCACATTCCTAACAACCTCTTCTACACGAAGAATTGATGGTCTAGACTTCCTATGACGAATTTTTCTATAATGATTCTAAAAATAGTACTTTTTATAAAGTAAACATTGGGAACTAACTCTACACTTTTTCGAATAATTTTCGTATTCCAAGAATTACTCAGAAATTAGCTGTTGCTGATTAGTCTGAAATTCTATAGGAGAAAGGGGACACATGTTAATATCTAAATCATTTATCATAATATATGTTATTAATAATAATACATATTTAAATTACTTTTTGATTAATATATACAATAATTCCTTACACTATCAAATGATAAAATTTATTATCTATTATTAAATTTTATCTTCAATTATTTAATTGCACTTCAATTACCTGCATATATTTAAATCAAATTTGCTAAATTATGATGTATGAACAAACTTGAATCAACAATAATATTATTTAACCACTATTTTCAGATTTATGAATATTTATTCTAAAATTATAAATATAGAATAATATATCAATTTATCAATTTAATCTCATAAGTATTATACATCATTAATATTATAAATTAATATCATATTTATGATGAATTTAATCATCATTAATATAACTAAACTATTTAAACACAAAATTAAACCTACATTTAACTTATTTTCTTTTTTGATTTTAATACATTTAGTAATATGTTAATATATAATAGAAATGATTAAATAAGATAAAATAGTATGTTAATTTGATATAGATTTTAATATTTACATTTTAATATGAGATTGCTCATATTACCCATATTATTCTACAATTTTATTAATTAAATAATTTGAAAATGTAAAATTATTAATAGTTGTGATCAATTCTATAACTAAATTCTAACGATTTCATTCAACTTTATTTATTAAAATTGAAAATTTAACATTTTTATATTCATCTTCAAAAAGATTTTTACATTTATTTGTCAATCATAATCTGATTCATGATTTGTTTCATTTTGTTAAACTTTTATTTATTATTTTCTAAAATTAATAATTAACTCAATTACTAATTTTTTTTTTATTATTTATATTTATTATAAAATTAATCTGTCTCTTATATATTGTTATGTTAAATAAATAATTTTTAGTCTTATTCAAAACATAAATCAAGCTATTCTTAATTAATTATAAAGTAAATAAAGTATTTTATTATTTTTTAAGATTACTTAGAGATTAATATTCTAAATAGCAATATTATTCAACGAATTGATCATTTTAATTGCAATAGTATTTTTGAAATTCAAATTTATTCTTGATATATTCTATAAATTAATAAATAGAGTTATCTAAAATTATATATTGAATCTCATTGCATAAAAATATCAAAACTCTCTTTTAATGTATTTTTTATATATCATACATTCATCTATTTTTAATAGAAAGATTTGTTTGTAATATTTACAATATCTTGTGTATTCACTTAAACTTAATTGTCATAGTATTATAATATTTAATAATAAAATAATTATGGATTAAAAATACGATCATACAAATCAAATTCTTAGTTTATTAGAAAATAAAGAATCTATAAATTCCTTATAAATTACTTAAGAAACTAATACTAATCATCAAGAATTGGTTGGATATCTTTTATAATTAGAAGCATCTAATTATATCACTACTGAAGTAAGATAATAATAATTTGTAAATAGGGTTTAAAAAAAGATTAATTAGTTTTGACAGAAGAAGGAAATACTATATTAAATTCATAATCTGGTGAATATGAGATTTATTAAAAAGTACCTGAAGGTGGAATATCTATGGCAGATTTATAAAAATAATTTGGTATTGAACAAGCACCAAAATAGAAATAAGAATAAGGAGAGAAAAAAGAAAAGTAACCTGAGGATCCAAAAAAGAAATTATTTGATTTAGGTTTTGGAAATGCTAAGAAAATGGGATATATTAAAATGGAAAAAGGAATGATAAATAAAGTAGCAAATGATTTGCCTGATAAAATAAAACAAGAATTACAATAATTTAATGAAATTAAATTAGGATCACCATAAGCAAAATTATTAATAGAAAGAAAATTAGCTAGCATATCTACTATAAAATATTTTGAAGTAAAGAAGGGTGTTAAATACAGTCCTAAATTTAGAGAATAATTTGCAGCATTAACAACAGAATAATTATTAAATGGTGAATGGAAAGATTGTGATTATAAAAGTATTAATTTAAATGCAGAAGGTGAAAAAAGTAATAAATAAATTAATATGATTAGTTTCAATGGGTAATTTACATCCTCTTTTGAAAGTAAGAAAATAGTTTTCATAAATTTTAATTGGATTAGGATTTGAAGAAATGGCAACAAATTAATTTGTTGAATCATCATTTTGGAATTTTGATGCTTTATTTTAACCATAAAAACATCCAGCAAGAGATGCACATGATACATTCTTTTGTAATGATCCAGAACTTAGTGAAGAAGTAGATACTTAATTGAGAGATAAAGTAAAATCTATGCATTAGACAGGAGGTGTAGGTAGTATTGGATATCAATATGAATGGTCACATGAAGAAGCAAGAAAAAATATATTAAGAACACATACAACAGCTGTCTCATCTAAAATGTTATATAGAATTGCATAATAATATAAGGAGAAAGGTTATTTCCCAAAGAAATACTTTAGTATAGATAAAGTATTTAGAAATGAAACTTTAGATGCAACTCATTTAGCTGAATTTCATTAAATTGAAGGAGTTGTGATTGATAAAAATGCTTCATTAGGATAATTAATGGGAATCATCAGAGAATTCTTTAGATAAATAGGTATTAACAAATTGTGGTTTAAACCAACTTATAATCCATATACTGAACCAAGTATGGAGATTTATGGTAATTAATTATCAATATTATAGGATATCATCCTATTTTAAAAAAGAAAGTTGAAATTGGTAATTCTGGTGTTTTTAGACCTGAAATGCTAGCACCATTAGGTATTCCAGAAGATGTAAATGTTATTGCATGGGGTTTGGGATTAGAAAGACCAACTATGATTTATTATGATATTAGAGATATAAGAACTATGGTAGGACCAGAAGTTAAAGTAGAAACTGTTAGATCAAATGCATTCTGTGTATTTGAAAGTAAATGATTTAATAAAAATTATTAATTTGAAGATATATATGTATTTATATATTCATGAACATCTTGATTTTTATTTTAATTTCAATCCTTTATCTTCTATTTAAAGTTTGCTTATTTTACTTTCATTTTTTTTCAATTATAATTCAACTAAATCTCTCCTAATGATTTCATCAACCATTGTTTCAAATACATTCTTTAAACCTTAATTATCATATGCTGAACATTATACTCCATCAAAGAAACCAAATGTTTAACAAAATTATTAAAGAAATTATTGTGAATTTTATTCATCATATTATTGAATCAAATCCATTTTATTTTAAACAATCAAGAATGGAATGTGTCTTCCATTATATTCATCAACGTATTAATAAATTACATTCTACCATTTTACTAATTATTATCTACTCATTTCATTTGTTGCATCAAATACAAAAATAATTCCTAATGCTCCTTTTAAATATATTTTCATTAAAGGAGATTCTCTTTCAGCTCCTGATACATCCCATATTTATAATTTTAAGAATTTACCATTCAAAAGAACTCTCTTTAGTACATAATCACAACCTATTGTGAAATCATCTACTACTTGGGGTGCCAATCCAAAACAATAAGAATTTAGAATTTATGTTTTTCCTACTCCGCTTTCACCAACTATAACAAGTTTAATATAATTTTATTCCATATTAAATCACAATTCCAAATTTTGATTAATAAACCTTATCTAATCTAATTGTTCTTGAAATCCTTTCTTTTTATACATAGTCAAAGTATAACGTTGATAATCTTTGATATTCCAAGCCAACAATAAATACTAACGTCTCTCGATTCCAATACAAATGAAATAGTCTTCAGATGAAAATTGATTTATACCATAATAAATTCTAATTTATTAATATTAAATACATATTATTCCAAAATTGATTATCACTCTCTTTTAATTATTTAATTTCAATTTCAAATTGTTTTCTTAATCTATTAAATTTCTTATTCTTTAACATTCTTTAAATAACATTCATAGTATTCCTTTTAATCATAAGTACATTATCAAATTCAATAATAGCAAAATCAGCTACATAAACAAATTTATCTTCTAATACTAATATATTAAATTTAATTGTTTGAGCAATTTCTTTTAAATCTTATTAATTTGTTATTTTATTTGCTTATTGTAAATTCATCTACCAAATTATTCTTTTATTATTAAGTTAATTTTATGCAGTAATATTTATATAAGAATGATAAGGTTCATAAACAGAATCCAATTTCTCATAACTATCAATTGGTATATCAAGTAATGAAATAACAACCATATATCTTAGATTATTGTAAAATTAAGTAAATCTTGATAATAGAGTACTCTATTATTTTGTACTTTCAGATATATTTAATTCCTTTCCTTTTTCTTCATTCTAACAATTTCCTTATATTTTTATTCCTCTCTTTTAAATAGACTTAGAAATAATTGCTTATTTATCTACTTTCAATCCACTTATTAATTATTCTGATAATTATGATAAGATATTAGATTACTTATAATTAACTCCTGGATATTAAGATTTTAATTCCTTTAAATCAATATCAATCTTTATCATATTTCTTATCTCTTAAGTCATCTTCTATTATTGAGGCATTTCCCCAGTGTGTATTGCATCATATATAAATTATTTACCTTAAGAATATTATCTTTTCTAATGAAATATGAGTTTTGGAGATGATGGTTTCTTAGTAATCAATTTTAATTATTTTTATTAAGTTTCTTATGGAATTTCAAGTTTTTGAGTGTAATTCTATCTCAAAAGTAATATATTATCTTCTATATATAGATTCTTTAATACATATTAACTTATTTATTCATTTAATAATATTGATTGAGGTTCTATTGTGAAACAATTAAATAATTCTTATTCTTACTTACTTTTATAAGATATTAGTTCTACTCTTACTCTTACTCCTTAATTATCTTTTGATTGATAAATACTACATATATACATGATATCACTATCTTTATCATCACTTATATCTTTTCTCTTTAAAAATGTTTTCTAAACTTCTTTTCCTTTCTTATTCATCATTTTTATTTTCATTCTTGTACATCTAAAGAGCATCAATTAATATTTTTTTTATTATTGACATAATCTCCATCTTGCTTATAAAGATATAATAGTTGGTAATAGTTTTGAGTCTGACTCATTTGTTATCATGTAAAATCCTTAAGAGGATGTATAAAATTTTTCATTAATTTCTTCTGTTAAAGTCATTTCAAAATTCTTATATTAATATTGTAAATCTAATTCTGCATTAATCATAATGTAAAGATGAAGAACATTAATCATTGGCATTAATAACATTCTATATTTATGATAACTTTTTGGTTCATTTAAAGTTAAGAGTTTAATAAATAACTCTTTATCTAAATAACTTAATCCATGTTAATTTCCAAATAAACAATCTAAGTAATGTAAATCTAAATTATATTTTCTTTTGCGTTTCTCTTTTTATAATAATATAATAATCTTTTAATCAACCTTATTGTAAAAATAATTTATTTAAACAAAAAATTCATTTACAAAAGTTCTTATTAAGAATTTCTTACTTTAAGGTGTTTCTTTGATTTTTTTAAGGAATAATTTTAATCTTACAATTCTTATTACTTTCTTACTAAATTATTCTCTTAATTCTGTAATAAAATCTATTTTTTCTGATGGATGAAACTTTTCTATAGGTTAACTAAAATACTATTGTATTTTTTCAACTGATTCTGATAAAATTATATCCATATAGTGATTTTTATATTCGTTGTATTTTATTTAATAAAATTATCTTGGAATAGTATATACTGTCACAATAATATCATAATAAGGTAGTATTAATATCCATTCATATAGTACTGAATCAATATAAATAGATTTTAAAAAGATAGGAGTTTCTCCTCTTCTTTATATAATTTCAATTGTTGTATAAGCTTGAGGTTTCCTAATCTCATCAAAATAATATGGTTTGACTACAACTTTTTGTGATTAAAGCAATGCTAATCTTCTTCTTCTTCTAATCAAACATTTCTAATGTATAATAGCTCTAAATTTTAGTAATCTAAATGCTATTATTAATATACAGTATTACCTCTTTATACTAATTTCGCCTTTTTATTAAGCATCTCCATATATAATTCATCAGGATCTTGAATCCATTCATATTTTTAAATGGATGGATATTAATTAACATAATGATTAATATTATCTCCAACTTATCTTTCCTTTTTCTTTTACTAATATTTCTTCTTTAATCTTTCTAAATAAAGATTTTTTATATATGTAATTTGATAAATAGAAGGATCTTCCACTCTACAAAATATTGTTGGTCGATCTTCAATTTCAAATCTATTTTTTAAATATTATTAACAATATATTTTTCTGCTCAAGTAATTTCTACCCAAAAATGTAGGTTCTTTATTAGCAACATCTTTCAAACTTTCTTTAAATGAAGAATAATTTCTATAAAATTAAAATTATATTTATTACCTCTCCATCAAAAATCCATAAACTTCTTCTAAACTATGACATTTTAAATGAAGTTTATCATTTTTCCATTCAAAATCAATTTCATCTAAAACTATTTTGCTTACTTGATTAAAATCTGAAATAGATATATCTTAAAATAATCTCTAACAACATTAAGCAATTTTAAGATTGGAATACTTTTTTTAAATAATTCCTCCTTCAATAAGTAATTCTTAATGTTCTTAATAAATTTAACCATATGCAGTTAATATTATATGATATTTTTATTCAAACAAAATGGATTTTCTTATTTTAAACAGTAATTAAGATTATTTTGCTTTTAAAGTAATAGTTTTATATTTGAGTATAGAAGAATCAAAGAATTTTATCTTTGATCTCAATACTCTTTAAATTTTCTTTGCAGCTTTCTCTACTGCTGAAAAATCCATCTTCTCTTTTGATCGAATATCTTTATCAATAATAAATTGAGCATCATCTGTAAAAAATATCTTATTATTTTATGCATAAAATATCTCACTACAATTTTATCTATTAATTGGACCAAAAAATTTAATGACTGAATCAGGAATTATCATCTCATTCTCACATAATTACTTTTATTAAAGATTATAGAATTAAATCACATTTTCTTATTAAAAAATCAATATAAAATATCCTCCTTAGATCTTTTCTATAAATCTCTTATGTTTATATTTCTGATTTTTAATTAATTCTTACTTTTTTCTAGCCAAATATCCTCTTAACAAAGACTATAATTTCATTAATTTTGTTAATTTTATTGGTTATCTACGGGAAGATACTGAAACTTTTTCATCAATATCTGAATCAATTAATTCATTTAATAAAGTATCTGTTACTCCATATAAATTAAGTTCATTATTAAGAACATAAAATAAATTGCAAATTTCCTTATAATTTATTTATTGAGCTTATTTATATGCTATTTAATTCATTCTTTTTGACATATTGATTGTTAAACAAAATTCATCAAATGCACGATACTTTGAATTTAGAATTTCCAATTCAAAGGTTTATCTATATATTTTTGCTTTTTTTCTCTATCTTTTATTCTTCATTTCATTAATAATATATAAGATTTCATTCTCGAATTTCTTAGCAATTATTAAACAATATTCATATTCATTTTCAATTGATAATTTTGATATTTTTATGTATTTTACATATTTTTTATTTTTCATTAACTTCATCAATCTTTATTAAGTTATTTTTCTATAAAATCTCTATATTTTTATGGCTGCTTATATTTTAATCTTAGAGTTGTTTGAATAATACTTAACAGAGTGATTCTTTTATTTTTTACGATACCACTTTTGTATCTTAGATATAGCTTTTCCCTATTTATTCTTTTATTCAAATGTATTTTCAAATGTTTCTTAATTAGCAAATGATGCTGTAATTTCCTTTTATGACTCAAACCCCCTAATTTAATTAATAATTAATTCTTAATCATCATAAGTAAGATCTTCTTATTAATTTAAAGGTATCATAGAATCATATTATCCATCAGGCTGTTAATTTTCAAAATGAATAAAATCTTACGATCTTTAATCTTAACATTCAACATTTAAAATTGATTCCTAAGAGAAATTTATATGATAACTGTTTCTTTTAGTTAATTTTCTTTCTAAAAGTTAGATGTTTTATTAATGGATAGATTATAAAAATCTTAATCTGATTTTTCTTTATGCTTCAATTTTGTTTTATAATTACTTTGAAACAACACTTCCTTCTTCTTCATCAATGTCATTACTTGAAGTTTAAAAAGATTAATTTAAAGTTTTTTGTCTTCTTCCTTTGATTTAACTACCTGATCTATAATTGCTATCATCTGATTAATTAATAGATTAATTTAATGACTGTGTATATGAATCAATTATTGTTATAGGTCTTCTATAGTAAAAAGATTTTGCATCTTCCCCTTGTCTTGAGGCACTTCTTAATCTAAATTTATTTTAAACAGGCACTATTTTTGGAGGTAATTTTTCTACATATTTACTCAACTTTTGAGTAAGAGTATCTTATTGTCCAAAAAGGTAGACACTCTATTCATAAGCTTTTTCATGAAATATTCTGCTTTATTCATTCTATAATAATGCTTTGTATTCAATAGCTGCATTATGATATGCAATTACCAATTATTTACCAACTGAACATTCAATTGATTGTAATGCTATTTGTAATGCTTTTTCATGTTATTTGAGTTTAGAATAGATGCAAGTTAAATTAATTAGTGTTGTAGATGGATTTAATTCATGTGCAACAGTCAATTTTAGAGCTTCGTTTAAGATCTCTATTTATTGATCTTTGTTTACCAAAGTACAACCTTAGAGTTAAAGAAGAATTACCTAATAAGTTATATACATCCAATTTGATATTTGGTGAATTAGTATTACGAAGAATCCATCTATATATCAATTCTTTAATATTTGACTCTTAAGTGAGGGAGTATTTTATAAGTATTTAAGCTGCTTCTTCAAAGGGTTTATGCTATTCAAAGTAGGAGAGTGCTTCAAGTAATTTATTGTCTCTTAATTTTAATAAGGCTTATTTCATTTATATATTAATAAAAACTATTAAGTTTAATATTTATTAATTTGAATTATTAACAACAAATTCAAAATTAAAAGAAGTATAGATAATAATGAAAAATCCATGGACATAATAAACTGTTGCTTAATAATAAATAACATATGGGATATGTTACAATATTCTAAATAAAAAATATTAATTATAATCAGATGAAAAACAATAATTTGATTATATTACAATATTAAATAATGCAAATAAAATATAAGAGATGAAATAAAAATTAGCAATATAAATTATAGATTAATAATTTGGAGATATGATTGATCCTAAGAAATTTGAATAAAGAATATAATAATTAGATAGTTTAGAATAAATAATAAATAATGTTCTGTTATGTTTATAAAAATGTTAAATATGTGTATAACATAATAACGATACAAAAAGTTTTATAAGAAATGATGGATCAGTTTATATTAATATTCCATTTTAATATAAAACTTAATTTATTTAATTATTAAGATAAGCATAAGAGAAATAACTTGAATTAGTTGATCCAGATTAATAAATCATTTAATAGTAAAGATGTGTAAAAGATTTAAATGAATAACAATAATAAATAGAAGAGATATATAGTTAAATAATTTAATTAATAGAATAACTAAAAAATTGAATAGATAATTAGTTTTTTAATATATATATATATATATTTCAAATCAAATGATATATTTAAATATCTTCTAAATATCCTATTTTTATGAGATTATATTTAACTATAATTATCCTTATTTATCAACAACTTCCATTTTTGGATATACTCCACATCCAAATTCTACAAATACTTAATCATTTGTATCTAAGACTTTATTTACTCCTTAAGTTGTAATCACTAAATTTCTATCCTATTGGATAATTTAAATATAATTACTTTATTTGACATAGAGATTATAGAATAATTCACATAATCTTATGCAATAATCATTTCTACAATAGGTCCATTAGTTACTTACTATGATTACAAAAGTTCACCTGTATTAATATCAAACTCTCTTATCTTACCATCTTTTCCTCCACTAATGATTTTAGTCTAAAATTATTAATATTAAATTTTTATACATTATTTTAAATTTAAACAACATTTAAAGCACAAACCAAAGTTTAATTTTTAATAGATCTTTCCAATTATGCTGATTAAAATTGTCCTTAAGAATTTTTATTTATTTTCCATACATTAATATTTTAATCTAATCCTCCAGAAATGAATCTTCCTTTAGCTAATGTTAAACAAGTTACAGCATTTGTATGTCCAATCAATCTTTAAATTGGTTTCTAATTTTCAATATTCCAAATCAATAATGATTTATCATATGATCCACTAACAAGAGTTGATCCATCATCTAATGATAATAATGCAACTACAGCTGCTTAATGTTCTACTAAAGTATTATGTTCTTTTAAAGTTGATAAATTCCAAATTTTAATTGATTTATCTCCATTATCACTTCCAGATGCTAAAAAGAAAGGTATATTATTAGCTTTAATTATAGTTAATGTACATACTCCATCAGTATGACCTTTCAATTAAGATATTAGAGAAGAATTATCCCAAATATTAATAATAGTATCTTTAGATCCAGTAGCAATTAAATTGTCTTTAATATTTGTAAAACAAAGTATCATTCCATTATGTCTAATATCTTATGATTAGATTTCTTATAATTCAGTGATTTTTCCTTATATTGTATGAGTATTTATAAAATGATTTTATAATTACATTATAGGAGACTATTATATTGTCTATTATGATTGATTAAATTAATTGATTTAATGCTCAAAATTTAGAGTTATTTTTGGTTCTTGGATATTTAAATAAGGATTTATTTTAATGGCTGATTATGGAAGTGATTAAGTTTCTAGATTAAGTTTACTTTTTATTTCTTAATTTATTTATTTCTATTAATTTTTTTCCATAAAATCTAAAGGTAAAATGTAATCTGTCATGTCACCAAACTTTGTTATTAATTTTTCTTCTACTTCTTATTTTATAATATTTAATTGTCTCAAAGTGGCTTCAGAATGATAGAATTCACTATTTTGACTTGTCAATTATAATAATTCCTTTGATATTATTTATATTTATTCAACTCTTTATTTAGCCAAATTGCTTATGTATGCATTAACTTTACTAACATAATTTTAATATTTCATTTCTTCCAACTCTCTAATTAAATTAGCATTAGAACAATCACCAAAATTATTTGGTGGTGGTGGAGGTACTAAATTTAGTGGTGCTTCCAACTTTGTTTTCTTAAATTAAATAACTTCATCCTTAAAAGCAGCATAAACATTCAAATATCGTTTATAATGTTCATCTACAAATTATTACATCTAAACACCTAGATCTTCAATCATATTTGAAATCTCACTCTTAATAAAACATATATCTTTTTTTATCTTTTCTTTTTCTCTATCTACTTTTTTTCTTAATCTATCCAAATGATTATTTTCTTCTGATAACAGAAATAGTATTTCCTAAGGTAAAAAGTCTTAATCCATTTCAAATACTTTTGGCAACATTGTAAATGTATTATTTAAATCAGTAACTGGATATTAAGGTTGAAAGTTGTAATCAGATCTTTATTTTTATATTGTTTGTTATGGTTAGCTAATCTCTCCTTAACCAAATGAAATTCTTTAGTTTTGAAATGTTTATTATTGAATAAATTATTGATTTTAAAGAGGCAATGGGTAATTTTAGTTTAGACTTATGTTTCTCTATGTGAAATTTGCTTAAAACATCGCTTCTGAATTATCTGTAGTGCTTCCTACATATGATTGTTTTTTAACGCTCATTGTTAATTTTTGATTATTTAATAATTAAAAATTATAGCTGCTATCTGAATTATTATAGCATACAAAGAATTAGTGTTATCATAAATGTCTTTGAAGTTAAGAACATTAAAATAGATAATGAAATAAACACAATTTTATAATTAGTTCAAATTTCTATTATTAACTAATATAAACAAATCATTCAACCTAATCTTCTTCTTCCTATTCTATTATATCAGTCGTTTCATTAAAGGTCTATTATTAATCTTCTGTTAAAGATATATTTTTTGATAATAATTCCTAAGAATAATTGAATGACTTACTATAACATCTGTTTTATCTAGTTATATAGCTTCTTCAATACATGTTAATCCATTTAAGTTTTTTATTTTAATATCTGCTCCATTCTATAATAATACTGGAATAATTGCTAATTAATTATTGAATACAGCCCAATCTATGTAAAATTGATATATTTACGTAGAGGAGTACAACCATATTGATTTTAATGATTTATTAATTTATACAAATCAATATTTATTTTTTTAGAATACTAGATGATTTATTCAAGAATAGATAAATGACCATTAGCTGATACCATATCTATATTAAATTGTATCAAATATACGAATGCAATTATTTTAATTAATGTCAATCCAAAATAAATCAACATTATCTTCAAAACAACCAATTGCATCTTCATAATCTCTAAAAATGAATAAATACTTACCCAAATCTGCAACTATCAATAAAGAATTCTTCTAAACATGAATATTACTCTTCCTCTTGCTGCATTAGAAATTATATAATTATTTATATTATTTCTTTAATAATCTAATAAAATAATACTATTACAATTCAAAAATACCAAAAAATTAATAATTTTAAAATAAAGATTACTATAAATTATTCAATTACATAATAATCAGAATTCATCATTATAAACTGGTTTATGGTCCTATCCATCCCATTTCTCAACTTTTTTAAAATTAGGAAGTCTAGAATATTGATTGAAATGCTCTCTTCCATTTAATACATTATTAACAAATCTAAATTGTATATATTTTTGATTACTATTCTATATTTTATTTGCTAAAAGCACCTTTGAGTTTAGCATAAACAGATTTTCTGCCACTCAAAGCCATAACAGAAGGATGAGCAGCAGCGCATTAAAATGCTTCTTCAAATTCATAATTATCTCCTCCTTAAGTCCATAAGAAATTAACTGGTTTGTTTTTGAGAGATTTTGCCACATCTAATAATTAATTGATATATTAATTTCTTTCTTATTTATTACTATCATAAATATGAGGAAGAAAAGCAATTATGCATACACCTATTTAATAATAATATAATAATACCATTATAATCAATGCAATTTTCTGTTAAAACATCTTTTGATAGTAACTCTACTACTTCTACTTTCTTTGATTTATTTGATTATTCTAAAGCAAACTCTATCATTGCAGAAGAATCTCTGGCTCCATCATAAGGAATTGCATCTGAATCATTAGAAAAACCTGCAGGGAAGAATTTCAATGTTGGATATCCTGAAACTCCAAAACGAGATGCTAATTAAGTATTTGCAGTGGCATCTATTTTAGCAACTTTTACTTTCCCCTTAAGTTCTGATCCTACTTTATTCCATTCTGGTTCTAGTTTTTTACAATGACCACACCAAGGAGCATAAAATTCAACAAACCATGAATCTTTAGATTTTAAAACATTTTCATCAAAAGTTGAATCTGTAAGAACAATAACATCATCAGCTGATCCAGAGCCAGATCCAGAGCTAGAACCAGATGATTATTTTTATTAATTTCTATTTGAAGATGAACCTTTTTACCTACCATTCACTGTCTAAAATAATTAGAAAAGACACATACCGATTTGACTTATTCTAAAGCAAAGTTAATTATAGCTTATGCTGATCTTTCTCCTTAATAATCGGATGGTGAATTTTTGTTATCTCCAAAGAATTTGATTGTAGGGAATCCTTAAATACCATACTATCCTCCAAGGTCTTTGTGAGCATCTGCATCTACTGCAGCAATATTTACAATTCCTTCTAGTGTCTTTGCTGCTTTTTCATATTCTGGGGCAAGTGCTTTACAATGACCACACCATGGAGCAAAGAATTCTACTATCCAAAGAGATTTAGAGTTTAACACTTTCTCTTTGAAGGTTTAAGGTGTAAGGAGTTGCACTTTAGAACGTGAATCATAAAGTGCAAAAGAAGTAGCTAACAATAGTGAAAGAAGATAGATAACTTTGTTCATTAAAATAATTAACACATCACTATTATTCTAGAATGTTTAGTAATAAAGTTTGGGTTTTAGAGAGTGATAATTTTATAAAAGGTATAATTGCAGATGGAAACAACTATATAAGTGAAGAAAATGGTCAGAAATTGAATGGACAAGTGTGGGAAAGATGTGAGGATGTTTAAGCTGACATGGTCAATCTGGCTATAATTAATGATCCATAACTTTTATATAACTTAAGTGAGAGATATAAAAAAGATTAAATATTTACATATGTTGGACCAACTCTGATTGTTATTAATCCATTTAAGAGTCTAAATGCAAATCTCTAAGAATATGTAGAATATATTATTAGAAAACGTCATAACTATAAATCTATAGCACCTCACACTTATGCAATTGCTGCATATGCTTTTACCAAATTAACTGAAAAAACCTAAGCGATTGTTATATCTGGAGAAAGTGGAGCTGGGAAAACAGAAAATGCAAGATATTGTCTTAATCTATTAACAAGTGTTAATTCTGAAGAAACTGAATTATCTGATAAGATTATGGGGTGTAATCCAATTTTAGAAGCATTTGGTAATGCAAAAACAATTAGAAACAAGAATTCCAGTAGATTTGGAAAATATACAAGGCTTTTTGTTAATCAAAAATAATAAATTGTAGGTGGTGATATTGTAAATTATTTATTGGAAAAGAGTAGAGTTGTTTCACATTCTAAAACAGATAGGAATTTCCATATATTTTATCTATTATTTGGAAATCCAAAATATTAAAGATAAAATTTTAATTATTTAGGCACAGATAATTATTTCAGTTAGAAATTTTATGATGAATTGATTTAAGGATTCTCTACAGTTAATATTGATGCTGATGCTGTTTTTTAAGTTGTTTATTCTGTTTTATTAATAGGAGAATTATAATTTGATGATACTAATTATGGTAATACTAATCCTTGTAATGTTAAAAATGAAGATCTTTTAAAATAAATATGCTAATTATTGGATTATGATTACAATGATATTCTTAAAGCTTTAACCTTAAAGTAAGCTATATATGGAAAAGAAAAGATATTATCACCAATTAAATTACTTGATTGTTTAAGAATAAGAGATTCTTGGGCTAAGGAAATTTATGAAAGATTATTTAATTGGATTATTGAAAAACTTAATTAAACTTTGATTACTAAACAGGATAAAACAACATATATTGGATTATTGGATATTTATGGATTTGAAGTTTTTGATAATTTTAATGGATTTGAATAAATGATGATAAATTATTCAAATGAGAGACTTCATTAATTATATATTGAATATGTATTTAAAGAAGAGAAGAAAATATTTGTTAGAGAAGGTTTAGAAAAATTCGTAGATAGTATTAAATTTGAAGATAATACTTAATTAATTGATATGTTTGATAAACCTCCTGTTTGTTTATTTAATCTTATTGATTAAGCTTGTAGATTAAATTAAACTGATTAATAATTATTACAATCTTTTAGAAAAGAACTCAAATTTGCAAATTCATAAAAACCTACATTTACTATAAAACATACTGCCAAAGATGTAGAATATACATGCTAAGATTTTGTAGAAAAAAATCAAGATGAAATTCCTTAATTATTATTAGAAGCAAAATGCAATAGTTAGATGGTCTAATTACAACCAAAGCCAAAATCAATTGTTGTAAAGATAAAAAATGAAATGAAAAGTTTAATGACAGAATTATAATCATGTGGTGTTCATTTTATTCGTTGTATAAAACCAAATGATGAATTGATTCCAAATAAATTAGATAATAAATATGCTATGAAATAAATTCGATATTTAGGTGTTTTAGATTCATTAAAAGTAAGAAAAGAATCATTTCCAATTAGAGTCGATTTTTGGAGATTTTACTTAAAATATAGATTTATTTAAGAGGGTGGATTTTAGGATCCTTTAAATAAAGATTATAAAGCTTTGGATTAAAAAATGTTTTAAGAATAATTTAGTGAATTGTCAAAGGATTTATACTTATTTGGAAATACTTAAATATTTATTTAAGAAGCAGGAATGACTCAAATTGATAAGATTTACACTTCATTAATGAAAGAGAAGAATGAAAAAGCTAGATGTATTTAAGCTGCTTTTAGAAGATGTTAAATGAGAGATAAATTTAAAAAATTTATGAGAATGATCAAAAGGGTTGCAAAAAAGATTAAAAGAAAATTAAGAAAAATTTAATTTAGAAAAAAGATGAAAGCTGCTACTCTTATTCAAAAATTTTATTTTATGTACTAAATTAGAAAAAAATAAAAGTTATTTAGAAAACAAATTGATTATTTAAAATATGCAATTTTAAGTAAAATATAATAAAAGCAATTTCAAAAAAAAGTAGAATGTATAAGAAAAATATAGAAAAACTTTAGAATAAGTAGAATTTAAAAGAGAATTATGTAATATTTAGATATTAGAAGAGTTTTGAATATTATTATTGATAATTCTTGGGAGTAAATTAGAATTAAAGCTGCCATAACAATATAAAAATATTATCGAGGCTATTATACTAGAAAAAGTCACAAAAAAGAAGTTTAATAAATCAAGGAAGTAGGAAGAAAAATAAGAATGGAAAAAAGAATCAAAACAATTTAGAGATGGGCTAGAGGATATATTATAAGAGTGAGATTAAGTAAAATGCATGAAGCGGCTTATTTGATTTAAGGTTACTTTAGAATGAAGCATTTAAGTTGTGTATTTTAGAGAATGAGATAGGCTGCTGTTATAATTTAAAGAAGATTTAGAATGATATTACCGAGGAGAAGAGAATTAAAATAATAATATGATCAATATATTTCACCATTAGAACAATAATTACAATAATAGAAATTATAGGAAGAAACTGATTTATTTGGATTAAAAATAGGTTAAAAAACGGATTATGATTCAGCATTAATTTAAGGGATGGAATCATTAATATAGCCAAAAATATATTTATTTGCTTTTATTATTGATTTGGAGATAATCTCAGATACTTCTGATAGTTATAATGGAACATTTGCATCTAATTACAAGGATATATTTATCTAAAGTTTTGAAAAGGAAAATCCTTTGTAATTTATTTAGGTTGGAGAAAATACAACAATTGGGGCATGTTGTAATAAATTATACGGTTGGGGTTTAAATGATATGAGTTAATTAGGATTTACATAAGACGGAGAGAAACATTACCCAACCCAATTGAATTTTATGGGAAAAATGAAAAATATATCAATGGGATAAAATCATTGTTTAGTATAACAAAATGATAATAAGTTATTTATTTGGGGTTGTCTTTAACATAAATATATTTAGCATCCTAAATTATTACACGAGAATGCAGAATTTATCAAGGCTTATAGAAATAGAATTTTATATATATCAGAAGGTAAAGTTTATGATTAATTAAAATGTATTTAAATGAATGTAAAAATAACTTCATTGTCATGTGGAAGTTCATTTACTATATTATTAAGTGAAAATGGAGGATTATATTCTTATGGATAAAATGAGAAAGGTTAATTAGGATTAGGTGATAATAAAGCAAGAGATCAAGTTGAAAGATTGCCATTTAATGAAAAAATTATTTAGGTTGAATGTGGATATAAGCATGTTATAGCTTTAAGTTCTTTGAAAAAAGTATTTGTTTGGGGATGTAATGAGTATGGATAATTAGGAACTGGTGATTTTGAGAATATTAAAAAACCTAAGTAATCATAAATGTATGGTGATTAAGTAATGGCAGGAATGAAATGTTCTTGTGTACTAAATAAACAATTATTTTGGTGTGGTACAAATGGCACAATTCTTATGTAATGTCATTTTAAACCATTTATTTAAAAATGTAATTATTTGAATCGAAAGGAGTATTAGATTGTACGAGTACTCAGTTCATATTCTAATAATATTTCAATTATATATTGTACTTATGCTTGTCTACGTGGATTATTTGATAATAATTTAGGAAAGGGCTTCTAAGTTATTAAAAATCTAACAAACAACTGGGTTTAAAATGGAATATGGACAATCGATCCTCCTTATGTCGAAAGTTTGAGTAATTATATGTGTGAGAGACATTAAATGAAAAATAGTAAAATTAATTCAAATGGGAACTAAATCAATAATTAAAAAATAATGTAAAAGAAATAACAGTTATAGTAAATATAATCTTTACCATATGAAAAATTGTGTAAAATAGATTTAGATTTATATTTTTGAATTAACTATCATACTGCTATTTTTTTTTAATGTTTTTTTATAGGATGTAGTGGAATGTTCGGCTTTTATTATTTTTTGATTAAGTTTATTAATTTTTAAATTCCTTCTTAAACACCCTCACCAGTTTTAGCACTGCACATTTAGAATATCGTATCTTATTCTAAATATCCAAAAACTCCACATTCTTAAATCAAAACTTGATTATCAAGATGTATATTGTCTTGTTTTGTAAACATAATGAGAATTACTACCTATTTCATTTAATTAGAAATACATTCATGTATTCTAAATCTTTATTCAACTTAACAAATTGCTCTTTGACCTAATATAACTACTCTTTATTTGAAGAATCTATAATAAAAATTAGTCCATCAGTGTTTTCGTAATAGTTACTCCATAAACTTGGTACTTTACCTCCTACATCAAAAATCATAAATTCAGGATGGCTAAAATCTACATTCACACCTATTCATAATTATAATTCCTAACCAACTGTTGGTTTTGTTTGCACAAATTTTCCTTATCTGATGTATTCAAATATTGCTGTTTTCCCACTTCCTTCCAACCCTACAATAACTAGTTTGAATTTTCTTTGGTAAGTCTCAACACTACGAGAATTAACACACCCCATGTTATTTATATAAATTTTAATATTGATTCATTAAATTAATATAAATATATTCCCCTATTATAGCTTTAACATCATAAATAATTTCTTATAGCTCTGATAATGTTTCAATTCAATCATTTAATAAGAATCATTATCTATTAAATAGTAAAGTTAATTCAATTCCTAAGACATGAGTGATCTTTTTCTTTAAAATTTGTATCAAATATACATAAAACCTTTAAAAAAATTTCACTTGAAAGTCTAGATTTATAAAATAGCCTATATTCCTAAATAATATTCAAGTAATATAGTATAAAAAAATATTATCAACAAAATCTAATAATATTTATTTTTAAATCATACTTAAATACTAAATATTTAGGAGTAAATCATAACTGTAGATCTTGCAATCACATTAAATAGTTATATATGTTAATTCAAATCATTAGGACTGGCTAAATTATTCATATTGTATTATCCTTGTCAAGAGGACAAATTTTAAAACAAAAGTTTAGAAAATAAACTTAGACCAAAGAATAAATACTAAATATTTTGTGATATAAATTACAACAAAAAATTAAGATCTTTGCAGAATTACAAAAATCTTTATTATTATATTTAAAAAATTATTTATATATGATAACAATATATTTATTTTAAGATTATTTATTGAAATATACATTTAATTTATTTGGATGTTGTTATTTTAACTACTCTATCAAGATTATTTTAATAAGTATAAGTAATAATGAATATTATAAAACAATTTGAAAACTTTCAATTCATTTTAAATTTTCAATCTTAATTATATTAATAATCTATTATAATTAATAACTGTAATATGTTAATGTAATTTTTTGATAAATTCAAATTTTTAATATTTTACATCCAGTTGCTTTTTTTCTATATTTTTCATTTTGATGTTTAAAATAATATTTTTAGTCGTATTAATTATCCCACCTTATTTGCTGTTGTAATTTTAGTATAAAATTTAATCAATAATTCTAGAATTCACTATAAATTCTGTCTTTTATAAAATTATTCATTTTATTTTTTCTGTTTTATTGCAATTGTTTGTTTTTAAATTAATTTTTGCTGATAGACCATTTGGTGATTTAATCAACTAAACAGTCTAAAATCAGGATAACTATAATTAAGAAAGAATGAGGAGATTTAAGTTGTCTGAATTATAAGAAAAATTAAATAGCTTTAAACAATATCATAAAGATATTATTTCTAAATTAGAGAATGCTTTTTATTAACATACTTCCCCAAGAATTACCCTTTTATGGTTTATATCCCTAATGCAATTAAAGAAGAAGAGTATCTCAATAGTATAAACATTAAATGGTGTACTATAAGGCCTTTTGATTAATAATTGTAAATGAATGCTAAGAGTTACATTCTATTTAATATGAATTTTTTAGTTGCATGTTGTACATGCTCAGTTTATGTTAGTTATTAATTATAAGATAATATTAGTGATTAATAACCACCCTGTAGCTTATTTTATGAATTTCATCACAAATTAAAGTTGTTAATTTGAGTTTAAGAGGTATTGTAAAAATTGTAGCTTTATAAATAATGAACCTTCTATATTACTAAAATATGAAGTAAAACAACGTTAAACAAATTTAAAATTTAGCCAACTAAATGAGTAGCAAAATATAATCATTAATTGATTCCCATGATTAATTACACACATCAATAATTGAATGTTTTGATGACAACAATTGGGATTTACAGACATGGAAATATATAAATTTAATTAACTTTATTAAATCGTTATATAATTGAATATTACAAAAGATCTTTTAATTTTTATTAAAATAATTGTCATTATCTATTGATAGGAATTGAAAAAATTTAATAATTCAAACTTAGGCAAAAATCTCTTGTAAAAATTAGAATAAATAATTAACAAATTATATCATAAAATTATTGTAAGTAAATTAAGAACAATTTGCTATCAGATGATGAAGTAAACTTATTAATCTTAAAAATAACTGTTTTTAAATTATTTATTTTTATTAACAATAATTTACTTTTATTTTATCATTGCTATGATTCAATTACAAGTAACTTTTTTAATAAAAAATGCAAATAAATATTAGAAAAATATCAATAATCTATATCATTTTTCTTCCTCTTTTGACTAGTCTTCTGATATTTACCTCTAATGATATGATAAATTTTACTCTAATCAACTCTTCCTCAATTCGCATAACTTTTTAACCAGCTTCAAATGTCCTTATTATTATTTATAAAATGTCATAAATTAAACTAATAAATTAAATAACATCTTTATTATTGTTGTTTTTGGATTCAATACCATGTCTTTATAACATTAATTATTTTGTAAGTTCAAATTCTAATTTTGTCATTCGGACTACGTTTTTCAAACCAAGTCTATTTTTTAAATCCATACCTTTATCTTGAATTATACAAATTTCCTTTTATTAATAGATCTACGTTACTTTAAAACTTTTCCATTCAAACATTTCACTACTGCTTCTGTAAAAAACTACTATGATCCATTAAAATATCAGTTGTATTTTGTTTTCTATATTTGAAAAATCAAACTTAGCTATAAATTTAGAATATTCCTACCTAAATTTTCAATGTTTAGTCGCTCAGATAACTACTATCGAATACTATTTTAAAGAATAATATATTCCTTCTCCTCTTCTTCTTCCTATTCTAAATATTATTTAGATTCAAAAGCAATTTATTATAATTTTCTGTTTGTGTCAGCAGTGTGCATATCAGTGATGGATAAAGATTAACTATTAGATCTTAAATGATTTTAGTTATCCATTTCTGTATGGCATGTAAATTAATTGTAGGACGTCTGTCTCATTTATTTATTTTAAATATTTATTATTAAAATTTTAATTTATATGAGACTTAATAAAATCATTTAAAATATGAAAAATATAACTTTAAAGAACATAAGTCCTTATTATATAAATAACTCTACAACATTATAAATGGATATACTCAAATATTCCTCTATTATTCAATATAAGGATCTTAAAACATTGAGACAAGTAAAATTAGTAACAATGGCTTGGATATTTATTAAATTTGTGCCTGACAAAATGATGTTGATATAATACATCTAGTTTATAATCACACTATTGTTATTTTCATATGAAATTGAAAAATTTATTAATTAATTAAATAATAGATTGATTGTTTGTTTGTATGAAAATAGTTTCAGAAAAACTGACTCTTGTATACCAATCAAACTAAATTAAGGAATAATAAGATTCAAAGTATAATTTATGTATTATTTTCAAAAGAACTAACGACATTAATATTATGAATGCAAACTATATAAAGTGAAAGTTATTAATATCTTGAATTATATTTGAATTATATTTTATTAAACTTATGCAATTTCACCTAAGTTTTGAATTATATATTAAAATTAAAATAAAAAAAAGAGAAGAAAAACAGAAAAATTTTATATATGAAGCTTTTGATTGAGAAGAGTCTAAAAATTCTCAGTAATTTTAAGTATTTAATAAATAAACACCAAAACAACTGAAAAGTTATTGAAAATTGAGATCTAAACAAATAAATGTATGTAATAAATTAATCGGTTCTTAAAATCAAATGATTATATGAGATTTAAATTAGGTTTTAAGAAAAATTAATAAGGAAAGATTAATTTTTCTTATTCTTTAAAATTTACAATAAATTTTGAAGAATATAACAATTTTAATTTGAATTAACCATTTGTTACTTAATAAGATAAGCTTAATAGGTGTCAAAATAAAAATAAAAATTTATTAATAATTAGATCCTTCATGTCAATTAATCGAATCTTAATGATATATTTGATAATGATAATAAGAATTTAGTTTTCTTTGTAGATCTAAGAATATTTCATGAAATAAAATTTTACAAAAAGGATAATACAAGGGATAATCATTTGATTTCTTAAGATCTCAATTTCTCATATATTTATGTAATTGAAATCAATGAAAATGCTATCATAGTAAGATAATAAAATATATATTACTTAATTTATATCTATTTCTTTATTTTATGAATTTGAATATTATGAATGAATGTTACTGTTAATGATTATACAAGATATTTTGAAAATAAGATATAAATATACTTTATATTATTTATTAGTGTTTGAATTTTTGAAAAATCATTTGAAAATTCTCAAAATTATTTTTAATATTTTTATGGACAATAATTTCTAATTGCCAAACAAATAAGCCTGTCTAGACTAATTAACAAAATTAGGAATAGAATATATTGCACATCATCATGATCCAGTTCCAACAATGGAAGAAGTTGTTAAAATAAAAGTAGAAGATGGAACAGCATATGTAAAGAATCTATTGTATGTTGATAAAAAGGTAGAAAATATATTATTATCATTTAGTCAAATTATTATTTGATATTAGCTAATCACACAACTTAAGTTGGCAAATTGTTTTGGAAAACACTTGGATTAGCTTCTGGAAACATGAGATTAAGTAAAGAAGAGTAAATTGCTGAAGCTCTGAAATCAAGCAAAGGTAATGTTAATCCTTTTGCTGTTGCCAACGATACAAATAACCTTGTAATGCTCATTTAATATAATTAGGTCAAAAATATTATTATTGATGAAGAATTGACTAAATATAAGAGATTAGCTTTACATCCAATCGAAAATACAACAACTGTAGAAATTTCACTTGATGATTTATAAAACAAGTTCTTAAAAATATTAAACAGATAATTTACAGTCTTATAATTAACAGATGCTGCTGCAGAATAAAAATTAGAATAATAAAAAGAATAATAAAAAGAATAATAAAAAGATTAATAGAAGGATCAATAAAATCTATAAACATTAGCTATTACAGTAAAAAAATCAGATTTCTCAGAATGGTATCAATAAGTTATAAGAAAAGCAGAATTGATTGAATATTATGATGTTAGTGGTTGTTATATTCTAAGACCATGGGCATATTTTATATGGGAATAAATTTAGAGATATTTTGATGATCTTATTAAAACAGAAGAAGTTGAGAATACTTATTTCCCAATGTTTCTATCTGCTAAACACTTGAATAAAGAGAAAGAACATGTAGAGGGATTCAAAGCAGAAGTTGCTTGGGTTACAAAATATGGAGAAAGTGATCTAAATGAACCACTAGCTATAAGACCTACATCTGAAACAATTATGTATCCAGCTTTTGCAAAATGGATACAAAGTCATAGAGATTTACCATTAAAAGTGAACTAATGGACAAATATTGTGAGATGGGAATTCAAATTCCCAACACCATTTATTAGAACTAGAGAATTTTTATGGTAAGAAGGACATACAGCACATTCAACAAGGGAAGAAGCAGTGAAACAAGTTTACACTATTTTAGATTTCTATGAATAAGTTTATGGCGAATTATTGGCTGTTCCTGTTATAAAAGGAGTATAGTACTCATTAATATGTTTAGATTAAAACAGAATCAGAGAAATTTGCCGGAGGAGATTTTACTACAACAGTAGAAACTATCATTCCATAAAATGGAAGAGGCTTATAAGGAGCCACATCTCATCATTTAGGATAAAATTTTAGCAAGATGTTTGAAATTAATTTCGAAGATGATAAGAAGTAAAAAGCCTTTGCTTGGTAAACAAGTTGGGGTTTAACTACTCGATCTATTGGTGCAATGATTATGTTCCATGGTGATGATAAAGGTTTGGTATTGCCACCAAGAGTTGCTAAATATTAAATTGTTATTATACCAATTATTCATAAAGATCTTGAAGAGAAATAATTGAATGAAAGATGTGAATAAATTAGATAAATGTATTTATTAATTATTTATATATAGATTGGTGAAAGAAAAATTAAGAGTTCATTTGGATAGCAGAGACAACTATTCTCCAGGATGGAAATTTAATAAGTGGGAATAGAAGGGAGTTCCTATTAGATTGGAAATTGGACCTGGAGAGTTCAAAAATAATGAAGTTAGAGTTGTTTAAAGATTTGACAATAAGAAATATCAAATTAAAATGGAGGAACTTAATCAATTAAGTTAAATACTTGATAATATTCATAATGCCATGTTAGAAAAAGCTAGAACTGAATTAAATTAAAGAATCAAATAGGCAGATAATTGGAAAGAGTTCATGACTCAATTAAATCAAAGAAATACAATATTAACTAGATGGTATTGATCAATTAATTATGATTTAGGTGTGAAAGATAAGAATGTGAAAAGTAAGTGAAAACAAAATCAGGAATAGAATCAAAAGAGAAGGATTCTGAAATTGATGGATAAGTCTAATTAACTGGTAGTGCTAAAACCTTATGCATGCCATTAAAGTAAGATTAAGTAAAAGAAGGAGAGTTATGTTTCAATTGTGGCCAAGAAGCAAAGAAGTATGTGTTATGGGGAAGATCATATTGAAATATTAAATATACAATAATAACATAAATATAATAAATAAAATTTAAATAATATTGAAAATGTTTAGTCACACAATTTTTAAGCAGAAATTTTTAATTTTTATATATACTAATAGCAATATATCAATTTCAAACAATATCCTTAAAATTAAATGATAGAATAGAATAAGTAGCTATTGAATATCCAAATTAAAAATACCAGAAAAAGGTTTATTTAGATTAATTTACACTAATAAATTTCCTCTTTATTCCCGTTATAATTATTTAAAAGGAATCATTTAGATCCTCTAATTTAAGATTGATGGTCTTTTTCTATATATCTTAATCAACTTTTCTTGAAACCAATATATACTTAGAATTTAATTAATGTAATTTATAACTGTTGTCAAATATCTTTTAAGATAGTTGATTTTTTACATAAATTCTTATTTTATTATTAAAATTATGGTTTATAATATATTATTTAGTGTCATTAATTAAGAATCATTATCGAAATTCTCTTATATTAAATTTAATAAGAGAAATGTTAGATAAGAGATAATGAATTCAATTATAGATTTTATCTAATTACTAATTACTTGTTTTTTATTTTCTGATTTTAAACACATCATGTAGATATTTTACATAATTATCTTTTGTAAGTAAACCCATTATTTTAATGATTCAATCTTTATTAAATCTCATATTTTTGATTTATTGGTTCCATTATAATCTATTTAGGCTAACGTTAAAATATCTAAATAACAAAAACTGAATTTATAGGTGAGTTTTAGAATTGTCAATTTAAATTAATTAAAATTAAGATGTACATAAGATTAATAAGCCAAACTTTTTATTTTTGGTAGATCCAAATAGAGTATTTAGGTAATATTTTAAAGTAAGATCAAGGGAAATGCTAATTAATAAGAAATTTTTATAAACCCATCTACTTTAACATTGCCTATTCATTTTTAATTGAAATATGTTTTTATTCTGTATATTTTCATTATATTAAAAAGTAAAGAATAAAAACATACTATTTATAAATTATATAAATAGGGAAATTTAAATTATCATGAATACAGAATAAAAGCCTAGCTAAATATTCTCTCCTAAAGAAGAGAGTGTTGCTTAAAATTAAAAGTTGAGGCCTAATACATAAAAAGATAGAATCAGGAAATTCAGAACTGAAGATTTTTCTCTAAAGAAAAAATTATAAAACCAAACCTTTTATGGGAAATTCAAAGTGATATGCAAAGGGATGCAACAATATATTTATGTTCTATTAGAAGATCCGAATTCCTCGGCTATTGCTTATATCATATAATTCTTATTATTAACAAGCATTTTGTTATCATGTGTTGCCATTATTGTTGATTCCTTAATGGAAAATGGTGTATAATTTTTTTAATTACTAATAGAGAATAATTATGAATATGACAACATTTCGTTTTATCTAGAGTATTACTTATTCATATTCTTTGGTTCAGAATACTTTTTAAGAATGTTCAGTTCTACTGCTTTTGATTAATCTTTTACTCGATTTATACTATCCCCACTTAACATTATTGATTTGTTTGCCATCACTCCATTCTTATTTAATTTGATATTTGAAGGTGCGAATCTTTCTGGATTAAGAGTTATTAGAATTATTAGATTCATGAGAGTATTTCGACTATTCAAATTATCTCGATTTATTAAGGATATGTTGATGATTGTAATTATTAGCATCACTTAAAAAGGCAGACACAGTAAGAAATTCAGTTAAGGATATTCTTATATTGATAACTATGTTTTTATTCCTTGTGTTATTTTTTTCAATAATAGTATATTATTTGGAATATAATGAAAACATATAAATTGATGATGAATAAAAGATATAGTCAATATCAGAGGCTATTTGGTGGTGCATTGCTACAATGACAACTGTTGGATATGGAGATAAATTACCATTGAGTTTATCTGGAAAATTTATAGCATGTATTGCTGCATTTTTTGGGATTACATCAGTCTCTTTGTAATATATAATTAAATTATAGACCTGTTGCTGTTATGGGAATGAATTTAACTTAAACTTTAAGAATTTCTGAAGAAAATAATGAAATATTAAAAATTAAAGAATAATTTGCAATTGAAGATTCAAATTAAAATTTATAAGATTAATAAACTTTAAATCTCAAAGAACTGAAGTTTATGGAAAGAAGACTTGAATAATTATTAGATAATAACTAAAAAGTTATGGAATTTGTAGCATAATCATAGGATTTATTTGATGAAGTAACATAGGACTTAATGAGTCTTTATTCTGCCTTAACTGAATAATTGGATCTTCATATTGAAACTAAAATTAAAAATCTTAAAGCAAAGCATAGGGTAATTAAGTTAATATTAATTAAGATAATGAAAATGGAGAAAAATCTTAACTAAAAAAAATCTATAGAATTGAGTCAAGTGGTCAAAGCATTTAAAGAGAAGTAGTAAATAATATCTTAACAATCAATCTTAATGTGTGAAGAAAGTTAAGCAGATCTTTTCAGTATCGCAAGTAGATAAAGCAAATCTTTTATACTCAAAAAGAGCGAAAAATTAAGAAGTAAAAATAATAAAGGTTCTTATATGTGTATAATAAATAATAATAACAACAACAATAATAATATTCATAATAGTGTTCATAATCCTTTTAAAACTTAAACAGATATTATAGATATTCCTGATCCACATAATAATAGCATAATTTATGCCCAAATTAGTTCTAAGAATTCTGCTATTTAAAATGATATCCTATAAAATTTGAGAGGAAATGCGGAATTCAAATTAAATTTAGAAGATTCAAGTGGAAACATAGATGAAGATAGCAATAATAATGATAATGATTTAGATAGTAAAATGTAAAGCCTCTCAAATATATAAGATGTTAGATTGAAAAATAGTATAAAAAATAATATTAAATGAATTTATTTGATTCATAATTCTTTTACTTTTAGTCTGTAGGAATGATTGAAGATGTCTCTAACTTGATTTCATTTTAGAATATCAGGTACATAAGATAGAAAAATGAATTCTCTTAAAAAAGAATAAGATAATTATGACTAAAATTATTAAATATATATTTTAAACCAATTTTAATTTGCAATTAAAAGGAAAATGATTTTCAAAGGAGCTAAAGATAAGAATTCTCTGGAGGTATTAATGAATTGAGATGGAGAAAATTTCCATAATATGGATTTGATCATTCCTTATTTATTTTTGAATATTAAAACATTTCAACTTTAATACTATAATTATTTTGTAGATATGCAATTAATAAATTTCTTTTAAAAAGTTTTATCTCTGATATAGATTGACACAATAATAGAATAATTATGGGCTGCAAAATGTTTATATAATCATATTATTTCAGTTTGACATTAATTTTCAGATAAGGAAATCTGTGATTTATATAGAAATTTATTGAATCTTTTGAAGTTATTATGTAAACTATAAATTTAAAAGAAGATTGCTGAAAACCCTATAATACCTAACTTTAAGGAGAATTAAATTTTTTCAGAGGTGAAAACAAAATGCAGACAGTATATAATATTTAATAATAATTTAGTTATAAAATTTGTAAAATACATAAGTATTAATATAATTATGAAGGTTTTTGTTAAGATAAAACAGAAAAAAGTGGAATCTATGTTTGAATGACTGTTTTTCTAAATTCCATTAAAACCCAACTAGATATNAGTAAAAATAATAAAGGTTCTTATATGTGTATAATAAATAATAATAACAACAACAATAATAATATTCATAATAGTGTTCATAATCCTTTTAAAACTTAAACAGATATTATAGATATTCCTGATCCACATAATAATAGCATAATTTATGCCCAAATTAGTTCTAAGAATTCTGCTATTTAAAATGATATCCTATAAAATTTGAGAGGAAATGCGGAATTCAAATTAAATTTAGAAGATTCAAGTGGAAACATAGATGAAGATAGCAATAATAATGATAATGATTTAGATAGTAAAATGTAAAGCCTCTCAAATATATAAGATGTTAGATTGAAAAATAGTATAAAAAATAATATTAAATGAATTTATTTGATTCATAATTCTTTTACTTTTAGTCTGTAGGAATGATTGAAGATGTCTCTAACTTGATTTCATTTTAGAATATCAGGTACATAAGATAGAAAAATGAATTCTCTTAAAAAAGAATAAGATAATTATGACTAAAATTATTAAATATATATTTTAAACCAATTTTAATTTGCAATTAAAAGGAAAATGATTTTCAAAGGAGCTAAAGATAAGAATTCTCTGGAGGTATTAATGAATTGAGATGGAGAAAATTTCCATAATATGGATTTGATCATTCCTTATTTATTTTTGAATATTAAAACATTTCAACTTTAATACTATAATTATTTTGTAGATATGCAATTAATAAATTTCTTTTAAAAAGTTTTATCTCTGATATAGATTGACACAATAATAGAATAATTATGGGCTGCAAAATGTTTATATAATCATATTATTTCAGTTTGACATTAATTTTCAGATAAGGAAATCTGTGATTTATATAGAAATTTATTGAATCTTTTGAAGTTATTATGTAAACTATAAATTTAAAAGAAGATTGCTGAAAACCCTATAATACCTAACTTTAAGGAGAATTAAATTTTTTCAGAGGTGAAAACAAAATGCAGACAGTATATAATATTTAATAATAATTTAGTTATAAAATTTGTAAAATACATAAGTATTAATATAATTATGAAGGTTTTTGTTAAGATAAAACAGAAAAAAGTGGAATCTATGTTTGAATGACTGTTTTTCTAAATTCCATTAAAACCCAACTAGATATCTAAGAGAAGGAAAAAAATAAAGTTTAAATAAATATATTTATATATAAAAATATAATTATTAATATCTAAATTAATTGATAGTTTTATTATAATGTTTAAATATTTGTCTCTTATTTATGATATGTATAGTTTTGGATGTTATTAATATAGATTAATTATTAGAACTTTGATTTATATTAATAAAAAAGAGTTAACATATATAAATTATTATGTCTATAATTCATATACAACATTTAAGATTTGATTATTAAATAATATAAAAAGATTAATAAAGATAAATTATTTATTAGGTTTATTAAGAAGATCAATGCAAATTGAATAGATTCTTCCTTACGTTCAAAACTTTATTAACATTATACGGTTTTTTAGTTGCATAAATAAATTCTTATTTAGCCTCATGTATTATATCGCAAATGCGATTAACAACATTTTTTTTAGAGTGAATAATGACTGTATTAGGACATGTAGCAGTAGACTAATAATAATAAATTTATTCACTTACATCACTTTAAATTGGAGTTGTTAATTAGGAATTTTGAATTTCCTTAGAGAGCATCTCACTAAATTCATTAATTTCTTGCTCATTTTAAAAATCTTCTTCTTTATAAAACTGTTAGAATTATTCAGGTGTAATAATGTGTTCATTTAATAGAGTTTCTAACACTACTTATCTACTTGATAATCTTGATTGATGTTTAGGTTTCAATTAAGGAGAGAGCATTGGAGAGTCTTCGAATTATGATTGACTAAAATTAAACTGATTAAATAATTAGATATCTTCTGATTCATCAGATGAATCCATAATACTTGATCTAATAGTATTAAATGTTTCAAGTAAATTTAATTATGGATTAGAAGAGAGAAAATTTAACTGTTAATATGGTTATGTATTTAAAAACAAAAAAAAGTTTCTCTCTCCAAAGTAATTGATAAAATGTGAATTAAATAATAATTCTTGGACTGAGTGAATATTGGTATTAACAACATCTAATAAGACATCTTATTTGTGGGGAAATCTGAAAAATATTAGTTAACTTACTATTAAATTAAATAATTTTTGATAATTTAAACATCTTACAATATATCTTTTTGATAATCTTAGGTAATTCTTTTAAGATAAGAATTATCCAGTATTTCCATATTATAATTTTCATCTAATAAAATGATATTTGATTCCTAAATAAATCTAATATAATTACAGAAAAATAATTTAATACTAATCCTTAGTTATGATATTTGTATAAAAGCTTGAGTAATCCAAAGAATGATTGTTCGAAAGCTAATTTATTAATATTATGTCCATTTAAGGATGACATGACCAAATATAAATATTAGTCATCTTCAAATAAATATTCATAATTTGAGTAGTTAAGGATGTCTTTCAAATACTATTTTCCTAATTTTTTTGAATACTTTTTTATTGATTTTTAAATAGCAGTCATTTTATCTCTGGATTGAAAAATCTAATTGTATAAAATAATTATACCTCAAAATTATCTAATTAGTGAGTTTGTTTCTCAATTTAGTAATGATTATGGATATCTAAATGTATACAATATTTATTAATGAGTTCATAAAACTACTATAATTATGGCCCTGTATATGTAATTTATCCAAATTGATTTTAAAGTGTTACTCCTTTCTCATCTAATGTAATGTATGTTTGTAATAAATCCATTTATTAACTACTGGCTAATAATTACCCAGCGATGACTCTTATTACTACTGGGGTGTTTGCAGAGTATAATTAAAACACCTATATTAATGGAAATCGAAAAATTTACATTATAATCATCGTCTGTTGAAAATGAAGTAAGTGAAATTGGATTCCAAAAGGATTCAGCAAATAATGAATCTTATATCATTGATTTTAATATATTATTTATTAATTAACATATATATGAAGCAAAATAAAAACCCACTTGGACTCTTAAACATAATAACTATATCACTATTAACATATTCAAATTACCAATATAGAAATTAATTATTCCTTTTCATATCATTAAATATTATTTTTTTTCAGAATTCTATCCTCAAATATACTAATACAGCAAATCATTAATTTGAAAAATTCAAATTATTATTCAGATATTAATAATATCATAACAACGATTAAATTTTTATTTAACGTTTTCATAATATTCAATTTAAAGTAGAATCTAGATAAGGATAACATCTATTGTTAATTAAAGATTAGTTTAGAATATTCTTAATCTAAAAAATTGATACATTAATTATGCTTATAAATAAATTTAATTTATATATTTTATTTGAATATCTAAAATAAATTTAATTAATAGTAGTGAATACTTTGACTGAAATTGTTTAGTATTTAATAGAATAATATTTGTCTATTAATTTAATTATAAAGAAATCTAATTCAAAGTGTTAATATTTATTATCATACATGATTCTATAAAAAAATTTGGATTTAATAAAGTATAATAAATATATTATGTTTATAAATTAAATAAATATTCAAAATCATAAAACAATTTTTTAAGATTTTATATGAAGAGTAAGTAGTATATTGAAATTATGAAGATTATTAAATAATTACATAATAAAAGATTAATAATTTTAATTATAACTAGATTTAAGTAAAATTTATTCTTTTAGTAGTTTATGTACATATGATCTGGAAACAGATTTGTCATAAATAATTTGTTTAGGAGATAAGTTATATTGAGATATTCATTTCGGCAGAAAAAATCTTATGGGATTTTACATCATTAGAAGTGACATTTACAATTCGTTAAGAATACCCAAACATTAAAATAAATTTAATTGATCCTAACAATGAAAGTCTATTCTTGGTTTAAAATGGACACGAATTCACAAATCTTATTTTGAATCTACAAGTGGAAAAAGGAATCAACATCTATGAAAATGTCAAAATCGAGAATTACGAGAAAGATTCCATCATCTTCAAAGGTAATAAAATCTGATGTGGTGATATAATTCTCAAGCACTGAGTTACCAAAAACAGAATTTGCAGAAGTTAGTGATCATTAATTTGAATTTGATACTGCAGGAAGAGTAAAGGTAGACTAGTATTAAAGAACCGAAATTAAGAGTATCTTTGCAGCTTGTAATTATGTATTTTACACTAATGGTATAGGTCATATCGGTAATCAATTTTAAGCATGCTATAATTAAGGAATAACTGAAGATTTGAAGAAATGGAACTTTATTATTTATGATGAAATTTTGCCATAGTTAATGAAGGAATTAGATGAAAAAATGTCAGATCTCAAAAATGGTAAATATTCAACACGAGCTATCGAAGCTGCTGTAAGAGTAGATATCTCAATAATTATAGAAGAACAAAAATCTGGTATTAAAAAGAATATCTTATTTAAATTTAGATCTGACATTGTTCCAGAATACAAATTATGAACTTACAGAGATAATATTTCTAAAATTCAATTTTGAATATGATAATGCAAAATTATAATGAAAGAGGATGAATGATATTAATCTATAATTATTATTCATGCTTCATTTATTTATTAAGATTAACCTTCATTTTGAAAAGGTTAATACAAGTGCCTTAAAGCTTACTTGTATAATTTGCTTTTCTTTTTATTTTTTCTACGTATTTATTCTTAAGGATGTTGTTGTTCAATACTGGGATGCACTCTTTTATTATTATTATTATTATTATTATTATTATTATTATTATTATTATTATTATTATTATTGTTATTATTATTGTTATTATACATTTAAGCATGAGACTTTTTTATAATTAAAAACTAACACCAATATTTAAAATAACCAATAAATTTGACCAATTACAATAAACATAATACAACTCCAAATGATAATATTATTATTACCATTATATTCTAAACTTCTAATTAAAATAGTAAATAAAAAATTAATGTTAAAAAAACATTTCTGAGTATCCATTCTACAACAAATTTAAACTTTTGATATTTTTTGTCTGATTCTTTATTGTTTTAACCTTTGCTCTCTGATTCTGATATTAAACCTTTTGTTCCCCAAGTCAAATCATCTATTCTGCAAAAAGAGTAAGTAATAAATAAATGAGTATAAGTAGGCATATAATATATGTAATGAATTGAATTAATTGCTATTCTGAATACTAATTTCCAATCAATAAATAATTGCAAAATAAAGGGCAAAATTGTTAAAAGAAATGAGATTAAAACTATAAAATAAATATATGAAGGTAGATCTTAAGGAACACTAATAAATTTGAAAGGTGATTAATTGATTACTAATTCAATTATTAATAAATAAAATGAGTATCCAGCAATTAAAAGACTAACCAACCCTAAAATAGTAGATATCCCATAAAATTTAGAATAGTAATATTAATTAATTTAATTTCTTTCCTTCTCTTTCTATTACTTATTAATTATCATATTAACACTACTTGAATTATAAGTTAATGAAAGATAGATCAAAATGAAAACTAAAAAAACATAGCTTCCGATAACTAATTACTTAATTGCTGCAGCAACCATTTAATCTAAATTTTCTGTTAACGTTCTAACAATTATAAATAACCAAATTATCTAAAGAGAAATTGCATGATATTACAATAATTATGAAATTTTAGCAAATACTAAACACAAAATGAATAACGATTTATCAATTTAGGAATGACCACTATTAGGCAATTATTCCCCAAATTTCCTTATTACATAATTCAAAGCAAAATATGATCCATTTATCCATCTTCTTCGTTACAATAAAAGTTAAATTATATTTTAAGGAGGATCAACTTCAACTAATGCATTTCTTACATATTTTAAGTAATATCCATTACAAAACAAGTATAAACACAAGACTCGATCCTCTGCTAAAAACATATTAGCTTCTTCTAAAGTTTCATGTTCATAATTAGGATCTAATTTAGATTTTAAATAAATATTTAGAATGTCTTCATTTTAATTACATTAAGATTCATTAGAAATGTTTTCAATTTAATTAATTTAGATTTAATTATTCATGGGTATTTATGAATCATTACTTTATTGTGAAATATGATGCTAATATTTAGTTGAAAAGGCTTTGTATCTATATGCTGAATAGGCACCAGGTAGGACTTAAATAAAATTTAATGCTGACTCAAATTATTTATCTAATAAATTGCCAATATCATATTCACATTTTTAACATCTTTCAATATTGAAAATATCAACATTTAATATTTTACTTAGTATATCCATATATTCACCCTTTTAATCATCAGATTTAGATAATTCAATTGACATAGTTCCACATACACCTCCCACTTGTTTGTTATTTATAAGTTCCTTTATCAAATAATAAATAGAACCTTTTTAAGGTTTTGCTCCACAATCCATTAAGACACAATATTCTGGTTAAAATTCTTAACAAAATCCTTTAAAAAACCACAAATGTGAAGATAATTTAGTTCCATTAGCAAATTTGAAAACATTAAAAATTGGTAATTATAAATCTTCTTAATCTGGAAGCATTGTTGTAAATACACTTTAATAAACTAAAGCATTATTTTATCTTAATTCTATATATTCCTTTGCCTTATTATATAAGGATTCCATTGTCTATACAGCTTTTGTATAATTTTTCTTTGTATAATTTAAATTCGGATCTCTCTTTATAAATTAATCCTTAGAATAATCATTTTTCTATAAAAATAGCTTTCTCTATTCTAAAGAATATTTTTAGAGTAATTATTTATTTAATTTATACAATTTATATTGTTCTTCAAGTGTTTAATTCCCTTCAATTTTATTTTATTTGTCTAAATATTAACAAAAATAGGCTAAATAAAATACAAAAATATACGTATAATATCACCTTCTTGATTATTACCATTTTCATCTCCTTGATTTCTTAAATTTTCAATTCCATCATATATCACTACTACCAAAATTTAATTTGGCAATATTCCATCTAAATAAAATTCATCCAAACTATCTAATATTCCTTTTAAAGATTTTTATAATTCTTATAAAGGTTCAGAATACATGGTAATACATATCATAACCTTAACTTGATTGTATTTACAGTATTTTAATATTTCTTTTTTATGAACATCATCAAGTTTAGCAATTTCTTCTTCTCTTCTTTAAGAGTCTTAACAAAATGCAATCTCACTAATTAATCCATCATGATTAATCTTCATTACTTATGTTTATGATAATTGTTAAGTTTCTCTATAACTCTAATTCACATTATGTCTTAATTAGGCTATTCCTCTAATGCTGATTTATTCCAATCTTGGCTATGGATCATAAATTTGTTTTTTTAATCCCCCTTCCTTTTATAGTTACAATTCTAAAGGCTGATATCTTGCACGATAATCTGGTATTTTCTTTACAAGCTCCTAGCTTCTACCAACAGAGATATTTCTGTTTTACATTGAATATAATTTATGTTTAAATTTATTGTGAATGGATCCTTATAAAAAATAATATTCTACTTATAAAAATATAATATCCATTTTTTATATAACTTCAATAATAAAAATCTATCATTATTGATATCAATAATACTTTATTCATATTAATATAGTAATTATAATAATTATCTATAAAAAAATACACATTCAGCTTATCTATTTGTAAGAAATAATAATTATAAACTTATTTATTATCTCTTAGAGATTTAAGTTTTAATTTATAAAACTTATTTTTAAATTGATAAAATATTGCAATCAATTATATTTATTGTTATTTAAAGTATATTAAATTATATATATATTTAGTTAAAAAATTAGAAATTAGATCTCTTTTTTATTTTTTAGAATTAAATCAATTTATATAATCAAATTACCCTATTCTAATTAATTTTAAATAGAATTAGAGTAAATTAAAATATTTAATGGAAAGTAAATGAATATAGATTTATTTATATAATTTACAATAAAAAAATGAAATTTTCATAATGATTGTTAATAAATGAATTAGAAAATATAGTTTAATAATTAAAGAGATTATTAAATTACATCCATATGTAATTTGTTTCTATATAGTGTTATTAGTAATAATATAAAAATATTAATATAATAATTATTAATTAATTGTATATATGAATTAACTAAAAACCTTATTAGAAAAGAATTTCACTTTACACTTTAGATCAAAACAATTCTGGGTAAACTTATACATTCCAGTATTAAGTGCAATTTTATCAATAATTTTTACCTACAAAAATAATGAAACATACTACATTTTATTAATATTTGTTTGTTTAAATAATAATGGAGTATTAAGACAATCATTAATATTGATTATTAGAGAAAAAAGCTAAAAATTTAAGAAATTATAATAATAAATGGGATTAAGTTCAAATGCTTATTATGCATCCTGGATTATAACATTTTTTGTTTTGACTTTTGGTGTTTCTCTATTTTATATAATACCATTTATTGCATTTAGACTTAATGAAGCAGGGAAAGGACATTTAAGAATTGATATGCTAATTTTAGGATAAATTTTATATTCTTGTGCTCTAGCATCTTTGGTATTATTTTTAAGTTCATTTTCCAAAAATTAAAATAAGGCTAGTGAACTTATAGGTTTATTGAATGTAATTTTAACATTTGTTGTGATTTCCAATTTTGCTCCAGAACCTAAATTAACATTCTTTAGTTAATTACCTACACTATTTGTACCACAAACAGCATTTTAAATGTTATTATTAAGTTCACATTGGTTATATAATGATGAAGAATATTTCTTGAATCCTGGAATATATATTACTTGTTTAATAGTTTAGATAGTGTGTTATACATTAGGTTTTTTGTATTTCGATTAAGTTGTTAGTGGATCTAAAAAGTATTTTTTCCTATGTAATTATTGCAAAAAGTAAACAAAAACTTATACTGATTTTGATGATGAATCAAATCCAAATTCAACTAATTAAGAAGTAGAACCATATTAACTTTACAAACCAATACTAAATATTTAAGATCAACTTGTAGAAAATTAAGGATAACCATATATTTAAGTAGAAAATATGTGGAAAAAGATTGAGAATCAATATATTCTAAAATCACTCAATATGGAAATTTATTAAAATGAGATTTATTGTTTATTGGGACCTAATGGAGCAGGTAAATCAACTTTAATTAATATATTATCTGGAGTTTCTGAAAAAACTAAAGGAAAAATCAATATCTTAGGATAGAGTATAGATAATAAGTCATTTAAGAATCAAATTGGAATTTGTTTATAAAAAGATGTTCTATATTCAGAATTAAATGTTTATGAACATCTAAAATTTTATGGATAGTTGAGAGGTATATTAGATTAAGAATTATAACAATAAATAAATTATATCTTATAAGTTTGTTAATTAATAAATGAAGCTAATTTAAAGGCAGATTAATTAAGTGGTGGAAATAAAAGAAAATTAAGTTTGGCAATATCTCTTATTGGAAATTCTAAAATTGTATTTTTGGATGAACCATCATCAGGAATGGATGCATTAACAAGATAATAAATTTGGGATGTCATAAAATAAATGAGATTAAATAGAGCAATCATAATGACTACTCATCATATGGAAGAGGCTGATGAATTAGCTACTAGAGTTGGAATTCTAATGAATGGATAAATTGTAACTTAAGGTACTCCTGATTTCATTAAACTTAATTTTGGAGTTGGTTATCATTTATAAATGGACTTTTAGGATTAAAATTAATTATTATTAGAGAAACCTACAATATAAGCTTAACTCTAAAAAATAGATAGTTACACACCTATAATTTAATGTGCTCCAAATTCTTTAAAGAGTGTATTACCAGTTAATAAAATTCATTTATTTCATGAACTCTTAAATTATTTAGAAGATAATTCATAAAGCAAATTCTCACTTTAATTAAATTCTCTAGAAGATTCATATCTTGCAATAGATTATTAATATGGAACATAAAATATTGATTTAAATGCTTAAAGAGTATTCTAATAAAAACCAATAATTGATTTCAAAACTTAATTAATTAGTTTAATTTAAAGAAAACTTTTAGTTTTACTTAGTTCAACTGATAAATAATGGAAATATTTATTCCCATTACCATTTATATATTTAGCTGTCATATTTGGTATATAATCTTCATTTTTATTTGTATGTTTGTATTTGACAATTAAAGCTCTCACATCTACCTTATATGTAATGATTCAATTAGAAGATAAAGATACTAAAATTAAATAATATATGTATGCAAGTGGAGTCTAAATTCATACATATTGGTTAAGTAATGTTGTCACTGATATTGTACCATCACTTATTGAAGGCCTATTTACAGCATTTCTTTTATTTGTTTATGATGTTGGACATTTTGGATCACATTTCTTTGGAGTTTTCTTTTTAATAACTATTTTTGGAGTCTCATTAAGTTGTTTTGCTAATTGTCTTACACTATTCTATAGAAAATAATAAGGTGTTTATGTAGGAGCTCCATTATTATAATTCTTTGTATTTTTCCTCTTATTTTTCATATTAATGCTATACACTGCCTAACCTTCATGTCCTTTAGGATTAAATATGATTTCAATGATATTTATGATAATATCACCATTTACAGCTTGTTATATGGGTTTTGCTATGAGTCCCATTTTATTAAATTTTGCTGTTTTTAGTTATTTCTCCTGCATCTTATATTTAATTATAGGAGGAACCATTTATTTCTTAATCTTATATTCAATTGATAGAAATGAATTTAAGTAAATTCAATCAAATATGAATGATACCGATGCAATTGTTGATGTATAAGAATTAACAAAGAAAATTGGATAAGTTGAAACAGTACATAAATTATCATTCTAAATTAAATAAAAAGAAATATATGGATTATTAGGACCAAATGGTGCTGGAAAATCAACTACTTTTAATATGATTACCAAATTTGATTAGCCTACTTCTGGTTAAGTAAGAATTAAAGATATTAATACTAATCTTGGGTTAGTTCCATAATTTTGTCCATTCTATCCTTCCTTAACTGTTTATTAACATCTTAGTATATATGGAGCTTTGAAAGGTTAATAAAATTTACAAAATGCAATTGAAGTATATTTAAAGGCTCTTGATATGTATGATATTAAAGATAGAAAAGTCAAATATTTAAGTGGAGGAGAAAGACGAAAGGTTTAAATAGGAATAGCCTTGATTGGAGGATCAAATAGATTGTTTATGGATGAACCTACAACTGGATTAGATCCAAAATCTAGAAGAATTATTTAATAGATACTTTTATAATCAACCATAAATAATGATGCTACAGTTCTTTTAACAACTCATTCATTATAGGAAGCTTAAAGTATTTGTAATAGAATTGGAATCATGGTCAATGGATTTTTAATTACTGAAGGAACTATAAATGAATTAAGAGCTTAATTGGGAGAGTAAGCTAGATTTAGTGTGAAATGCAATATTGGTAGAAAAGAACAAGTACATTAAACAATATGGTTATAATTGTCATAGCAATTCCAATTACAGCCTATATTTGAATACAGAGAAAAGTAATATATTATTCAATATTTATTAGTTATTTATCTTATTAAATTCCAGCAGGTTATTTCAAGTTATCTTATCTATTCTAATACTTACAAGTAGAACTTAAATAAAAATAATTATTGATTACAGATTTTTCGATTTATCAACCAAGCTTAGAATAAATTTTTGCCTTCTTTGCATCATAACAAATTTTAGGACTAAACTAAAATTTATTAAATAATTTTGGAGATAATTAATTTGATTTTGGAAATCGACTAAGAGCAATCATGGCATTTTTCTGTATCTTTTGGTGAATAATTATATATAATATATACATATGTTTTAATTCTAAAATATTTATTAATCTATCATTATAAAGAATTTTATTTATTGTTTTTTTAGATATAATTTAGTATACTTAATATTTTGTATATCACAAGTACCAAGAAATAATGTTAATAATAAAATATAATATTAATATTTAAAGATTTTTTTGATAAAAGGAAATATAAGTTTGAAAATATATTATAATATCCTTTGTAATTCAGTTCTATAAAATAATCAATAAATGAATATCTTGGAACATTTGAAAAATTATAAATAAAAGATAATCTCTTCTCTTTAAGTATTATCTTATGATAATAATTATCCTTTTGAATAATAATTTATTTACTCTTATAAATAGTTTCAAATCAATTGAACCAATTTCTTAGCTATTAATTAGAAAGCATTGATTTATATTAATAAAGGGAAAATAAATTAAAAATTGAAGATAATTATTATGATACATTATTAAATAAATAGCATTATCAAAAGATGACAAAGAGATTAATTAATTATATTTATATAATGATATTGAATAAGTCTTCTACATCTACTAAATTTATTAATTTTATTATAAATTTATTAATTAATAATGAGAAGGAGGTTTGAAAGTGGTTATAATTAAAGAAATCAAATAGATAAAAGAGAATATGCATAGTATTTAGAAAATTAAATTAAATTAAAAGAAGAAAGAAATAAAGAAGATAGAATTTTAGATAATGTTAAAGATCAATTTTTGTTTTAGTAGTATATTTCCTATTGATTATTTAAGATAACCAAGATCAAGATTCTAAATTCATTCAATCTTTAATAATTAAGATTTAGAAAAAAGACAAAAACTATAACAATTAAAGTTAGAATAGGATATATATAATTATAATAAGATGATAGCTGAAGATAAAAAGCGAATTAAAGAATTAAGTAAATCCTAGCAAAATGATAGTTTAATTGTTCCACTAAAATTACCAAAAATATAAACTTATTCTTAAGAACCTTAAACTAATAAAAATATGAATACTTAAGTATTAATTGTACCAAATACTTTGTCAAAATCTTTTGTATTAAATACAGAACATTCTCAAATTCAACATCCTATAATATCTACATTAAATCCATATGTTGATTTAAAAATAAGTCCAAGTAAAATATAAGATCAAATTGACTAAAATCAATTAGAATTTCAAGAATAGAAATAAAAAGAAGAAATAAGAAAAAGAAATCAAGAATTAGAAGCATTAAGAAAAAAAATGCATGATAATTATATTACTACACGAAATCAAATTACTTCTCTTGTTGAGTTTATTAAATATAATTAGTAATAGCAGAATTAATTTTTAGTTTTATCTAGATAATTAAATACTCTAATGAAATAAGATTAATTTTAACCAGCTTATCCATTTTTAAAGGAGGAATTAAATAAACAAATGAATAATTAATATTTTCATCATAATGAATTTTTGGAATAAGTCAAAGATGAATTATAAACATCTTCAAATTATGTATGTATCAACAAATAAGATAGATTTAATTTTAATAAATTGGAAAAGTTTAAGATTATGAAGATCTAGTCTTTGAGCTTTGATTATAAATTATAATAGATATATTAAATTTTATTAATTTCTATTTAATAACAATATAATATATTATATGATTATAAAGATCTATTTCTATACACATATATATAATAAATATAAAATGATAAATAAATGGAAATATGAAATTACATAATTTAAATGGCTGTAAAAATAAATAAAAATCACATTCTGATTTGCTTTTATTTAGCAATATCAAAAATGGCTTAAGAATTTTAATCACCAGTGTTTTTAACCAATCTGGAAAACTCTGTTGATTTATCTACAGACACAGAATTAATTGAATTAGCTAATAAATTAAATGGAGTATCAAATTCAATGACTTATCCTTCACTTACAACCATTACTTTATCATAATCAGCAATTGTATTTAATCTATGTGCAATAGTTATTAAAGTACAATCTTTAAATTTCTTTTTTAATGTTTCTTATATAAAATCATCTGTTTTCATATCAACATTAGCAGTTGCCTCATCTAAAACAATAATTTTTCTTTATTATAAAATGATTCTAGCTAAACAAATTAATTATTTTTAACCAACAGAAAATACAGAATTAACATCACTCATATCTGTTAAAAGACCACTTGAAAATGCTTTAACATGATTTATGAGATCTGTTTATTCTAAAGCCTTCCATAATTATTCATCAGTATAATTTTCAAATGGATCTAAATTTCGTCTAATAGTTCCTGTAAATAAAAAAGGTGATTAAGGAATAATTCCAATATTACTTCTTAATTTATGTAATCCTAATTTTCTAATCTCTAAATCTGAAATTAATAATTTTGATTCTTGATCATTTTCAATTTCAGACATTCTAAAAATAACTTATAAAATAGAAGACTTTCCTGCACCTGTTCTTCCAACACAACCAATCTTTTCACCACTTTAAATCTCAAATGATAATCCTTTTAATACTAAATCACAATTTTATCTGTATCTCATAAATACATTTTCAAATTTAACTCTACCATCTTTTGGAAAATCTGGATGTTTTTCATCTTCTTTTGTAAAATGAGGAGCTTCTGGTAGTATATCAATAACTTAAAACATTCTATTATATGAATTCATTTAAGTTTCAAAAGTAATTAATTGTCTTAATCCCCATTATAAAGCATCATTATAAGTAGTCAAAAGTAATAATCCTTATGATAATATTGCAACGTTATCATAATTTAATTTTACAAATATATATATACCAACTGTCTAAGCTATAAATCCTACAAGATCTAAATTAAAGCCAAATGATCTTGAAGAATAATAATATGTAAGTGAATTAAGATTACATTTATTAGATATATCTAAAAACTATTTTCTAAACCAATCTTATTATTCATAGACTCTAACCTAAATGACACCTCCTAAAGTTTTCTTTAGAAAATCAAATAAAGGGCTTCTTTACATTAATTCTACTTCTTTAAGTTAACTAATGATCTTCTTTGAATAACTAAACTAATAAAAATCAATAGTGATAATAAAAATAATCATAATTAAAAAGTATGGTTATAATATAGCCAAAGTTATTAATGCAAATAAGAAATTACCAATAATTTCCAAAACATCTAAACTAACAGTATTCGTTTAATTATCACATAAAGATAAATCATTTGAAAATCTATTGATAATTCTACCAGATGGATTAACATCAAAATATGAAATTGGTGCTAATATTATAGATTTAAGCATTTATTAATGTATTGTTTAAGTGGATGATTAAACTGAATATGTATTTAATATATATTTCATCATATTAGTAAGGAAAAGTGCTAATGTTAACATTCCTAAAAGATAATAAGCAGTATCTATATCATTTTCTTTTTAATATTCTTCAAAAAGTGAAATAATTCTTTAATAAAAGTTATTAATTACTTCAGAACCAGCTTCTAAACATAAAACACAAATAATGACTATTATATTCCAAAATTGATAATATCTAAAATAAGTTTTAAGAGTAATTAATGATTGTTAATCAGCCTCTTTTCCTATTAGATTATTAGCAACTGAATTTCTAACTTTTACTCTTTTCTAAAATGATGGTTTTACAAATTCTTATTTTTTTATTTCTTTAGTGTTATTTAACTATAAAGCTAATTCATCATTTATCATATAAAGACTCTATTTGATATCATCATAGGAACCTTAAGCTATTAATTCTCCATCATTTAATATTGCTATTTTATCACATTCTACAGCATATTAAACTTAATGAGTAACCAAAATAACAATTGGTTTTCTCTTTGATGGATTTCTCTATACTTAAAAATCAAATATGAATTCTTTGATAGCCATATGAAATATATTTTTGGCTACATTTGCATCAACAGCAGACAAAGGATCATCAAATAAATATAAATCTGCTTATTAATATAAAGCTCTAGCCAAGGATAAACGAGCTTTCTAACCACCAGAAAGAGTTGTACCTCTTTCTCCAATTTCAGTATGATCTTAAAATTTCATCAAAGATAAATCTGTTTCTAATTAAGAAGCATGCAACACTTTTTAATATAGAAAAACTAAACTTTCTTATGATATTTATAAATTAATTAATTTTATAAAAATAGTTGATTCTATACAAAACTTTATCATATGGTCTACCAAATAAGATATTTCTTCTTATAGTATCTGGAAATATAAAAGGTTCTTATTCAACATATGCTATAACTAATTTTCCTTTATTTGCTTCTTAACCATCAATTTTAAATGAACCTCTATATGCAGGAATCTCAAATAAAAAAGCACTAAGAAGAGTTGACTTTCCACAACCAACTTTTCCAATAAATGCCCAAGCTTCTCCTGCTTAAATATCAATTGTTAAATTTTTAAGTACTGGTTTTGTAGTTTCAGTAACTTTGCTTGTCCAAAATGAAGTAAAATTTTTAAGTTAAATTCTTCGATCATTTATGTTTTATGATTAATTATTATTATCTGTTTTTAATTGAATTTTATCTAAATTTGTCATTTCTGAATTTTGAATATTTAAAATAGTTGCCATTCTTGTAAATGATACCTTAATATGGATTACAGATTAAATACCATAGGAAACCATAAAAACACAACTTATCTTAAAAAATGTAAGTAATTAAATAGTTGAAATCATTTCAGCAACACTCATAGTTTTTCTATAGCCTCCATAATATAAAATAACAAAAAATACAAAACTAGACCAAACTTAAGAAATTAAACTAAATAATCTATCAAAAACTGATCTAAAGCTGATTTTCAATAAACAAATATATTCCTTCTTTCTCATAATAGATATCATCTTATGAAATGCTTATTCCCATGCATACATTTTAATAAGTCTTATACCTTCAATAAGTTCATTAGTTAGTTTTAATCTTTAATCTTAATATTATTTAGAAGTCTTAAGTGTTTCTGAATTAAAGGATTAAAGTACTATTTAAATAGGATATGCTATAAATATAATAGCAAGTGAGATCATACCAATTGGACCATTAAATCTATCCCATAGAATATATGATCCAAATATTATAGAAACGAAACATACACTACTTTAGAATATCATAATTAGAACAAATTCAAGATAATTAATATCACCAGAAATCAAATTTAAAATTTTACCTATATTAGCTTCTTTTATAGAATAAGCACTTAATTCAGTTAATTTTATGTATACTAAATTAATAAGAGTCATTCTTGCTTTTGATGAAAAAACCATAGATAAATTATAACCATGATGTCTTGTAAAAACACAAAGTAAATTTAAAAATACTAATAAAGTAGCATATCCATATGCATTATCTTTTTCATTTTCTCCAGCACTTGTAATCACTTTACTCATTACAATTGATATTCCATTTCTTATAATTGCTTCCATAAAATATGCAAAAAAGCATGTTAAAGTTATCCATTTTAATTAACCAAAAAATGTTATTTTTACCAAATCCCCACAAGTAATGTTCTTTTTTTATTTTACTGTATTTTAACTTTATTTAACTGTTTCTTTTAAATCTTCCCAAGGTGATAATTTTGGTAAATGTTTCTATGTAATTTTATGTCCTTTATCTAATAAATGTTTCTTTAAAAATAATTAGTATTATGTCAAATGTAAAAAAGCCAACTTAGAAATGAACCAATTGTTCTAACCATGATAGTAAGGGTAAAACATTTCTTCTTCTTCTTCAGGAATTGAAACCATTGAAGGTTCATCTTATCCTTACTAATGATTTAATGGTTATTATTCTTGTTATTACTCATCTTATTAATCATTTAAAACAGTAAGCATTTAATTATTGGTTGCACTATCTTTTTATTGTGAAGTCAATTCTAATTCCTCATGCTTTTTTTATTGATTAATTTCACTCATGAGAATTTTTAGATATCCTACAAATTATTTAAAAATTTAGAAATAAAAATTAACTATGGTTGCTTAAAAATATATAAAATATTTGTAGCATCTTAAGATAATTTTTTAATATATTTAAATAAACTTTCTACTCTTTTCAAATAAATAGCATAACTAAACTAATTCTTTTTAAATTTGAAATACTTATTTAATCATATATTTATATATATTAATTTTAGAATAGTTATTTATCTTTATCAAGTATTTAACTTATAAAATAAAAGTTATAACGAATTTAAAGGAAAATTGTTATATATTTATATATATAAATATATTAATAAATACTCTTCATAATAAATGAATAGAGAGGATTTAGCCATTTTTCCATATACTCCATAATTCTAGACTATTTACAATCCAACTCTTGTACATCCAATGAGTGCATTTGTTTCGAGGTCGTCTTACAGAAATAATTAATTATAACGAAACAAATTAAATAGGTTTAATGTTGAACATTATTATTCGAAAAGATAACATGATTAAAGACACATCTCTTTGCCTAGAGCATTATAAGCAGTTTAAAAATCATAAATTGAATGTAATATTTTATGTTATATCTAAGAGTAGAGAAGATAATCATATTACAAAGAAGCAACAATAAGTATAGTATATCCAGATTCAAAGCATGAAGATTCAATTGTCTCAAAAATAGACAAATTTTAAAATTTATAAAATAACTTATAAAGTTTACAAATGGATCTTGTTGAAGAAAAGAAAACAAATATAAATGATCTTAAAAAATCTTATTCTAAATTCAAGGATAGTACTAAAACTAAAACACTTTTAAGTACTATTTTAAGAGGGTTCTAATATAAGTAAAATGATGTTGATAAAGATAATCTCATTTAAATTATGGGTCTGCAAATAAAGACATCTAAATTATAGGAACAATAATCTATAAGAACTAAAGCATATTCTTTAGAAAAGGAGAGGGAATAATTAAAAACATAAATAGAAAAAAGAGAATGTACAACTCGTTCAGTATAAAAAAGAAGGGAATCTCCATGTAATAAAATAAAAAATGTTTCATAATAAAATATGAAAATAAATTAAAATTTTAGATTTTCATTGAATGATTATTCAAGTTTGAGTAGAGATCAACTATTTTAAATAAAATTATTGAGTTATCATCACTTTTTATTTGTTGTTTCAACCTAATGTAATTTTTATGTTGTTCCATCAAACAATTTAATTGAATTAAAATTTAAAGTTGGAAAAGGAAATAACAGTTTACTAATTAAAGAAACTTTTAAATAAAGATGGTGGTGGACATTAAATTAAGAAGCAGATAATAAGGAATTAAATTTTATTTGGACATAAATCAAGGTACCTTAATTTATGAATCTATAAGAATGGAGTAAAGAATCTATTTTAACTCGTTAAAAATCATTATCTACAACATCAACAGAATTAAAAAGAATAAAAAAACTTTAATCTCCAAAATCATAAAAAAAAACTTCAAGATTTGGTCAATTTGATGATCCTTTATAAAAATTAATGAATGATTAGGATGTTAATGAACTTAAAAACATTGATAAATCAATTTAAGACTTTTTAAAATATGCAGAAAAAAAAGAATTTAAAATTATTGACAATATTAATAAAGTATCTCTTGATATAAGCCTAGATTCACAATCATATTGAAAGGAATTATCATTTAGGAAATAAAAAAGCAATGTTTCATAATATGAAAAAGTTTTATGAATTAACTAAATAAGATCTATTTTAACATCTACCTGTTACATTCCATGTTTCTGGAATTAAAGATAAATCATATTAATAATTTTTAGAATATTATAAAGAAAAGTATATTTAATTATTTATAAGGAAGGGAAACGGTATATGGATAGTAAAGCCTGGAGAATTTACAAATAGAGGTAATGGAATCATTGTATGCCAAAATTTAAATGAGATACATAGAATTGTTAGTAAAAGATAAAATCATCCAAATGGAAAACCATTTACTTATTTGATTCAAAAATATATTGAGAAGCCTTTTTTATATAATAAAAGAAAATTTGATATTAGATGCTATTTCCTGATAACTTAATTAAATAATATAATCAGAGCCTATTGGTATGAAGAAGGATACTTAAGAACATCGAGTGAAGAGTTTGATATATAAGATGTAAGTAATTATAGAAGATTATATTTTATTAATAAATATTTAAATCTATTCAATTTCAGAATAAATTAAATTAATTATTAAAACTATCTTTATCTATAGTATGTACATTTGACTAATGATGCCATACAAAAATATAGTCAAGCATATGGAAAATATGAAAATGGAAATAAATTATCTTTTGCAGAATTTTAAAGATATTTAGATAAATGGCATAATAATGATCACTTCGATTTTTATAAAGATTTATATCCATAATTAAAAATGATAACATTAAATGCTATTAAATCTGTATATCATAAGATAGAACCATTCAAAAAAAATTATAATTTTGAAATTTTTGGATTAGATTTTATGATTGATGAAAAATTTAAACCTTATCTAATAGAAATAAATACAAATCCTTGTTTAGAATTAAGTTCACCATTATTAGGTAGAATAATACCAGCTATGGTTGAAAATGCCTTTAGGTAAATATATTTATAATTATTATCAGATTATCTATAGATACTATAGTACCACCACCTGAATCATCAGCATGGCCACCAAATAAAAAACATTTATTATTTTATGATAATCTTTTGGAAAACAATAGATTTTAATTATTATTTGATGAAAAAGATGATGGTTTAGAGTTAAAAAATTTATATAGTAATTAAATTAATGATGATCAAATTGATGAAATGAATGAAGAAGAAGAAGAATATAAATCAGATGATGATTGATTGATTTAAATTAAAAGCATTTTATTACTCAATCAGAACCATTATAATCTTCAGCAACAACTTCTTTGACTTCTGCAATATAATGACACAACATTTTTTCGATTCCATTTTTCAAAGTCACAGAAGATGAAGGACAACCTGCACATGAACCTTTCATGTATAATTGAACAATTCCACTTGTTTCATCAAAATCTCTAAAGACAATATCTCCTCCATCTTCTTATACTGTTGGTCTTATACGAGTATCAATTATTTCTTTTATTAATTAAACAACCTATTTTAATATATAGAATACTTCTGAATCATTTTCATTTATTTAAGTATCTTGACTTTCTTGATAACCTTCAATAATTAATTTTTTTTCTTATCCTTCAGAATCTAATTAATAATGTTCCATTATATGTTCAAATATTTATGGCTTTAATTCATCCCATCTACTATCTTCCTTTTTTGCAATAGAAATGTAATCCTTTCCATAAAAAACTCTAGTAACTCCATCAATCATAAATAGTTTTTAAGCCAAAGGAGAACATTTAGCTTCTCTTGGTCTTGTAAAATCATAGGTTCCATTTAGCATAACTGACTTTCCACCTGGAATAAATTTCAAAAAATTTGGGTTTGGAGTAGGTTTTGCTTGAATAAATAATTTGTAAATATTCTTAAAATTTAACATTTAATTTATAATAATGAAAAAAATGGAAAATAATAAAAATTAAATAATTGAACGAATAAAACATTATTAATATATCTAATTACAGATCTTTATAATAAAATCATTACGATACTCCTATTCTTGATGATACAAAATATATATATCTTAATATTTATTTATAAGTATATTTGAACTAAGAGTAACAATCTTGAAGATATGTCATTTAGATAGTTATTTTTTCTGGAACCATCTGATTAGATAAATATTTGACCAGAAAATCTTTTAGATTTATAGTATGAGGTTTTATTTAAGAATCTTAGATATCCAAATAAGCATTATTGAATAATTAAATAATTTTGATATTTAATTTTTATATGTTATTTTGAATAAGAATAGGTTTCATATTGTCTATTCATTCTCTTTCTCTTCTTTTATTCTTGCTATTTCCCATGGTTATATAAATACTTAAGTCTTGATTTTCAGATTATCATAATAAATTCAATCATAATTTAATATTCTCTAAAATTGTATTAAATGAGATTATTTCATTGATTTCAATTAATAATTATACATCTTAATATAAGATAGCATTGTCTTTGACTAATTTCTCTTTTATAATTTCATTTATTTATTCTTTTTTAATTACAAAATGAACATTAAATATTCTAAAGTTTGAGTATATTTCAAGACTAATTTCATTTTAAATATTATCAATTATTAGACTTCAATAATTTTTGAATAGTTGATTATACTTTCTTTGATTTCCTAATTAGTTCCTATTATTGTTAGGGAATAGTTATTCATAGTAATAAAATTCATTTATATGTATACTAGTTTTTATTTTATTTATAATTTCATATGTTAAATATATCAAGTTTAGATTTTGCATGCAATCCATCAGCTAGAGAAGCAGTCTAATTTAAACTCTTTTCATGTCTTTTTTTAATAAACTCATCCAAAGGTGTTTACTATCTCATTTTACGACCACTTAAGACCAGATATGCTTATTTTTTCAGTTACTTTTCGTTTTCATCTTTTACTTTTAAATATGGAATATGTGATTTTGATATCTATAAAGGTTTAGTTTTGAATTCTGATCGATATTATTATTTCAACTTTTCTAGAAATACTACGTCACCAGACCTATTTCAAACCATTTTTACCTTTCCTGCCTTTTAGACAACAAGAAATTACAAAAAGTTATCTTTACATTACAAACTTAATTATCTTCTCATTGATTCATTAATCGCTATAGATTTGCTATTAATATGTGGAAGGAACAGTAGTTCATTAAAATTCTATTCTATTTTTTTATTACTCTGCATTCAAATGATCTTATAACAATAAATAATTAATTTAAGAATCTCAATATTATGTAAAATATAATATGATATTTTAGAATGATAAAATATTTTCAAATCTCTTGATATCAATGTTTCTATTCTTAATTATTTTACTATCTGACCATTTCATTTCTGATTGCATATTTATGTAAAGGATTTTAATTTAGACTAAAAGGTTTGGAATTAGAATTTGAATTACTCCCTTAACCATTAGGATTATTTCCATCAAAATCTTTAAATCTTGATGGCTTTGATTATTATTGTTGATCAACTCTATTTAATTATCTACCCTAAGCAGAAGGACTATTAAATCCATTATTTGAAGGAGAATCTTATTATATACTATTATTATACCTATTTAATCAGTATGACCATTTAATAAAGGACTGTTTTAATATAAACTATCATTTGAACAATCCTTCCTTAATCTAGATGAAGCAGCTATTAAAGGTGAATGAAGTGGTGAATTGCTTAATTATTGTAATCTCTATTTATCAAATCTTAAATGCTCCTCTTATACCTTTAAGGCTGTCTCTTCATTTTCATCCACTTATTTCAACCTTCTACCAAAATAAGAATGTCCAAGAGCCTATTAAGCAGTAATTCGTTTATGTGGTTCTTTTTCTAACATCTTTCTTAATAAATCATATGCTTATTATGGGACATTCTCAAATAAAGCTCCATCAAATATTATTTCACATTTCCTATTCTTCCCCAATACATCATTATAGCTTTTTCCAGGAAATGCAGGTTTACCAGTTAACCTTAGAATTATAACAGAAATAATTATACATTATGTAGAATATTAAGCCTAAACTGTAAATATCACAAATTGGATCATATCTTCCTCCATCCTTACAATTTACAACTTCAGGAGCTACAAATCCTGGTGTTCCACATCTATTAAATAAATATGGGAATTCATTAGCATTTTATGCCAAACCAAAATCTGCAATACAAACAGACTATATATTGCTAATAATTCAATTGAATAATAGATTACTTTGGTTTTCTAAATAAAATATTTTCTGGTTTTAAATCTCTATGCATTATATGTTTTGAATGCATATGTTATAAACCTTCTAATAAAGTAAATATAAGCACTTCAATTTCAAATGAATTAAATTAAGGCCTATTCTTTACTTTATCGTACAAAGATCCTCCTTCCAGTAAATCAAGTACCATATATAATGAATTATCAGTTTCATAAACTTCGTGTAATTTTATTAATGCATGACTATCAAGCTATCTCATGACTTAAATTTCATTCAATATTGACATCTATTATTTAAAGGCATACTTACTTTTCCTTTATCTTAACCATAAGCTACCTCTTTTGAAAATGCTTTTATTGCAAAACTTCTTTCATCCTCTAAACGATCAGCCAAATATACTGACGCAAAATTACCTTTTCCAATTTTTCGATGTGCCTTAAAACTTTCATGAAATCCTCTTTGATTTATATGTTTTGCTAAATAATCTCTCCATCTTTTAAGAAGTTAATTATCATCTGAAAACAATTTTATTTTATGCTAAACATTCTCCCTTTCAATCAATAATCCTAGAGGTTTTCCAACTTTAAACTTCTCTTCACATGATTCTCTTAATAACTAAAATTTTGTTTCGAATGATAAAGAAATGAATTTGTTCTTGTTAGCAACTATTATTTAATTAGAAAATCCATGTAAAACTCTTCTTTTCCCTTTTGGAGTTATAAATTCACCAACTATTTCAGGTTGTTGATCTTGACCTTAAAGAGGCTCTGTTAATTTATAATTCATTAAAAAATATCATTATTAAGATTATTAATCATAGATCTTATTGATAATATCCTCTACTCTTAATGTAAGTATTTTGTGTTTTTCGATAAACTTACATATGTAGTTTATACTCTAATCTGTCATTATTGCCTTTATTTATTCAGCTTTTACCAAAATCTATGTACCTATAAATCTTTATTCAGGCTCTAATTATAATTTATAATTAATACATTCTTTGATTACTTCTAAGAAAAGACAAATTGTTTATTTTAGTGCCAATTCCAAAGTATTTTCTAAGTAATAAATACCCCAATTTACAAAAAGTGAATCTATTTTTTAAGGGGCTTTCAATTTAATTGAGACATCAACAACCTGTCCTGGAATAGCTTCAGGTAAGAGAGATTAATGAGTTTTGAAAGGATTGTCGATACATCTTATTTTCATTGTTTAAGGCCAAGTTTTTTAGCCTGAATTCTTTAAAACTAATTTCCATATAAATTCTTTATCAGGATAACTTTAAACTTATGAGTTTTGAATCACCTCAATCTAATAATCTTCTTGATTTATTTCTAATTCAATATGGGGATATTAAAACTATTAACCTAAAGGTTATATCTGTTAAATCTGTTATTTTTAGGAAGGATAAAATCCTTATAACAAAGATTATTAATTATTTTATGGAAGTTATTATTATATATTTTAATATTATTATTAATATTATTACAATTATTATTATTATTATTATTATTGTTATTATTATTATTATTATTATTGTTATTATTATTATTATTATTATTGCTATATTTAAGTTAAATATTGTTAATTATATTACTATTCAATATCATAAGGTTTCTATTGATTAAATATTTAAACATTAGATTATTAGTATTATTAATTATCAGGTTTCATTTTCTATTATCTTATATTTTAATCTACTTAAATTACACTAGCAGAGTAAATGCTTGACTGCTCCATAAATTTAACATCTAATAATTTAAATGTAAAAAGTACCTTCTTCTGTTAGTTAACCAATATTATTTTCAAATACAAATAATTTATATGAGGATAATTGTAAAATCTTTAAAAGTATTAATAATGCATCTTCATGCACAATCTTTTATAATTAATTTAATTTCTTACTTCAAGAGGTTCTTAGTTATAGAAAAAAACTAGATGATAATTTAAATCGATTTGAGGATAGAGTTTTTCTATTGATGATCTTATTGCCTGAACAGTTGTAACATGAAGAGGCAGTTTATGAATTTTTCTATTGAAAACTATTTTGAATGCCATTTCTATATATTAATTATTTATATAATATTTTGAAAACTTATAAAGCATTTTTATTATTGTGGAATATAGACAATAATAACCATCATTCATTTTAAATATTTTTTAAATCACTCATTGTCTTTTGCTCATTCAAGAAATCTGCAGGAATTAAAGTTAATGCTAATTTTGTTAAATACATTCCATTATCTAATCTTAAAATCCATTTATAAAAGCAAAAAATATACATGATAATTAAAGTCAATCCCATAATATACATATATATTTGGAATTTTAAGATAACAGAGTCTAATGTACTTTTATTTAAATTTAGCATCGTATTTGCAATTTGTTCCATAATCTTTCCTTGAAAAAGAAAATGATGAACAAATTCAGTTGTATGAACTTATCCAGATAGAAATTTTTCTAATTAATCTTCATCAGTAATAGCAAAATCAGTTATCTACCAGAAAGTTTTCAAAGTTTTTGAAAATTCATGTACCATATCAACTATTCCTCCAGAAAGATAATCTAAACTATTATCTGAAGAAGTTGATTCTAATGGATTTGTACATGCTGGAACAAGATTTGGATCACTTTCACAAAGTGAACTTCGAAATGGAATTAATAAAGTATTTTTTTGTTCTTCTAAAAGTGATGTACTTGATTATAATTAATCATAAATATCAGATAATTAATCTTAAAATCCTTCTTATAAGGAAAAAAATTCAGCTAATACTCCATCTTAATTGAATTTAATTGAAGATAATTCATAAAATTGATTTAATTTTAAATTCACTAAATAGTCTGTTTTCAAAATTTCTCCATAAACTATTAAAGAATCAAATTTTAATTTAAATTCTATTAATTATAAATTTAAGGCAATTGCAGGTTTAATAGAATGTACCATTGAGAGGGATAATCCTAATGCACCTAATAAATAACCTGCTAAAAATAACCAAGATAAAAATATGAATGCATAATTCCAAATTTATGGTAATCTTAAATTATATACTCTTGAAGTTAAGGAACTGTTTTGATATCTCTTTTTAAATTTCTACTTATTGTTCTTGGCAATACTAGATGCATTAGAGTATTAAAGAAAGTTTAAATCTTATTTAGCTTTGATAAAATTGGTTTCAAATATGCATTTAACAAAATTAGTTTTTTTCCATTAGACTTATTTAGGGTCTTTTAAAATAGTCTTAATTTCTGTATAAATTTTATTAATTTGATTAACATCATCCTCGCTTAGTTTTGTTATTAGAATTAGAATTTTTCTGATTAATTAATTTACATCTTATAAAGCCTTAATGATCATAAACATTAAAGCTGTAATAACACTAAGCTCTGCGACCACAACATAAATTAGGATATTAACAATTTATTATTCATAAAAAAGTAAATTGTCATTAAGATAATTGATATAACTTTTGCTAACTGAAATGACTTAAACCATATTTAATTTAAAAAATAAATTTAGTGACAAGTATTTTTCATCTAATTAATTTGAATTTTAAATTAATTAATTTAGATTAATAGAATTAGAAGAAATTTATTCTAAAAGTATAGTTAAATCAAATGTAATGTTAAACTATTTTAAATTATTGATGATTTTTAGATCATCATTTAATGAGATTACTTAATTTTCAAAAGTTATGATATCCTCATAAATACTTTTTAAATCATGTTCAATATTCAAAGCCAAATAATTAAACTCATCTTTAAGAGCATCATTCACAAATTAACTATAGTTTACCAATTGCAATTTTTAATGAAGAATGTTGGATGAGTACATTAAAGTTTTTAGGAAGTAATTATTTATTTTTTCAGGATATTAAACATAATTTAAATTAGCTTAAAGTATTCCAAATTAATCTTAAAAATAAATTAAATAATTACTTTAAACTATGTATATCTTTATGAAAACCAAAATCAAAGCAGTTACACAAATAATTACATTTAACATAATTATTAGCCAAATTTGAGAATCAATCTCTCCAAATTAATACAGAGATCTAATTAATAAATATGGTGACTTTGTAGAGGATGTCTTAGTTGAACTAGGTTTGGAGGACTATTAATTTTCATTTTCTAAGACTTAATTATTCTTATTCTTTCTTAAAATATCTAGAATATCACCTTTTTTTTAAATTTTTTATCCTTTTGAACTATCAGACTTTTTTTCAATTTAATCAGATTCATATTTTGGATCTTCATATAGTTCCTATTCTTGTTTTTCAACAATCACTTTACTTTCTTCAAAATCTTATACTAATTATTAAAAGTCTTAATCCTCAATCCTTGAAATTTAAGGGTTTTCAAAGATGACTTTTGATTCATCTTGTTATATTTTAGGTTTAGAAACAGATGAATTATTGATTTCCATAATCTATTCTAAGAGATGTTGATCTGAAGGTCCTTTAAGATCAGCTGTTTCATTTAATTAATCAGAGTTTTACTAAAGATTTGCAGTTTAGAAATTTCTTGTATTATTATTAGTTGATTCCATTCCCATTTGTGATTCCCCATATTTAAGAGCCATCAAAGTTTTTCGAATAGATTTTTTATAAGGAATTATTGAACATGAATCAGATCTTTCAAATTCAATTATTGGTTCTAATTTTAATATAAAATAAGGATATTTAATTTTTTTTGTTTCCATTATTTAAAATTCTAAGTTATATTTAATTTTAAGAACATCACATTGAATAGTTTATTCATCATGATACTTCAATAAAAAATCTAGTACTAAATTCATTCTTTCTACTTATAACATAGGGATGTTTAAACCTTTAATTTTAACCTATTCTTCTGAATCATTATAAGTCCTAGCAGATATCGCTGAATTATGTGAAGCTATCTAGGATTTGATTGTGGTTAAATTATAGGATGATAATCTTTGATCTTACTTTTATTTATCATCAAATATTTATCCAAACTACAAACAAATATCCAATAACTATTCTGGGAAATAACTGTAATCTATAAATTCTGTCTATATCTCATTTGCTAATTTCCTTAAATTGATTAAAATGAATGGCATTAACATAAAGATATGTCCTTATTCCACAAATCTTTCCATTGTCATATTTGGATTATTGGGTAGAATCCTTTTTTAGAAAAAAGCTTAACTAGAACCAATAATTTTGCCATAACCATCAAACATAACTACATCATAAGATGTTGACAACCTAAGAATTGAACCAGTCAAAATGAAATCTGAAGAATCTTAAAATAAATTTCCCAATTTTATATAGCATTCTCTTAAATACCCCTATTTTTATAAATAAAATGAATGAATGCTTTATATTGAATATTTTGTATATCCCTTTGAAATAAATTCATTAAGTTAGGCATCATGCAATATTCTTAAATCAGGTGGTAAGAAAGATGAAATTGAAGTTTACTAAAATATTTAAATTATTATCATTACTCCTGCTATATCTTAAACATTTTAAAACTCAAAGAAATTTGCCAAAGTTAATAAATTCTTATTCACTATATGACCCTTCTTTCTTACAAGACTAACTAAGATAATAGCTGCTTCATCCTTCAATAAAGCACAATCATCTATCATTTCAATTGATTTCTATCTATCTTCTTTTATCAGTTCCTCAATTTATTTTTCTGCTTAAAATGCCTATTATAATATAATAAGATACTCTGTCAAAATCATTTAAGATAACAGCATACAAAATAGAGTATAACTTCAAATTTAATATATTTATATTTCTATCTTCTGGATCTAATATTTTAAGAACTGTTTATAAACTTATATCCTTTGATCTATCAAAAAACACTTCTGGGATTATAATTGATGCTATATAGATATATAATAACATTTACTTGTAATTTTCTTATATAATTCATCTATAGATTTGCATAATGAGAGTTATTCTTTATGAAATGGTTCTAAATCTTCATAACCTTCTAATAGATTATCCCAAAATTTTTATTTCTTATCAATAACATCAATTATTTTAGGAGTGATTTCTTAATAACAATTAACACTTCTCCAAAGTTATGCAATTGTTAATTTTTCTTCTCTTGCCATATATCTTTCCTTTCTAAATTATTAAAAGATCATTCTTTCTTAAAGATACAAAATGGAAAACTCCAACTCTGCAGAAATTTTGGAAGTCAATTCTCGAAAATATAATGAATTATCACTATTTTAATCTTATTAATATTTCCGTAATTCAACATAACCAATTAATGGTCTTTAAGCTGTTGATGATAAAAAACTGATATATTATAATTACAACTATTCAAATTTAGGTTTATGAATTTCTCCATTTTTAACAACAGTTCGACTATGACAAGTTTTAAATATACAACTGACAACATCAATTGTTAATTTCTATAATTATACATTATCATTAAAATTAATTTTTGATACTTTTGATTTTTAAGAAGGACATTTAATTCTAACACAATTCTCATTATGTTTAATCAATTATTAAAAGTAAGTTAATTTATTAAATTCACTTGTCTAAAAATGAGTAAAATGACTATAAAATTAATCAACTCCAATAATTATATATTTCTCTTATAAATTGAAACGAGAATTATAATTTGTCATAGCAAATTCATGAAAAAGTGAACTTATTGAAGATGATACTCCACTCATTAATGTAGCAACAAACATTATCCAAAATATTTATCCATATACGATTGCTTCTAATTCAAACAGTAGGCATATGAATATACTACTTAAAAGTACCATAGCTACTTTTAAGGATGGTTCTCGAAAAGGATCTCTATAAGGACAACTATAAAATTAGTCTACAATTTGCAAAAATGCATATAAAAATCCAAATGCATACTTAATAAATAAAATTTCTTCATAAAATCTAAAAAAAATTAATAAGTAAACAACAGTATAATTAAATAATTAAACATATGCGAATTTTCTTTTAAAAGAATTATTTTCTGCAAATCTATGATTTCTTAATAAATATATGAGGATTATTCCTTAAAAATATTGCAAAATTGCATTAAAATATCCAAAAATATAATAATTAGTTAACATAAATTTGATACTAATTACAATTATTGGAGTTGTGAATATGTTATAAAAAGTAAAGTACCAGTGCAAAATAGAACTTACAGATTCTATTTTTTTCTCTAAAATTAATCTTAATTTAAAGTTTAAAGCTATTCTTTGAGTTTCAAATGTTGCAATAAGTAGATAAAATAGTAAAATTATTTAAAAGGCAAAAATTAGAAATAAAAAAAGTTTCCTCAATTCATCTGTTAGCATAGGTTCAAATAAAGAATAATGTGCCAAAACAACAACATAATCAAATACTTAATCTGAAGATCTTTCCAAAAATAAACTTAATATTTAAACATGATGCAGGAAATGAGGAATGATAAAAAATTCTTGAGGAAACTTTGTAATAATGATTATTATACTTAAAAACGATGTTTATACTCTATGGCAAATAATATAGTTTTAATGTACCCACTACAAAATTCCTTTATCTTGTTCATCACTATCAAGATTTAAAAAATAATTTATTAAAATATATAAAATTTATCGAATTTTTGTCTTAGAAAACAAACATAGTGAAGTCATCATAATGTTTTAGAAGTATTTCAATTATCTGACCAAAATTATTCAAAAAAAGGTAAAATTTGGGTTGATAAAAGTTTTAAATCTAATGATATATTTTATTCTAAAAGAGAAAATAAAATATTTTTAGTAAAAATAAGCATTACATATTCTTCTGTTTGATTTTCTTATCTAATTCAAGAAACAAGAATGTTTTTATAATTATTATTACTCAAAATTATAGAATATTCCATTAGCTTTGCTATAAGCTTTCTTAAAAGTCAAAATCATAATCTGAATATGATATTTTGTTTCAGTTTATACTTAAATTTAAGAATACAAGTTTTTTGCTTTTATTAAATATTTTAAGTATTCCAGAAATATTCTCATAAGGTTTTTATTGATTTGTATGTTAAATATAACAACGTAAATAAAGCAGATTAATATTACTGCTATTGGAAAATAACCTTCATAATAAATACAAAACAATCAATTTTTTTGAATCATTTATTATTGCCTTTCAATAGTAAGTGCTTACTTTAATATTTTTTTCCCAGGCTTTTATTGATAGATCAATATAGAGATTACTTTTTATCTCATCTAAATTTTATTATTATCATCTGGAAATAGGGAACTTTTAATTTTGTAAACATAATTTCACTGCTGGTTTTAATTAAATTTGATAATTTTATTGATTATAATTCTAAAATTTTAATTTTATTGGAATCAAATATTATTATATTAAGATTGAGATTATTTAAGTAAATACTAATATTTTAGATTTGAATTATGACATACTAATATTATGTCTGTTAAAATCAAAAATGTATATAATTTTTATAAATAATTAATAAATTCTACTTTTACTTTTTGTAAACAAGATTATTTAAAAAGTGCAAGAGATAAATATAAAAATTAGATAAGAAACTTCTGTCACCACATATAGATTAAAAAATCACTTAGTTTTTTGTTTAACCATTTTATAATTTAAATGTAAATTAACTCAGTCCAAAATTTTTAGCACTTCTCTATCCTTATGTGTTTTCAGATTTTGTATCATTTACAATATTTTCTGATTATCTTTGAGATGTCCTAAAATAATATATATTTAAATACCTTATTTAAATCGTTTTTAAACAATAAGAGCTACTGTGATTCTAACATTTTTTACAGGATCCAAACTGAGAGATACAAATTATTCCAAGAAAGTAGATTCAAATTCTTTGAGGGTTATTAATTTTGAACACATATAAGCAAATCTAATAATAAAGAATAAGATATATACGCTTATCTCTGATTAAAACGATGACTGATTCCATAAGCTTTGATATTTTCAATTAAACATTAATAATAAATTTAACTTGTTTCATCTTCTGTATTCAAAGATTACAAAATAGAATGCATTTCTTTTGCTGCTTATTTTCTTACAACTGCTACAATATCATTACATAATTTCAATGTAATTGGTACTATGATTTGAAATATGTTATCTACACTATATAAAGGTACCAAATGCTTAATTTATTTAGCTATAAGATGACGTATTCTCCATTTCTTTTAATCTCTCTATAAATATTTATAATTTAATATTACTTATATAATTAAAACAACATCTAATAAATTATCTCTTTTTTCTTCATCAAATATTTTAATAAATTCCCATAAATTTTTTGCTGCTGCATATTTAACTTCATCATTTAAATCTTTTAAAAATGAATCTAAAATGATCACTAAATCTTTTTCAGCATATCTTGGACCACATGATTTAGCAATTATATATAAATTTTCTGCCAACACTTTTCTTACTCCCTTATTTTTTACTAAACTTTATAATAATTTTAATAGATTTGGCCATTTCTCTTATCCATATATTTCTACAACATAATGAAAAGTTGCTGCACAAGCATCATAGATTTCTTAATCAGATGAAAAATATTCACAAACATCTTTATTTAATGATCTGCAATATTCATTTAATAACTATTCATTTTTTTAATTACAATCATGTAATGTATGAATAAATTATCCAAGAAGTGAAAATGCAGATGCTTTTACCCATTTATTTGAATCCCTATTTAAATATCTATATAATACTTTAGGAATTCAACCATTTTATTAGATAATTCATTTTATTTAACTTATTTTGGAGCTATCTCAGCTAATTTCACAATAATCTCTACACATGCTTTACGTATATGCCAAGATGACTTATCTTCAGATTTTCTATTAAGATAATTTAATTTTAGATGTACTAAAGATAATAAGGAAGTAATTTGGACACAAAAAATTCAGGTCTTACTGACTTTGCAATTTATGGTAATTATTAAAGAGATTCCTTTCTTACTCTAACACTTATATCCTCACCTGCATTAATAAATTCTATTGAAATGAATGACTCTAAGAATTATTAATTTGCAATATGAGCATAAGAACCAAAAAATTACAAAGCTACCATTTTATTCTCTTCATTTGATTCATCATGTGCCATTAGAATTAAATCATTTAATATTAATTCATTTATTTCTTCATTAGAAAGTTTCTAAGCTATTCTAGATATTTATTTTTAAACATCAGATTAGATGTCAAAATTATGATATTTTATTAATTACATTGATGCTGGTAATATATGTTGTTTAATTATAGATACATCTATATGATCTATTAATAAATTTAGTTAATGGATCAGAATCTTCTTTATTTCGTCACTATCACTAATTAATTAATTTATAATCTAAGTCAATTATTATTAGGCTTCATTCCCTATCATTATTATTAATTCAGCTAAATGTCTAGCATAAGCTTATCTATAAACATATTCGAAGAATAATTTATATTACCTTTCCTGAAAATTTTACTAATGAATACTCAAAAGCTTGGCCAAAGCTTTTTCTGGTTCATCTTCAATAAAAACAGCATCATCCTCTCTTTATTATAAATTATTTATATTGAATGATTCTTCTTCACTAATTTATAACATGATCTTTTTTTATTCCTCTAAAGCATTTATATAATATCTAACCTGCAGATAACACCTTCATACCAAACTCTTCTACGTTATCCTTTACTTCTGGTTCTTTGTTTTCATTTTACTTTTCTTCTTAATTCATACTTTTTATAAATAAAAAATTAATTAATACGAAATATATCATTTGTATTACATCATATTTTAATTGAATAAACAATCCAGACACTCTTCATATATAAATAAGAAGATAATATTGATATAATTGCAACATAAAAATATAATCAGATAGCCTAGATGAATGTACTCATTTTTTATGTAGTTTCACTACTCTTATGCTCATCATTAATAATTATTAAATATATTAATTTATTAATTACTATATACGATTAATTTATAATATGGGATAATATTCAAAATCATTAAACCTATTATTACTATTAAAGTTAAGAAAACTATAAAAATACTGATTCCAAAGTTGATTAATTTATAGTAAAATCTTTGATATAATTTTTTGATTCTAATTCTGATAACAATTAAAAAACCTTAATAAATTAAAATTAATGGGTAGGTATCTAATTAATAATAAATATTCTATACATGTATAGATTAATATTCCTCATGAGTTTCTTAACTTTCCTTAGCTTCTGAATATTATTCTTATATAATCTTTAATATTTATTCTCTACTGCTAGGATTTCTAATTGAAACATTATATCCTTCTCCATATCTATCTCTCAGTTCTTTTGGATTACCTAAACAAAATATTTCTCCATTAATCATAATAGCTATTCTATCACATAGACTCTCTGCCTCATCCATTGTATGAGTTGTTAAAACCACTGAACTCTATCTTAATTTGACGCCTTATCTGAGAGTTTTCCATAAAAATCTTCTTGCAATAGGATCAACTCCTGTGCTTGGTTCATCAAAGAATTAAATGCTTGGTCCTCCAATAAGTGCATTACTGACACAAAGTTTTCTCTTATTTCCTCCTGAGAGTAATCCAGATTTTCGATAGATATATTCCTCTAATTACATGGTACTTAAAAAGTAGGCTACACTTTAATCAAGATCATTTCCATTTAAACCTTTCATTCTTCCAAATAAATAAAGATGTTCTCTAGGTGTTAGGTTCTCCCAAAGACAATCAAATTAAGGACAAATTCCAGTGTCTCTAAAAACATCAGATTTAGTTCTATCTATTTCAACATCCTTAATTTTAACACTTCCAGAAGATTTAGAAATCAATGAAGTTAATATATTAAAAGTAGTAGATTTACCTGCACCATTTGGACCTAACAAACCTAAAATTTCATTCTATCCAACTCCAAATGTTATATCTTTGACAGCCAAAAACTAGGTTGGATTGTATTATTTTTGTAAATGTACAACTTTAATAGGACAAATCTTATTTCCTTGAGAAAATTATTCAATTTCTTTAAGAACCTCTGGATCATTTATTTAAGCTGGAATATAATTATTACATCTTTGATTAGTTTATGAAATCCCTTTAAAGTATTTCTTTTTTTCTATAAAGATATTAAAATAAAAGAATCCAAATGTTTAAAGGAGCATGATTAAACAATAAAACCAATATTCTTTTGATATATAAGGTACACTTCCACCTTAAAGGTCTATAGTTTTTGTAATTGCTTAGAAAAATGAATAAAATGGACTTATGAGTGAACATATCAAATCTACAATTTTAATTACAATTGATTATCCACTTGATAATTTATCAGAATCATTTCCATTCATAAATATCAAGGCTACAATAAGCCAAACATTTAATGGAAGAGCGAAGAAAACAAAGTAATTTAAAAATGGGAATGTTTTCATAGCTTTTGATGCTTTTTCATATAATAATGTTCCAATAAGGAAAGAAAACATAATAAATGATAATCCAAATGATATGAATATAAAAATAATCTTACCAATTTTTTCACTTAGAAATTCATAGGATAGTGAAATCAAAATGATTATAAAGATCATTCCAAAATAAATTGTAAAATCAAATAAAAAAGTTCCAAACCAATAAGGCAATGGTCTACAACCCATAGCTACTAAAGCATATTTTAGATTTGTTTCTCTTTCTAAAACAGGTTGCATAATAAATAAAGATGAATTAAAACAAAGTGCAATAATAGCAAAAATTGAGAAGAATATCATTCTAAATACTTTTGTTCCTTCATTTTCTTCTCCTAAATCCATTTCTCCTATAACAACAATTCCAGTTACAATTAATGCAAATGGAATAATAATAGCTAAATAATTACTGAATGTTCTAATAGTTGTATAATATTTTCTCAAAAATATAGCCAATGTTTACTCTTTAAATGAATAGACAGGTTCTATATATTATATATTTATAATTAATTACCTCTATTCAAACAATCAGGAACAGGAACTTTAGATTTAAGTTCAGCAAATTAATCAGTTCCAATAATACTATCTCTATCTTCATTGACACTAGTTCTTCCTTCAATCATTTTTTTAGCTCTTTCTAAAAACTTCTCTTCATCCATTCCAATATTTATAAATGCATCTTCAAGTGAATTTATCCTAAAATTAACAGAAAGTCTATTTTCAAATTATTTTTCCAATGCCTAAAAATAATTAAGTAAATATTTTTTCTAATTAAATTTAATTTTAAATAATATAGTAAGTTATGATGATTAAGGATCTAAAGCTGCTTATGGTAAATTTTATTAAGTAAAATTAATTATTTATTCTTTATCTATAGATTTATCTAATATAGTAATTGAAATTGAATATCCTTCCCCAAAATTCTACTTTATATATTCACTTCTACCACAAGCAAGTAATTTACCAGCAGCCATAATAGCAATTCTATCAGCCAATTCTTCAGCTTCATCTAAATGATGAGTTGTAAGAACAAGAGTTCTATTCTCTTATTTAACTTTCTCCAATATTTCCCAAATTCCTCTTCTTGTTTAAGCATCCATTCCAGAAGTTGGTTCATCTAAAAATAATACATTTGATCCTCCTATTATTGCTTATGCTAAAGATAATTTTCTTTTATTTCCTCCACTTAAAGTCTTTGTTATTTTCTCTTATTCATTTGTTAATAATGTTGTAGACAATATTTATGATATTTCTTATTCTAAATCATTACCTTCTAAACCTTTCACTCTTCCCATAAATTATAATTATTCTTTAACTGTTAATTCATCATATAAAACATCCCTTTAATTACATATTCCAATCCTCTCTCTAATCTCTTCTAAATTACTCTCTAATTCTTAATCATACACATAAACCTTCCCTCCTGTTAAACTCAATAATCCTGTTAATACATTTATTGTTGTTGTTTTCCCAGCACCATTATGTCCCAATAAACATAAGATTTCTTTTTAATATAAATTCAAACTAACTTAATCTACAGCTGTAAAATTTCCAAATTTTTTTACTATTGATCTTATCTTAACTGAAGGTTTAATATTTAAATAATTTCTAGGCTCATGATAAAATGCACTTGAACTATCATCATTAAATGTTGATTAAGCTACATTATCTTATTCTATTAATGGATTCTCTAAATCTACTTTTCTTTTTTCCCTTTTGTTTTTAGTAAAATTTAAAAAGAATAAAGGATGTTTTGCAATTCCATATTCATTAGGGATTATAGCATCAAAATAAAAATACAATAACAAAAATACAATTGACAATATTGCTAATTCTATTGCCATTGCTCCATGATAAAAATATTCCTAAAGTGAATAATTCAAATATCTATATGCTCCATATTGTGTTGATAAATATGAAAGTGCAATACATGTTTATGGAAATATGGATATTAAGATAAAAAAGAAAGTACTAATATATTATAAATGATATTAAAATACCTTTAAAACTTATCAACAAATCCAAAAAAAGGTAATATTAATGATACAACTAATAAAAATGTTGTAATTTCATTAGCAGTCTTTGATTTTGAAAAAAATGTTGTTAAAAACATTGAATAATGTATCAAAGCTGTTGCATAAATGAAGTAAAGTCCAAATATTATATACCATTCTGTGTCATCATCAAATCCATATATGTTTCGATTATGTCTCTCATTCATTATATATCCAAACAAAACCCAAGAAAAAAAAAATATTATCATAGACTATTCAATATATATTAGTATTATACCATTAATGTTTTACAATAAGCATATAGCATCCATCCAATTAAATATGAATTTTGTTTCAAACCCATAATCTACTATTAATAAATATTATTACCTTTTGTGTTTCTTTAAATTTGAGTTCTTTCTCTTCACATAAATGTATCAATAGTGATCTTGGATTTGAAAAGATAGCCAAAGCAAAAAAAAAAGGAGAAAAAAATTGTATCAATTAAGTTCCATCGATATCTTTTGCAGCCAAACTCAATCCACATATAAAAGGAATTAGAGTTTCTGCTAAAAATTCTTTATTTCTAAAGGAGCATAACAAATTCTTTTAGAAAATGGCCTTTATTTAGAAAAAATGTGTCTTATTATCCATATAAAATAATTAAAATAAACCTATATAGATTATTTATAATTAGTATTTTGGCAACAATATAGTATCAATGTACAATCATGGTTATCATCTTTAATAATATCAATTAGTTAAATATTAATGATGATTAGAATCTATAATTATGCAAAAATATATAAATAATTATATCAAAAACTATCTTATTTTTAACTTAAATGAAAACAACAGACATTAAGTAATATAAATCTAAATCATCAACTTTTTATTTTAAGATTACTTTCTTTTTAAGAAGTTATTTATTTAAAAAAACTTTAATTATCATCCATAAATAACTCACTACTAGAAAAAAGAAATAATAATATAGTTAAGGTTTATTTAGAGTATACAAAATAGAAAACTTGTTATAAGAAATCTACAAATTGATATTACAAATATATTTCTCAACAGAAAATCTCTTACATTTTTCAATCATAATTTGAATGAGTTATTGTAATCATACTTGTATTTTAATACTCTTCAATATAATAAGTAATATTAAATTTAAGAATAATTTGCATATTAAATCTTATATATAAATCATAACTTCAGATCATCGCTTAGTATACCACAAATATTGTCTAAATTATCACCTGTCAAATGAGCAAATGCTCTTAATTTTCCTGCTTTATAATTTGTCTTTTAAACTTAGACTCTTAATTTAGTACCTTATTTAATCACCTCTTCATCTTCTTCTTTATAGGATTCCTAAATTTACATAACAATTACATTAGAATAAGTGAAATTTGCAGGCAATTTATCTCTTGGAATAATAAAGTCAATAGGTCCCAATTTGGCAAAGACTGCTTAGGCTTCACATTTTGAAACTTCAACATCAACTATTTCTTTTTCCTATATTTTAAATACTATGGCTTCAAATTTAATCTGATATAGTATGCATTGATACCACTACTTTAATAGTTCCATCTTCTTCAATTAATGCATCAATTTATTCATCTTAATATTAATTGTAATTCATGCATTTATTTATACATATGATGTACCCAACATCATCAAAGTACTTGCCTTCTAATTTCTATACAATTTATTCTAAAATGAACTTTTAATCTTTTAATTAATCTAAATAGTTTGGCTCTATTGATAATTTTGTTTTTAGTCCACTTATCATATAAAACATTTTTATTATTATTATTTATTAACTAAAAAATTAAACAAAAAAATTTAGTATATTATATTTAAAACTCCAAATCATCTTTTTGCAGTCTAAGGTCTTTGATTTTATTAAGGAGCTTTTAAAGCCATATTAACAACATAGGTAACTGCCTTTTATAATGTATAATTAGAAGCCTTTCTTTTTAAAAGCTATTATTATAAATTGATATAGTTATACCTTTTCTGAGATAGATTCGATAGCTTCTAAGAAACCTACAAAATTTAAATCTGGCTGTAATGATTTTAACTAAATTTTTTTGTAAATCAAATCATAATCTGATTTTATTAGTAATTCATTAATTAATTATGGATTGTTAGCTAATCTGCAAAATCTCATTTAATTTAAATTACCATATCTTAAACCACAAAGATTACTGTAAAGATCAACCAATTTATAGAACTAAAGTTGTAAATAAATAAGAAGATATTACCAAATCTAAATTTTCAATTGGTGGCTAACCATCAATAATCATCTTATAACTGTTACAATACTTCCCCTTACCAATTTATTCAATCTATTCTTAAGGTGTTTTAATTGCAATAATAAATGCATCTTCAATTACTTTAGTCTTAACATAAGCATCTAATGAACTGGTCTCTACTCTTTTACTTCCATTTGAATTTTATATTACTTAAGTAATCTCTAAACTAGGATTAGCATTAATTTCAATAATCCATGGTTTTAAATCTCTATCAATCAAAATATCAAAACCAATAACATGGAAACAATTAGCTTTTTCCCACTTGTCTTGATAGATTTCTCTGGTCGAATTTAACTTTACTAATAGATAGAAATTATTACCAAGAAAGGAGCAATTCCATATAAGAATCTTACAATGGTTTATTCAATTCTTAATTTTAATTTAGGAACATCAATGCCCATTTTCATTAATGTTTTTTTGGCTGATGTATAAGTTCTTTTAGTTCCAAGATTTATTTTTTGGAAATCTGGAGGATGAATAATAAAATTTTAACTATCTAATGGATATACTATTGTTGTCTTTTACTTTTATTTAATGAATAATTTGTTAGATGCATATAAACATTAGAGAGATTACTTGATGTGATGTCCTAATAATTTTCAGTGCACAATCTTGCTAAGCCTTCTTCATTAATATAAGCAATTAATGGTTTTAGTGAAGTAATCAATACATATAATCTAAAATCAAATTTCTTATCATCCAATAATAAAGGATTACTTATATACTCTTAAATAATATAGTTTCTTTATTATTGAAAATATAAATACTTCTTTATATAAGAGATATCTTTAACACTATTGTTAAATAAATCTTCTATCTAACTAACTATAAAGATTCCTTAACCCTAAGTTCCTTTATCAGGTTTAGCTATATAAGAGATGCCATCCTTTTTTTCAAAATCTTCAATAAATTCATGTAAATCCTCTGGCATAGTATATGTTTTTGGATAAAAATTATAAATAGACGGAAAATATCTAATTAATTATGACACATATTATACTATCTCATTTTAGCCATGATTGACGTAGTTTCCTTTTTTGTAGAGATAAGTTTAGCTCCAGGAATTCTACTGATGCATAAATTCATAAAGACCATTGCAAAATCATAAGTAAATTGTTTAGCTTATTGAACATTATCAGGACCACACCATAATATATCTCCATCAAAATTATGAGCTTTTTTCCATTCATTCTTATCCATAATTTTACGAATAATTGGTAATTCTTACACTTAAACAGAGAGATTAATAGATAAAGGTATTGATTTTGGATCAACCTTAATTTATTATCTTTTTTATGTTTTCTTCTGTAACAACATTTAAAATATTAGATTTAATGGTTTGTTGGCAGGCTTTTCTTCGAAACTCTTAACTCTCATTTGTCTTTAAGAGTTGTTTGGTACTTCAGTCTCTGTATTCTCATCTTACTTATCCTACTTATCTTATTAAGTAAATTGTTAAAAGTCTGAATTCAAAAATTACAACATTTGATTTTCCAACATATTTTAATAATCAAATTAGTTAATATTCATTAATCAATTAGATCAACGTTAAATAATCAAACACAGATTATTCAAGAAAAAATAAACATTGATCATAAATACAAATTACCAATATTGTTGGATAAACAAATCTCTTTAAAACCATTTAAATAATCAATATTACAATTAAAATCTAAGTTAATTATTAAATCTAAAAAATACCTAATACCTAAAATAGAAATTTAAATTTATTATGGATCCTTATCTAAGGTTAGATTTGATGGAAATTATGAATAAAAAATCAATATAGAGAGAATGTTATAATAATTGATGATAATGAAAAAGGAGTTTTGATGTTATAAACTGACATGGAATTGATGGTAATAAAATATATATATTTGGTAGAGACTAATGTATATTGAATATTTCATCATAAATTAGAGTATAAAATTAAGAATTTATAAAATATTGATTTTTTTAATGCTCATTCTAATTTTCATTCATTATGTCTTGTGCAGCTGTTAGTTTTTAATTGATGTTCAATGTATTGTAATTATTTATCTGAGATATCAAATACTAAAAAAAACCAATAATTAATTATTCTATTATCAGTTGCATAAACAATTAATTATTTTTTTATTTAATAATGATCCATAAAGAGCTTATCATAAATTGATTTAAGAATATAAAAGGAGTTTATGATATTATAGTTTTCTGAAATATGATAATAATATTAAAATATTGATTTATTTTGATTGATATCTAAAAACAATCTTAAAGAAGTAAGAGTTTGAATGTTTTAATATAAATAATATATTATGTAATAATTTATATTAACACCCTCCACATCACTATTTTATTCTTTGTATTATTTATTTTAAAACTTAGATTTTTTAATGAAATCTTCATTTTTTAGTATAATAAACTAACTTATTCTATTATTAATGATTTTAAGAAATGCATTAAAGAATTTAATGCTCATATCTTATGTAAGAATTTGGTACTTTAGATAAATGAGACACTTCACCATTAGTTATTATAATATTCTATTTGTCTTATATTTTATCATCTTCATCCCATTTAACTTAGATGGACATCTACACTTTTTAATGGTTACAATCCTAATAGTTGTTTATAGGAAACCAATTGATTTGGCAGTTCTGCTAAAACTTCTTTAGCTAATTCTCCCTATTATCTAAAGTCTCTAAATGGCACAAATTATACTAAATCTCTTGCAGATGAACCTTTCAATGGACCACTATCACCATCTAGTGTTCTCATTTATTAAAATTTTTCATCTCCAACTCCAATAATTATTATTGAAAGTGGAATCTTAGCTGCACCAATTATCAATTGAATTGTTTAATTCATATCATGAATCTCTCCATCTGTTAATATCATTAAAACAGTATAAACATTTTAGCTAATATTTTGTTAAGCTATAGAACAAGCATATTAAATAACTGGAGCAAAATATGTTGGTCCTGATAATGATACATGTTATAAAGCACCACTATACTAGGCCATAATTCCTTCAAGGCCAAAAACTTCTGCTTATTAGAAATTACCAGTTAATGGGAAACTAAGAATATAATGAATATAAATACCAGTGATCTGCTTCATTTTTTTAATAATTAGGAAAATGAGGAACTCCTCCAAATCCATACATTGGTATTCTCTTATCAAAATCATAATTCAATAATATTTCTGAAACTTAATAAAGTGCAGATTAATATTAATTCATTTAATTTGGATTATTGTAATGTAGTGAATTTGGAGATTTGGGATCTCCATTAGAACCAGTAAAATCTATAGCTATCATTAAATTAATTTATTCTCCTCCCTTAATATAATCTATGAAAGATGGTTTTGTAAATACATTAAATTATTTTAATTATAAGATTCCATGATTATTCTATATAATAATTATTAATATATAATACGCCTTTTTTAGAAAGAGATATGAATTCTCTTTTGAGTTCATTTTCAATTTAATGAATTGTAAATATTGTTTCACCTATAAATTAATGTTTTCCATCTGTTTAATTATCCCAACATTCAACTTTTATTTATTATTATATATTTCCAGCATTTAATTTACTCATTGAAATTTCAAAGGGTTTCCAATGTGGATTTTCATTATTCTTACAAAATTCAGTCTCATGAACAAACATCCAATAATTTTCAGATTATTTATAAAATCTCAAGAATGGATCTGAATTTCCAAACCAACCATCTACATTCTTTATTTTTTTTCCTTCCCATTACCAAAAGATGTATCTATTATCATCTTTCAATTTATCACCCTTTACTAATAAAGTTCCACTTGCTTTGTTCTTTAATTTCAATTATCCTGTATATACCTAATTCTTTGATCCCATAATCTCTCCAACTGTAGTCTAAATAATATTATAATAGATTACATTTAAGACACCTATTAAATCATCTTTATCAATAGTTCCATCATCATTGTCCCATACCTCAAATCTTAATTCTTATTTTATTTCAAAGATGAAATCCATTTGAATAGTTGTCTAATATGGCATTTCAATACTTTCCAATCAGGATTAAGGTTGTTTTTAAGAACTTCTGTTTAACCTATTTATCTTTCAACTCCTTTAAAATCTTTTAAGAATATCTTGCACTTTGGATCACTATCTGATATGACATCCTTATTAGCAAGCTTACGAGCTGAAATGTAAAGCTCAATTTTCTCTCTGTCTGTAGGTTGATACATGAAATCTATATAAATATACAAAATTAAATGTTTTTATCAGTGAGCGGTTCAGGATTTCATATGAATTATCGTTAAGAAGTTAGACTCCCAAAATTGCAAGGTCATAAAGTACAGGCTTACAGCATGCCTAAGCATAGATAATTAAACAGTCCTGAAGAGAAACCGATATCTCCTGATAGGTTTCTTAAGTACCTGAACAATAAAGTTCAATCTCAAGCAGGAGTTTATAGAAACCCTGCAGCTGTTCAATCTTCTATGATTTTGATTGCAAAACAAATGAAGTTCTCTTCTGATCAACATACTCATAGACAGAAAGAGAAATCAATAAAAATAATAGAGTAATCAAATGAATATAAATACAATTTGGGATTAGGAAACAATCATGAATTAGTATAAAGGATTATGGATACAAGAGTAGATTGGTAATAAACTAAGGATAATTCATCAATGTTTGTTAATTTTAGATGGCAATAATGGCATAGAGGTTACAAATATGATAGATTGATATTGAATAATTAATACAAATAAATGGTTAATCATTTTGAAAATCATCCAGAATTAAGTAATAAATAATATTTGTTTAGAAATCTCTGTTCTTATTGTGAAGTATTATTTTATTATTAAAAAATTTCTTAGCAAAACAAATAAAATGTATATGATTCAGTTCCAATAACATTTGTATTAGATTTTAAAGATGACTCTGTTGATTAATAATTTACTTAATTTGTTAAATTCTTTGATAAATATGCTCCTAAGAAAATTGATCAAATGGCTAAAAAATTAGTAGAATACAAAAAGAAATTAAAAGTAATAATATATAATAATTCAGATTCCAGTTTAACCAATGAATGATAAGAAAATATAACCTATACCTAATAAAATACCAAAAACTTAAAATGGTAATCAATATTTATGGTTATTAAAACCTACATTTTTGAATAGAGGATAAGGAATACATGTTGTTAATGATTTAGATACTATTATATCACTAATATGTGAATATTAGGAAGGACATTAAACTATAGAAGATGATGATGTAAAGAATAATAAAAAGAATAATAATATTAAAGCTAATTCTTTTGTGATATAGAAATATATAGAATAACCATTTCTTATTAATTAAAGGAAATTTGATATAAGAGTCTGGGTATTAGTTACACAGGATCTTCATTGTTATTTTTTTAAAGAAGGTTACATACGTACATCTTGTGAAAATTATACTACTGATGATGTAAGTAATTAATTTATACATTTAACCAATAATGCCATTTAAAAATACTCAGATAAATATGGAGAATTTGAAGATGGAAATCAATTATCATTTGATGATTTTTAAAATTATTTAAATCAATAAGGATTCAATATTGATTTTTAATAAAATAATGTTACAAAAATGAAATAGCTAGTATGGATGTCAATGCAATCTGTAAAGAGAAAATTGAATCTTCATTAAAGAAAATATTGTATGGAAATTTTTGGATATGATTTTATAATTGATCAAGACTTTAAGACTTGGTTAATAGAAATTAATACAAATCCTTGCATTGAAGAATCAAGTGGAATTTTAAAAATGTTACTACCAAGAATGTTGGGTAATTATTATATTTGATTTATGTATAGATGATGCTTTCAAATTAACAATTGATGTTATATTTCCACCTAAATAGAAATTAGAGATAAATGAATCAGTATTTCCAGTTAATAAATATTCTAATACTGAATCTTTATGGTATTTAATATATATATATTTAATAAAGGGAATCAATTGGTAATCTTGAATCACCTAAACCTGCTGCTAAATAGACTTCTATTGTTTTACCAAATTAGTTATCTTCACAAATTTAGTAATTTTAGACAATAATACCAATATACTAAGGAGATCTATGAATTATCAATTTATTTATTTTCTGGATCTTATATTTGGAAATTATATGATACGCACTTAATAAAAAATCTATATATATATAAAATTAAATAGTGTTATATGGGATAGATCTGTAAATTACCTTCAGTAACTGAGTCAATTATAGATGAAGATTTAAATGACAAAAGACATCAATCTTAAGATTAATAACAATAGGAATAAATTGTAAATAGCAATCCATTGAATGCATCACCACATTAATACTCATTATAATTATCATGTACTCCAGAATTAGTGATACCTTAATAAGGATAAAAAATGCATTCTCTTCAAGATAGTTGTTACACACCTGAGTTTTTGGGAATAAGTTAACCATTTTAATAATAAGTGAATATATATTAATAATAATTTTGAACTATTGAATTTCTCATTAAACATGAAGGTAACAAAAATGTTATGAATTAAGGAAAGTAACGTCAATCATCTGTACATACTGAACAATAAAACAGAAAATCCTACAGAAGATCTGTATCAGCTGTATAATCTGGAAGAAAGATCTCACATAGTGCTATTACTTTGAGTGACAATCAAATTCAAATCAGCATTATTAACAATATTACATAATGTTTATCTAAAAAAGTACCTAATCAAATGTAAAATTTAGAAAATTTATGTGGAAATATATTCAGGTCCTTAATAAAATGATCGTAATCAATCAGATTGTGAAGATGAGATTCTATATGCTCTAGGTGCTACAATAGTAAAAAAATTAAGTAAACATACTCATTATCTAATTTGGCAATGTAATTTCCTATTAAAAATTTAGATGGTTTTTTGAGTACATTAGAAAAAGCAAAGGAATGGAATATCAAAATAGTTAATCCTATGTGGGTTAATGAGTAAACATAATAGTTATTTTAGATGTCTAACTAAAAAGAGGGAAGTTGATGCTTCAAATTTTCCAATTATTGAATTAACCTCCTAAGAGATTCAAGAATTACTTAAGAAAGATGTATTTTATAAATTTATATAGAAAGTTCATTTAAAGAAAGGAAAACAATCAAATCAATAAATATAAGAAGAGGAAGAAGAAATTAATGAATTTAAAACTAGACACATTTTTAGTTAATTCAAAAGTCAATTATAGCAAATATCTAAAAATATCAATAAATCTTATGTGTCAATTTCTAATTATAAATAATAATCTAAAAATATTCTTGATGGGAATAAAAAAGAAATAATACATGAAGAATTAGAGACTGAATAATTAGAAGTTTCATAAAAAATGAACTCATAATTATTATCTAAGAAAAGTTCTAAAAATTAAAAATCAAAACTATAATAAATTGACTAAAAATTCACTTTGGTTTTACATAAATCATGTGATTTTAACATATTGAATTTATTTGATTAAATAAATATGAAGTAAATTTAATTTATAATAAAGAGATTAGTATTAATTAATTATAGAAGAAGATATGAAAATCAAATGTGATATACTAATTATTAATGAAGATAAACTAATATATGATTTGATTTTCTGTTGTTGTTGTTTAAATAAATAAACAAAAATTATTTCCTAAAAATGGATTATTAAATAATTATAAAATTAAAATAAAGAGATATCCTTTAATTAATATCTTTTAAATTACAATATGTAAAAAAGTACTAATAATATTATTACAATAGAAATATTATTCCCTTATAACTTTTATGTGTATTTTTCAAAACCAAAGACTTCCTCATAAAAAACAATTAATCAAAATCTTAGATAAGGATTAGAATAATTGATCTAAAATTTTGGAGGAAAAGTATAAATATTTAATTATATTAGATAACTTAAAAAGAATTTTGTGATATATTGATAGTAATGAAGATCATGTTAAAGACAACTGCATAAACAATACTCAATTCAAACCCTAATATTAAAATAATTCATGCAGAATGGTTATATAAGTCTATTTAATAAGGTTGTTTGATTGATTTAAATGAATATATAATTTAATGTTGATTTTACATTTTGCATTTAAAGTTAATTATATATTATAAACTTAATTTTAAATGGTTTAAGAGCTAAACTTTTGAATAATTTCCTGGGTAATCAGTAATTAATTGAAAAAGTTTAAGTTGCACATATATTACTGAAGAAACTAAAAAAAATGTTTCCTTTAATTATTTTAAATTTAAATTTTCAAGCATAAATAGTTAACATTCATTTTACCTAATTTTATTAAATTTATGATTCATATTCATGAAGCATAAAATTTAATTCATTTTTAAAATTCTAAATAAATGGATAAATAAATTCCTGTTATTTCTTAAAATACTTTATTTAAATTTATTGGATAAATTCATATAGCTCTTATGTAACTTTTCTGTAATTAATACAATTAAGTTCATTTTTATATACTTATTAATCTAAATTCTTTATAGAATTAAAGATTGTTTTATTGCTATTCACAATTTCAAGTTCTTAAACTAGTTCTTCCAGTAGAAATTGATTTTTTTCTATTTATTCTTCTACCATCTTCAATCTCTATTACTCTTTAGCTAAGTATTCTTTACAACTTTTTAAATTAAAATATAAATACATGTCAATTCTTTCTTATATCATATCCATTCTATTATTTTTTTATGTTTTATTTGGTACAGATTAAAATATTTCTTCGTTTATTGATTTAAATTCTGATCTCTAAGTTTACTAAGTTTATGGTTTAACTCCAAAATAACAATTCCGTTAAACAATATTATATCTTTTGTTAAGCCTTTCAGATAATGGAATATCATTAAATTAGTTTTAATTGATATCACAAAATTTAGTGTTATTACTAAATGTTTTAAGAATTATTTTCTTATGATCCTTTACAATAACATTATTTTTATGAAGGATAGAGAATGAATAATATTATTTATTCTTTTGTTTATTGGATGTCAAATTTCTATTCTCATTATTATGTAGATCCTTTTCAAAATACTCCTTTACATGTCTTTCAATTTCTTTCTAAAAATGATAAATTATTCATAAATACATCGAGTAAATTAATAAAAACTTTGTCGTCTGTAAAGGCAGCAATATGCACTTTTTACATTTTAAAATTATATTATGAAAGTATTTAATAATAATCATTACACATTCAATATAATTGTAAAAGTATTATAACAATACTATTGAATAAATTTATATCATTCAATATTAAAGTAACATAACTTTAATGATTAATAATATTACATATATAATAAATATATCTTAACCTTTAATAATCAATGAAAATTAATTGAGAAGATTATTGAATATCCTTCTAATCTTTTTCGATTATAAAAATAGACAAAGAGAATATTAAAAATATTTATGTTTATAGAGAATACAAGATATAAAGAAATATTAATTATTGATAATAAGAGAAATAATTTAAAAGTTTTTAATAGTATTTTTGATATTTTTATACTGTAGTGGATCTGTTCCATTTCAATTCTATATGAAGTGATTATACTTTAATATTATAATGATTAATTAAAAAGTAATCACTTTAAATTAGATCTTAAAAAAGGATTCAAAAAGGTCATTATGAGATTGGTGGTGTGTTTTTAAACATTGAGAAATTAATGTTTAACTATGTATTTATAAAATAAATAATAAATAACAAATATATTTTATAAATGTGGTATAATTTTATATAATAAAATAATTCATTATTTAATATTCTTTCTTCCAAAAATTGAAATTTCTATTCTAACATAATAAGCTCCAAATTTAATAGCTTCCAAATAGTCTCCACTCATTCTTATATTTAATTTTAATGGTTAAAGATTGAATTCCTTTTCATATTAATTTCTCAATTCAGAAAATTATTAAAATATCTCATTAGTATTATGAAATTATTAGTATTTTATTTGTTATTTTTGTAAAAAAGTTTGCATTATTAATTTAATGAAAAAAAATTATTGTTTTGAGTAAATTTGCACAGATATATGCATTTATCATGGAGACCCAATCATAAATTAAGGATATTAGTAAAGTAATAAATAATATATAAAAAAAAATAAAATAATGAAAAAGTTGAGTTAATAAATGCTAAGAAATGAAAGAAGGTTAAAACCATATTTTTAAATTGAGATGTATCTAATTATTTGATCCTTAGATTTTAATAATAATAAAGATTAGATGATCAATGTATAGAGAGATTATCAACAGAATTAATTTTATCACAATCATAGAAGATTTTATCAATTGATTTAATAAAGAAGTATTTAAATAGTAATTTAAAGATGGCATTTAGATTTATCTAATTTAACAGATAGAAGTGTTAAGGATTTAAGCTAAAGTCTTTCAAAATTATCAAGATTAGATCAATTAAATTTAGAACTTTATGGGTAAATTACCTTTTTTAATTATTAAATAGTTGGGGTTATTGGAATGAGAATATTACTGATAGTTCTTTAAATTATTTAAGTTAAGCTATCTTATTATAAAATAAATTGAGTGAATTTAAATTAGATTTGAATATGTGGGCTTATGAAAATTAGAGAATAACAGATAAAGGAATAGATAGATTATTGAATGGAATAAGTTTACTTAATAATTTAGAAAGTTTAGAACTTAATATGAAAGGTTGGGGAGATGGTAATTATGAAATAACAGATAATACAATAATAAGATTATCTAAATGTCTTAAGAAACTAAAAAATTTATCAGAAATTAAACTCATATTGTAATTTCTATTATATAATAAATAGATGGAAAAATATTGGATTATAAGCAACTAAATAATTAAATAAAACATTATCTAATTTAAAAAATTTAACAAAAATTGAAATTAAATTTGAAAGGTATTTAACATTTTATATCATTAGTTGTTTATAATAATAAATAATATAAAATGATAATATTGATTAGAAACTTATTTAAATTAAACTTAATGCTATACAAAAAAGAAAATTACTTTTTTAAGTAGAAGGGATATTAGTGAGTCTTGAATAATTAATTCCAAAATTTACTTTATGGGATATTATTTTAAAATTATGATAATTATAATTTATATTAAATACTTTAATGACTGACTAAAATATTCCAATTTATAGAAGAGGAGTTGAAGAAGTAGTCAAAAAGTCTGTAGATGAATATGGAAAATAGAAATGGGATATTGAACATAAAATATTTGATAAAGTAAGTTTATTATAATTAATTAGTAAGAACGTGAAGATGAAGAATATGATAAGAACAATCCCAGATACACTAAATCATTATAAGCTCGTACTGATTCTGTTGGAATTGATGAATAAATTGGAAGAAAAAGGAATGTTGTAAAAGAGGGATTAAAGAAAGATTAAAGTGGATTCTATTGTGAATTATGTGATGAATTAGCTACTGATAGTTTATCATGGTTAGATCATTTGAATTCTATTATGCATAATCGATTACTAGGAATGAATATGAAAGTTGATAAAGTGACTGTTCTAGATGTAAAAGAGAAATTACAATAAATTAAAGAATCAACTACAAAGACTTAAGTTTAAGCTTAAGAAAAACCAAAATCAATAGATGAAATTAGAAAATAATTGGAAGAATAATTGTAAAAGAAAAAAGAAAAGAAATAAAAGAAACAATCAAACAAATTATAGAATGCTCTTACAAAAAATGATGAATAAGAAATAGATGAAGACGATTTAAAATTAAAGCAATTTTTAAAAAAATGAATACCATTAATATAAATATATTATTCATTCATCTGATTTGTCAACCTCTAATTTATCAATATTATCTTTTACATGTTCTGCACAAGTATCTAGTATATAATAAATATTACATAAACAATCCTCAAAATTCTTTAATTTTCTACCTCTTAGAAAATTTTCAAATAATTAGCATCTCTTTCCACAAATCACAGCATAATCAGTCACTGATTTAAATTCACTTGGAATATTCATTACAACTTAATAATAATAATTATTATAATATAAATATTAAATAATAATGTACAATTATCAGAATTAAACACTAAAAATATTTCTTTCTTTTTTTCTTTATATTCATGGAAAATAAATAGTAATTTATATAATTATATTTTTTATGTAAAATAGAACTTGATTGAATATTTAAAAATAACATTTCTTATTTATAAACAATTGATGTTCATCAAATTTACTAAATATTAATCATACACATAATATTGAATGATTTCTTTTGGTTTATTTTACTATATTTATAGTTTAGTTGAGTTTCAATTACCGTTTAAGTTTGCAAATATTTCTTAATATGATCTCTATATTAATAAAAATAAGTATAATAGAATTGTAAGAATCTATATTTATGAAAAATAGATTAAAATTGTCATCTTAAAAGAAACTTCATAAAAATTTGATTCATATATTTCATATATATATGCTAAGTTGCATTTATTATGAATTCATTTATAAATTATTTATATTGGTTAATTATTCATTCATTTTCTATAAAATAACTTTTTTCTAATCTAAATTTTGCTTTTGCTGTAATATTTTCAATAGGTTTAACTAATTCTAATTAATTTTATTATGAATTTAAATAATGATGAATTAAAGTCTTAGGAAAATATTAATTCTCTTGATGAGGCCAAAGAATCATATACTAATTATAGTAAGGTTCTGGATTTTCAAAATATTGATTAATATAATGATTCAAATAACTTTGCTTCATTTTATGCATTAAATAGACTTAGTAATCGTTTAGAAAGTATTACTAAACAATATTAAAAGACAGAGCTTCCTATATTCAAAACTCTTAATCTGTGATGTTAATGTAAAAGTACAAAAAACATAAAATAATAAGAACTGTTTTTTTTTATATATATTTAATAATTACAATCTTTTAGCGCCCAACTTGGTGCAATTTTGTTGATTATTAAGTAATAACTATAATATTTTAGGAATACTGCAGTATTTATAATGGTTAAAAGATACCAAAAATAGTAGATTTTTATCTTCCAATAAACTTGTATTATTGTGTTGAAATACTGATCATTTTATATCTTTGTTTGAATAAAGTATTTTAAATGATTATTCTTAGGTATTTAAAGCTACCATAATAGAGTCTTAACATCGTAAGAAAATTGCTATAGTTTAACTCATAATAACGTTGTTAATTATTATTAATGATATTATTGTAATGGTACTTGAAAATAATAGTCCCATCAATATCAGTTTATTAATGAAACCAATATTTATAATACTTTAAAAGTAATAAATAATCACTATAGATAATAGATAAACATTACGTTCTACAATATTTCATTATTGTTAAATAGCTAATAAAGGAAAAGAGATCTATTATTTGATGATATTTTCTTTAATATTTTTTGCAGGATTGGGTTCTGCAATATTTTAGAAAAAGAATAACTCTTAAATAGAAAACAGTATATGTTAAATAGATTAGCCTCCTTTTTCATAACCAGAAAAATGCATTGTCATAATTCTTTTTGTACTTTAAACTACAGTTAATTCACCTGATATCTATTTACCATATTATGGAGAATCTAGAATGTATGTAGCATATTTTATCATATTTTAATTTGTTAACACAATATTGATCATAAATTTAGTATTAGCTTTCTTTTATTCATCTTACAAAGATCTTATGTAAAAAGAAACAAAGTAAATCTTATCAAAGTATAATCACAGATTTAGTCTTTAAACTTAGAAATTTTTTAGAAATAGAACAGGATCTGATATTACAAGATTAACAGATATTACATCTCTTGATAATGTAATATCAAGATCTATATATTAAATTTTAGATAATCAATTTTATGAAATTTTTATCGAAATACTTTCATTAGTTTCATTTGTGATGATATTTTTATAAATTACTCATGTGAAATTATATATTTTGTTATTTTGCAATTCAATAATATTTGCAGAATGTCTTTTACTATTATTTTATACTGGTAAAAGAAGGATTTGGAAAAAAAAATCTTTAATTATTGAATTTCTATTTTCCATTTCCATACTTCTATTAATTATCTTAAATTTAATTGGATAAAAATAATAAAGAATTTTACTTATTTTATTATGTTATAGATTATTTAGAGGATGTAAATGGATGTTAAAGAATAAAAGTTTTACCACTTTAATAATTTCAATAACATCAATCTTTTAGTATATTGTATAATTATTTGGTACTTTATTTATACTTTTTATGTTGTTTACAGCAATTGGACAATTACTTTTTGGAGGAAAAATCTTATTTTCTGATGAAAATGAAGTTCATTATGAATTAGCAAATTTTAATGATTTTTATCTGGAATGTGTACATGTTGGTTTTTATTGATTATTAATAATTGGAATGTTATATCTTATAATTATGCAAAAGTATTTAATACTGATTTAGTTTACATATATTTTATTAGTTTTTATATTATTGTTGTATTATTTACTCTTAATATTACGATGGCATTATTGATTGAATATATAGTATCAAAGATTAATCCTAAAAATTAGACAGAAGTGTAATAATCAGAACCATAAGATGAGATACATTATAATGAATAAATAAAGAAATGATGGTTTTATTAATTTTAGTTTTTATATGTTATATTTATATTATCTTTATTGATATATATTGAAAATTGATATTCATACTGTATAGAAGTATATTTAGTTCCTTTTGGAAATCAATATTCTATAATGTTTTTATGAAATAAATTCGAAGATTCTAGAAGTTATTTTAGTTATATAATAAATATTAATTTGAAGTTTTAAGCAAATAAGAAAAAAATTAATGATTGGCAATCACTATGATATCCTTGGTGTTAAGAGAGATGCTAAATAACAATAAATAAAGAAAGCATATCATAAATTGGCCTTAAGATGGCATCCTGTATTTAATTAAACTATATTTAGGATAAAAATAGAGAATAACGTGCATTTGCATTAGATTAATTTCATAGAATAAATGAAGCTTATCACACATTATCAAAATTAGAGTTAAAAATACTCTATGATCATTAGTTATCTTAATATGAATCAATAGAGTCAATCAAAAATTTGATAAGATTGTTAAAAAAAAATGATTCAAATGATTAAAATAATGATTTTGATTATTCTTACGATAATTTTTTATCTGAAGAAGAACAAGAACTTTTAAGATAATTTAAATAAAGAATCAACGAACCAGGAATTTAAAAAAAAATCAGAAAATCTCATTGATGATTCTGAGTAATTCATATTTGTTAATGCTCTTTAATTCAATTTTGTTATCAAATTTAAATAAAAATACAATATTACTTAATTAATGATTTCATATTCTTTTTCTAAAAATAATGAATTGATTATTATTTATAAAATAGATTATCAAATAATGGATAAAAATAAAATCATTAGTATTATAGAATAATCAGATGAATTCTCAATTTTAGAATATAAAAATCATCATTCATCAATAATAAACAATTAAAAGGATAAGGTAATATGATTTATATTTATGATGTTCTTAGGAATTAATAAATAAAATTTTGTTTTTATAATCTGAATTAAATGAAACAAAGAATAATTATGAGAAACTTTTCAAAGACTTTTTATAATACAGTATAAATAAAATAATATAAAAGAATAAAAATGTGAGGAACTACTTTAAAAATAAAACGAGTATTTCTTTTAAGAGAATTAATAATAAAGTGATTTAAAAGATTAAATAAAGTATTTATAAATATAGAATGAATAAATTATATAAGAAAATAAGGAATTACTTAAAATAAAAAAATTAAATCTAGAAATATTGGAGTAATTAAATAATGAAAAATATATATCATAAAAACTTTAGGCAGAAAGAGATTAATTATTAGTATTATGTAATTTATAAATAGGATTAAAACAAAAATAAAACAGACTTAATAGAATAATATATAAATAAGAATTAAGATTATGAGAGAAATAACAAAGATTTGAATCAGTAAGTTGAGTATTTAGAAATATAATTGGAGAAATATTAACAAGAAAATCGTAATTTTAAATAAATATTTAGATTTGCTTGAATAAAAGATAATAAATTATACTTAAAAAGATATACAATTTCATTTAGAAGGTAAAATAATAATTAATGTAATAGATATTACTAAGATAATTATTGAAGAATTGAAAAAAATTGAAATCTAATGTCAAATAGAAAAATAAAAAATTATTTAAAGAAAATAATTGGCCTAAAACCTACTTATTATTTTTAACGAGAATTTAAGAAAGCCACTATTAAACCATGATTTGACATTTAGGCATGACTTTAATGATAATAAGATATTAGGTTAAGAAGAGATTAATAAAAACTAATTTAATTGATTTTATTTACAATTTAAATATATCTATTAAAATGAACAATATTAAGCAAGAAGTAATTCCATTTTAAAAAGAAATAATCCTTTATTAATAGACAATGAAGGTAATATTCATATCATCTAAGGGTTTGAAAGAAATTAAAGTAGATAATAAACAATTATATATTGTTTCTAAATAGTGGCTTAGATAATGGAAATATTATATAGAATATTTATAAGGGATTACTCCAAATTAAATTAGAGAGAAGGTATAAATTAAATTCATGAATTAGCCTGGAGCATTGAATTGTGATTTATTAACTAATGAGAATTTTCTATTAAAATATTCAATAGATAATACATTAAATTAGAATATAATTAAATTGTAGCCTGATGATTTTGTTTTAGTAGGATATTTAATTATTATGACAGGTAAATAAATTAATGATTGATATTTGGGGATAAGAATATGGTGTTGGTATAACTATACCAAGAAAAGTATATTTTAATTAATAAGGTGTTCCTTCATTAAATGTAAATTTATTAAGAGTATTATTAAATCATTAATTTAGTAAGCTGTATATCTTAATTTACAATACCCAAAAAGAGGGATTCTATAGATATATGAAGATTGTATAGTGAAGTATTGGATTTAGTTATTATGTGAAACAATAAAAAATGAATATTAAATTAATGTTCAATAAATAAGATTATTGAAACATAAACATTTTTAAGCTGATTATGCTATTAAATAATTGGAGGATCATTAAGGAAGTTTTGATGGAGAAATTTTAAATGAAAATCAAACTGTAGGTTCTTATAATGCAGATTTAATAATTATTGATATGTAAATAAATGGAAAATGGCAATATGATTAATTAGATATCAAAGTATTATTCAATAATATTTTTAGATTGCTTGTTATGAAGATTTTAAACACGTTTACTATAAAGCATATAAAGGATGTGGTAAATTTATTTGTGATAAGAATTATTGTAAAAGTAATCCGAAATTTTAATAATTTGGATTTGATAAGAAAACTTTATAATAGTATTTAATTGAATAGTTTAAGGAGGGTAAAATAGATTGGACAAATGTTTGTTGGAATTAGATAATAGAATTAAAACCTATTTAATCATTTCAAAATGATATAGTTATTGCTTTAAATGAATTATCTAATTTTTCAGATAGTTTTGGAGCATCATTTATTTTGAACTTTAATAATTGCTATAATGTGATTAATTACAATAATAAAAATCCAGAATTGAATTTATAAGTAATTTAATAAGTGAATGATTTAATAAATATAAAAATTCTTAAATAATGGACACAGAATTTAATGTAAAACTACAAATAAAATATTTATTTTGTAAGAGCAATTATTATTATTATACATTTTAAATACTTTAATGATTTATTATATTAAGAAGAGAATAGTATTTTAGAAGTATTTTTAACTTTAAGTTAAGAGAATAAAGAGCTCTTATCAAATTATCTTACAATCTTACCTAAAGAATATTTTATCAAATATATATAGACTATTATAGAAATTATTGGAAATTTCTTAAAATAGTAATCGATGAAATAAATTCAATTATTATAAAAAAAAGAAATTCAATTTATTTAATAAATGCTTGAATTTTTATAGGTATTTTATAATTCTAATCTAATTGTTAAAAAGTTAAATCCTATTAAATTTTAAATTGCAGAAATTGCTAAAATGTATCCAAAATATGGTTGCTATTTAGAATATATATAATTTGAGAGTTATAAAAAAAATGATTTAGAAACATATTATTTTACATTTTGTCAATATCCATGGGTAATACCTTTAGAATTCAAATATGAAATTCTAACTATTGATTCTAAAATGAGTTAAAAAAATTAATTTGAGAGTTCTTTAATGTTTTCTTAAAAATTTTTAAATTTGTAGATTGATCGTAATGATGTTTTAATAAGTGCTTTAGAATCTCTATCAAAAAATGATATTAATTTAAAAGCTAAACTTCAAATTCTATTTTAGGGAGAACAAGGTATTGATCAAGGGGGATTAGCTAAAGAGTTTTTCTCTTTATTGACATAATAGTTATTTGATTTAAATTTTGGAATGTTTATACCAAAAAATAATAACTCCATTATATGGTTTAATAAATATAATATGGAAACGCCAATAAAATATGAGTTAATTGGTATGATTTTAGGATTAGCATTATATAATCAAGGTATAAATCTAAATAATTAGTTAATTTGGATCTCTAGTTTCCATTAGTAATTTTTAAGAAATTGATGAATGAACCAATATGTTTTGAAGATTTAAAAGAGTTTGATCTAGAAGTTTATAATGGTCTCAATACTCTTGTTGAATATAAATATGATAATATAGAAGATGTATTTGCTTTGAATTTCACTATTACTGAAGCTATATGGGATGACATAAGAACAGTTGAATTACTTGTATATTTCATTAAAAATATATTTAGCCTAATGGAGCTTAAATACTAGTGAATTAATAAAATAAGCATGAATATATAAAATTATGCATTAACTATTATTTAAATGAATCAATTTAAATGCCATTTAATTCTTTTAAAAAAGGTTTTTGGAGAGTAGTGGAAGGAAATGGTATTTAATTATTTACAGGCTATGAATTATAATAATTAATAGTTGGATAAAAACACTTTAATCTATAGGAATTAGAGGAAACAACAGAATATGATGGATTCGATTAAAATTCTGAATACATTAAGTAAATATTATTATTTATATTTTTTAGATCATTTTGGTAATTTTTAAGATCATTAAATGAAGAAAAATAAAAAAGATTTTTGTTTTTTTGTACTGGTTCAGATAGAATTCCAGTAGGTGGTTTAAAATCATTAAAATTTTTAATTTAAAAATATGGAGAAAGTATTATTCATTGATATTATTTAAGATTCTGAATAATTACCAAAAGCTCATACCTGTTTTAATGTATTTTTATTACCATAGTATGATTCAATAGGGAAAATGATAATTAAACTTTAAATAGCTTTGTAAAATTGTGAAGGATTTGGATTAATTTGATGTTTACTTTTAAAAAATATAAAATAAATATAATAATTTTAATATCTTTATATCAATCTAATTTTTAACTATAAGTTCTAACTTTCTAAGTTGTAATCTAAAAGTCTCTAATAAAATGAATTTTCTTATAGATCTTTTAAGCAATTTTAGAATCTAAAGTATCAAATTTCAATTCTTTGAAATCATCTATAAAATAATATTATAGAAATTACTCTCTTATCTAAAAGTAATGTATAAAAATTAATTAGCAATACGAATATCGACTATATCTTCTATTAATCTTTCTGGAAACTTTGTACCAGTGTTTTTATTAGTTAAAATCCTTTCAAACAATCCTAAGATTATTCTAAGATGAGAAGATACCTAAGTTTTCTTTTTTGTTCATATTATAAATTCTGAATTGATCAATACCTAATATTCTATCCTATCTTTTTCCTCTTTCATTTATTTTGACAACAGTAAATTTTTCATATTTAAATGCTTGGATATGATTTAATGGAGCATCGACATAATCATCCTACTCTGTAATAGTATCTCGTCTTTGACTATTATTGAATTATGGTTCAGCTTAGTCTGCCCAAGTCTTTTATTTGATTTATATTTTTTTATTTTATAATTAAGCTATAGGCATTCTTAAATCAAGATCTAAAAGAGTGTCATCATCATTTAATTGTATAATATAATTTACTTGATTGATCTACAAATAAGTTTGGAACAATTTACTTATTTATACTTTTTACTAATCTGAATAATTATATCTTCTACAGTGGAGTTTTTATCTAATTAAATTTTTGTAATGATATTCTTTTCAGGGTTTTAATCAATAATAAGTACGTCAATCAAAATCATATTTGGATTATTTTTTTCAAATATATACATATTATCATTGGATTGTTATTTATAATTACTTATTTCAATAAGAGAGAAAACATTTGTCTAAGTAGATAAGATTTCTTTTTTTTTATCAATTGCACCAAAAGCCATTTCTGCTTTAAATTCATAATCATCATCAATAAATCTTATTTCATATGCATCAACATTATTAGGATATCTAAGTAATATCTAATCAAAATTATTATTTTTTTAATATTCAGTTATACTCATTCTGATAACTTATAGAATTGTAGTATTTTTAGTGACATTTATTTGAATATTTTATTGAGTGTTAAAGAAATAAATTTTAATAGGTTTTCCTTAAGATTATAAGAACAAACTTGTTCCTTTAGTATTTTTGATAGCTGCACCTAACATTGATTTACGTTCTTTTGTTCCTTCCAATAATTATAATACTTCTTCAGGAACTTTATTATATTCTGTCATATCTACAGTAGTTTAGCTTTTCTAAACAGGGATTTAAATAAGAGGATCAACTTATTTTTATTTAGGTTTAGGAGGAGTAGATCTCCTTATAATAGAATCTTGACTCTCTAGACTATTTGGTTCACTGCTTATACTATCTTTCATTTTTGCAGATTGAACATTCTATTTCAATAATTTAAGCATTTCATCTTCATTTAGATTAGTATCAAATTCTTCTAATTTAATATTAGGAATAGGTTCTAAATCATAGACATATTTCTCAGGAGGAGTATATTGATCATTGAAATCCTGGGATAGCTCAGATAAATACATCTTCGATAAGACCAACTTGAATACTTTTGCTATAAGCTATCAATTTTTCTATGTCTTTGCGATTACTGATTTCCATAAAAATTTAATATAAAAGAAGGAGTATAAATAATTTATCAATAAATATAAGTTTATTAGTTTTTGATATAATGATATAATTGAATATAATAATAATCATATATGATTTATAGAAGTGAATGGTGAATATATTTATAGTTATATAATTAAATATCAATAAATATTTTAAGATTAAATGATTGTCTAATCTTACAACTTTTCACTTAAATATGATATTATAATGGCTACAGCAGGTAAGCTTATTGGAGATACTACTTCTTTGATTGGATTTACTTCAATAGGGAGTATTTTACTATTTTAGAATAATACATCTAATTTCTTAAATATGAAAAGAGAATTTAAATCATTAGATGTGATTAATTAATGTCTTGTTATGGCAAGTGAAAATACTTTAACTGTTTATGATGTTGAAAATAATTTTGATTAATGTTTTGTAGAAGTGAATGATGGTATAAATACTTTGGCAATTGGATAATATTATAATGGCAAATAAATTTAAGAATTAATTTTTGTAGGTGGTAATTGCAGTATATAAGGATTTAATATTTAAGGAGAGGAAATATATTGGAATGTAGCAAGTGATGAAGTTGTTTCTTTATGTGTTTTTGGTTTTGATAATGAATATTATATTGCTGTTGGTACTGCAGATAATTGTGTTAGACTTTTAAAAGGAGAAGAGATTGTATTTTAATTTAATACTTAATCTTTACCATTATCTTTTGCTGGAATTATTTATTTTGATTAAACTTATCTTATAACTGGAATGGAAAATGGATCTATAAAATTACATAGATAACAATTGGAATTGTGGCACAATAATGAAGATTAAGAAAAGATATTTAAACTTATTTGTAATGATGAAAATCATCTTATTGTTGGTAGAAGAAATGGATAAATAGAATTAAGATCATTGAAGAATGGTTAATTAATATAAAAGGTAAATTCAGATGAATAATTAAGTGGATTACTTTATTCTGATCTAAGAGGAGTTGGAGTTAATCAAATTATATCAATATCTAAATCTGGTAATGTAAAAGGATATACTATTGTTGATAAAGATACAGATAATATGAATTTATCTTAAAGTAGTATTCTAACTGAATTAACTTAAAAAAAATAAGAATTACTTTAATAAATGTAATTAGATAAAATGCCTACTGGATTAGATATACGATGTGGATTCTAAAAAAATATAGCTAATTAATGTTTAAATTTAGTTTTCATTCTATCAGAACCTGGTTATTATATAACTTAAGCTATTATATTTCATGACACATATTATAAAGAAGGATACATAGTTAATAATCCTCAACCTTCAGATAAATTATTTGCACCTCTTAAATAATTGGTTGATAATTAGAAAGTGATGTTAAATTGTAAAGTTTTTGTTTCATCAAATCCTCATGGAAATTACTTTTTAATATTGGAAACATCACCTACTTTTCCTAAATTTGCTAACTTTTAATATGTTGATTAAGATCTTAAAATATAATCATTTATTGAAGCTAAAATTAATGAAAGAGTTCCTAGATATGTTAAATGGATAGATTAATGTTTCAATATTAATGAGGATATCAAAAAAAAATTTGAATCTACAAATGAATTTGTATTCAATACTATTAATATTGTTAATCAATAAAAATTATAGATTCATGTAAATTTAGATAATCAATATAATAGTTTGATTCTAAGGAAGGAAAAGTAATTATTCGTTGTGATTCCATTGCTACTTGTGGCGATATTATTTAAGATCTTTGTGATTTCATTTAAATTTAAGATTTAATGACAGTTGGATAATTTCCTGGAGAAATGTAAGAGTTTAAAAAAGTACTAGAAGCTGTACAATAACATAAATCTTCAAAATTATAAATTTCAGGTGATGTTGCTGAAGCTATGAATCTTGTTAAATCTTATATTGTTAAAGCTGAAGATTCTAGAATGATTGGAGATATTAAAACTATGTAAAAAATGTATGCAAATGTAATGGTTCAAAATAAAGCTATATAAAGTGAACTTTATAAAAAGAAATAAAATAATGATATCTTAATGAATAACTTAAAAGAAGTTAATGCTATGATCAGTAAAGCAAGTTAATTGAGAGTTGGAAATGCTAAAATTGCCATCACCAATATGTGTAGAAATGCTGTTAAAAAGAATAATTTATTAACATTAATTGAAGTTATTTAATAAGGAAGAGAAATTTGATTTTTCATATTTTATGTCATATTATGAAAATCTTTTAAACTATTATTAAAATAAATAAATTATTATTAACATATATTAACATTATAAAATTAAATATTATTTATAAATAATCATAAATTCAACTATTTACTAAATTAAATTTATTTTATAATTGTTCTCTTCTTACACATCTATAAATTACAAATAATTATGAAATAAAAGTAATCATTATTAAAATAATTGTAACAATTAAAAAATGTGAAATTTCTTCTTTATTCTATTTAATAATCCAAAAATCATCTATACTTTAATTATTCTTAGATAATTTATGCTAATAAAATAAATGAGTCTAATTATAAATATTCAATTCTCCAAATCCAACCTCTCTTGATTAATATGCTATTTCTAATGAATTCATATAGATATCCTCCCAATTTATATCATTCCCACTTATACCTTCAATCACTTAAATAAACGAATTGACATTATTCTTCATATATCTTTAATAAATATTAGCATAAGAAGAAAATACTAGATCTACTTGATACTTGTTGAAAATATTAATAAATTCTTATAATTTATTAGTAAATAATTGACATTAAGAAATTCCATTACATTATAAGGGATAATGTGTATATACTATTATCCAAGGTTATTAATTTCTGATTAAATCTTCTTCAAGTATATCTAATATCTTCTATCCTTAAATATCTAGAACTATTTATTAGAAAGGATTAAATTAAATGAAATGAGCATATCCAACATCAAAACTATAATATTCAACTAAATCAAATTTGTAATCTGAAATTATAGGCATTTTAAACTATTACTTAATAAAAACAAATTTTTTTGATTGTCCTGCATCATAATTTCCTGGAGATATCATAAAAGGGTAATTTGAAGTAAATATTGAAATATTCTTTAGAAAATAATCACCCTGTAAACAATTATTATCCTCTAAATTAAATCCCATACTCCCTAAATATATAATTCCATCAAACTATTAATAAATTTTCGCAGAATTTTCTAAGAAGTTAAATGTATGTTAAGAGTTATTTACTTTCCATTATGAATCCAAATTACCCAGCAAAATAAATTTACTTGGTTTTTATGGTCCTGCATAATATATCATAAATGGACCATATATAGATTTGCCCTCCTGGATATAATAATTGCTTTAATAATTTTATTGTAAATATTTGGTCCCTATTTAGAATGTATGAGAGAATGAATGATAAGAATTGCAAAAAGTCATCCCATTTGTTTAAATAAGATTAGTTTCATATTCGTAAAATGTATAATTCTCCAAAAGAACAACGAATGCAGATTTACAAAGACCCTATTTTTGCTAGTAATATGTCCTACCTCGGAATTGAATGTTATTCTTATGACATCTTATTAGTAATTTAAAATTGAATAATAATGTCCTAAAGACTATCTGAAGCCATAAGGATTACAAATTCTTCCTTCAATTTCTTAAAATTATATAAGAATATTTAATAAAATAATCATTAGATAAACAATCAACTGACAACCATTTTTATTGTTTCATCCAATAGTTTATTTTTGTTTTTCTTCCCTTGATTTGATTTAAAATATATAGAAACACCAGTTATCACCATTAAAATAGAAAAGATTACCCACATAACAATCTCAAAACCATCATGTTTAGATTTGTTATTTAACTCTATAGAACGATTTATCCATATAGAATCTATAACTTTGTTATCTGCAACAGTGATATGTTCATAATATAAATGTGTGGAATTTTTGATTGTAATGATTCCAACTCCATGATTTGGATTTTAAATCTCTATAAATGGTTTTTGTGGAAATGTTTCATTTTATTCTCCATAATCTGTACCTGCAATACCTTCAATTATAGATACAGGATATTAATATTTAGAAATGATATTATCTTTTTATTAGTATTAAGCAATATTATTTTTATAATATGGTTTATTTCTTTAATAAGTATGTACATGTCCACTTAAATATAAATCTACATTGTATTATACAAATAGATCCTCAAATGCTGATAAATAGTTAAAATTATTTAAACATTGATCACTATTAGGAGCTGAACAATATATTGGATAATGAGTGTAAACTATGATCCAAGGTACTTTCTCTCGATTATAATTTGCTTGAATTAAATCATTTCTCATTTATTCTACTATTAAATGAGTAATATTATTAACATCATTATGATAAACTGCTTTGATTGGATTAAATGATATAAAATGTACCATTCCAACATCAAAACTAAAAAAATCATTAAGATAATGTTAAGTATTATATTCCTTTAAAAATAGAGCACCAAAATTAGCTCTAAAAAAATCATAAAAAGTATTATTTCCATTATCATGATTTCCAGGTGCTGCCATAAATGGATATCTATTTGTAAATACTGAAATGTTTCTTAGCCAATTATCTCCCTATTTACAATTATTTGATTCTAAATCATATGCCATATCTCCTGTGAATATAATTGTATCATATCGTTTATCAGACTTAACTTAATTCTCTAACCAATTAAATGTATCCTTAGAATAATTTTAGACCCAATTTGAATCCATATCTCCAAACACTAACATTTTTTATTCATTTTATGCCAAAGGAATATCAAATTTATATGGACCAGATGTTATTGAATTTTATCTAGAAACAATTGTGTAATTATAAGATGTTGATACATTTACATCTAAATTACTTAAGCCAATCTTAAATGTATGAATGAATGTCTCATAATTATAATGAGTGGTTTAATTCTTTTCATATATTTATGTCATGTTTAATAATTGAGTATCATAGTATGTGATTTAGGATGTCATCAATTATTTATCTGTTTTGCCATCCATCAACTCAAGAACGAACTAACCTCTACATTCTTACTAGAAATTATCAAAACATATAAAATACTTCAGTATTGAAAACTATTCGAATAACATCCTAACTATTTCTCAAATAACTAAAATAATGTCCTAAAAATAATCTAATTCCATAAGGCTAACATCCTTAAGATTGAGTCCACCCCAATAGTAGCATCAGAATAATAAACACCATATTATATATTAATTTAGGTAAGATGAAAAAATATTAAAAAGTCATAATTCATAATAATATGACATATATATATACTATATCATAAATTAACAATTAATGTTATATTTAGTATACTGATAATAATCTGTTAAGTGATAGATAATTTGTACATATACTTTTTTTACTTTATTATATAAGTATTCTGTATTGAGAATAAATAAAAACAATCTGCAAATTAATTATGATTTAAATAATATGAAAATAAACAATAAAGAATCATTCTTGAGATTGTTGAAAAATTAAATGTTCTTTTATTTCATCCTTAAAATCCATAGTTTATTCAACTCCAGCAACACCCATCATTTAACAGAATTCTTCAAAACTAATTTTATTATCATGATTAGGATCAATTTCATAAATCATTTCATCTATTTTTTCATCTGATAATTATCTACCATGTCTTGCCAATGCTTCTTTAATGTCTTCTTTCATTATAAAATTAGCGTCTTAAGTATCAAAATATTTGAATACAGACCATAACTAAATAATAATAATAATATATATTACTTTTTCTCTAGTTAATACTCTTCTTTCATCTATACATGCAGCTAGAAAATCACTATATTTAATAACAAGTGGTTTTGTTGATTTAGTTGTAGATGCACAATCATTATCATCTTTATCCTCTTCCAAAATCTCAAATCCTACAAGTTATATTAATTATTCTATTTCTTCATGACTTATATGTGATCCCTATTTTTATTAATTATTTATACTTCTTCCATTAATGCTTCTTTCAATTCTTATACAGTAATAGTTCCTGAATTATCAACATCTATTTTCTAAAATACTTATTTTAATCTCCCCAATTCTTTTTCATTCATTTAATTGACTAACACTTTCATGACTTCTTTCTTAAATTTAGCACCTATTCTAAATGTTTTTAACATTTAATATATTGATCTTTAATCTTCAGATTAAGGTGATTTCATTGAAATTATAGTACTCCTTCCTCTTTACAATTTAACAGGATTTTAAAATTTTCTTCTGAACCAAGAATGACGTAGACAATCTTTTGCACTAGGTCTAATATTTGGATTTTTATTCAACATCTTTTTAATTAAATCTTTAGCTTCATCACTAACATTATTCCAATGTCTTCTATCAAATATCAACTACATATAGATAATGAGAATATTACATTTTAATATTAGATATTTTCATAAAGATCTGTTCTATTCTTTCCATAAAATGGTGGATAACCGCATAATAAATGAAAGAGCAAAATGCCTAAACTCCAAACATCGCACTTCTCATTATATTTACCTTCAATAACTTCTGGTGCCAAATATAATGGAGTACCTACAGCAGCTTTTAATTATCTAATATATGTATAATTTATAAATACTTAAGATTGCTTGAATCAAATTTTATAGCCAATCCAAAATCGATTAATTTTGGTTCAGCATTTGGATCTTTTGTTGAAAATAAAATATTTTCAGGCTTTATATCTCTATGTATAATACCCTATTCATGGATATACATAATTGCTGAACAGATCTCAGTTAACATTTAATATTTACTTTAAATATAATGTTCTGCACTTGACCTTCACTAAGATTTTTTTGACTTTTTTATATTCGTTCCACTAATTCCCCTCCTTCACAATAGTCCATAATTATGTAAAAGTATAGTTCATTTTGATATACCTCATAAAATTTAATTATATTAGGATGATCTAACTTCTATAAGACATATATCTCATTTGCTAACATTGCTTCTCTCCCTCTTACTTTTCTCTTATCTATCATTTTAATCGCATAATGTTTCGAATTATTATTTCTCATCTTCGCAGTTAATACTTTTCCAAAAGCACCAATCCCTAATACTTTACCAAACGAATAAAGTTTATGAATATCTGCAGTAGAAGTGAATACGAGATCTTTATTAGTAGTTTACATAGCAACTATCCTATTTAGTTTCTTAGGTTATAAACAACCCATAACTTTAATTTTATATATTAAATATCAATATACATTATTATTTCAGTAATAAATCTTTAAGGAAATTAATAAATAATTTTCTCTTGTACATGAGCATTATTGTAAAACTGTAACTTTGTTCTCTGTAAATCTCAAAGATAATAATAATTTAATTCATATTTTTTCTATTTTTAACTTTTTAATAATAAAATTTAATAAATTCTAATATTCTTATAAAAACATAGATCATGTAATGATATGTAATTAAATATAAGTATTTTAATAATTCTGATCAAAAAGAAATGAAAAATCATTAATATTCCTTTCAATCTATATTTTTTAAGTCTAAGTATCATAAATTAAATTGTATAACTAACTATGACATATAATTTTTATTAGTTTTATTGTAACTTTATTCAAAGATAGTTCGATTAATTATAGTATAGTATTAAAATCACATTAAATTAGTTATGTATTTTCATATTAAAATTTTAAGTAATTAGTAGATATAAGAATAAATATATCGAATAATCATTATAAAAATTGAATATTTTGAATTATTTTGAATTATTGAGTTTACTTTAATTCTATTAGATGATAAAATAATCAATTTGATTGATTGAAATTCCTTTAAGATATGATGTGAATTAAATTGTAATTTTAATAATATAATCATTTATAAAATAATTAAATTAATTTTCTTTGTTATCTATTTTTAACAATAGGATTGTTTTTCTATAAGTAAATACTACTAATTATATCTGCCTATGATCCAATTTTGCTTTATCCCAAAGTTTTAATTTATTACAAATTTGATTAACTTGATTACATACTCAATTTTTTTGAATTATTATTTATACTGTGGAGAGTATGAAATTTAATAGTAGAATGAGATTTTGATTATGTCTTCTTTATTTATTATTGTTTTGGCAATGATTATGGTATTTATTAACGAATATCTCCATTTAAAATGGATTTAAGTTTTCTACTTAATTATTCACTTTGTTTAATCAAGGGTTTCGAAATTAATTTAGATGTTGATAAACTTGATTATTGAGTATATGATTTAATTTATTTAGGCATTTTATTTTATTATGGTTAGAATTTATTTAAGAGAGAAATCAAAGATTATTATTCTTCTTCTTGTTTACTCATTGTTAATTACAATAATTATGTAAATTGAACATCAACATTATTACGATTTTAAGGTAACAATATTTTTAATTTATATTTGATTTAAGTGTAATGATAATCTCTAAATATTGAAAATGATACTTTCGTAATTTATTGTAATTTTTTATCAATTTAAATAATGGAAGCATAAATAGATTAGGTGTGTCCAATCTATATTTGTAATATTCTGTTAAATCAATTAATTTAGAGATGATCTCATGACAATCATAGTATTTCTTGAGAAATTCTTAGTCTTATATATCTTATGATTTCTCATAGAAATCTATAACCCATTTCTTATGGGAATGTTTAATAAGATCATCTATATTCATTTCATCTTGAGGATTGTACTTTAAATATAATGCCTTTATAGATTAAATTAATACTGTTTATAATAAAGATGGATAATGGATGGCTCCTTCTAATCTTTATTTCTCACAAAACAAACAATTATTATTTTACATTAATTTATTAAATATTATTAAATGAGACCCATCCCATGGTATGTTAGATTAGGCATTGATGTCACTATTTTCACTGTACCCATACTAATGTTAGCAAGTAATTTAATTTAATAAATTGTTTAGGTTATCCAAGATTGGGTACACATTTTCTTAATAATAGAAGAAGAAAATATAGAAGAAGAAGTAAATAAAAGTTTTGAATTTACAATAGATTTTGATGAAATCTAATACAGAAATGATAGTAAATTATCAAGTGAAGAAGTAATAAACTTTAGAAAGAGATTTGGATTTCAAGATCTTATTTGATTATGATCAAATATATATTAATAAATAAATAACAATCATAATTATTCTTCTTCATCAATACCACCATAATTCTCTATCAATTAACATAAATCATATTTTAATTATTAATCATCTTCAAAAGATTATTTTTCATATTACAAAAATCCCATTTTCTTAATACTATTTAATTCTTTGTATAATTTTAGTAAAGTATATTTATAACTTTCATTACTAAAAATGTTACTATGAAATGGCATTACATCAGTATAATCATATAATTAAGGAACTTAATATATATAATCCAATATTCTAATATCTACACCATATGACTTTAGATTTCTTTCATTTGGAAATGGTGAAATACCTCTTAAAAAATATGATTCTCCATATGATTCTCTTTCTGAATTCATATTTATAATATCTTATGAAAAATAAAACTTATCCAAATTCTTAGCTTATTTATAATTCAATATGTTATTCTCTGGCTTATCTTAAAGTGATGGAATTGAAGCTAAAATATTAAATATATTATTTTAAGGAGCAGGTGTAATTCTTTTACAGAATTCATGCATACTCACATACTCTTAAGTACATTTATATGATGAAAGTATATTATTGATAAGAAATGAATACTATTAATTAAGTTCTAATTGTTTTGAATGAATTTACATTTCTTTCAATTCTAAAGGAACCAATAATGTAGAATTTTCTTAATATTGTGTTAAAGTTAATGATCTAAATTAAGTAAATTTAAATTATATACCTATTTATAATTCTATTTTTTGTATTCATATTTGGATCAAGAATAGAAATTACTATTTTAGGTGTTTTACTATTTCCTTGTAGATCATTTAAAGAATCAACTACTTTCAATCCAATTTCTCCATAACATGTTTCACAATCTATTACTAATTCAAAACCATCACATTAATCTGCTTTTTCTAATTGAGTTTATATATTATCTTAAAATTATTCCACTTATGCTGAATCCAAATTAGTCATGAAAAGGTCATTTTCATTTTCAAAATTCTTTTTATAATTGTATATCTATTTTGAATCTATTTTCAATTCATGTAAATATTTTTAAGTTAATTTTATAATCTATGGTTCATCTTCTTCTTATTCATTTATAATAGGCACTTCTTATGTTTCTTATTTTAATGAATTCATATTGATTCTATTTAATGATTTACTTAGATCTAGATCATTTCCAAAGTATAATGCATGAGGTCTATTGTTATGATCATATTGATGTAAAATAGGGTCTTCTTCTTAAAATTTATTTTATAACTAACACAATCACAATAATATATATACATCAAGATATTAGGAAGTGATTCCTAAATTGACAGCTCTATTGCCCAGAAATAATGATAATATCATAATTTTGTTTATTTTTTTATTTAATCAAAATCTTCTTATGATCTATCTAATCTCCTCACTTATTTGACTCCCAATATTGAATAAATTATTCTTCTAACAGCTTCTCCTCCAAATGATCTCTTATTCTATTCACATTAATTCATATAATATTCATCCAAAAATTCAGGTGGCATAATAGTTCCTTTTCTAATTTAATTCTAAATAAATGATGGATCACTTTCCATTACAGTTTTCAACAAAGCCCCACTAATAATTTAATTATTAAGGATGTTTCCCATAGTTGGTATAGGTGATTTGATTTCACTTCCAATAGGAAAACGTGGTAACCATTCAACTTATACTTAAATATGACACACTTAAAAATTAAAGATTTCATGTTTTTTAGCACTAAAAATTAATGTTTATCCTAATCTATCTCTCTCTTATTCCAATTTCGATAAATTTATACCTATATTACTTGCCTTTATTAATCTATCAGCATCTACAAATGGTAATACTACTTCTCCAAGCCATGCAAACTTCTTTCCTTTTAAATCAACTACAAAATCTGTAGGATAGAAATCAGCTATAGGAGATGAGGTTTCTAACATCAATTATTAATAGGGTCTAGGTAAAAATTATGCTGATTATGGTGGTAATACTGCTAATAATTGTTAATATGGTTTAAAAGGAGTATTAATTTAGAATTCAAAAATACATTAATCTAAATTAATCAGATCTTATGCAAATGGTGCATAATGATAAGGATAGAACCATCCCCAATCTACACATCCTTAATAATAATATTTTAATGTCCATGCTAATGCTTCTAAATAAGATATTTTTATTCGATGTTAGAATTCAATAAATTAAGAAGGTTTTATTCCAAATTTCTCTTAGTAATATCTTTATTTATAACTAACAGCTTTCCATTTTTTTAATTCTTATGAAGATTTTGCTGATTATGCTTAATCAATTTCTTATTAATTTATTTCTGTTAATTTCTCTTTTAATGCAGATTTAAATTTTAATAAAACTTCTTTAGATGTATCTACAATACTAAATTCAGGTGGCATCACAACTTTTTATTCTTTCATTTCAGCATTTCTTTCTCTTCTATTTTTAACTATTTCTTTCTTTTTTTCTTAACCTTTAATTAATTCATCTTCAATTAATCCAACATGAAATAAAAATTAATTCATCTATTATAAATTCAATTCACCACAATTTGTTAAATAATCTCCTATTTATGATAAAATTGTTTTATATATTATGAGTAAACAATCAATACCTCCTTCAGTTATTTTTAAACAAGGAATATGTGGTAGAAAATCATTTCCTACTAAAAAACACATAAAAACAAAATCATCAATAATTCTTTCTAAATCATATTAACCTTTTAATGATGTTTGTAAATCTCTAGTCTCAAAATATAAAAATTCCCTTACAATATTTAATTATAATATTTAAAAATCTACTTAAATTACTTTATTCTTTTGCTGTTATTGAATTTAATTATATTATTTAATTTCTCCATTCAAATCATCAATTACCTTTTCTCTCTTTTTACAATCAGTAAAAAAATGACCTTTTTATTAACAAATTGAACATTGTTTATCATCATTAGCCATTATTGTTTCTCTTATTACATAAAAATATGGTTCATGTGTACTCAAACCCAACATTATTAAATCAGCATCTGCTCCATATAAACAATGTCTAATTGTTTTATAATTCATTTATTTTCTTTAATCTCTTACAAATTAAAGGATTTTATGTTCTCCTTCTCCTGGAATACTTGAATCATTAAAAATAATCAATATATTTCTAAATAAAGGATTCTAATATTAGATGATATATAATATTACATTATTCATTCTATCATAAATATAATACTGCAATGCTATATTTAACTTTTGCATAAACTCAGTTCCTGGAGTAATTTAGTTACTATCAAAGTTTTTCTCAATATATGTATTTAAAGCATCAGAATTTAAACCTTATGTTTTCCAATAATCTCGTAAGCGTTCCTTCTCCTTTTGAATTCTTATGGATTCTTATGCTGCTCTAAATCTACGACCTATAGATTTATTGTGTTATTAAACTTCTTTGTTAATTTAATTTGGCTCTTGGTGCAACACCGTCAATGGCCATATATATCAATTCCTTTGGACGTACAATATCAACTAAACGATCTATGTAGTGAAATACGTTCACAAACATGTCATCATATGTGACTGGAATAGGAATGCCTCCTTACTCAGGATGAGAGCATGGATGAATGATACCATTCATATCTAGATATAGATTATCAATATCTGGATTATTCGATAATATGGATTCATCTGAATTTTCCAAGACTTCTAACAGAGCCTTAGGATTTCTGGCACATAGCCATCTAAAGAATGCAGGTACTCCCATTTTAATTAATTAAATTTCCAACACAAATAAAAATCTTAGATTGATGGCTGCCTAAGTAGAATCATTAAAAATGCTAATGAGTCTTGGAACAGCAGGTATTTTCGGTATCTTCTTGGTTAAAAATTGCTTCTTCACTGTTGAACCTGGACATTGTGCTATCAAATTCAGCAAGTTTTTCGGTCTCTAAGAAGAAAAGTATAAGGAAGGATGGCATTTCAGAATTCCATACTTTGAGACACCCATCGATTATAATATATAAACAAGACCAAGATAAATTAAGGCCAATACAGCCAATAGAGGTATCTCCTTTTAAAATATTCTAAAAGATATGCAAAATGTTCTATTGACTCTTAGAGTACTCCATAGACCCTATAGTGATGATCTTCCAACCATTTATAGAACTTTAGGAATTGATTATGATGAAAAAGTGTTACCATCCATTGTTAATGAAACTATGAGATCTGTTGTGGCCTAATATACAGCCTCCTAATTAATGAGTTAAAGAGATTAGGTTTCATTCAAAATCAGACAGGCCCTAGATTAAAGAGCAGCTTAATTCAAAATTGCAATAGATGATGTATCAATTACAGAACTCACTTTTGGAAAAGAATATTTGGATGCAGTTGAAGCTAAATAAGTTGCTTAATAAGAGGCCGAAAGAGCTAAATTTGTTGTTGAATAAGCAAGAGAAGCCAAGAAGAGTATTGTAATCAAGGCTTTAGGAGAAGCTAAATCTATTGAATTAGTAGGAAAATCTGCCTTAACTAATCCAGGTATTTTGTATTTTAATGTTCTTTTAGCCTTCTTGGATGTAAGAAGAATAGAATATGCAAGAGAAATATCTGCCATTCTAGCTGAATCTAGAAATCATATAATGTTGCCATCTGATATTCTTAAAATGGATGCTACAGCACATAAATGAGTTTTATATTAAGTTATTTAAAATTTAATTGTTAAATATCATAAATTCTTTAAATTACATCCCTTCATTTTCCATACAACCATTCCTTTCTTTTCTATATTTATTCTTCTCCATGAAGTATTGCCCTTAATTTTTGTTTCTCAAATTAGTTTTCTTCTACTAAATAAGCTTTCAATGCTTCATCAGCTTCCTTTGTCCATAATAAATTTTCTTAATGATTTAGATATACATCCAAAAGTGTATTTAAATCTCCTGAACATTAATACATTCTTTGACATAATTCCTAATATGAAATTTTTAAAGTTTCAGATAAGGTTTTTAATGTAAATTTAAGTTCTTCACATTCATGTTTCTATTCTACATCTAATACAACTGCTTCTTACTTAAAGGCATTGATCTTTTTGTTAGAAACATCATATTTTGAACTAAATTATAAATATTAAATTTACTTCGCAGACAATTAAAATTTATTATTAGGTTTTACTTTTTTTTATGATTCTGGTTCAATCAATTATTGTTATGGTTATGGTTATTATTATTATGGCTATTATTGTTATGAATTTTATTATGCATTTACTACAGGTATCTGTGTGGCTTATTTGGTTATTTATTTAATTGGGGTTTGAATTGGGGTCTTATTTGGAGTCTCATATTATTTTATTGGCTCTATATCTTATAGTTTCTATTATCCATCTTCAATAGCAAAAACTAAATATCCATAAGCACCATAGTGTTAGAGATATGAAAATATAATTTACAAGTCATCTTGATTAATATTTTTCAAGTACTCTTGATATCTATGTTTAATTAATTAATTACCTTCTTCTTAAGGTTGCTTTTGATCTTTTAAGCAAAGCTGCAATTCTATCAAAATGTTAAGGTTCAATCTAATTGACCTTAGATAGTTCTAGGATTAACTTCAAATCTTCATATAGAGTGAATCGATCACTATCTTGCTTGGGATAAGATTTTTAGTTGTCAACTTCGAATTTGGAAATAGCTTTTTAGAATGCTTCGAAGAAAGTTAGTCCAGAATCATCAGATATATGTTCTGCCTGTCTTTTATTTTTCATTTTTAATAATTTGGAGGTTAATTATACATAATCAAACTTATTCACTTTTTACTTAATATAGTTCTTTTTAACTTGATATTGTTTTGCTGACGAAGAATATCCTGTCATAAATTAAGTTGAAGTTTAAAGAATGATACAAATAAGATCATTATTATTATTAAATCCAACCTTCTGGCATTATTTAGAAATTGTCATCCTCAATGGAACTCATTAATTTTCCTTCCAACCAAGATCCTATCTTTTTCTTACCATCTTTCCCTATCATTAATCCTTTTCCATGCTACTTTCCATTCAACCATTAACCTTAGAATTATTTTCCATCTGGCCAATAGAATATACCAAAACCACATTTTTTATCATGTTAATACTCTCCATCATAACACTTTCCATCTTTCCATATATATTTCCCTCGGCCGTGCATTTAATTTTTAACCCAACTTCCAGAATAAGACTGCAATATTTACTATACCATACCCTTCCATCAGGCCATTCATATTTTCCTACACCATGTATCATATTATCCTTCCACTCCCCATTATAAACACAGCCTTAATGCCACTTATAACAACCTTTTCCATGTTTTCTACCTCCTTTAAATTCACCTTCATATATTGAACCATCTGGCCAAGTTTCTATCCCATAACCGTCTGGTTTATTTGACTTAAACTATCCTTCATAAATTGGACCCTTCAAGTAATTAAAAGTTCCATTTCCTTCCATCATATTCTCAACAAAATCACCTTAATAGTAGTCTCCATTTTCTAACCATAACTTTCCATAACCATTTGCTTTTCCATTTACTATTCTTCCCAAATATCGTGATTAGTCTTCGAAAATCATTTATTGTTCCTTCTTCTCTTCAATATATTCCTCTACCTTATCTTTTGAGATTAACTTTTAAAACTGCAGAATATCTGCTTCCATAGTTTTGCATTAATACGTAGAAGGGGGACTTTCTTTACTATAATAATATAATACTAGCATCAAACTCTTAACTGTCTTCTAGGTCTTCTTCTGCAAATTAATCTTTTTGCTCAATATTATTATAGCCAGGAGTAACTTCATCTTTATGCTAACAAGATGCACAACTCTAGCCCATCTTTTATATTAATTTATATTTATTGGTTAAACCTAGTGCAAAATAATTAATTTTGTAATTATTTACATAAATTATACTGTTTTTTAACACAACAATTTTCATTATAGCTTGGTTCAATTAACTACTAAAAATAAATATACTTCAATTTAACATAAATTACTGATTTAATTTTCAGATTCATTATATAATTTTATTCTAATTTAGTAAAGTAATTATCAATTATAACATGACTATTATAATTCAATTTTTTATTTAGATCTTCTTTATAATTGATTTTCATATTATTATATAAAATTTTTATTTTATTCACTTATTTTTTTTGATTAACCAATCATGTAAGCTAAATTTTTAATAAAATAGAATCTTTTAGTCATAAAATACCTCAATTGATATAAAAGCATATTAATTTATTTTTTATATGTTGATATGGATCTTAAAGGATATTACAGTTAATCAGATCTAATTATTTTTCCATTACCATCAAAATTTCATCCATAGTTTTGTATCTTAAGAACATTACTATTTCCACTCTCCATGTGATTAATTAGCTTCATGCAAATACCATCCTCTTTAAATCCTTCTGGTAATTAATTGATATTTTCTTCATAAATAAAAATTACATATTGACCAAATTATTATGACTGTATCTTATCATCCTATGTTTTAATCATAAAGATCTTCCATTAATTATTACTGTATTTATAGTTTATTGTAAATCAAATTAAAAAGGATTTCATAATTAATTATAAGATGACTAAGTCAAGTTGATCAAAAGCTCTTAAATTTATATCAATATAATATTTATTCTAATCCATACTATAATTTATTTCAAATCTTTTCTCTGCTAATCTTTTTTTTTCGATGCCTTTTGATAATTACTCATTTTACATATGTTAATTAGTCTCTAGTTGAAGTGTTCTCTTTTTATATAAAATTCTTAAGCAAACAGTATTTTTTGTTCTTCACCTTTAAACAATCACATCTTAAATAACCAGATTTATAAAGAAATTTTAGAGCAATCAGTCCAAAAACCAATAGATAATAACCCTTAATCGGGATCCAACAACTTTCTGAACAATCCCCTACAACTTTATAATGAGACCCAAAAGAGCCTGAATTGCTGCTTCCACCACAGTATAGTTTTTAGCCTAAAATTTAGACAGAAGATAAATAAAAGTTTCATTTAACATATTAATTAGAAAAGCTTATTAAACCAAACATTCAATATAAAAAATTATTATGTCTACAGATTTAATTTCCTCTGCATAACTAAATTAAATTATAAGATTCAAACTATTTCCAAAAATAAAAAAAAATCTTATTTATTAACATAATGAGGAAAATAATTTATAAACACTATTTTATCTCACAAAAAAAAATAATTAAATTTTTTTTTATATTAAATTTTATGATATTTCATTTGTCTATTGATAAATAGTAAATAAATTAATGAAAAAGATAATTTATTTGTTATATTTTTTTTATTTCTTTTAAAATCAATATCAGTAGAACTAACATAAATCAGAATCATTTAGATATTGAAGTTAAATTTAAAAATTCTTCAGTTTAGCATTAATAAGATAAATCTAATATAAATATAAAACTCTTATATTAAAATAAAAATCTAAAAGAAATAATAATAATAATAATCAGTTACCATAAAAGCATTGTGTTTACTTTTCAAAATATCATAAAAAAGAATAAAATAAGGACTCAATATTTTTATAATTATACCACTCTCCTATCATATTTTATGAAGGGATATCGCTTTTCTAATTCAAACTATAATAAAATTCTAAATATGTTATTATTTAAAGACACCACAATATTATTAAAGATAATTTATAAAATAATTTAAATTATAATAGAATCTTAAAATTTATATACTAAATGTATATGTCATCATTATCATTGCTATAATTATTATTAAGATTTTATCTATTATTATTATTAGGTTTGAGATGTCATTTTTTTGTAATGAATGTAAGTACGAAAAATTCCATATAAATCATCATATGAAGGAGTGTCAAACATTTCTGGTTGCATCATATTCAAAGCAAGGTCTACAACTCTCTTATTTTATTTTAAATAATAAATTTACTTATTTTTAATCTTTTTCTCTTACATAACTTTAAATAAATTGTTGACATTTTAGTTTTTTTTATGATAAAAAATCTTCCATTGCTTTTATAAGTGCTGAGCTCTTGATAAGTCAATTAATTACCTATCAATAATATATGTTCGCTTTTTTGGATTAGTAAAGTGAGCTCCCAAAGTATGAAGTATTTCTTAGGCATATTTATTTAGAATTCTCCATAATCTATCTTTATAGGCTTTTTCTTTTTACTTTAAATTTCTAAATACTCTTTTAACATAATTTACTAAAATTTAATGATTCCTTACCTTTGTTTGTTAGTTCCTGATGTCGCTAAATAAAATGACAATATTAATGAGTTACAGTCAAAAAGTATCTTAATACTTTAGATACTTCAGTCTTTAATCTCTTTTTGTTATGAAATGCAAACATACACATTGACATACATAATTTAAATAAGTTTCTTTAATCTACAGTTTAACCACTCTCTTTTATTTTAATCATTGTTGTAGTTTTATATTTCCATACTATAAGTCTTCCCTTAGCTAAATATTTACTTCTTTTTTTAGCTTCCTAATAAAGAATATCAAATTAAATATACATCTAACATAGATTTTAGATTTTCAGCCAAATGTAAAAGTAAAAATATATCTAGCCAACTAATTTAAAATTTAATTATGGCTTATCTAATTCTTTATTTAAGTTTTTATTAATTTCTAATTTCTTTTAAGGCTTCACTTGCTTAATACTTTGATAACAAATCCATTTTTTTATCTTCACATAATTCCTTTTTTTTAGTAATTGCATTTTTCATTCTTAAATCTAATTAATCTTATGATTATATTAATTTCTCTTTTCTTGCTTCTCTAGAATATTATCTAGTGTCAAGATTATTATTTATTTTATCTGTTTCATAACTCATATCAAATTTTTATTGCTACCACCAATATTTATATTTATCATAGTTTGGCTTTTCTCTTTTAGGCTTTTATTTCTTTATAAATTGATTTCCATATAGAAATGATATTGAAATTTCACAGTCTTCTTCAGAATATATTGCTATATATAAAAATTTATCTAAAAATTTATCATTATGCTTTTTATCTTAATATTTAAAATATTTAGATTATACAACAGCTTCACAATTAAATTTTGTAGGAAATGAAGCAGTTGTAGATATATACATTCTATAATTAAGTAATCTTGATTAATCACATTTTACATAAACCTATATTGGTGATTCTTAACCTTATATTTTAATTGAAAAGTAATGAAATCTAAATCTATTAATTTAGATCCAATTATTGCTCTCTTATTTTAATTCAAATATTCTTAATTTTGATTCATTAGGAACTATCTCATTATTTTATAATTTCTTTTATTCTTCTACTGGAAAGAGTTTTTATAAATCAATATTTTCTAAAGGTTCTGATTACTATATAATTTCATAATTATTTGAAAATGTTTGCATCATTTATACTATTGAATTTCTTTGATTAAGAAAGTTTTCATTTAAATCAAATAATCTTGCAGAATTTATTGAAGAAGTTGGAGATTTTACTAATTTTTTCAGATTAATCGATGAAGATTTCAAAGATTAAAAAGAAGTGAATCCAGAAGTTTCTCTATTTGTAGGTGATTCCAACTTTAGTTCTATACCTTAGGATAATGTATGTCTATGCGTAGTTTAGATTGAATTTAGAAAACTATTTTGTTTTGAATTACGCAAAGTTATTTTAGTATTCATATTTAATTTAATCATTTTTTATTTGGTGTCTTTACTCGACTTGAAAATTGACTCTAAGTTCCATTTACAAAAAGATTTCGAGAACTAATAGGTAGAACATCATCCAATACAGATAACTGTCTTTTTCTTTATGTTTTTAATTTTACTGATTTTTCATTGTTCACATAATAATTACACTTTTGCAATTGTAAATTAAATTTATTGATCCATTCAAACTATTTACTTGATTTAGATTCATTTTAATTGTATTAACTAAGTCTTCTTGCCATATGAATATTTTTTTAGGTTGGTTAATCTTTTTTCTCTTTATTTTATTCTATAATTGACACTTTCATTTTTGCTTAACTTGGAAACATCAAATTAGCTAGCAATGCTCTTCCTTCAACTGGTTTACCTAAAAGTTTTTTAGGAGGAGGGGATGAGATATTTGAGTTTATTTCACCAACACTTCGATGTGAATTTATTTATTTTATTTACTTTGAGTTTGAGATAGTCTTTTTTGATGTGGAAAAATTGTATTAGAGAGATGGAGATTTAATCTTTGTTTCTCTATAGATTAGATCTTATAATTAAAATGCCAACTCAAATGAGGAAGTCTATACGCATTAATTTTATTACATTATATAATAAAATAGAGAATTATTTACTGAAATCAAACTATCATATAAATTAAATCAATCAAACTTTTTATTATACATATTCTAAAAACTAATAATAAGTATATATATATAACATTGAATTATTTATTTTAACAAAAATAAAGTAAATATAATAAATTTTTTAGATCTACTCAGTTTTGGTAAAGTATTTCTTTATTCGACAAACGGATTTCAGCCAAAATTTATATTTCTTTTATAATTTTTCTATATTCCTTTTTATACTCAATATTTTTATCGAATATTTTTACTCCATATACTTAAATTGCTTAAATAAAGTCATTGTTTTTAATTGTTTCACATAAAAAGAGCAACATTTACAAGTTTGCCTAAAGTTTAAAATAACTATTACATATTTTATATTATTGCATATTATGAATAGAAAACTCTCATCTTAAAACAAACTTTTTTGTTTACAAAATTAATCAATCTCACTTGTTTCTTGTTTGTTATTTTATAAATACATTTTAATGTACTATAAAATTATATAGTCTTAATGAAGGGTAAAAGCTTATAATAGTAAAGTTAGTGGCTAAATGATATTTATAGAATGATTACTTTAAAAGGAATTTATGTTTTGTATTTTGCTACCGAATAAATTATTTCAACTAAATAAGGCACCAAATCTGAAGAAGTTAATTTTATATCTAAAATTGCATCTTCACATAATGTAAATATCTTTTATACTTAAAAGATATAAGGATCTCTTTTAAGATATTCATTCACAGAAATCAAATAGTTTGGAGTCAGATTCGCTTTAATTCTAATTTTAGTTAATCGAATCAAAGACGCTTCTTCTGATGAACTTTCTATTTCAATTATTGACTAGTTTTTTCGATAATTTATTGAGCTACTAGAAGAAAGGATTGAGATTTCTTCAGATTCTTAATTCTATTAAGTTTATATTCTTTTTTATTGAAATATTTTCTCCAAATCATTATTTCTAATTGTTTCTCTTAATAAATCTCTTTTATTCTAAAGTATCTAGTGAATTGAATATTAAGGTTAATCCATCTTAAATAATAATAAATTATGTTTTATATTTCTAATAATTTATATAATTTTATATTTAAATAAAACAATAACAATTTTTAATCTTCCACGCAATTTAAGAAATATTAATAAATATATAATAATAATATTTTAAACTTGTTTTAATTTAATAAATTATATGAAGATGTTTGAAAATAACATATAACTCCTAAATATACTTTATTAGAATTCTCAATTCAACATCATTAAAAACTCTATAATTCAATTGAATATTTATTAATAAATTATTTCACAATTAAATTATGTTTAGAATTAATTAATTTTATCTAATTTACATTTTATCAGCTTCTTAACCTTTGATTATTCATTTCTGAAACAATTTAGAATTGCTGATGATAATATTTGATGAATAATAAAATTATATACACTTTTCTATTAAAAAATATCAAAAAAAATAAAACCATTTTATTATTAAAATGACAGAATCATAATAATTGAATAACCCAGGCAGTCGAACAAGAATGATTGGGAATTATGTAATAGGTAATTAAGTTTTAGTAATAGGTAGGTAAAACTTTGGGATTTGGAACATTTGGGAAGGTAAAAATGGGTATTCATGAAAAATCGTAAGAGAAAGTGGCTATAAAAATATTGGAGAAGGATAGAATAGTAGAAACTGCAGATGTAGAAAGAGTACAAAGAGAGATTCATATCTTAAAATTGGTTAGACATCCCCATATAATCTAACTATATGAGGTAATGAAATATTATATTTAGATTATTGAAACACCAAAACACATATTTTTAGTAATGGAAATGATTAGTGGTGGAGAGTTATTTGATTATATTGTCTAAAAAACAAAGTAATATAATTGAATTAATAAGGTTGGAAGAAGTGGAGGCATGCAAATTATTTTAAGAACTGATTGCTGGAATTGAATATCTACATAAACTAAGAGTAGTCCATAGAGATTTAAAGCCTGAGAATTTGTTACTTGATAATCATAAAAATCTTAAAATCGTTGATTTTGGATTATCTAACACTTACAAATCAGAAGAATTATTGAAGACTGCATGTGGAAGTCCTTGTTATGCAGCTCCAGAAGTACATAAAATCTAATTTAATAACTTAGATGATAGAAGGATAAAAATATTAAGGAGTAAAAGTAGATTTGTGGAGTTCTGGAGTTATATTATTTGCTTGTTTATGTGGTTATTTACCATTTGAAGATTAAAACACTTCTGCTCTTTACAAAAAGATTTTAAGTGGATCATATCAACTACCATCTCATCTCTCTAAAGATGCTTAATCAATGATTTAAGGAATCTTAACAGTCAAACCAGACAAACGTTTTACTATTAATGATATTAGAAATCACCCATGGTTTAAGATATATAAAAGAAATTATGAAATTCCTCCTGGAATTGTTGTTGGTTATAATAAGATTCCAATTGATTCAGAAATACTCAAATAGTTAAAATAATATGGCATAGATATTGATCATGCTTAAAAATGTTTAGATGCCAATAAACATAATGATGTAACTACATTGTATCATTTGCTTCTTAAAAGACATTTGACAAATGGTGGCAGATCAACAGCTGATCTTAATTCTGAATCTTTTGATATAACTCTATTAGAACCTAAGTAAAGACCTCAAAAAGGTAATTCTAATATTTTTATTTAATAGCTCCAATTAGTTCATTAGTTAATAATGAAGTTATTAAATAGTAGATCAAAGATGAAATAGTTAAATTACGTTCATAATCAACTGATAAAGATAGAGGTAGAATTATTAGAATAACAAATCAAAATAAAATATTGGCAGATAATGATTTAAGTGTGAATAGAATAGGAAATAATGGATATGCTTAAAGTGTATAAGCAAGAAAAAAAGATGAAAACTATTTTGAATAATCACCTGTTATCAAAAATAACAATGTTCCTTATTCCAATATGTTATGTTAAAAATATGGAATCAAATTTAAGAACAATAATGTGACCTCAATTGATTATCATAATAAGGAAGATTTCAGAAAAATAAGTTCTAGGAATAAAAGAGAAATTGACATCATGAATCCCTATCGAAATTCTAATAGAGAACAATAATAATTAAATAGAATGTTATAAAGTGGAGGAAGATCACAAAATAACAAAAAAGATAGGGTTTATATTACTAGTCATAATAATCAATCGTTTGATTTACCTTTAAATTCTAATCATTCAAATAAATAAAAGGCAATAAATCAATAAAGATCAGGCCATTTTTAACATGATTGATATTTAAGTATTATAATCATTTTTTCTTTATTTTTTTAAACTTTCTAATATATTATAATTATTATTTTATAATATTTTTTAACATAATGCATTTTTTACAATAATAAGAATATGAAATTCCTTAGCACAAATAACAAATTATCCAAGCTTGCATTGATTTTTAGATTGCTCTGTATTCCCTTTTATGTGTAAAGTGTGTATGAAAGATTAAAAAATAATTTCTTAACATACAAAACATATTAATGTTTTATACCCTACCAACAGTACATAACATTGGTAAGTAAATAAATCGAAGACTAACTTTAAGATACAAATATATTAATTGAATATTCAATAAAGAATTTCAAGTTGTGTAACAAATTTTGTTATCAGATGAACATTTGAATAATATGGAAGGATATGTAAAATCTTAAAAGCAATAAGTTGAATCTGATATCTATCAATTAAGCCTTAGAATCCATCATATTGCTATTTGAATTACATAAAACAAAACTAATAAATTAGTTAGATCAATATCTTAAAATATAAAAAAACAAATTTTTTATACTTGAAGAATAATAGAACCCAAATGAGAACAACTTAAAAGTAAGAATAATCACTATAATACTAAAAACTACATACTAAACCTGATTTAGGATCATAACTCAAGTTATCAATAAAATAAATGCCAATTATTAAAAAACCTGATATATTATAATAAATACTTGATAAAGTTAAAAAGGCTGAAGAATTATATAATATAACAATGAGAATTTTACTAAATTATTAATTAATGCAATGAATTTAATCAAAGACTTAAAATCGAATATCTATTGAATTTAACAATAACCAAAGATACTTACTACTATTTAACTATATCCTCTCCTCCAATTAAATGTAAATCTATGGATGTATCAAATGCTGAATTATTGATCTTAAAATAAAAGAAGGGAACAAGGTTGGCATCCTTTAGTGAGGAAAATTATTCTATTATTTGGACTTTTGGAGAAAATTATGTACTTTATCCAGAGAGAAAACTAATTGGCTTTAAATCTAAATTAAATAGTATCATGGATATAGTTTATTCTTTTCACCTTCTTTGTTAGAGTGATACTTATCTATAAGTTATCAATTATCATGATAATATAATAGCCTATTCATTTGATTTTAAATATTAACTCATTGACTTTCTATATGTAAGAAAATATGAGAAATTTGCAACAATTTGTTAAGGAGATATAATTTCATATGCAGTCTAAAAATTAATAATAATTTATAAGGAGCTATGCTATTAGTTAATTGTGAATTTTATTGATGTATTGATGGATCAGTCAAATTTTTTAATGTTCTTAAAAATATCTTAATTGATGAATATTAAGTAATATTTTAAATCATATTGTTTAAGTTATTTAATTCTAAAGTACAAGAAATGCTAATAGTTAAATAGAATAAACTTTTTTATTAGTGGCCTTTGCTGAAAGTCGAAAATAGATAAAAGCAATCAAGATTTAAGAGGATTAATATATATGATAGAAATGTTTTGTGAATTGCTTGAATGTCCTGCTAAAACTAGAAAAAATGTTATTTAAACATTTTTCAAAAATAGAAGTTCAATTTATTTATTAAGTGACTTCTAAAAAGATATTGGATTATATGAATTATTCTGAAAATAACAATTATATAGTATTTTAATTTTTACAATTAGTATATTATCTATTATTAAAATTGAAGAAGATAATTAAAAAAATAAATATATATATATATTATAAATTTTATATAACCATTAAATACATTTATATTTATACTCTCTATTTGAATGCTGTTGTGATGTGCTAAAATACTATAACACTTTATTATTGAAGTAATGAGATTGAATTAATTTTTTAATCCCAGATGATAACAGAATCATAGGTACATACATTAAAGATTGTATGATTTACCCTTCAAGATTAATAATTAAATCAGCATTTTCTTCATAAAATTTGAATTTTCCTGAATTTTCTTTGTATTCTTTGTAAAACACAAATCTTTCTATTAGTTAAATATTGAGTAAGTTAATAATTGTGGCACCTCACTAACATAAGAATTCACTTGACGATGATTATTAAAGTTTTCCTGAACTACTTACATGTGAACATGAGATATATTAAAGGCTCTTAAATTTACATTATTTTGATCATATTTTAGATGAAGTGGGAGAAATTTTTTCTTAGAAGGAGTGTAAGATTTCTTGATCTTATCTTATTCCCTTCGAAAGTATCATATTTAAGTCTATCTATAAGTCTCTAAATTGGTTTTTTTCTCTATAGTCTTCCTTCAAAAGAATCAGTTTAGCTATTCTTTCTTTTCTTGTTCTAAATTTCATCATTAATTTTTTTACTTTTTTCAAAATATCTTTTTAGTAAGTTTTAAATTTCTTTTCTTCAATCTTAATACTCAAACCAATTCTATAATTCTTCAGAGGTGATCAAATAAATTTAGCAATATAAATAAAATGAATAATATATATTTGATTTATTATATTATCAAATTTTTGTGAATTCTTCAAATATTTCCTCTAAACTGCTATGCATAACAAAAAAGTGCATTAAGTGATACACAGGATTTAAATCCATATTGTTCAGACTTTTAGCTATTGATCTATAAATTAATATTCTTCCAAAAATTGTAATTGGTTCTATCAATGCTTGTGAAATCAGAATACTCCCTAAATAGATGATGGCAACTAAATATTATTCTGATTGCATTTAAATACTATCATAGTTTAATAGATACTTTTTTATGTAAAAAATATAAATGATAAGATTGGGGGACATCATTACAATGATAAGTAGAAGATGGCTAATAAGAGCAGCAATTCTTTTGAACCTATATATTGCTTCAATAATTTTATAAAAAATTCTCATCAACAAAATGATAAAAGGGTTTAGGACTATAAATACACAAATGAAAAAAATTTAATTATTGAACAATTAGCATTCAAGTAATGTTAAAGCTAATTATAGATTGAATTAGGAGAGTACTTCTAAAATCCTATAACTAAATTCAATATTTTTGTCTTTATAATAAAATAGTGAAATAGTTTAATGGATTTGCTAATATATCAATAAAATGATACCTTTAATTTTTCTATATACACTTTAAAATTACCATGATATATTTGACTTTTTCTTTCTTATATGTTTGGTGAGCTTAGATTACTTTATTCAGTCTCAGACCTCTCTTATTCAACCTTTTTATCTTTATATAATTAAAAAATAAAAATGCTCAGAAAAATTAATGAAAAAGAACATGTACTCAGTTATAAAGCTAATAGGTCTTCAGATTTGGAAGCAAATTCAAGATTATTTATTTATTTCAGAGAGTCACTTACAATAATTTTTTTTGTTGACGTTGTAAGGAAAATCTCACCAAACTTATTACATACACAATGTATCTCAATTTTTTCGTTATTCTATACTCTACTCAAATTACACTAATAAAATTTTCCAGTCATTGTTCTAATTACGCAAATTATTTCATATTCAGATAAAAATTTTGTAGTATTTTAGCAAACTTGATAGGATCCAAATTGTGTGATATAAATAGATGAAAAATTTTCATATTCTTAAAATCTATTGCGATAAAAGTTTTTCAATTTAATTTGATAATAATTATCTGAGTATATTTGTAATGTTTGGTCATTAAAATATGTTTAAAGAATTTCTACCAGATTCAAGTTAAATCTTAAAGGATTTTTTTTAAAGTAAATATATTCAAATTGAATAAAATCTATAAGAAAATCTTCTTAAGTTTATTGAATATTAAATTATTGATTGAATAACGATTTTGTTCTTCTTTTGATTTTCCAAATAATTTCAATTCCATTAATAGCTAATGGCTTGTCGTTTACGATAATAATATTTTGGGTTTCCTCCACAATCTTATCAAAAACCCTTAACAACTCAACAATAATTTGATCTATCATTTCATTTTTTATATTTATTTATGAAAAATCAGAATAAATATCATCAAGATAGTATAATAAACTTCTTACGCAATCTTAAGAGTTTTAATATTATTAAAAGATTTATTCATTCCAAACGTATAAATTTACTTCTAACTCCTCTTCGCATTGTTTCTTCATTTTACTAAAATATTATAAAATAATATTAAAATTTTCAGTATTTACTTTGAAATCTTCTATCTTTTTTGTTAAATTTACTTCAGGCTAAGTGGAATTTTAGGTAATAAATAAATGGCTTGAATTTTGATCTAAACATATTCCCGGAATTTCTTCATTCAATAACCTATTTTTAGGTTTTATTTCTTCTGAAATTATTAAGAACTATTTATATAATTTTATAGCTTAAATTTTAAGGATATTCTCATTCTTATCTGACAAAATTTAAGATGAAATCAAATCAAGATAAATTTATTAATGTAGCTCATCACATTTTTAATTTATTGCTTCAAATAGCAGAGTTATTTTGTTTTATAAAGTTAAATCTTAAAATTTTATTGATGAGCAATTGATTTTTGCTGATTTAATAGGAATCTTTTCAAAAGTATAAGTAATTGATCCCCCATTATCAATAACTTCTACTAAAACTCCAATTGTTGTAGAGTCAACAGAAGTGGGAGCTTATATTAAGAATTAATTTTAAGTTTAAAATGGATAGAAAATTAAGGAATTATCTGATATTCCTTTTAAAAAATCTGTTAAATCAGATTCTCTCAAGAATTACCTAAGTTGATATTTATAAGGAGAATCATTTGATTATTCACAAGTTGTTGCTACTAAAAAATCTGTAAGAGCAAAGTCACTTTAACGATTAATAAGTAATTTAGAACATTTTACAGGCTAATTAATAGATAATTATATATTTTTTATGCTTGGCATGATATTATTAGTATATTAAGCTGCAAATTTAAGATTGATGTTGTCACCAAGATTTAATTCATTAATGCTATTAAATATCTTGAATTGATGAGAAATGAATTTTGGTTGAAGTATTTCTATTATCTAATAGTCATAAATCATTGTAATTGATAGATCTAATAAATGGAATTTTTTCTCAAATGGGATTAGATATGTAAAATTTAGTTATTCATAATTATTGATTTTTCTCATTATATAACCCTTATTGAATTATAATTCTAATTAAGGAAAATCATCATCAAGATAAACAATAATTTAAGTAAATTTAGAAATTTATTGAAATTTTGTAACAGTCACTGTCCATTCTTAGACAGTATAGGTGGATATTGAATTTTTTTTAATGAATTGAAAATAATCAGTTTTATTTACATTTATCATTTATTTTTATTCATTTTTGCATGAAGTATTAAATGATAAATCTTTACAAGCCACTTCAATATTTATATCTGGATCACTTTACCTATCATTTGTTGAATCAAAATCTTCACAATATATTTCGAGATTTAAATCTCTTCTAATATTCTAAATTCCTTGGTTGTTAAACTAACAAAACAATCCAGCCATTTTAGTTTCAAAAGTAAAATTTAAATTTTAAGATTTATTAGAATTTAAATTAATTGCAGTGACTTAAAATGTATATGTTGAATTGTTGCTTAAAGTATATCTTGGAATAGTTGTGTAGACCATTTCAAAGGAATTAGAATCAATAGTAGTATTCAAATCTGATGAAGATGACTTTTAAGGATATCTATCAATTTCAATTAGTTAAATCTAATATCTAGAAGAATCATTTGAAATTGATTAAACTAAAGTGCCAACAGAAACACCAATTGTGATTGTTTCATAAACAAAATATGAGGGTTTCACATCTATATTAATCTATGGTACATCTCCTGCATGAGTGTATATTGTAAATTCAGAATAAGATTAAATAAGGATGAAATTATAATATTCAATTCTAAATTTTAATACTGCATTACTAGGTAAAGTAAGTTTTGGTATTAATAAATTTTATTCTTAGAGAAAGTTAATTTAATCCAAAAATTAATTAAGCATAGTGCTAGGTTCGTTAGATTAAACCTAACAACTCCAATTAATGTTTATTAATTTTCTATTTCCATTGTTTTTAATTGTTTGTAGATATACTTAATTATCAGCATAAGGATTGAGTTTATGAAGAGGTATAAGATAACTAATTTTTGGAGGAAATGGATAGTTTGGTTATTATAATGTTGCAAAGATAAATGTTTTTATAGTAGTTTCACAATTAATATGAGATAATGAATTATTTTTAAATAGGATTGCTTCACCAACATTAATTTTCGAGTTTTCTCCCAGATATATTAATAATTCCTTATTATCCTCAGGGTTTAGAGTACAAACTGAATTTTAACCAAAACTTTGGACAGATATTAATTCAAATAATTATAAGCATTTATTAACTTATATTTAAGAATTGAAGCTCTTTGAATTTAAAGGGAAATCAAAATGGATAATGATCATGCTAAGGTCATCTGATAAATATGAATTAACTACTGCAACTTGACAAGCTAGTAATATTATTTTGGAATAATTTACTTGAACACCAAGGGGTATTATCATACCAAATTGAGTTTGGTGGAGGAATACAGTTCATTTCTTCATTTAGTTCTCTATTAGCAAAGCAAGACAAACATCCGTTAATATTACATTCTAAACATGTACTATCGCATTTTTAGCAATCTTTATTTAATTGATCATCATAATATCCAGATTAGCATATGCATAATGGTTCTTACAATCTATTACCTTTACAAGTTTTGCAATTCAAATTATCTAAAACACAAGTAGCACATTAAAATGCACATTCTATTTAAATAATATTAATAATTAAATACATTAACATAATGTTTATCCAGTTTCAAAATATCCATCAATACATTTGCAATCTTTATCAATTCTCCCTGGCTTGCAAGTCAAACAATTTGAGGATTCCTAGAAGCATGTATTGCATTTAGAATCACAAACTTATTTTAAGAAATAAAATTTACTTTAACAATTGAATTACTCATCTTCATAATACCCATCAATACAATCACAAGTAGGTGGGTTAACTCTTAATGAATTTTAGCAAATTAAACAATTATTTGGATTAATTTTACAAATTTTACATTACAAATTACATTTTTAACATTAAATTTATGTTCCATCATCAAAATAACCATCTTTACAATTACATTAATCAGATATAGATTTACGATTTGAATTTTATTAAATTTTACAACTTAAACATTATTCACTCGAATTGATGCAAGTTTAACATTTAATATTACATTCTAACAATAATTTTGAAATTTACTTTAACAAATAAAATTTTGATCTTGATAAAATCCAATAATACAAGGACATTTATGTAAAATTGATTGGTCAACTCTTTTAGAATTAGTATCACAGCTTGTACAATAATTAGCAGAACCTTAACATGTTAAACATTCATTTGAGCATTCTATTTTATAATTTAATTTTGATTACTTGAACATATCTATGTGTTTTATTCATAATAACCAGGTTTACATAAACATTTGTCTCCTGAATGATATCTATTATGTTCAATATCGTAACAAGTTAAACAAAATGAAGCAGAAGATTGACATGTTTTACAAAGACTATTGCATTTAAAACACAATTCGATTCCAGCTTCATAATAGCCGTCGAGGCACAAACACTTATTATTTATTAATATTCTATGATTTTAACTCATACAAGTTAAACAATTAGTATTGATATTTTCACAAGTATTACACGAATAATGACATTCTAAATAGTATTTAACTTTATATTACATTAGCAATGATATTAATTCGTTTCAAAATATCCATCATTACATAAACACTTATTTAAATCTACTACTAAATGTCTAGTTGACAATCTACATTACGTACATTCATTAATACTTTAACATTCTAAACAAGTTATATTGCATTCTATTTATAAATATATATTATTACATTAACATGAATGATTTACAGGATCAAAGAAATAAGATTATGAGCATAAGCATTTATTGTTGATCAAAGATAAATTAAGATTATTATCACAAGTTAAGCAATTATCGTGTACTAAGGAACAAGTCAAACAGGAACTCATACATTGTTCGCAATTCTAATTAATTGGATTTTCATAATATCCTTGTATACATTCACAAGTATTCCCATATTTAAATTGTCTAAAATTATCAATAGAGCATGATAAACAATAAGTATTAGTATTAGCACAAGTTAAACAAGTTTTATCACATAATTTACATGATTTATCATTACTTTATTCATACATTCCATCATTACAAATGCAATCATTATTTTTTAAGTGTTTAAATTAAATACAAGAAGTACATTAATTTATTGATTAAGAGCATGTCTTACAACTTGAATTACATTATTAACAGATTCCATCTATTTCAATATAACCTATTTAGCAATCACAGGTTTTATTCATTATGTTAAATTATCTGAATTAATTAGGATCACATGATGTGCAATTATTTGATATAGTTTCGCATGTCAGGCATTTTGAATTACACTTTGAACAAAGTTATAAGCCAATATCGTAATATCCCTATTAGCATTTACAATTTATTTCTATTTTTCTTGTCTAAGGACATGATAAGCATTAATAAGATTGTTCAACACATTATAAGCATTAAATGTCGCATTTTTAACACGAAATTGATGAACCATCATCAAAATATCCAAATAAACATTTACATGTATTATTATAATATACTCTTTTAGTATTATTCACATCTATACAAGATATACACGAACTAGAATCTCCAGAATTACAACTTAAACAAGAATAGTGACATTTTTAACAGTTTTCAACTCCAATATCATAATATCCAATATTACATTCACATGAAAAAAGCAGATTATTATAAATTCTATTTGATTCTTTTAAGCATAATTCGCATTTCGTTTCTATATCATTACATTTGAGACACGAAAAATGGCATTCTTAAAATGATTAGAAATCATATTTACTTTAACAAACATCATTCTATCCATCATCATAATATCCTTGAATACATTGACATTTATTGAAACCTGAAACTAATAATCTCAAACTGTTATCCTGACAAGAAATACATCTGTCAAAATTCTTTTAACATTCTTTACATTTATAACTGCATTCTATTTATAACAAACATTTATACTTTCACAAGTCGGCAATCCTGTATCAAAGTATCCTTCTTTACAAGCACAAGTATTTCCTATTTAGAATCTATTTTCAGTTTCCATACAAGAAATACAATTCCCTTCATCCATTCCCATGCATGTACCACATGAATAATGGCATTCTAATTTTACTTAATAATATACTCTAGCAGATAAGCATTCCATTAAAATCAAATGTACTAATTGATACTCCATGAAATTTAGTTTTACATTTGCATGTATTCCAATCTAAATATCTATCGTCTTTGCATGAAGTACAATTTTTAGAATTGTTAATACATTCATAACAGAATGGGCTACAACCTATTTTAGATCTAATGGTTACTTGCGCATTCTTAAACTTCCATTTCATAGTAATTTGGTTAGCATTAACATAAACTATTTTTTAGTTCTCTATGTTAAATAGAATCGCAGGAGAGACATTCATTTTGTTCAATCCCTTTACAGGTTTTACATTTAAAATGACATTCTTTCAATCATATATCTATATTACTTAGACAAATTGTCTCATTTTCTTTATCAAAGTATTCCTCTGGACAATAACATCTCTTAATGGGATCAAGTTTACGTAATGAATTTAATGGACAACTCAAACATTTATCCGGTTGAATATCACATTTCTCACATTTATATGAACATTCTAATAGATATTAATAATTTTAAAAATTACTTTAACATTAAGCAATTCCATCTTCCTCATAATATCCATCAACACATTTACAAGTGTTGCCTTTCAAAACCCTAAGATTAAGGTCGAAAGAACACATAATACAACTTTCTGCATTATTACCAAAACATCTGTGACAAGAATAATGACATTCTATTAATAATGAATAAAAATTACCTGCACATTTTAATTCTCCAATATCATAATATTTTATTGGACAAACACAATATGATAATTCCAGCTATCTATAATTTTTATCGCATGTTAAACAATTAGATGAAAGTGGACCATAACATGTTTTACAAGATAAATCACATTATTGACATTATTGTGAAAAACCATCATCAAATGTATTTGAATCAGTACAAAAGCATTCAAAGAAACTACCTGATTATTAAGCTGTTCTACTAGAAGGACATTCTAAACATGCATCTTTTTCAGTACTGTTAGCACATGTTAAACAAGAATGGTGACACTCTATTAAAAACATTTAATTAAGTACTTTAGCATTTTATGTTATCAGTATTATTATCATAATGGGATTATTTACATAAACATTCCCCTAAAGGTGTTAATTCTCTATAAGAACTTTCTGAACATTATGAACAATTTGTTGCTTCAACTCCAAAACAATTTCCACATGTATAATGACATACTAAATTTAATTTATTAATGCACCTGCACAAATCTCTAAAATGCCCCCAAAATCACTATAACTAACTTCACAATCACATTTGAAAGTGTCTGAAACAACCCGATTTTATCCAGGTATACATGTCAGACAATATTGGTTTTCAGATCCGTCGGCTGCTTAGAAACAAGTTTGACATCTTGCATGGCATTCAAAATTAGTTAAAAGTAATACTTCCACATGTTTATTCTTTAACTTCATATTCAGAGTATCCGGCTTTACATTGACAAACATTTCCAATTAAAATTCTGTTTGAAATACTTTCTTCTACACAATCAATACATTCTTAAAATAAGGGACCAAAGCAAGTTTGACAAGATTTATCACAAACTAAAAATCAATAACAAATTTACAAAGGCAAATTTAATCATCATTTTAAGGGTCAAATGTACTTGGTTAACAAATACACTGCTTATTTACTACTATTCTATTTGATCCTGGTTTACATGAAGTACATGAATAAAAATCATTATATTCACAATTATAACAATAACTCTCCGCACAAAGTGTGCAAATTCCATCTAATAAACCATAGAATGGTTTGCATTTGCAGATACCATTATCAGCTATTAAATTTTTTTTGCTGTCACAAGTGGTACAAAAACTTGGATTAGTATCCAAACAGGTGGAACATATTGGATTGCATACTCTAAATTTGCATGTGCCATCTGGTTATAATGCAAAAGACTGATGACATCCCATACAATTAATTCTATTAGGGTCTAATAAGACACAATAAGATTTATATGAAATTTCTAAATAATTTTATAAATAAATAATTACATAAGCATTTTTTTTACGTAATCGAGTAAAAGTATCCTAGATCGCATAAAGTACATGTATTATAATAATACTTTTCTTTGTTAATTTCATAATCAAATATCATTGATTATCTTGAAGGGTCACAATTCCAATCCATTTAAAAGCATCTATTTTCATATCCATATCCAAACCCAAACTTTTTTATGTATCCTTACTTGCATTTATCACAATCGTATTTATTTAAGGATGATGGAAGAGCAGATAGACAAGGAGTAATACCTAAAAAAAAATTATGCTAACATAAATACTTAGACATCTAAAAGGTGAAAGTATAAATTCAGGTAAAAGCATAAATTCAGGTAAGCAATCTGCACTATGAAAAAACTCGTTTTATGACACCACACAATCTTTATAACCATAACAATCTATTAATATAAATATAATTTTTTATAAAGTACATATAGAGCATAATCGATCTTCCGAAGATCTGGGTACAAACCCCTATCTACACTAAGAACACTACTTATTTTCATTACATTGCAAACAATATCCATCACATACTTTAATAATGATATTGTAATACATCTTTCATTAGGACTTGTAAATCTATTATCATAACCAAATTTCAATAAATTACAACCAAAACCATCTCCAATAAATGGACGTTTACAAATATAACATCGAAATATACCTTAGTGATAGGTGGTTATCAAACAATTTTAATGTTATAAATCGCTAATATCTAAAGTAATAGTCATTTATACTTACATTTACAATAAAATTTATAAAATCCGTCTGGTAGCAACTCTATTACAAGCGAAACGCCTGTTACAAATCCGCAATGAACTATATATTTATCTAAAGTTGGATTCCCTGCTCCCCATGGTTAAAATCTGGGATGACACACATGTTAAGTTCCATTTACTTCAGTTTTTACTAATACTTCTGTAACATCTTTGCAAATCAAAGCATAAGCTATTAATAAAGCAAATAATTACAGACACATTTATGTGGATGCATTCCTGGCATAAATATATGTAATTCAGGACAATTTGGTTCGGTAATTGCAAAACCTAGCAAAGAATTTGATGACTAGTCGTAAAATCTCCATCCAAATACTTCTTTGATGAGAATTAATCTAATCAAAAACATACTTAAATATTAATGTTTAAAATTTTGTGAAGATCATAGAATAAAAATTTGGAGAGTTTAGTCTTAAAATTTAATAAACAAAATTTTTATTTTTAATTAAATGTGATTAAAGTATATTCATTATTTTCTAAAAAATGAATTTATTAAAATTGTATCATCAAAGCCAAATGGGATAAAATTTATCTAGTTTATGTGATTTTGTGGAAATATTAAAAACCAAAGGATATGTTTAATCGAAAAAATTCTTTTTTTTTTGTCAGATCTGATAATTTTATTAATATTTAATAACAAGAATTTTTTTAATCAAAGATTTTACATTTAAACATAATCAGCCATTTGTGGAAATGTGTTATTGGCTTAATTTTTACTTAAATTAAATTTTTTATGCTGAAGCAAAATATGTGCGTAGAATTATTAAAATTTCTTTTATTCAAAACTTTTCTAAATTATATGTAGTTTCAGATACTAAACTCAAAATTAGAATAAGGAACAATGATTAGAATAAAAGGAATTTAATAAATTCAAATTATTAAAAACATGTTTGTTATAGTATTGGCTATTGGCTTATTACAAACGATAAAAATAAAAAAATGAAAATTCTTAAAAAATTACTGAAATGAGTATTTTGTCAGTGTCCTTTTAAGTATAAAAAAAATTGATGGCAAACTTGAAATTTTTTTATCTTCAATATATTCACAAATCATTTATTAATAAGATCTCATAAATTTAATTTTGAAATTACAGGTATAATTGATTAAACCTAAAAATAGTCCAACTTATAACAGTAAATTGCAATTCTTTTGAGGTATCAAGCGGCCTGAGACTTTCTCTAGGAGAAAAAATATTTGCAGTATATTTTTCTGATTTTAGGTTAAACTTACACATACTAATTTAACTTGATTCATCATATTTCACTGCATTATATCTATATTAATAACTGAAGTTTGGCTTAAATATTTTTTTGTAGTATTTTAGTGATTATTATTGATTATTAATCGCAAACAAATAATTTTATAATTTAATCATGATTGTATATATGGTGAATCTAATATTTAATATAATATATTATTACGATTTTTAAATAAATCCTAAGATCTGCAGTAATTTCATGATTTTAAAAATACTTTATTAGATCCTTAGTGTTAAAATTTTTATTTAATTTGTTAAGTAATTTAAAATTTATAAAATGTATATTAAAATAATCATGCATGTTATTTTCATCTTTATTTTTATCCTTGATTGAAGAATTAATAGAGTTTTTTTTGAAGCATTTTAAGATTTTATTAGATTAATCTAAGAAACTGAATATTTCAATTAAACATTTAATATGAAATTTAATTCTGCGGTATCTTGATTTTATCATTAAAACTCAGACTACCAGTATTAATTATTAAAAATGAATGAACCCTCTAGACAATATTTGCATTTAATCAATAAAATCTAAACAGAAAAATTTATCAATAGACTTAATTTATTTAATAAAATAAATTTAAAATAAAATTTATTTTTAATTTTATATCTTTGGAGTTAATATTTAAATCATATCATAGCCTATTATAACATATTCATGCAGTTAATTTTCTAATAAGTTTTTCTAAAGTGCCTTGTTTTCTGCTTCTTAAATTTGAGGTTTCTTTTACAAAAAAATCAATTTTCTTTTCCAAAGCTGTTATCAAAGAAGTGAAATGAATACCCAACTCTTTGAATTTTTTATTATTAATAACACCACAATCAACAGAAGGATAGAATTTGCTAGCTTCAATAGCATATTTAATATTTGATTATTTTCTGGATAATTTATCCAGAAAATATTAGTATATAAAGTTTTACAACCACCTATGCTAATTCGATATATGAGATTGTCTCATCAAAACAATCATTATAAATTTAATTTTATAATGGAATATTTGAAATGAAATATTAAATGCAATTCACACCATCTGTGCTATATACTAGACTAATTTATTTGGATTTCACAGCTTAATCCTAACTAATTAATATTTAATTCTACCACTTAAATTGGATATATATCATTTTTTTGAATCTATTTTATCAATGCAAAAACCTTCCAGAATCATCAAAAGGCCAATAACATCTGGAATTCTCAAAATAACATATTGAAATGAACCTTCAATTACATAATTTTATAGAAATTTCACATTTCAATTTTTTCTAAATATTCAAATTAATTATTACATGTCCTTAACCCTCTCCTTTCTTTTATGATTCTGTTAATTTTTTTCTTTAATCCTATTCTTGTGTTATTGGAATTTATTTTATCTTGCAAACATCATAGATTGAATCAGTTGATATAAATATGTATAAATTATACAACCCATTTAAAGCAGCATAGACAGATTTTACTTAATTACTACAAAAAGCAGAAAAAATAATAACAGCTTCCCAATTTCTACTATTAACTTCATCATTCATTTTTTTGAGAGATATTGTAAGTTTCTTTGTAAATCATAAAATATTGATAAAATATGTTGATTTTGATATAACATCAATATATTAAACTACTATTATTTAAATAAAGAACATATGTTTTGTGTATCTTTAATCAAACTAAAATTTATACATGATTAAAATAATTAATATCTAAGCAAAGTAGTAAATACATTTGTGTCTTCTCGATTACCAAATGTATTATGCATTATTCTAATAATTTTTTCCTCTATTTATATAATGAACTTCATAAGACTCATTTTAAGAAAGATCTTGTATTAATTCCTTTCCCATAAATGTAGAATCACCAAGTACAAGTAATAACTTTTTCATGATACTTTATGAATTAAATAATTAAAAAAATGGATTTATGTGAGTAATTTAAAGAAACTGTAAAATTATATTTAAAATATAGCTTTAAGAATAAGATGACAATAGCAGATAAATATTGATGTTTAGTGTAAGTAGAAAATTGAGTAGAATATTTCCTTTTCCTTCAGTTACCAAATATATTGACATATTTACTGATCGCCAGTCAATTATATGAAAATGGTGTTTCTATAATTTAATTCTGGGCTTTATTATTATTCTATGCTTTATAAGATTGGTATAAGGAAGAGTAGGGCTATATTAAATTGTATTTTGATTGCGTTTTTAAGTGTTTTGTTAATCAGGAGAGTATTTTATTGATTATTGACTTATTATCAAACTGTGAATGATAATGATACCAAACTAAGATGGTTTATGTTAGAGAACTCAAAAATTTTTACCAATAAGATCTAATTGACCTTTTTTAGCAATCAAATTGTTTGTTAAAAGATAAATAATTTCTTTAAAAGTTTTCATTAAATATAACTCTAATTTTGATATGCTTAGCTCATGTTTCTAATTAGCTTTAGATAAGAGAGATGTATAGATTTTATTAAAGAATTCGATTAATAGTTTGAAATTGATGTTGAAGATTTTATCATATATCAAATAATTAAGAATTGGTTGCCTTAAGTTAAGTAATGAATTCAAAGAATTTAGATTATATAAGTGTAACAATAGAATAAAAAAGAAGAGAAGCATCAGATTATTGATTAACAAAAAAAGAATTAAAATAATATATGTTAGAAGAATGGTTTTTTTAACCAAGTGAAGTACCTTTATTAATATCTAATCATGCTACTGTTATTATTTAACGTAATATTAAAAATTTTTAATATTATTATAGATCTAAATCATCCAGATCCTCCTTCATTTAGAAAGTTGAATGTTAATTTATCATAAGAAAGACTATGTATAATCTAATTTAGAGCTTTCAGAACTATGCAAGTCATAACTGATAATAGAAATAACTTTTTGTTAACAAGAGTTAACAAGGAATTTTATTAGAGAGCATATTCAATGCTTTATAAATGTCTAAAATAAGATTTAGTAGCTATTACTATTTGTCCAGAAATTATTATATAATATTCATCCTTCCCTTTATATCAACAACTTGAAATGTCAACATTCTTTCTGATTTTTTATAATATTCCTTATAGATTAATGTTATTTTTAGGTATACCAGAAATTTCATAATTTTTTGCATAACTAATGAATATCCTAAAAACTCCTTTGATTAATTAATTTGGAAGTATTTTGATATTTCCAAATTTTTTCTGATTTACTAAATATGACTATATTCAGCTCAAAAAATAATTGATGATGTAATCAATTTAAAATCAAATGAATAAGATAGTCCTAAAAATTTAGAAGTAATATTAATAAGACCTGATTTTACTCCATTAATCAGAATAAAAGAAAGTAGCTGAAAGAAATAGATGAATTAGATTAAGATTTTGATCATAATTATCAATAAATTCCTAAAAATGTAAAAAAACGGTTAAGATCTTTGAAAAAAGGTTAGAATAGGCATCAAAAAAAAAAGAAGGCAAAGTTAAATAAAGAATTTTTTACCAGATACTCCACCTTAATTTTTATAGACTAAAAATCTAAAAACTGAAGATTAAGCTCCAATAACATCAATCCTACAAAAAGAAGAACAATTTTAGCACCAAAAATAGCATCTATTTTTGATGGGAGCCTTAAGTGATCATTAGTTGTCAATCTTGTTGAATTTATTAATTACCTTAAACTACTACATATAGTACCACAAGAAGTCAATTAAAAGCTTTAACTAACCCTAGTAATTAGTTTTGAGTATTGACTGAATAAATTTAATTAATCAACAAAAAGTATACTTCAGAAATTGTTAAGTAACCTATGTTTTAAAGAATGCTACATTTTATCAATTTATAATTTATAAATTATCTAAAAACTAAGTTTATTAGACATTTTACTAAAACTTTTATTTATTTTAACAGTTGTAAAAAAATCAACTTAAATGATAATGCTTCATAGTAGTAGATCATAGTCTAATAAAAAAAGATTAAGTTAATAATCATCTTTAATTAATATTACAGAATTAAATAAATCAAGAATCTAAAACTCTATTATTTTAAATAAGTTCAATCATATATTTGGATCTATTAAAAGTTATGATATAGAAAAAGAGTTTTTTATTTATCCACCAGATTTGAAAGATTAATAGGTTGATGATTTCGAAATATTGGCATTTGATGAAGAATTTCAAAAACTTTCAGTCAAAAATCAAAATTATACAAAAGGAGCCTTATAATGTATTTAGGATATCCTTCATATGATTTTCACTTAAAGTAGTTTATTTTATAAAATAATCACCATTTTGAAAACCCAGGGTTCTTTTAATTGGGGAAAATAAATCAATTTTTATAGATATCATAGCCAAAAACTATTTACTAAAATAGAAATCAGACGAGGAGTTCTTATGACTTAGGATTGATGAGCTTATTTCCTAGATACAATTTTTATTAAATTTTATTACTTTATTTAGTTTATTCTCATAATATATCGATAATACATTAATTATTGCAGGTAGAATTTTATAATTGATCTCATCTTAGTACTATCTTAAAATATATTTATTTAATTTTCAAGAGCATATAATGTTAATATGTAAGATTCTTTTAACTTAATTACTGAGATCATAATTATCAATTGGTTCAATTAATCCTGAATAAATTATAATGATAATTTTGATATTATATTGGTTTTTCAAATTAAGACAAGATGGCTTAAAATAATTAAAGAGATAGTAAACCAAATAACAATAAAACAAACAATCTGGGAATTAAAAATAAAAGTAATGAAATTACTCCTAAGTTTAATTAAAAAAACCATAAGATGAAACATAAACTTTAAGTTCAAGATCTTAATAAACTAAAGGAACTTAATCTAATACTATTATTAAAAGTTATACTTTTAGTAGATAAATTTTTATCTCATCTACTGATCGAAAAATAGTTTCTCCAATTCCTAAACCTCAATGGATTGATTTTACGTAAAAACCTCAATATTTGGATGCTCCTATCAAACCATAAAATGTTATCAATAATTTAATCAAACTAAAAATGGAATAATGTGTTGAAACTATTGGAAATTAAGATAAAAGATAAACTCTAAATAGATTAAGATAAGGTGAATCTGTAAATGAATTTCTTTCGAAATATCAAGATTCCAAGCATCAGCCTAGACAATAAATATATTAAAATTTAAATATAACTATCTCCTTTATTCTATAAATTTGCTTTTTTGATTATGATTCTTTAAAAAACTGATATGCTAGAAATCTAATTCATATCATGATACTTTATAAAAATATATATAGTTAAAAGCTACCAACTTATTAATTTCAAATAAAAAAAAATAAATTATTAGCTTCATGAATATCTTTAAAATAATTTTGTAATTTAATTCATAAAGTAGCAACAATTGGTCCGATAATTACTGCTAAAATTATAATACCTATTAAGATAATACAACATATTTTCTAAAATTAAGGAATTTATGAATACTTTTTTAGCTGCTTTATGATCATTCTTTGCCATAATAAAGTTTTTTTCTGATTTACCAACATAAGTTTTGGCTGAGTCTAGATTAAGTTCGATATTATCTGTTCCTTATCCTTAAGCGTGAACTAAAATTGCTAAATCAACAAATAGTTAACTTACTAATTAAACTGACTAATTAATAATTTATAAAAATACTTTTTCCAATTATTATATATCTTTGTATTTCTCCTAGATATCTGAAACTGCATTAGTGATACCAATAGAAGGAACTTCTCCATAGAGTTTATTTTACAACAACTATGTTGCTCGCTAAGTGTATATTTGATAAAATTAACATACTTGTGGATCATTACATATTTCATTTAAAAGCTCTTCTGTGGTATTTTGATCTAAAATTTTAGTTTATCTCCTGATTTTCTCTCTCACACAAGTCTTGTATTTAATTGAAATTTATTAAGAAGCTTGTAAAACTTCTTAAACTTTATTAGTTAATGCATTTCTTTGATTGATTTTAATTTAGATTTCTGTTTAATCCTCCTATAATTAAAAATTAGTTACATTCTCATCTCTTTCACTTTTTTCAACATCTTCTTTGATATCTTTCAAAGCTTCTTTTAATTAGTTACTAAATTGTTAATTTTACACCATAATTTATTCTAATTCTCGTGATAACTCTAAGAGATTTCAAATACTTAAAAAACCTTCTTCAACATAAGATGTTGTTGCACTTGAATATTTCACTGACATATCCTACATTCTTATATTATTTTCTTTGATTCTCTTTAAGCATTATTGTGCCTTATTTATTTTAGCAGTAAATTAAGGCATAAATTCATTCTCCTATGAAGAATTGGAATTGTTCAATTAAAATGAATCCTATCTGCCAGACATCTAGATTACTATATTTTTACTTTATACAATTCAATTAAACGATCATCCATGTTAATAATAATATAAAATAATTAAAATGTAAAATCTCTTTTTATTATAATAATATGATATATATAATTATAATGTTAAATAATACAATAAAATATTTAAAATTAATGATTACATACAAAATTTATAATTAATTATCATGACAAAGTTGCTAATTCAGTATTAATTAGAAGCTTTTCTTTTTTGATATCAATTTCTAAACAAAACTCTTAGCAATTCAATTAATCAATCATAGTTGCTCTTGAAGCCAAATGGAAAAAAAATAATGCATATATACCTACTCCACATATCCAAATCAAATAATAATTATAATTAGCTAATAAATATTCCACCAATCCTTCAAAAATGAATTATAAGTTAATTCCAGTGGCTTAATTTATTAATTAATATTTCTACTTAATAAAGCAATGAAAGTAGCTGCTATTGAACTTTAAGTGCTTTTATAAATGAATGATTGAGCAAGTGTTATGTTAATCAAATTTAATAACCAAACACTTATTAATGATATTTTCAACAAAGTATCTCTATATGGAAATGGGAAATTTTCCTCGGAAGCAAACAAGGTTATGATAAATACTCCTGAGATGGCTAATTGAATTAAATTAATAAATATATTATACCAATTTCATAAATGGAAAATACTATGATTAGTCTTATTTCCAAAACTCTTGTCTTTATCATTTTTGCCATATAATATGGTAATATACATGCAATTGGAAAGGTTAATATTTCCAGAAATTAAATTTATCCTTCTGTAAATTAACCTCTCTTTAAGTGAATATGAGCCAAATCAATAGGCATTTACCCTATTCTGAAAAAACAAAAAAACAAAAAGAGAACAATCAAATGGCGATTCGAAAATGCTCCAAGAGCTGATTTATAAGCTTCGATTATCTAATATAATGATATTCATACATCTTAATTAGTTGTTTTTTCATTATGTATTATAATTGTACATGCAACTGCAAGTCCTACTGATATATATGATAAATCTTTGAATGCAACTAATAATAAATCTATATTTTAACTTTAAAGAGTAATATATGGTATCTCTTAAGGAATGGCATAAATATATGTATTACAAAACTCAAGTGAATTAAACATTTTAAAAATATATGCTCCAATAAATCCTCCTATCAAAATTCCTAGAAATTGAGCCAATGCTCCATACCCTCTATCTTGCTTGTCTAAACTTTCAACTAACCAAGCTGCTATTATTAAATCAATGCAAGCCAAAAAACATACAATCCAGAATGTATTCCAAAACCATGTACTTGGATCTAGTGATTAAAAATTTGAAAAATATAACAGAACACTAAGAATTTTCAACAACATTATACCCCAATCCAAAATACAAGACTGTCAACTAACTTCTTCTTCTTCCAATCTTATCCCAACTTACACTATCAATCAAAGGTGCAATTATGTATCTGATCAAATAAGGTAATAACACGACGAATGAAAAGTTATACCTATTTATCTCAACACCTTTATCTATCAAATTAGAAGGAACACTGTATAAAATCAGTCCTAGCATGATTCCTTCAAAACAATAAAAAATTGAAAGGGGTACTAATCTCTTGATGAAAACCATTATATTATAATTTAATATTCATGTGTAATATGGGTCTTGTAAATGTTTCTTTCTTATAAAGAGATCTCTAGCAAACTCTCTTGAATTCTTGCTTCTGGCAAGTATGAACTAATGTTCTTCTGATGTCTATGTTTATCTATTTTAGTACCTTTGATAAAGATTTTCTCCTTCTCATATAATCATAATTGAAGTCTTCTTCCTCTGTATTACTACTTAATTCAGATGATGAATGTGTCACCTAAAGATCATATTATGGTCTAGATTATTATTTAACTTCCTTCATTATTTTATCAACCATTCCCTTTTGACACATACATCTTCCTTGCATCATTTCTAAAGATTTCTTAACAGCTAACAAAGAATTCTCATTATCTATTTTTTATTTCACTAACAATTCTTCCAACCATTCATTCTTCTATATCATTTAACCCAATTCTTGTTAATATTCTTTTTGCAATATTTTTATCTTATTTTTTAACTCAACCTCTTTCTATTTATATCTATTAATTTCACTTGCCAATAATCTATTTGAAATAGCAAGTTCTTTTGCTTTCTTTTCCAAATGCTAATTCTTTTTTATAGTAGGTCTAAAATGTAATTCTGATTGTTTATGATATTCTATTGCATTTTCTACAAACCTTAAAAATTCAGATTCAGGTTGCTTTAAATCTCTTTAAACAGAATCTCTCATAAAGTCACTATCACTTTTGGAGTTGTTAAGCTTAAAAAATTAATCAAACAATTTCTCTCCTTCTATTTCCTCTAAATCTGTTATAGGAGTCCCTTATCTATAATTATTCTACAGAGTTGACTTTGCTCGTTAATGCTTCTTTGTTTCAGCAGGCTAATGATGTAACTATGTAAAATCGTGATATTCTTAACGTAATCCAAATGATTGTGAATCATTTGGAGATCTCATTTATCTGAGTTCTCTTAAATTGATTAATTTTATAGTGTACTTGCATAATTGATTGTTTATTTCCCATACAATTGACTAAGAGACATTTTAATTAATAAAATCTATACTTGAAAATAAAACTCAATTTATCTTTTTTTTATATTTACTGCTTTCTTTAGTTATTACTTTCTCTATTACCTGATTTTAGAAATGAGTTATTCCTCTAATTTATTTATGTATATCAAGTAAATTTTAGATCACTTATTCAAAATTTTAAACAATTAAATAGATATCTTTTGATCACTGTATCAATTCTATTTCTATGTTTTTTAATAACAATTAAAAGAATTAATTCATTTGTTTTGAAGTTCATCAAGGTTTTAGAAATTAAATTAAAATATTAAGATATTTTTATGTCTCTTAAACTCACATATACACTTGGTAACCCAAGAGTTGGTAAAATAATAATAGCTGCTTAATTAGCAAATGTCTAAATTATTAGTGATTTTGTAGAATTTAAAGCTTTAGAAGTATATATCTTTTATTCATATTAGACATCTGCCTTTTTGGCTAAAAATCCTGTTGGTAAGATTCCTTTATTAGAGACACCTGAAGGATATCTAACTGAAAGCAATGCAATATTATAATATGTTGCCAGAGGGACACCTTTGGTTGGAATTACAGATTATTAATAAGCTAAAGTAAGACAATGGTTAGATTTTACATCACTTGAATTGGAACCTACTCTACTTGGTTTACTATTACCAATACTCGGTTATGAATAAACAACACCCTAAAAATAAGAGGAAATTAAGAAAGAGTTAAATTGGAAATTAAAAATATTAGAAAATCATTTTAAAGCAAATAATTTTTTAGTTGGTGAATTATTGACAATTGCTGATTTAAATTTGGCAACTTATTTCTAAAGAATATTTTCATTTGCATTTGATAAATCATATAGAGCTACAATACCAAATATATCTAGATGGTATAAATATATATCAGAAATACCAGCATTTGTGAATGTAAAATATAAATGTATAAATCTAGTATTATGGAAAAACAAAATATTGTATAAAAGCATTCCCATTTTAATATGAATAATAATAATAATAATAATAATAATAATAATAATAATAATAATAATAAAAATTGTAAAAATAAAAATAACCATAAAATACATAATAACTATAATAATAAAAGGCTGCTCCCAAAGATGAAGATGAAGAAGAAAAACCAAAAAAATAATAATGTGAGTTTGATTTATTACCATAATCTACTTTCAACATTGATGATTGGAAAAGATAATTTTTAGCATCAAAAGATTTTGCTGCAGAATTTAAAAACTTTTGGAATATATTTGATTCTTAAGGATGGTCAATTTGGATTATTAAATACATTAAGGCTGAATAAGAAGGAAAAGTTTTGATTTCATTTAGAAATAATTGCAATGGATTTCTTTAAAGAACTGATCCTCATTTTAAAAAATGGGCATTTGCTATTCATGGTGTCTATGGAGATGTTCCAGATCTTTAAATTAGTGGAGCTTGGATATGGAGAGGAACTGAAATTCCATAGTATTTAGTAAGAGTTTATTTTAATTTTATATAGAAAGATCATCCAACATTTGAATATTTATAATTGAGAAAACTTGATGCTTCTAAATAAGAAGACAGAGCATTATTTGAAGAATATTGGCTTAATTAAACTGAAGATGAATCAAAGGTTTAAGGACTTACAGCAAGAGCCTTATATTATTTTAGATGAATTAAATATGTATAAAAAAACAAATGTAATAATGTACACAAATTTTATCAATTTTTTATGTCAAAATTTCCAATTTTATCTCTTACTACTGATTATAATACTCCTCCTCTTCCACATGGTTATCTAAAATTAAGTCTTTGGAATGCCTAGTCATATCTATGATTGTTAATTTAAAGTATACGTTTTTTTATGAGGAAATTCATGAATGTTAACAAATCTTTTATCCATAATAACTCCAAAAAACAAGTTCAAAGCAAATCCAATAATTATCTCCAACAATATCTATCAGATTTATAAATATTAATACATCTAAAGGTATATGGTATTAATCAGCCATGTCCTTATAGATTAAATGCTTTCTATATCTAATTAATGAAATGGCTGAATGAAGCAATAATAAAAAGCCAATTACCTTTAGCATAAATTATATTAATTTAATATATATAATCAATAATCATCATTGTTATTATTAAATTTTTATTAATCTAATAAGCTGACTTCAGTATTTTCCTTTTCAATTCTATCATCTAATTGAATATCTTATTCTGATCTTTTAAGGTTTTCGTTAATTTTCATAGTCAAAAAATTAGAGCTACTAATCAAAATTAACATAAATATCATAGCCAAAGTTGAACATAATTAATTGTCTCCTAATTAAGAAGTATAGATACCTTGAGGATTAAGATTTCAGGAATTCCTTACAAAAAATTAAGAAGGTTACCAAAGAACCCTAACATGGCTATTGTAGTGTTTTCACTCAATGGTAAACATAATTCACAAGAGAATTCAAAAGTCAAAGCCATTACGGCAGAACTTCCACATAATAAAAAATAAACAATAAAGAAGAATATTTTGTTTACATGAAGAGCTAGTATGAGAATTCCAAAAAGTACAGTCACTAAAATATTACAAATTCTCAACAATTTTTTATAAGATTATGACCTCTTTATTGCAGTTCCAACACAAATATCTCCAATCAAACCAGCAATTACTCCCACAAAAACTAAATTACTTTAATCTTTAAGAGAATAATCGAAGGGTGATATTAAATATTCCATCTACAAAGTAAATAATGTTATTGTTCCTAAGATAAATGCAAAACTAATAGTTAACAATATGAAATCAGGATTGTTAGCCACAATAACATTGGCTTAGTGATAATCTTCTCTAACGCATTCCTAATGACATAATATATATACATCTGAAGCACTATAACTAGGAGGAATAATTGGCTTACTTAGGGAAAACAAAATTGGTGGTACACATAATAAAATCATCAACCCAAATATCAAAAACATTAAACTCTCAATTAAAGCACGTCCTAATTCTATCTAATCATCTGTTGGATGATCGTGTATCTAAAAGTCTCCTAAAACAATTAATGAAATTCTAATAGATATTCCTGAACTTGCATTAAAAACTAATGCAATGATTCCATTATAAGAATTCTATTTTCAGGAAAAAACCAATTAGCAACAAATTTAGAAGCACTAATCAATCTAAAAGGAAATCCTATTAAAGAAATCAATTATCCAATAAAGAAAAACCAAAAAGAAACATTGATAAAAATTGCAAATATAGAATCTATAAAAGTTAACGCACAACCTTAAATACTCCAATCTTTCATTACCTATCATAATACTCATTCTAACTCCATATTTTTCATTAAGAATGTTTCCTGGTATTATCATGATTACAGAAAAGACAGTAAAACTTATAGTCAAAAATTACAAATATCTTCATCATTTAAATGATTTCTTACCTACTATCAACTTGATAAACTAATGAGATTTCCTTAACAATAGGGGAAAGTGAAAATCCAAACATAATGTTAGAAAGTAAAGCACACAAAAACAAGATTAATTGTAGCCAACGTTAAGGATATTCAACATATTAATGATGTATATTATCTGTTGGATATAATTTATTCATTAATCTATATATTAAATATATTCATCAAAAATATAGTTTCTTTTTATCATTTATTTATGCAATTTCATCAATTCTCTATTTTGCAATATCCTTATCCTTCTTAGCATAAATCGAATACCCTTTCAATGTAGCATTCCTTTATGCATTTTATAATTCTCTTATATCTTATTATGCACGTAAACTTTATTAAATACTGTTTAATTATTCTGAATTTTATTCTTTGTCACCAGTTAGAATTTCAAAACTTCTACTATATACAGCATTTAAAGTAGTTGTGTGCTTACGAATTATTTTTTCACTCTCCTTAATTTCATTGAGCAAAGTCTCCTTATCAAAAAAGGAAGTCTTCTTACTATAATTATTTAGAACACTAAAAGTATCTACTCTTTATCCATAAACATTTAATTTTTAAATTTCATCAATTGGTTTATAATTATTTTCTTAAGCTTTAGTATCTTTAGTCTTAATAGATAACTTCCTTGTTGAAGGTCTTTTAAAAAAGATATCCTTGCCCAATTTTGGAATCTCCTTATCTAATTAATCTTCAACATTTGGATTTTGCTAACAAGTTGTAGTTGTATTCTCAATCTTCAAGTTCGTATAGTTTCCAACATTTGTTTATAAAGAATCTATTCCTCTATTTAAACCTAATGAATTAGGAATTACTCTCTTTTCTGATATAGTTGGGTTTGAATTTAGATTCAAAATGTCTAAATTAGTTCCTGAAGGATTTCTGTAATGCTCAATCTTTGGATCAGTCCTTAAGATTAACCCTTCTTGAAATTAGAGTGTTTGGACATAGAAATACACATCCTATATGGTTTTTAATTCATCTAATAGCACAGTTTTGAATTAGCTAAGTCTTTATCTAGTTAAAATTAATGGATCCTTAATTGTGGGAAGTAATTTATTTAAAAATTCACAAATACACTTCTTTAACAATAGTATTTCATCCTAAGTATTCATTAATAATATTTTTATATATATAAAATTTCAGTCAATTAGATTTATTAAACTGTTCAAAAATATCTTAAAAATCATGTAAAGTAAAATATTTTAATCTTTGATTTTAATATCATTTCTCTAATCTAATTAGTTGTCTGACTTAGAACACTACAAACTATTTTATTAAAACTTAATATTTTTTTGAAAACTTTATTGTCTCAATTTATCAATTAATATCTCTTTTATTTATGTTAAATCTATAATTATATAATAATTCCAACCTTCTGTAATACTCTAATTATTGATTATAATTAAATTAATAAATATTAATAAATGATAATTTTTCATCTCTATTAGATTGATACTTATTGAAAATAACATTCAATTAAGTATATAAATCTATTAACAGTTTAAATATGTTAGAGTTTATTTTTTTTAAATTTCAATAGAAAATCCTCTATCTAATACAAAATTCTAACGACAATGTTCTAAATACTTTATGAAATTATATTTTTATCAAATAATTTTTTTTTAATATTTAGTATTATTCCTTTTTTATAAAATCTATTTATATTCTCAACTAAGAATTTTACTATAAATATCAAACCTTGTTAAAATTTTATGGTATTGACTTAAATTTTATTAAAATAACTTAGAGTTAATAAAATTAATTATTAATCAATCATCAATTATCAAATTTAAACAAAGAGTATATTTAATTATTCAAATATAGAATTATAAGCTTTAAATTTCTATTCAACAAATAAATTTTAATATCTTTTTTATGTCTCATATAATCATCTATTTGATTGAAATCATTTTGTTGTTGAATTTTTGAGACAATTAAAAAAGCTGAGAAATTTGGTTATAAATATTAAGGTAATTACTATTGTATTTATTACCATCAATTTCCTTAAGAATAGATGTATGGATTATTTCATTCAAATTAATAATTGTAGGTGGAACATATTCTTATTTAGTCATTAATATATTCTTAAAATCTAATAAATACTTTCATTTTTGAGTAGTTGATAAATAAATTGCAAATGTAAAGAATCCTTTTATATTAAATTTAATTTATTTTTAATAAAAAAAAAATGTAAAATTAAGAACTTTTGTCAGCAATAGTAGATTGGATGAATAAAATCACCTTTTTAAAATATCATACAAATTTTAAAGAATATGTTGATGGTACATTATTTATTCAAATTTTAAATCATATTAACACCGATCACTTTGGATCTATATTTCATGTATGATTTAAATAAAATTCATTTAGGTCTTAGAAAATTAATCATATATAGATAATTGGGCTCTGAATATGTCTAGATTGAAATTAATAGTTGATAAATTAACAGATTATACACACAAATAATTAGATTTAAATGTTATGGAAATAGCAAAAGATAAAAATGAGACTTAGATTTTAAAACTATTTGGAATAATTTGTTAAGTTTTTATTATTTCTATGTTTTTAGCTAATTTTATAGAGTGATTTCTAAGATGATTTTTTTGTAGCGGTCTTATAATTACCAGAAAAAAAGCAAGAATTAATTTCCTAATTTTTATAGANTCTATTTATATTCTCAACTAAGAATTTTACTATAAATATCAAACCTTGTTAAAATTTTATGGTATTGACTTAAATTTTATTAAAATAACTTAGAGTTAATAAAATTAATTATTAATCAATCATCAATTATCAAATTTAAACAAAGAGTATATTTAATTATTCAAATATAGAATTATAAGCTTTAAATTTCTATTCAACAAATAAATTTTAATATCTTTTTTATGTCTCATATAATCATCTATTTGATTGAAATCATTTTGTTGTTGAATTTTTGAGACAATTAAAAAAGCTGAGAAATTTGGTTATAAATATTAAGGTAATTACTATTGTATTTATTACCATCAATTTCCTTAAGAATAGATGTATGGATTATTTCATTCAAATTAATAATTGTAGGTGGAACATATTCTTATTTAGTCATTAATATATTCTTAAAATCTAATAAATACTTTCATTTTTGAGTAGTTGATAAATAAATTGCAAATGTAAAGAATCCTTTTATATTAAATTTAATTTATTTTTAATAAAAAAAAAATGTAAAATTAAGAACTTTTGTCAGCAATAGTAGATTGGATGAATAAAATCACCTTTTTAAAATATCATACAAATTTTAAAGAATATGTTGATGGTACATTATTTATTCAAATTTTAAATCATATTAACACCGATCACTTTGGATCTATATTTCATGTATGATTTAAATAAAATTCATTTAGGTCTTAGAAAATTAATCATATATAGATAATTGGGCTCTGAATATGTCTAGATTGAAATTAATAGTTGATAAATTAACAGATTATACACACAAATAATTAGATTTAAATGTTATGGAAATAGCAAAAGATAAAAATGAGACTTAGATTTTAAAACTATTTGGAATAATTTGTTAAGTTTTTATTATTTCTATGTTTTTAGCTAATTTTATAGAGTGATTTCTAAGATGATTTTTTTGTAGCGGTCTTATAATTACCAGAAAAAAAGCAAGAATTAATTTCCTAATTTTTATAGACTTTAGTTGAACCATTTTCATAATCTGAGGATAAAAGTTTATTGGATAAAATAGATGAATTAGAAACAGAAAATTAAAAATTAATCCATTAAAACTAAGTTCTAATGAATGAAATTATAGAATAAAAGATGTCTATCAAAAAGTTGGATTAAGAGAATAAAGAAAAGACTGAACAATTAGTTATGTTGGAATCTCATGGTAAAACGTACATTTATTAGCAATTTAGAGAGAAAATCTTCTTTTAATGAAGAGAAAATTAAAGAATTAGAAGAATTAAATAAATAATTATGGTCAACCTAATAAAAAACTAGAGAATTAGAAATTAAGGTTTAGTAATAGATAAGTTAAATAAAGGAGGCTAATTTATTAAAAGATAATACACGATTAGAGAATGAATAATTGAAACTTAAAATCATGTAATATATAAAATAAGAATAAAAATATGAATAAACCAAAGAAAAATTATCATAATAAAAACTATGTTATACTAAACTTATAGAAGATAAAGATAGATAAATAAATAAATTATAAACCTCTTTCTAGGAAATATTTAATTCCTTTTAAAGTGAAAAAAAAAGAACTTTATCATTAGAAGCAGAAATTCAATCACTTTAATAAAAAATTGCTGATATTAATAATGAATTTCATTAAAAAGAAGTTTCTTTGAATGAAAAAATTAGAGAAGCTTCAAGAAGAGAATCTAGATTGAATTCTTTTGATGTTACTGATTTAAGACAAGATTCTCGGATGAATACTAATGATCAAATAAACCTTGCTTAAGATTTAAATTAAAATAATGATTAATATTATGCATTACATATGAGTATGTTAATTTAAGAAGAAAATTATAAGAAGGAAATAGATATGTTAAAAGAAAAACTACAAAATTAAGAATAATAGATTAAGGCTTGGAAATAAATTAATGAAAGATCTGAAGTTAAAATCAAATAATTAGAGTCCAAAACTATATTAGTTTAAGATAATTAATCTTCTATACATATTGCATAACAGAATGAATAAATAAAACATTTAACAAATATGCTTAATTCATTTAATGATAAGTTTATTAAAATAAGGGATGAACACTTAAGACTTTTAAAAACTTGTTAATGATGATAAATATATGTATATTATTTATTTATGATATTGATATATATTAAAAAAATAAAAATAGTGAAAAAATTAATATCATCAACTCAAAATATATAATAAAAAATTAATTATTATATATTTTCCAATAATAGAAATTAAATAGGTTGCAAAAACTATTAAAAATTATAAATTTGATGCATATCCTAATTTTTAAACATTCGAATTTAACAATATACATTAGAACAATTTCTTATGATATTCAAATTTGATAAACTAATTAAAGCAAATATAAATAAATGCTTTGTTGTTTTTGGATGATCTTAAGAAAGAAAATGAACATTCAAATAATACTGAGAAGTTTAGTTGAAGTTTTTTGATTTTTTGGTATCTAGAATTTAAAGAGAGTAAAATAGTATGTCTAATCTTAAGTTATCAATAACAGTGGGGATATTTAATTCTCTTTGCTTTTGTGGTTTAATGTAAAAAATCTTAAAAACTATTGCCTTACAATTCAGTAATTGATACAAATTCTGAGCATAGAGTGGATTATTTTTATAAATTCAGAGATTTTATCAAATGCAAGCATATTAAATTATATTAAGTGTTTCAATAGGAAAATTAGATAAGAAAAATACTTATTATGATAACAAAATTAGAAATCTTCATTTTTATTAAAAAATAGAAGAATCAGATGTATTATCATAATAATTATGATGAATTTATCAATAAAATTTTAAGAATAATTTATATCCTTAATATAATAAATTTATAATCTAACTTTTCTTAAAACTTATTCCAAAAGGTTTTTTCCTATTTTCTTTTAAATTATCAAAATTTACTAAAATAAATTGGTTTTATTCAAATTATTCAATTTTGATAATTGATGGTTAAGAAAAAAAAAATTAATTAAAAAGATTACCTTAATTAATATATCTAAATATCTTAATTAAAACTTGAATAATAAAGGAAATGGAAAATCTAATGCATTAGTATAGTTAGACTAGGAAATTTGAGTTAAAATAAAAGAGATAAATTAAATATAATATATTTATTTTATTAATAAATAAATAAATACAATCATTAATGGGTAATATTTGTAGGTAAAGTCCAATTAATGATAAAAACGATTAAGAGGTTACTTTATCTTAACCTCCTCCTATTTAATAGATGCAGCCTCAAAAACATGAAGAAGTTAAAACTCAAATACCTGAAAAATAAGAAGAACCAGGTTAATCAATTGATTAAGCAAAATAAGAGAATGAAGTAATGATGAAAATTCTATGTAACTTAGCCTAAAAGAAAAGAGCAAAAGAAGATGGGAAAAATAGCTGCAGTTATTGATCAAGAAGTCATCTATGAAAATGTTCAAAAATAAGAAAAAATAAAAAGTCCATTTGATTATTAATTGCTTTTGAATGCTTTTGGAAATAGTTTTATTTTTGGATAATTACAACCAGAGGACAAGTATAAAAATATTTTTAGTAGATAAGAGTGAAAGTAATTGATAAAATGTTTTATTGCACAGTTCCTGATGGATAAATGGTTTTTAAGCAAGGTGATAAGGCAAGTTCATACTTTCTAATTGAACGTGGATAATGCTAGATTATAATCAATAATGAAATAAAAAAAACTTTAAAAAGTGCTGAAGCTTTTGGAGAACTAGCTTTATTATATAATGCACCAAGATCTGCTTCAGTTAAGGCAGTAGGAGGTAATAATATATATATTTTTTAGATTGTGCATTTTGGGCAATTGATAGAAATACTGTAAGAAAAGCGATAGAATTAATTTCATAAAAAGATTATGATTAAAATAAGGAATTTATTAATAAAGTGTAGTTTTTTGGTAAAAATTAAAAATTATATAAATAGAATCATTAACTGATGATTAAAAAGCAGCAATACCATCAGCCTTAATAAATTTAAATTTTAAAGCTGGAGAGATTATAGTTAATGAAGGAGATCAGGCTGATTCATTCTTCATTATTAAAAAAGGAGAAATTTAAATATCTAGAGGAGGAAAGGAAATAAGAGTAATGAAAGAAGGTGAATCTTTAGGAGAATAAGCTTTATATTAAAATTCTGTTAGAGGAGCTACAGCAAAGGCTATTAAAGAAGATGTGACAGTTTTAGCTTTAGCAAGGGATGATTTAACTAGAATATTAGGAGATAAGATACAGTTGATTATGTATAGTAATCTTTAGAGATGGGCATTTGAGAGACATGTTGTACTTAGTAAATTGACAAAGTTGTAAGTAGAAAGAATAGTCAGTAATATGTAATAAAAACAAAAGAAGAGTGAAGAAATAATCATAGAGAAAGGATAAGTTTGTAGAGAGATAATTATTGTATTGTAAGGGTCTATAAAATATGGAAAAGAAGTATTAGAAAAGGGATAAATGTTTGGAGATAAATTTTTAGATTAAGGAGAAAATGTTAAGCTAGGAGAGGCAGTTATAATGAAAGATGAAGGAATGATTGCAATAATAACATTTAAATAGTTTTTTGAGATTATTGGAGGATCTTTAGAATAAATATTTGCTAAGAATGAAAAAGCCCATGATAGATTTATAAAAAAAGAGGAAGGTCAAAAATAAGATATTTATAAGCATTTTTAGTTGGATTAATTGATTTATGTGAAGAAATTGGGTTAAGGATAATTTGGAAATGTTTATTTGGTCCATAATAAAATGGATAAAAAGATATATGCTTTGAAATGTATATCAAAAGCTTAAATTATTGAATAAAATCTTGAAAAGCATTTGGCCTAAGAAAAAATAGCTTTAGAAACTGTTAATTTTCCATTAATAATGCATTTTGCTAGAAGTTTCAAAGACAATACTTATATTTACTTCTTGGAAGAATATATTAAGGGAATGGAGCTTTTCGATGTAATCAGAGATATTGGATTGCTTAATACTTATGATTCACAATTCTATATAGGATCTTTGATTTTGTGTATGGAATATTTACACTTGAATAATATCATTTATAGGGATATTAAACCAGAAAATATAATGATTGATGAAAAAGTATTATCAACATTTATAAATATTAGGGATTCATGAAATTGATTGATTTAGGAACAGCTAAGAATTTAAAGAGTAAAAATGGTAGAACATATACAATTATTGGAACTCCACATTATATGGCCCCGGAAATCTTAACTGGAAAGGGATATACATATTCAGTTGATCTATGGTCTATAGGAGTCTGTCTGTATGAGTTTATGTGTGGAAATGTTCCATATGCTGAAGATGCAGACGACCCGTAAATTTGTTTATGAATTATCTATTAGATATGAAATATATGAGGAAATTTAAAAGAAATAGTTAACATTTCCATCAGTATTGAAGGATAGAAAAGCAAAGAAATTGATAGAGTAATTGCTTAGTAAAACACCAGAACTTAGATTAGGATCATCTTATGCTAGTTTGAAAAATAACCCTTTTTTTGAAAGATTTGATTATGTAAATTCCAATATTTAAAATTTAGGATCTTCTCATTAATAGAGAATTAAAACCTCCTTATTTGCCACCTAAAAATAAATTACATAGTGATAAAGATGTTTAAAAAGCTATCTAGGTTGGTAAATTGATTACCGAAGAAATTAAAGTATAGTGTAATTAATAGACTAGAATGATCTTGCTACAGCTTAAAATGTTTACAAACCTGAAAAGGCTCGTGATCCTAATTGGGATAAGGAGTATTGATTACTTAGGATTTTTCTTTAAAAATTTATTTATATTTCAATTTTCAAAACATGATAGTCTTAATTATTTTGATTTCATCATGTTGAAGTTAATTAAACATTGCTTTAAAATAAATTAGCATTGATTAACTAATACTTAAATAGAATGTAGGATATAATATTAGCTATTTAAATATTTCAAAATATTTATTAATTAGAATATTAATGAGATAGTTTAAGTCTATTTTAAGAAATTTTGTTTTTATTTGAAGAGAGCATTCAGTTTTTGGTGATATAAGAATTAATTTTCAATATATCAAGAGGATAATTTTATTTTAAAATATTAAACTTAGCTAATTAAATTTATAATTTTATATAAGAAGTAAGTTACTAAACTTTTTAACAAATTAATATTGCTCTTAAAATAAGGCTTTAGTCTTTTAGTTTATATAAATTAAGATTTGATTGTATGAGTTATTTTATTTTTAAAAGAATTCAATAGCATATAATAATTTCTACTCTAATATTTTAGTTAATTTTACAAAATTGATATTTCTTAAAAAATTTATAGAATTGGAAATTCAAAGAAAATTGGAATATTAGCTAAACAGGGATTATTTATAGAAGATGTTATAAATTGTGATTATTGAAGAAAATAAATTATTATTTGCAATAAAACCTGTAAGATTTCGTTGTTTCGGTAATTTAATTGATAAATTGTACTATCCTTAATTATAATATCTGAAATAAGAATAAAATTGATAATATTTGAATAGCTGAATTGATATTGTCATTTCCAATTTAATTAGTAAATTTTTATAATTTGTAACATATTTGAGATTTACGAAAAAGGAGCCTTAGATTTAAAGATTTTATTTTTGAATTAGAATATGGTGATGAACACATTGAAGAAGGTTAAGAATTTGTGTAAAAATGAAGATTAGAATAATGTAAATAACGTAGCTCTTAATCAAAATCTTAGACAACCTTTTTTATGATTAATTTTGAGAGAATATCATAATAAATATAATATATTCTAATAGGATGAATACATGGAAGTTAATTTAAGTATAATATTAAAAAATGATGGAATTTTATCAATAATATAATTAATTATGTTAATTTCTAAGACTGAGAATGAAGAGCAATCTGAGACAGCAGTTAATTCAACACAACCTGTTTGCCCTAATTGTGGTGCTGCAAGGGAAAGTATTTTAGAATAAGTGCCATCTCCAGCTTCATTTATAATTTCCTTTATTTCTTTATTTTATTTTGGAATTTGGTGCATATTTATAATCCCATTAGTGTTTCAATCAACAAAAGTATATAAAATAAATAAATGTCAAGATGATTATTAAGAGATGTTACTATTGTAATTAGGAATTAGAAAAAAGAAAATACTTTTAATTACCAAATATTAATGATTAAGTATTATAATTTAGATTTGGAAATTGTATTGTAGTAGTATCTAGAAAATATGCTTTAATTTTATTGACAATTATTATTTGCTTGTTTTTTTATTTTGAATATTTTATAGAGAAAGAGCAACCATAAATTGAAGCAAATGTATATGCAAATAAATCATGGGTTGATTTTTTATAATTTTGTGGGAAATTTTAATTTGTTGATAATGGTTTGAAAGCAAGACATTAATTTGAAACTTATTTTAAAAATAAAATAGTTTCATGGAAAGGGTATTATTAAATAAAATTAATTTTAGTGATTATATACAAACTAAACCTAATCATGATTCAAATTTTCATTTTAATTATTGGGTATATTTAAAGATGGATCCTACAGAATCAACTGATGATTTACCTGATATTATAATTGGTGTAAGGGACTCTTAATATTAAATTGAAACATTTTAAAAATTGGAAAAGGGTAAGCCAATACATTTTGAAGCTAAATTTCTATTTTTAGGATCAGAATATAACTTCCATATTTTAGAATTAAAACATCTTACTGTGATACCATCTGAAGTTGTGGAAGATATAAAGAAACTTCATCAATTCACATTAGATATGGACTAATTCTAATAATTAAAGAGAACAAAATTATAAGAATCTCTTAAACATAAGATTCATATGTATAATCCTAAATCAATACCAGGAATCCAGAAAATAATAGAAAATATCTAAATAGTAAATAATACTATATCAAATAAAAATTAAGAAAATATTCAAAATGAATAAAATAATAAAGAACAATAGAATGAGATAGAAAATAAAAATAATGTAGATTAAATAGAAAATGAATAAAAGTAGGATAATAATGAAACAGTAAATTAATAGGATGGATAAGAATAATAATAATTTGATCCTTCTAGTGTTAATATAAAAATTGATGAATCTATAAGGAATGAGATTTTATCAAAAGATTCTGGTATAGTTGATGGAGTTATTGATGATGATAATAATAATAACAGAAATTAAGATTGACAATTAAATTTTAATAAATTATTTATATCAAAAAAGTTATTTTCTGAATATTAGTATTGTATGAATTAACAATAAGAAACATATATAATATATTTTGTAGAAAATTATTATTTCATTGAATGAATAATTACTTCTAAATAAATGAATAGATTTCATAGACAGAAAAGATTATCTTACCAGATGATACTCCAATGAAGAATAAACCAAATACAATTACAACAATGAAAACTTCATGGTTCACTTTTCTTCCATATGCTTTTATTAAATAAATTACGTAACCTGCTAATATTTATTTCATTGTTATTGGCATATTATAGATAATTCCTGCTACTTCTTATACAAATGGTGTACCAACTATTTATGGACCTTTAGCAATGATGATGAGTATAAGTATATTGAAAGATGCTATTGAAGAATATTCTAGGTAAGAACTCTTATTAAAATAGATATAAATCTGATTAAGAAGAGAATAATCGTAAATCACATAAATACTATGAAAATTAGTTTATAGAATGTAATTGGAAGGATATCTATTAAGCAGATATTATTTTAGTTATGGAAAATGAAAGTATTCCATGTGATATTTTAATATTATCATCTAATTATTAAGGAGGTATAGCATATGTAGAAACAAAGTAAATTGATGGTGAGACAAATTTAAAATAAAAATATTCAATCTACGATTTATAATAAAGATACCATATCGATAACGCTATCAATTTTGTATTTATATAGTAATTAATCAGAAGGAGAAAAATAATAATGTTAAGTTTGTATATGATTAGAAGAATCCAATATTATATAAATTATCAGGAACATATCAAATTAGTAATTCTTAAGTGGATTCATTAAATTATGGTAATTTTATTGAAAGAGGATGTATTCTAAAAAATACAGAATGGATAATAGGTTTATGTATTTATAGTGGTATGAATTGTAAAATTATGTTGAATTGTTCTTAAGAAAGGACAAAGAGAAGTAGATTAGAATAATATATGAGAATTTGTATTATATCTATATCAATCAGTTTGGCATTATTTTGTTTAATGTCATCTATTTATGAATTCATATGGACAAACAATCATCTTAATTATTCATATTTAGGACTTACTAAAGATAATGTATTTATAGATCTTGGATTATGGTTTTCATTACTTTCATATTTTATACCAATATCTTTAGTTGTAAATGTAGAATTAGTTAAATTTGGTTAAGCTAAAATGTTAGAATCAGATAAAGTAATGCCAAATTCAAAATCACATTAATCTAATTTAATTGAATAATTAGGAGAAATCAATATTGTTTTTACTGATAAAACAGGTACATTAACTAAAAATTCTATGTAATTTAGAGAACTATTTGCATAAAATGAAAAAGAAGCTTTATTATGTTTGAGTTTATGTCATTCTGTTGTTAAATCAAAAAATAAATTGATAGGATCTTCTCCTGATGAATTAGCAATATTAGAATATTGTGAATAAAAAGGTTATTTATTTTAAGGCATAGATAATAATAATCATCTTACAATCAACAAAACTTTATTTCATAGAGTTATGAATTTTGATTTTAGTAGTGATAAAAAGAGAATGACAATAGTAGTCAAAACAGGAAATGAATATGTTTTATTTTGTAAAGGTGCTGATGAAGTATTACTTGAATTAATAGGAGAATGTTAACATTAACAAATCATTCATCAATTTGCAATATAAGGATACAGAACATTAATGTTAGGTAGAAAGACTTTTAGTTAAAGTGAAATGGAAATTTATTTGACAGAGTATGATTCAATATTTATTTTATAGATATAAAAAGGCTTAAGAGGATAAAGATGAAGAAATGATTAATAAATTATAAAAAAAATTAGAATATAATTTAGAATTTCTAGGAATTACAGCTGTTGAAGACTTATTAGCAGATGATGTTGGATAAACTATTTAAGATTTAAAGACTGCTGATATCAAAGTTTGGGTTCTTACAGGTGATAAAGTTGAAACTGCTATTTCAATAGGATATTCTTGTAATCTAATTGATAGCAAGGATATGTTATAAGTTGTTACTTAAATTACAGTTGGAAGTATTGAGGAAGTATTTTTACAATATTGTAATGAATCAGCTAATATTGCCTTGATAATTAGTGGATAAGCATTAACAGTAATGTTAGATAATCCACAACTTAAATCAATGTTATTAAAAAGAGCTTTCTATGCTAAAGTAGTTATTGTTGCTAGAGTATCTCCAAAATAAAAGTAATAAGTTGTAACTTTAGTTAAAGAGAATCTCCCAAAAGCTTATACTTTGGCTATTGGAGATGGAGCTAATGATGTTTCTATGATTAATGAAGTAAAGAATAATCATTTAATTTAAGGCACATGTTGGTGTTGGAATTTAAGGAGTTGAAGGAACTTAAGCTGCAAGAGCTGCTGATTTTGCAATTTCAGAATTCAAACATCTTAAAAGATTAATGTTTTATTATGGAGTTGAATGTTCAAGAAGGAATGCACTTACAATTTTATACATATTTTTTAAGAATTAGGTTTTCATTACTCCTTACTTTTGGTTTGGATTCCTCAATGGATTTAGTGGATAATATTTATATGATCAATGGTTATCTTCATTATTTAATACTGTTTTTGCTGCTCTACCTTAGGTACTTTATGCTCTCTTTGATGAAATGCATCCTTCTTCTGAATATTTACAATGGAGTAAAACCTCACATAATTTACTTGAAGAAAAACCAGATGTATATGTATAATTTAGATAATAACCAATTTTTACAATCATTAAATTTTGGCTTTGGGTATTCAATGGAATGGTTTAAGGTTTGATTATATTTCTAGTTTGTACATTTTCTACAGAGAATTAAAATATGGATAATGGTATGACAATGGAATTTTTTGAAGATGGAGTATTTATATATGGAATAGTTATTATTCTAGTTAATCTTAAGATTTTCACTTTTACATATACTAATTATAACTTCACTATATTTTTCATTGTTTTATCAATTCTTGTTTATTGGCTAATATTAATTATGGTGAATGATCATGAATTATCCCCATCATTTAATTTTTATAGATATCTTGTCTCGTATATATATCATTCTATATTCTAGACCACAATTATATTTAGCACTAGCATTAACTTGTATGCTATTTTTATTTGATTTGGCTATTGAAAGATTTTATGATTTTTAAATCTATATTCGAAAACCAGAATCAATAGAATTAGTTTGATTTGTTAATTTTAAATTGTATATTTTAATATATAAAATACATATTTACTAAAAATCTGAAAATAAAGACTATTTTAAGTATTATGACAAAAAAAACAACAAAAATATCTTGATCATTGCTATAATTTAATTTTTAAATGTTCCTTACTTTATTAACATTGAAATGTTAAAAAAAGCTTAAATCAAAAAAATTATATATTTGAGTATGAATATCAATTTTAAAGATTTCAAAAATAATTTACTAATCATTGATATATTATCTTTAGGACTCGCTTATTTTGTGTATTACTATATATTTCAATAAATAGCTTGTGTCTTGATATTTCTTTCTTTTTCAATAATAACACTATATATCTTATCATATTATTAATTAAACCTAAGTTTTAATGTATTAATCCATCTTTTTTTGAAGAATTAAAACTATGTTAATAGTATTTATAATTTATGACTCTCTGTCAATATTTATTATTATTAAAAATGATATAATATTTATAAGATAATTCTTGAAGATGTATAATTAAGAGATTATCAAAAAACTAATTAATTTCATGATTATTCTCAAAAATTTAATTTTAAGTATATATAACGATATATTCTTATATAGTCATAGATCATATTAGAATTATGAATTTATTTGGATTTTACAATTAAGCTATTTTCACAAAGTCTTCTAGTTAAGAATAGTGTTAATTAGATAATTCTTTCCTCTATTATTATAAATATACAATATTTTAATTATTTTTAAATTGATATTAAATTAATAACTATTTTTTTTAACCTCTATTATGGAGCAATTAAGAATTTTTAAAATTATGTTAATAAGTCCAAATGGACATATTACACTATAATTATCAAATTATTATCATTAACTTCAATATGATACAATATAAGTTATTTATTGATATAATATAAATTATCATTATGATCCTTTAGAAATATATAAATTAATTCATTTTTTATGTTGTTCTGAGGATGAAGTGTCAATATTATTTATTTCCAATACTTTTCCATTAATTTATGATTGAAATAGTTTGTTTCTTCTTGAAATTATAGTACTATAATCTAGATTTTACTGAATGTTAAATAATACTTATAGAGCCTAATATTGGTATAGAATTTGAGAATCTGCATGTCTTTTTAAACTTTTTAAGTTCTTAGTCTCTATTAATTATCACAAAATAACAAGTATTTTATTCGTTAATATTGATAGTTGAGAATTGTTTTTCTTTTTTTAAGGAGCATCCCATTAAATAAAATATTTATTATATGATTGTTCATAATTAAATTGTTAGAAAAATCTTAAGAAAGATATTTTAAATGAATTATAAATCGACCAATAAATATTAACAGTTGAAAATATACATTAACAAACACCATATGTAACAATTATCAATATTAACCATAAGGATGCTTATACAATCCTTATCTATGACCAAAGAACATTTTTATGAGGATTTAAAAAATGATAGATATAAGTTATTTCTTAATAATTTAAATCAATAACATTAATATTTATGATTATACATAAATTAATTAATTTTGTTAAAAATGAATGTAGAAGAGGAGGATATCAATTTCTTGAAAGGTATTTATTCAATAAATAATTAAAGCTTAACCCTTATGGACAGGATGTAGAAACACACCTTATTTAATAAGAGCTGGAATCAATATTGATAAATGCTTAATTTGTAATATTTATATATAAGATATAGTCATTACAAATATAAGGTAATCTTGGATTTGTAAACTAAACAAAGACCGTATCTAAAAAGATAAAGAATTATACAATAAATCAATATAAACTACTAATTTCTAAGGAGTATTGGATTTATTAGAGTTAGCCTTAAAATTTGACCCTTAAGCAGAATACTCATTTAAGTTGAATGAGTCTTCTTTATATTATGGTTATAGTAATGTGATTAAAATTTACACTTTAACATGGGTGTTCGATTGTAAAGTTGTAGATGATTAATATCATAACAAAATTCTGATAAATGACATTATAAATCCTTTATTGTTGACTATCCATTCTTTAGAAAATAGATGCAATAATTATAAATCTGCATTTTCATAATTAGAATAGGATTACATAAAAAGATTAAATGAAAAGGAAAGAACTTAATATAAAGTAAGGGACAAAGATGAAGATTTGAGCGTATACATTTTAGATGATCAAATTGATCAAGAGAAAATATGTTAAATAAACTTTAATCCTATTGCAAATTATTTCATATAATATTATGCAATTAATAAAGTGAATAAAACATTATAATAAATGAAAAAAAGACAACCATAGTAGTAATAAAATAAAAATGAAAATCCCTCTTCAAATATTAAAAAAAGTAAATTAATAATTTTAAATCATTTTAGAAGAAAATATTTGGTAAAGTTATGAAAATACATTATCTGATATGTTTGAAGGTAAAGGATAATAAATATTGGAAAATGATAAAAATGAACCCAAGTAGGACCGAAGTAAAAACACTAAAAAAAAGGTAGGATTTTTATGATTATATGTTATTTATTATATCAATTGTTTGCTGTTAAGACATAACTTTATTAGTTTTTTTAAAGGAATTTATATTGATATTCTTCTATACATTTTTGATTTTCAGTGTATTCGATTGTCTTTCCTATTAAATATAAATATTTTATACCATTATAATCCATTTCATCAAATAATATAACTTTAGCTCCAGCTGGAACTTAAATTGATTTAATTTTGCTTGGATATTTAGCTAATTAGAAATTAGGTAAATCCTCACACATATTAAATGATTTTCCTATTCAAATAAATATAATAAATACCTGTATAATTACATTCAGTGTAAAGTGTAGCACAAGCATCTGGTTTTTCATAAAATAGTTTAAATCCTTTAAGTGCAAATGAAGCATTTTCATTATTTTTTCCAATAGTTGTTAATATTACTAAATCTAATGTTGATGCTTCATGTCCCATAACAAAATCAACAATAGCATAATTTTCAAATCCATCTCCACCACAAATATCAGCAAGTCCAGGATCTCCAAATCCAAATGTTCTTTACCAAACACTTAATCCATCTACTTTAACAATATAATCTTCTCCATTCCAATTATCAATTTTCCATGCTTCAAATGCAATTCTAATTCTTTTATGAGCAGGTAAATTGAATTTTCTTGAAATTTTAGCATCTTTTCCTGTTTTTTCATAACCACCAAAGAATTTGAATTCTCCACATGTTGATGTAAAATCTGGTCCATTTTTACCATCACTTACTTTCCAATCCTCATTAGCTGTCCAACTTGAACCTTAAAATTCTGATGTAAATTCAACCCAATCTCCTTTTAATATACAACCTGAACCATTTCCATCTTCTGGATCCAATAATATATAAGGAGAAACACAAGCTGTACAATCTTCAGCACTTGGTCCAGTACATGTTGCACAGTTACTTGAACATTATGCAACATAAAGTTGGAATTATCTTATACCCCAAGATGCTTATTTTGATGATTTTTTGGTTGTGGCAGTCCATTTTACAAGTGCAGCACCATAATTATGAGGAGATTCAAAGTTTACATTAATAATCTTTTCTGTTGCATCAACACCTCCTGGAGTAATCTTATCACAAATGAAGAATTCTTTATCTTCTACTTAAGCTACATTTTATTTCCATTTTTCTTAATTATCAATATACAAAACTGCATTATCATTATCCCAATTATCAATCTTCCAAAATTATGCTATCACTTTAATTCTATAATGTGGTACAAGTTTATCAAAGATTTTTTAAATTGAAACATTATTACCAAAATTACCAGGACCACCAACAATTGGAATTCCTGCACAAGTACTTGTTTTAATAACATTTGAAGATCCTTTTACATTCCATCCATCAGCTTCTACATTCTTTATCCAACTTGATGATACAGGTACCCACATTTAACAAACAATAGCATCTGGTCCAAGACATGTACCACATTCTGTTGGACATGCCAAATAAGATAATTTCAAGTTTCTAAAACCCCAAGACATCTAAAGATTATTAAAAAGATTATACTTTATCTGCTGCCTTATCAGCTGAAGATGCAAATGCAATAAATAATGCTGCATGATTATGAGTTATTGTTTAATCAACTTAGAATGAATTTACATTACCACCTGCTGGAGTTGCACATCTCTTTGTTCCATCACTTCCAGTCCACAT